CAAAGATCATCATGCATTTCTGCATGTCTATAGACTCTACTTCCTTATTCTTAATGTATGAAATTTAATAGAGTGTTAGTATATGACACTTTATTTTGAAAAGCAGAAAGGTGAGTTCGGTGTGATTGTGTGTGTTGCGCGCAGAGTTGGCTAGACTTATCTGCACTCCTGTGTCTGCTTTTCAAAATAAAGTGTCATATGACAAAAAGGACATTCTTTTGTTGTTGCCAACAACATTGCAATGAGATGAGATCATTTAGATCGGTCAGTTACAAAGTATGTAATGGTTTTTAAGATACAATTGGAGAATAGTTTGTTGTAAGTGCAATGATTGATTCATTCAAATTGATTGATTGGATTGAATCTGATTGCATTGGGGAAGCAAGTATTGTGCAAATCGATAATATTAATAATCTTTAGTTGTCAACAACATCAGACGACCGACATTAACATCCACACACAAACCTTTTGAATCAGATACTCTCACTTCCACCCACTCACTTGTCGAATGATGTTGTTGACCCCACCAACACACAACCATACCGATTGGACAACCAATTTTAAAAGGTGTAACTGACACGCCTTGTGAACCTTCGGCATGGTGATTGGGGGTTGAATGTCATTCAACTTGTCAATGTCAATCTTATCACTCACTCACTAATTCACACTCAACTTACATCATTAATAATAATATTGATATTATGATGAAGTTAGGTGGTTTGTTATCATCTCATCTTGAAATTATTCAATCAATATTATCCAACGAATTGGAATAATCATATGATTTGATTGATTTCAAATAACTATTTATATAAACTATAATTATAATATTAAACTTTACATTCATTGTAGTTGTTATAATATTATTATTATTATTTGTAGATATGTATAAATATAATCATTCTTTATTATTATTAGTATTGTTACTGGTACCATGTGCCATTATCGCTCAACAATATGAGGCTAATTGGCCAAGTATTAATTCAAGACCACTTCCATCATGGGTATGTATCCAGTCCTTGGACTTTGATTGAATGGACCTCACTCAAACATGAACTAACTAAATAATCAATCAATCAATGATATTTAGTATGATGACTCCAAGTTTGGTATATTCATTCATTGGGGAGTATTCTCTGTACCTCACTTTGCTAGTTATGAGACTGAATGGTATATGGCCGAGTGGTATTGGTGGGCTTTGAACAACCCATCGGTGGACAAGGGTGCCACGCAAGCCTACCATAACAAGACATTCGGACCAGACTTCCAGTACCAACGTTTCGCAGAATCGTTCAACGCCAACATGTTTGACCCCGATGAGTGGGCATCAATCATTGCCGACTCTGGTGCCAAATACGTCGTGCTGACCAGCAAGCATCATGAGGGTTTCACCCTGTGGCCAAGCAAGAATGCCTTTGGCTGGAATGCCATGGACGTTGGTCCTGGTCGCGACCTGGTAGGTGAGCTGTCCACCTCTGTCCGTGCCACAGGTCTCAAGATGGGTCTCTACCATTCGTTGTTTGAGTGGTTCAATCCATTGTACCTCGCTGACAAGGCCTCTGGCACGCCACCACTGTCCAACGAGTATATCACCACGCACATGATCCCAATGATGCAAGACCTCGTGACGAGGTACGAACCAGCTGTGATCTGGAGTGATGGAGACTGGGAGCAGCTGTCCACCTACTGGCAGAGCACAGAGTTCCTGGCATGGCTCTACACCAACTCCACAGTGAAGGACGAGGTCGTGACCAACGATCGCTGGGGATCCGAGTGCCGTGGCATCAACGGAGGCTACTACACTCCAGCCGACGAGTACAACCCAGGCAAGCTGCTGCCCCACAAGTGGGAGAACTGCTACACCATGGGCTGGTCATGGGGCTACTACGACAACCAACCATTGCTGGCCTTCCAGACGGCCACCCAGTTGCTCACCGAGCTCGTGTCGACCGTCAGCTGCGGAGGCAACATGCTGTTGAACATCGGACCAACCCCGGAGGGCACCATCCCCTGGATCATGCAGGAGCGTCTACAGGAGATTGGCAACTGGCTCAAGATCAATGGTGAGGCCATCTACTCGTCCAAGCCATGGCGTGCACAGAATGACACTGCATCGCAGGTCGTCTGGTACACGATGAACCCCACCACCAACGTTGTGTACGCCATCTCGCTCTACTGGCCAACCGATGGAGTGCTGACTCTCGCTCAACCATTGAGCACAACAAGCACCACTGTAAACCTCATTGGTTGTGAGCCTGCCTCTCTATGTCAGAGTCTATCATTCCAAGGCAGTACCAGTGCACTTGGTATGAACATTAAGTTGCCACAACTTACTGATCCTACCCAATACCCACCATCTGGTCTCTACGTCTTTGAGTTGCATAATGTTAAATAAACCAACACACTCAATCATTTGTATCATCATTCTGTTTGTTATAACCTTTAAAGGCAATGATGGGAAAAAATAAAAATGGGATTGAGGATCATCCAAAACATCGTGTTTACCACATTTGTCTAAATTTGGAACAAACAGATCGACCGAAAGCGTGAGCATTCATTTCCGAAAAGGTCTACTTCTTATACACGCACTCATTCATTCAATCAAACATCTACTTATAAGTATATTATATATAGTTATAATAACAATGATAACAAATAGATTAGTAAAGAATAGTTTATTAGTTGGACACAAAGTTCTAAGAAGTAGAAGTAGTCTTGGTCTTGGTGCCTTGATCACTCCAAGGTCATGCTTCAACAACACCAACAACATCAACAACATTAACAAGAGCATGTTGTTGACCAATACACCATCAACATCATCATCATCATCATCATTACTTGGTTATTGTACAGCAACAGCAAAGACAACATCATCATCGTTGGGCGACAAAATGTTATCGATAACAAGAGACTCAAAATACGCATCATTGACAGAGAAGGATGTTGAGGAGTTTAGAAGAATGTTGGGTGATACAGCCGTGATCAATGGAAAGGAAGACCTCGATGGCTATAATACAGACTTTATGAACCAGTTCAAGGGCTCAAGTCAATTGGTGTTGAGACCAAAGTCCACTGAACAAGTGTCAAGCATCCTGCGCTACTGCAATGAGCGCCGACTGGCTGTCGTACCACAGGGCGGCAACACTGGTTTGGTCGGTGGCAGCGTACCAATGTACGACGAGATCATTCTCAGCCTCTCATCAATGAACAATATCCTGGCCTTTGACGAGGTGTCTGGCGTGATCACATGCGAGGCCGGTTGTGTGTTGCAGACTCTGGAGGAGTACCTTCACCCCAAGGGCTACACGATCCCCTTGGACCTTGGATCAAAGGGCAGTTGCCACATTGGAGGTAACGCCGCGACCAATGCCGGAGGCATCCGTCTGTTGCGCTATGGCTCACTGCATGGCAACGTGATGGGCGCTGAGGTGGTGCTGGCCAATGGTACCGTCATCGACCTCATGAACACATTGCGCAAGGACAACACTGGATATGACATGAAGCAGCTGTTCATTGGCTCAGAAGGCACTCTTGGTGTGATCACAAAGTTGGCCATCCTTACACCGGCCAAGCCTACAAGCGTCAACGTTGCATTGCTATCATGCTCCTCATTCGAACAGGTCAAACAGTTGTTGGTGGAGGCAAAGAAGATGCTCGGTGACATCTTGTCTGCATTCGAGTTCATGGACCGACCTTGCATCGACCTTGTTCTGGCACATCACGAGCATAGCCACGAACCATTTGACAACAAGTCACCCTTCTACGTTCTCATCGAGACCTCTGGCTCCAACGAGACTCACGACATGGAGAAGATCAACAACTTCCTCGAGGACATCATGAACAGAGAGCTTGTGATCGATGGTTCATTGGCCAGCGATTCAAAGAATGTATGTTTGTCTGCATCATCCAAACAATCAATCATCATACTAACCTCCAACATGATGATATAGGTCTCACAGTTCTGGACTCTGCGAGAGGGCATTACAGAGTCATTGGGCAAGGCTGGCGCTGTGTACAAGTACGACCTGTCATTACCAATCGATAACTTCTATGCTATTGTGGAACAGATGCGCGATCGTCTGAAAGGTACATCGGCCAATGTTTGTGGATTTGGCCATGTCGGTGATTGCAATCTCCATCTGAACATCTGGACACCTGGTCAGAAGTACAGCAGGGACATGCTCAAGAACATTGAACCATTCGTCTACGAGTACACCAGCAAATATCGCGGCAGCATCAGTGCCGAGCATGGCATTGGCGCCAAGAAGGTCAGCCAACTGCATTTCTCCAAGACACACGAGTCCATCGAGTTGATGAGGAACCTCAAGAATGCCATGGACCCCAATGGCATCCTGAACCCTTACAAGGTGATCCCTTCATCACCATCATCAACATAGATAGATAGAATACATGGTGTGCACTTTATTTAAATAACAACGCGTTGGGCACAACCATCAAGTTGCTGCTCTGTTTGATTGGATACTACTTGTAGGGATGGGAGTGGACCGGCAGTGATCACTTGATGCTGCTTATTGAGCATGTTGTTGCTGGGCAACTGAGAGGATGGAAGCAATAAGAGTCAGGATCATCTTGGACTTGACCTCGACAATGTCCTCGGGCAAGAGGAAGATGCAGCCACCAAGCTTACGAGTGACACTGATGGTGTACTTGGCATTCATCAGCTTGTCCTCGTCGGAGATCTGTCCACTGTGCACCAGCTTGTAGTCGACGCAGTTGCGGATCGAGTTGAGGAGGTCGAGGAAGAAGATCGAGTTGCTCAGCGACTTGTCCTGGAAGTTCTCCATGCGGGATGTCTTGCCGCTGGTCTTGACGCGGTCGTTGGCCATCTTGACCATCTCCGAGTCGGACAGCTCCTTGCCGGCGCCCTTGCTCAGCTCCTTGAGGATGGTGACGACGTTGTAGCGCATCATCTGCCAGACGAGTGCCAGGGTGGGCATCTCGGTACCGTCGACAATGTTGGGACCGCCAATGCCGACGAGCGAGAACTTCATTGACTTGCCAATGTCGACGGCATAGTTGCAGTTCTCGACCATCTTGAACTTGTTCATTGGGACGACCTGGTTGACGCGCTTCCAGTCCACGCAGCCAGGGTTGATCTTGTCGAGCACACGCAGCAGCACAAGGCCGTCACGGAGATCCTGGAACAGGTTGTTGACGAACGGATCGATGCCCAGCGAGTTGATCCACAGGCAGAAGGCACGTGCCTCACGCGATCCCTCAGAGTTGAAGAGGTAGGCATCGAGACCAGCCTTCTCCTCCTCGGTCAATGGCTCGAGACCTGGGATCGTGTTGAACAGGTTGGCGACAAAGGCGAGGTTCAGCTTGGGGTTGCCCTTGACAATGTCGTTGGGTCGCACGAACTTGCGACAGTTGATCTTCTCAGCGTTGTCCAGCAGCAACTTGGCACGCTCCATTGGGTCCGAGGTGGACAGGGGCGACAGGTCGCACTGGCCTGGCGCAAGCTGGTTAAGGAGCACGGTGTAGCACTCGCTGTCCTTGATGTCACCGCTAAAGTTGGTGACCTTGCGTGGGTGGTTGGCGCGCTTGAGGTGGTAGTTGAACCAGCGCAGCAGGATGGCTTCGGCGGGAAGCTTGAGAAGGTCGCTGATCTCCTCGCCTGGCTCGAGCAGACGGAACAGCTCTGGGTGGTTGGCCAGAGTGATCTGAGACAGTAGGCCGATTCTGATCACCTGCCAGATGAGGCCGAGGATGAGATGCTCAGTGCCAGCCATGATATCGGAGGCACCAATGTTGACGACGGAACATCCGATGGCCTTGGCCGAGTTGACGACGATGTTTCCATTCTCTGTCTGTTGGTATCTGTTCATGCCGACCTTTGTGTTGAGGGCACGCTCATCGATCGTGTCTGGCACCGAGGCGTTGATCAACTTGCACAGCAACACACCGTCTTGAACGCGAGTGAACAGATCCATTGTGTTTGGATCGATTGGCAAACGGGCGTCTGCCACAGCGTCGCCACCAAGCACAGAGTTCATGTGCTCAGCGAATGACACCTTCTCCTCCTCAGAGAATGAGTGAATACCCGAGGCTCCAGCCAACCTATTAACATCAGACTTCTTATCAGCCATAACTATATGTTTGTTATTATTGTTTGTTTGAATGTAATTGTATACAAAGATGATAAGTGAATGAGTGAATGGATGAATGAAGTGGAAGTGAATTGAATTGGAATGAAGAGGTGTTTGAGTGCAGAGTGGTTGAATTTAATGGCTTGATTGAGTGTGTTTGGTGGGGGAAGTTGGTTATGAATGATGGACCTGGCCCGTTTAATTGAAATTTGTGTGAACTTGAGCCAAAATAAACTAAATGATCAATAACCCATATCCGGCAATGTTTCGGGTTATCATAAAGAATGATAAATCGGGTGTTAATTTTAATTATCTGTTTGAATTAATGATATTTATATTATGTATTCAATCAAACTCTGAAAATCATTAAGTTGAATAAATAATAAAATTTAAAATAAAATTAAATTAAAAAAACAATAGATATTTTATATCTTTTGTTGTGTGATAAAGATGACGATGATCTCACTATCATTGTGTTTGTTCAAGTCCTTCATTTCACACTACTACGCGTAAACACACACATATATAATATATATAAATGATTTCACAGCTAATGTCTAGAATATAGATAATCACATTTGAGAATATATCACTACCAATCAATCAATCAATCAATCAATCAATCAATCAATCAATCAATCAATCAATCAATCAATCAATCAAACAACCAAACAAACAAATCACATCAATCATATCTCTTTAAACTTTCAATGACCTCATTGAACGATACTTTTACATCATCATCATCATTGGCTACCAACAACTCAACAACAACATCACCTACAACTAGTACGACAACAACCACCACCTCTACGACCACAACAACAACAGCGGCAGCAGCAGCAAAGTCTGCTGCTTCATCATCAAAGGCGGCTGCAGCAGCGTCAAAGAACATCAACAACAACAACAATGAAGCTCATAGACGTGTGACAGAGTGTTTAGACGACACAGATACAGAGTCAGAGACAGAATCGTATAGTCTTGATTCAAAGCTTAGGTCTGCCACTGGTGATGATGGTATCAGTAATCTAGACTACTGGAGAAGGGACTACTACGATCTATCATGGAGGTGTCGATGGATTGAGCTACAACTTCGCGATCTACAATATCACAATCATCAATGTGATCAACTCTATCAGAAGATAAGAAAGTCAAAGCTGGTAAGTACTTGATTGATTGGTATGATTGAATGATTGATTGAATGAGTGAGTACTGATGCCTTCATGATCGCTGTCAACTTTAGAAATATGAAAGACTCCCAATCCTACCTCCTGATGATGTTGCTGCTCCTCCCCCTGCATCTGCCTCTGCTCCTGCTCCTGCTCCTGTGCCTCCACATGAAGACAACATCAACTACAACAACCACAATAATAATAACAGCAGCAGCATCACAATCATCAATGATGATGGACATTTGGATGGAGTAGGCAAGATACCAAATGAATCATTGAGAACAAGTGGTATCAACAAGCCAAAGAAGATGAGGAAGCTACTTAGGAGAGCACTGCCATTGCTCAGGAATAGACAGATACGCAAGGATGCAGAGACCCATCCATTATACACACTTGACAAGCAGTACTACAAGTTCGAAGGACATTTGAGTATGTTGATCATCATCATGTTGACGATGTCGTACCCTGTGGCAGAGTAACTAACACCGAACGCAACTCATAGAGCACTCACTTATCCAATCGAATGATATCAAGGATGTCGGCGATATGGGCGAGCAACAGCAGCAACAAAAGAAGAGAAGACAGAGGACAAAGAAGATCAATGTGGAGGATGACCCAAGATTCCAATACCATGACACTGATAGTGATACTGAGTTGGACATCACTACAATGTTTGAGCCCAAGCAAAGGCAGGAGAGGACTGAGCCACCATCCCCGATATCGATGGCAGCCACGACATCATCATCATCATCAATATTGGGTGGTAATCACGCATCATCATCATCAACAATGATCGACCAACATGAACATCAACAACTACAACAACAACAACAAGCACACAAGGACGATACAGTCAAGTCCAACAACAGATCACAACTGACAACGAGCAGAGATAAGAAAGAGGGCAGAAAGCAAGGCGGCGCAAGAGTTGCAAAGCAGAGCAAGCAGGCCAAGGCGATCGAGAACAAACGAAAGAAGGAGGAGAAGAAGAGGGAGAAGGAGGAGGAGAAGAGGAAGAAGAAGGAGCTGAAGGAGCAGAAGCAACAACAAAAGCAGCAGAAGCAGCAGAAGCAAGTGGTCTCCTCAATGACTTTGCGCAGCTCGTCTGGCGGCAGAAAGCTAAAGGTCAGCGAGGAGATGTTGGCAAAGATCATGGAGGAAGAGGACGAAGACGAAGAGGAAGAGGAGGAAGAAGAAGAGGAGGACTATGACTTGGATGAGAGCTACTCGGATGACGACGAGATATCAACATCCTCCTCATCGTCATCAGAGCCTGAGCTCTACAGGAGGTCGAGAAGGAGCTCGAGCAACAGGAGTGACGCCATGGACGTCATCATCCCAGCCAGCGCCAACTTCACCATCCCAGTTGTACAGTACAAGGAGATCTACACGCCCGAGTGGAGAGATGTGAGCAGCGCCACTGTGAGCCCCTCGCCATTGCTCCTCTCGTTCAACTCTGTCTCCTCATCCCTGGCCCCAGAACACAACAACAGTGCTCTGCTGCCTCCACCTCAAGCATCATCGAACAATCATGAGCCATCACGTTCGACAAAGAGGCCATCAAACGATGTGATGCCTGAGCTCAAGTTCACACAGATCGACGAGTCGGTCAATCACGATGGTACCCTGGGTGACGACGAAGCAGCCTACGACGACGGAGAGGCCAGCAGCGACGACACTGCCGATGAGAGCAATTGCCAAGCGACATGCCGAGTGCGAGATCAGCGAGAAGCATAGGTTCTTTGAGKTTGCTCAAGTCGACGCCCGTGTCCAGGAGGAAGAAGGACATGGTCACATTGGAGTTCAACATGACTGTCGACGAGCTGTTGCCCACCTACAAGAACTTCAATCCTACAAAGGACATCTCTCTGCTTGGTCCATCGTGGAATGGCGAGATCACAAGGAAGAAGAGGAAGCACAGACACAAGCACCATGAGGACGATGAAGACGACACTGATAAGGAGCACGATGTGGCTGCAAGGGGCGCCAACAGGAAGAAGAGACCACTGGCCAGGACAGTTGCGACTGTAGAGTCATTCACAAAGAAGGCTGGCTCATCACGAAGGCAGTCATTCGCAAACAATCGATCACTTTCAACTCCCAACCTCCGAGGTAGCAACAGCAGGGTGTCAAAGCCACGTGGCACATCGCCATACGCTGCAAGGAAGAGAAAGATGGATCAAGCTGACGACAACGATGAAGATGGTACCACCACATCTGGTTGGTGGTCCGACCAGTCATTCGATTGGATTACAATCACTGGTGATCAGACCAACCCATTGAGGCTGAGGTTCAAGCGAGTCAAGGCCACAACATCCACCACAACAACTACAACATCCACGTCCTCCACTACCTCTGCCACTGCCACTGCCGCAGACGAGGCGATTAAGTTAGACACAAGCGACATCAGAGATGATTATTGATGATATATTGTTATCATCATTGATCATGGCACGAGCCAATGTACCAAGCCTCCAAGCATAGCAATCATACCTCAACCAAGAATGATTGAATGAATGGGTTAATAAAGTAGCCAGACCGTCTGTACTATATAGAGAATGATGGTTAGGTGTTGTTTCTTTGTCTGGTATCGGATATGTCAAATTAAGGCCCGGGACCCGACCAGGAACCTCGGTCCTAAGATATTTATCATTTTCAATCACTCTTGATCACTTCATTCATTCATCCAAACAAACAATGAAAGATAAGGATATGGATAAGGATAAGAGTAGTATTAGCAAGGTATTCCATAATCACATACTTTGCAAACTCATATTGAGTAATGTAACAAGTATACATGAAAGATGGATGAAGGTGATCAACTGGAATGATGATGATGAGGTCAATGATGTTGATCATGTAGCACTTGGATACCCTCGACATGGCATCAAGTCAACGATCAAAGGTGCCACATTGATCAACATGCGATTAGACAAGATGTTGGGATACAACGCAACTCACATGTTCATCGAGACATTGAACAACATCATCAATGACAAAGAATACCCGATAAACAGTGATCTAATATGGATGGCAATCGAATACAATAACATAACAGTGTTCATGTACTTGTTGAACAATACCAGCATGTTATTGGATGAAACCGAGATGCCCTTAGACATGTGCAAGCATGGGAACATCGACATTCTTGAGTTCTACCTGGCTGCGACCGACTACCATCCACTCCCAACCCAAACCATCACGCGACTTCCCAAGGCAATCGACACAGGCAACATTCAATTCGTTCGACTGTTGCTCAAACATACACCATTCCGACGTGATGAGCGTGATCTAATCAATGATAAAGATGAGAAGCCAGCCAAGATCAAGTTCAAGAAAGGGCGAGGCATCACACTTGACATGCTCAGAATGTTGCACGAGGAGTTCCAATGTCTGTTCATGTTCACAAACGTCTGGTCCGCGATACTATTGCACTCGATCAAGCACAACATGACCAAGAGTGCTAATTACATCCTTGACAACATGTCCCAAGTCCATAGCAAATTGCTGATAGGGAAGTGCGCAAATCGATGCGCCAAAGCAGGCAACATCACAATCTTCCAAACACTCATCAAGACAGACATGGGCGCCAAGTATCTCGAGAAGATCAATTTATACCAGGTCATCGACTTGGCGTTGGATCATGGTCGCGAGAACTTCCTCAATTATCTGGCCCAACAACACGTTGGCAAAGGCACATTCAATCATGATACCGAGGATAGGTTACTCACGTGTTTTGTGTCCAATGGCAAAGGTAGACTCCGCGTCACTCCACGAGCAGCCATTCTCCACAATGACTTTTTCAGCATGGATTCATTCGCCCAGAAACGAGAGGAGATAAACTTGGATATCAAGCAGTGTCAACGAATGTCCTTGTCAATGGTGCACTACATTGCCAATATGCACTCACCACCTCTGGTATTGAGTCAAGGAACATTGAAGAACATGATGAAGGTGCCTCGATCATTCACCTCGGAAATCATATGCCTGATCTTGAGCAACGCCAACATCCAAGAAGGAATGGAAACTTTAGATATTGATCAATCCATTATGAAGATTGCAGCTGGTCGCACAACGGATATCATGGATATTCTTCACACTCGCTTCGGATTGAAGTATACAGTTGAGTCTGTGGTGGAGGCACTTGTCAAGCGACGAGCCCTGAAGACATTAGAATCAATCTTTCAACATTTGGACAAGCCATTCCTTAACCACTATCTGCTCAAGAGTGCAACAGACACATATATCAAACGACAATCATTGAGTGCGGTGGTCTTTGTCATTGATAAACTGGACGCGTCATTGAGGAATGACCCACTCATATGCATGCATGCCACACACAATCCAAACATCGATGTCTTTGAACATGTGTTCAATCTATTCACTTTGGATCAGTTGGATCATCGTCTTATCGATGAAATAATTGATGATTACGAGGTTGTCAATATTGATAAAGGTCGATTTATCAATATAATAATCAATGAAGCAATGGATAGTGACAGGATGGATATCGTCAACATGATCCAACAAAGATATATTATGGAGAGATGTATTGGCGTCGAGTTGGATGCATCGCCAATTAAGCTCAATGAATTGGCCAAGAACGGATCATACAAGTCATTGACCTACTTGTTCAACATGCCACCATTCACCGACTTGCCAAGGATGGACCAGTTGCGCATGATTCACAACATCAAGAACCTTGGATATCGACATCTAATGCCTCGAATGGTCACCATTTGTAATGATCAGATCAAGGTCATCACGTTCAATGATCACCATCATGATGTCCAAATGTAAGTCTCATTCAATCAAACACAGTGATCAAGTTTACTTACAACCATTCATCATAATAGGACACAACATCAAGATGAAGACACAAGAATGCCAAATGTTGACTCCAATTCAGAGTTGGATCATGTGATTCATTCAGTGTTCAATGATGTGAAGCTTGGCAAATTGATCATGGAACACATTGGACAAATTCACAGATCATCACTTGGAATGAAGGAGAACAAACTGATCAAAGGTGTCAAACTTCTTGAGAATCATAGTCTGGAGGATTACATCAAGTTTGGTGCAACTGAATGGTTCCTCAAAAGTTACAACGATACATTCACACCAAACGTTGCCAATACCAATCAACACCATCACAACAATCACCTACTCGAGATTGCATTGACCACTTGCAACAAACGAGTTGCTGAGGTACTTTTGGCCAATCCAATGATGTCGATCGAAGTTTGTGAGAGTCATCCCATCAGCTTGTCAATGGTCTCAAGGATATCATCATGCACACATCCCGATTGGGAGTGGGCATTCGATCAGTACATCAAGCTCACAGGTCTGCAAGCCAATCTCGAAATTGAGAAAGAGGTAATGGAGAGAATCCGCCATCCATCATTCATTCGCAAACTCATTCAACTTGGTGTTCGCCTCACGCCCCTCTATCGAGAAAGTGAGTCCATTCTCCAGGAAACATGGCTCCAGGAGCCATGGGCAGTGGAGATGCTGCAATTGCTCCAGGAAGAACTCAGACTCATCAACTACAAACTCCTATCTAAACTATACCACGCAGCGGTCAGGCTCAATCTGGCACCAGTCGTCATATACATAATTAAGAATATGAGGTGGATTGCTTCTTGGACTATTGAAGAATGTTGCAAATATGGTCGAATGCAGTATTTGGAAATGTTGTTGCCATCCATCAACACACACTCCTCCACTCCCATAGATTCATTTAACAGTGCTGTTGAGCATGGACACCTGGCCATTGCAAAGAAGATGCACACTTGTATCCTTGACTCCTGTAATGGTCATCACAGCTTTTTGGCCAAGTTAGCTCATGTTTTGGTAGTTGGCAACTTGGAGATGGTCAACTTCCTGCTCGACATCAGTGCCGACATGTCATTGGACAAGGACGAGGACTCAAAACCAACTGTTGTCAACAGGATCCATCACGAGATATTGACGATTGATTTGTTGGAGCGATTGATGGCCACTCCCAACATCAAATGCCACTTTGCCATGATTATGGGACAGGCGATCAGATGTGAGTCTGGCACCAAACATGCACTGATGGACTGGTTAGAGCAACATCAGATCAATGGAAACATTCAAACAAACTTTAAGTTTGCATTGAGTGTTGCATCGAATCTTGGTGACCTGGATTCCATCCGTCGGATAATGTCATTCGCTGCGCGTGATGGAAATGATCAAGTCAATCTCTCATTTATCAACATTATAGGATTGATGAGACATGTTGGCAAGCCCAACAGCAATGTGACCGAGCAGACAATCATTGAATATGTCACTGATGATATCAAGAAGGACTCATTATCAAAATTCTCCAAGATGATTAATGAATCAAGTAATTCATTTCCACTTGCACTCATCAAGTTGTTCTTCACTCATCTTACCGATATGGTCGACATCGACATTGACCAACCATCGTCATCATCATCATGGGACTCTGAACAATTTAACTCAATCATTTTCTTCTTTATTATGGTTCGAGACTTTGAATCAATCGACTACCTCTTTCAACTTGGATTGAAGTTCAACAAACAGTATATGATCAATAATTTAATGTTATTGACATTTTGTGACGTTCCAATGATCACTCATCTCCTGGACACAGGATTTATCAGTTTGGACCATTACACTATTAATGATTTGGTCGACTGGGCATGCAAGGATGGACAACTGGACATCATCCAACTCATTCATGGACGATGCACCACTCCTTCACAACTATTAAAGTACCTTCCAACTTCCATTGCCATTCAATCCGCAACGTATCAAAATCATCACAAAGTACTCAGCTACCTGTTCGAAAGTGCTGATGGCTCTATGAGTCCTCCAACATCAGTCTTCAAGCTGGCCAACTCCAAGAGGAACACGACAACATTGCTCAAAGCCGTGCGATACATCTCCATTGTTGGCAAAGGTCATCTAAAGATCATTGGTATGTGCAATCGACTATTGAACATGCAATAGATTGCCACATTATGAACTTCAAATCTATCGGCTTCGAAGTGCAAGACCATCAAAATATCTCTCTCACTTCATCACTTCATTCACTCACTCAAACAATCAATACGATCAAACATATATATAATGGATAAGAGTAGTATTAATAAAGTATTCCATAATCACATACTCTGTAAACTCATATTGAGTAATGTAACAAGTATACATGAAAGATGGATGAAGGTGATCAACTGGAATGATGATGATGAGGTCAATGATGTTGATCATGTTGCTGAATATGGATACCCTCGACATGGCATCAAGTCAACGATCAAAGGTGCCAGGTTGACAGAAATGCCACTCGACACGATTCTGCGATACAACGCTACAGATATGTTCATCGAGACATTGAACAACATGATCAATGTCGAAGAATACCCGATCGTCAATGGTCTGTTAAAAAAAGCAGCCATATACAACAACACAACAGTGTTCAAGTTCTTGTTGAACAACACCGACATGTCAATCGATGAATATAATATACCTATGAGCATATGCACAAATGGCAACATTGATATTCTTGAGAGCTACTTGGCTGCCACCGACTACCATCCACTTCCAAACAAGACTATCACGCAACTTCCCAAGGCAATCGACAAAGGAAACATTCAGTTCATTCATCTATGGCTCAAACATACACCATTCCAACGTGAAGCACGTGAGAGAAGCGAAGAGAATGTCAAGATCAAGTTCAAGAATGGGCGAGGCATCACACTTGGCATGCTCAGAATGTTGCACGAGGAGTTCCAATGTCTGTTCATGTTCACCGACGTCTGGCCCGCAATACTGTTGCACTCGGTCAAGCACAACTTGCCAGAATGTGTTCAATACATGATTGACAATTTGCCTGATGGCTGCCGGTTGAAACAGAGCAGCGAGGCCTACGACCCCAACGTATTGTTGATGGGTAGGTGTCTCAAACGATGTGCCAAAGATGGCAACATTACAATATTCCAAATCATCGTCAAGACAGACATGGGCGCCAAATGTCTCGAGGAAGGCCATTTCAGCGACTACGAAATCACTATGGCGCTGGATCGTGGTCGCGAGAACTTCCTCAATCACCTCCTCCAATATCACCTTGACGATGGAACTTTGAGAAACGAGGAAAAGTTACTCTCATGTTTTATGTCAGAGGGCAAAGGCAGACTTCGCGTCACTCCAAGCGCAGCCATTCTCCACGATGACTTTGTGAGCATGGAGATATTCGCCCAGGAGCGAGTGGAGATCAACTTGAATAACAAACAATGTCGAAAAATGTCCTTGTCAATGGTGCGCTGCATTGCCAATATGCACTCACCACCTCTGGTGCTCAGCAGCCGAACATTGAAGGAGATGATGCTGGTGCCCCACCTATTCACCTCGGACATCATGTGCCAGATCTTGAACAACGTCGACATCCCAACAAACATTGCAACAATACGCTCTATGCAATGTCTGATGAAGGTTGCAGCTGGTCACTCAATGGATATCGCGCATATTCTCCACACTCGCTTCGGCTTGGACTATAACTTAGAGTGTGTGACGGAGGCACTGACCAACCTACGAGACCAGAAGACATTTGAATCAATCCTCCAACATGTTTACCTATATACCAATCGAATCAAGGAGGCTGTTCACACTTACATCGAACAACAACAATCATTGAGTGCGGTGGTCTTTGTCATTGATCAGATGAACATTGTGAGGAATGACCCAGTCACGTGCAAGCATGCCACTATCAATCCAAACATCGCAGTGTTTGAACATGTGTTCAAACTGTTCACTTTGGATCAGCTGGATAAAGATGGCCATATCAATGCAATTTTCAATGAAGCAATGAATGGTGACAGGATGGACATTGTCAACATGATCCAACAACGATGCATCTTCGAGAGAGGCAAAGGTGTAGTGTTGGATGCATCACCAATGAGACTCAAACAATTGACCTTGAAGAATTGTTTCAAGTCGTTGGCCTACTTGTTCAACCACCCTCCATTCATCGACATGCCAAAGATGGACCAGTTGCGCATGATTCACATCGTCAAGGACCTTGGATACCAGAACTTAAAGCAGCGAGTGGTAACAATTTGTCTTGATCAGATCACTTTAATATCAAAAAGTAAGTTTCATTCTATCAACCATACATAGTCCTGCTAGCTTACTCACAACCATTCATCTTAGGGTACAGCAGGAGGACGACTCAAAGACCAAACAACTTGTCAGAGCTGAACCATGTCATTCATTCAGTGTTCAGTGACGCGAAGCTTGGCAAACTGATCATGGAGCACATTGGACATATTCACAGATCATGGGGATTGAAAGAGTACCAACTGATCAAGGGTGCCAAACTTCTTGATTATCATTGTCTGGACTATTATCTATATTTTGGTGCGACTGAATGGTTTCTCAAGGGCTACAACGACACATTCTTACCAACCATAGGCAACAACAATCAACACCATCACAATAGTGACCTACTCGAGATGGCATTGTCATTTTGCAACAAACGAGTTGCTGAGGTACTTTTGGCCAACCCCAAGATGTCGTTCAGAGTTGTTGATGAGAGGAATCCCATCAGCGCGTTCTTTGTCGCACAGCTATCAAAATGCGCTCATCCTGATTGGGAGTGGGCACTCGATCAGTACTTCAAGCTCCTGGGCCTGCCGTCCAAAACCGAAATTGACAGAGATACTATGCAATATATACGACATCCATCATTCCTACGTAAACTCAAGTATCATGGAATTGGCCTAATGAAGTTCAATCAAGGGGATGCAAACATGGTCACATTGATGTGGCTCGAAGAGCCCTATGCATTGGAGATGCTAGAGTTGCTCAAAGAACTCTCACTCCTCACCGATGTCAATCTCCAATCGACTCTACTTGTGGCAGCGGTCAGTCTCGGTCTGACATCGATCGTTAGATACTTAATCGACACGTACGAGAATTATATGGATATTTCAGATGCTATGGATGCATGTTGCCAATATGGTCGATTGGAGTATTTGGAGTGGTTGTTGCCATGCAGCTTGAACAAAAGACCATCTGGCAAACAGTCATTTGGGATTGCTGTTGAGCATGGTCAGCTGGCCATGGCACAGAGGATGAGCACTGTCATCACGTCCACTGGCGATCGTCATCTCAACCGATTGAGCAAGATCACCAAAGTTTTGGAAGATGGCAACTTGCAGATGGTCAACTTCCTGCTCGACATCAGTGCCGACATGCCCAAGAACAAGGACTCAAAAACAACAGTCAACAATATCAATCCCAAGATATTGACAATTGATTTGTTGGAGCGATTGATGGCCAATCCCAACATCAAATGCAACTTTGCACAAGTGATGGGACAGGCTATCAAATGTGAATCTGGCACCAAACATACACTGATGGACTGGTTGGAGCATCATGAGACTAAGGGCAACATTCAAACAAACTTTWAAGTTTGCATTGAGCGTTGCATCTAATCTTGGTGACCTGGATGCCATCCAGAGGGTAAGGTCATTCGCTGCTCGTGGTGGTAAGGACCAAGTCAATCTCTCATTTGTCAACATTATTGCGTTGATGAGATTGGTTGGAAAGCCCAACAGCATTGTTACCGAGCAGACCATCATTGAATATGTCACTGATGACATCAAAAAAGACTCAATGTCAAACTTCTCCAAGTTGTTTGATTCAAGAGATACTGTTCCACTTCCACTCATCATGTTGTTCTTCACTCATCTTACCGACTTGGTCAACATGGGCATGGACATTCACAATGATCAATCACCATCGTCATCATTATCCTGGGACTCTGAACATTTCCACTCGATCATTATTGGCATCATTTTGAGAGGTGACTTGGAATCAATCGACTACATCTTTCAACTTGGATTGAAGCACAACAAGAATTATAGGATCAATGATATCAAGAACCAATTGGATGATTGTGATGCTCCAACGCTCTCTCATCTCCTGGACAAAGGATACATCAGTTTGGACGATTATGAAATCACTTACACTCTCACTAGTTTGATCAACTCGGCATTCAGAGAAGGTCGCCTGGAAATCATCAAACTCATTCACAGTCGATGCACCACTCCATCACAACTATCAAAGTATCTTCCATCCTCCAGTGCCATATATGAGGCATCGCATAATAATAATCACAAGATACTCAGCTATCTATTCGAAGGAGTAGATGACCCTATGGGTCCTCCATCAGTCTTCAAGAGGGCCTACTCCAAGAGGAACACGACAACATTGCTCAAAGCAGTTAGACATCACTCCATAGTCGAATATGGTAATCTTAAGATCATTGATATGTGCAATCGACTATTGATTGATTGATTGATTGATTGTTGATATGTGTATCCAAGTCAGTCACTTAATTAAATTAATTAATTAATCAACTGTTTAATTAATTAGTTCCAAATTTGGAAAATTCCCATCAAAGGAAGTTTTGGTGTGGGTGTGTGGGCATCGATTACTTGTTCCCACTTTGAACTTCTCTCTCTCATTCTCCAACAACATTCGTCTCTCATTCACTCACTCACTAATGTTCAAATACAACATACATATACATATCATATACAACATACATACATACATACATATAAACTTACATAATAAAATAGAACAAAGTCAAAGAAAGTCATGAAGGACAAGTCAAGTCCAGTAATTTCCGACGATGATCCTGTTGTTGGACCAAGACAACAACAACAACAAACATTAGATGATAATACAACGAATGGAATAATACATATTGACAAGGAGAAGATTGTTAATGAGGATGCGGAGGAAGATGATGATGAGGAGAAGAATAAGGAAGGTCGTTCATCTACATATTTGCCAGAGTCCTATGCGGCATTAGACTTTTCCTCACCATTAGAGTTCAATCCAGTATTTATTGTCAGTTCGAGATGGACACATATGTTGAATGGCGTATCTGTTCGAGAATACATGCTCTACAAGTCTTCAAAAGAGTATCATTCACATAATAGTGCAGCAGTCCGTACTCCATCACCTGAGAAGATGGTCGTGCTCAGTGTAGACACTCAAATACTAGACTGTCAATCTGTATGTCATACCATAGATTGAAGTTGATTGAATGGTACCTTGAACTACCCTAACACGATGACGTCACTCCATTCAAACAGATATTCAATAGCAATAATATACTCTCTGCACCTGTTGTAGAGTGTGAGGGTCCAAAAGAGAGTAGTAACAATAGCAACAGCAACAATAGTGGCAGTGGCAGTGGCAGTGGTAGTAGCAATGGCGATGAAAAGGATCAGTCCAAACAAATGGCAAGAGAGAGCGAGAGTAAATATGGTATAAGGGGCATGGTCGACATGCTTGACCTCCTCGAACTAGTGATCTCAATCACCCAGCGACAAAGACAGATGTCACCATCCAACTTCCAGCATCATCCCAACATGCTAATCAATGGTCGCAAGAGTCCTCAATCACTATATCAACAATCAATCAAACAAGCATTAAGTATGTGATAGTATGTCGGTCAGGACAAGTGCATGCAGTATCCCTAACACATTGTCTAGACCCACTCTCACTTAACAAGATAGATATATACGAAGACATGTCATTGCTACGAGCAACCGAGTGTCTATTGGAACTCAAGTCTCCATTTAAAACACATCGACTACCTATATTCAACTCCAATGGTATTATTGAATGAATGAATGAATGAATGAATGATCGCCATGACATGACTAACTCAATCCATGCCTTGGCATTCCATGATACATAGATGAGATCACTGGAGTACTATCTCAAACCGATATATTGTACATAGCACAACGTTATATTCATTTGCTCAATAGTAATGGACAGAGGAGGGCACTTGACCTTCGTATTCTCAATCCAGTGACCATTTTCCATTCGGATGCCAAGGCTTACGAAGTGTTTCAAGCACTTAACGCCAACAGAATCAATGGAATAGCGATTGTAGATCCTACCGATGGGAGCATGATCACAAGTGTAGATATAAGAGACATAAGAGTAGGTGTCATTGCGAGTGTATGACTGATTGGCGAGCCAAACTAACAACATAACACATGTACATAGAACGTGGACTTATCAGTTCCAAACTTTATGAGTATGACCATCCTTGAGTTCCTCCACGAGAGACATAATGTATGTATCACATCATCCAAGTTCAATCAATCACTCACTCACTCACAAATCAATCCAATCAACTTACAAACATACAGGGTAACATTACCAAACCATTGACGATAACCAAGGACTCAACATTGATTGATATCATCAATATTATGTGTGACAACAATGCACATAGAGTGTACATGAATGATGAGAAGGATGGACATCCATTGACTGTCACTCTGGTTTCCGATGTCCTCTCAATTCTTGTCAATTGCTAATCAACGTGAGGTGATGTGATTGGCGTGCTTGCGATCACAGACAATGTAATGTCAATGGACCATCGACCATTCCAACAACAGTCCTATCAAGCTTGGAGACGGAAATGATAGGTCTACCAGGCCTTTATTTTCGCTTCAAGTAACTTTTCGTGCAGAGAAGGGACGCGTTGTGATGCCTTCAAATCAAACGAACTCGCCTTTTTGATCATTATCATTCAATCATACTTGTAAGTAATAAATAATACATAAACATATATATACTCATCTCTCATACATTCGAGTTGTTGTTGGATGTTTGTTGTTGTTGTTATGTCTAAATGATGTACAAAAATAGATACCTTTAAGACGCGAATGCTTTTAGCAAACGCACATTGGTTAGCAAACTATGCTGCAGCTGATCATAACATAACAACATCAACATTAACAATCCAAATGAGAGATTAGAGAGATGTCGTCTCGTCAACAATCATAATACTAACTTCCTATCACTATAACTTTACAGGCTAATCTCAAACTATCATTCACTGCCCAACTCAGTTGATTAATCAATCACAATAAATTATGTATCTTCTTAGATGTACCATTAAATACAATGCAAATGCAATTGGTTGTTTATCGGTTTGTTTGTTGTATAGTATTCCTGGGTATGACATGACTCAGTCCTAGTCCATGTTTAGACATGTTGGAGGAATGATGACAAACGGTACAGGTCACCATAGATTCCTGCAGCAGTGACAGTGGCACCAGCGCCAGGACCTTGGATCACCAGAGGTGTCTTGCTGTATCGCTCACTGTAAATGGCAATGACGTTATCGCACTCAGTGAGGTTGGCAAAAGGATGTGACTGGGGATAGTCGCGCAGGGACACTGAGGCCTTGGCTGTGGGCGTGGCCTGTGAGTGATCCACCTCGATCACACCACTGTATCGAAGTACTTGATTGTTGGACGCAGCCTTGACGCGCATGGCATCGTACACGGCATCCAACTTGAGCAGATGGTTGCTGAGGAACTGGTCGACTGGTGCTGTGGCCGCCTCCTTGTCGTCAGCGGGTATCAGACTGACCACGTCGACTTGGTTCGCTTCGAACGAGTCGACTATCTCACGCGCCAGGATGATGATCTTGCGAGCAAAGTCCATGCCGTTGAGGTCGTCTCTGGGGTCGGGCTCGGTGAAGCCCTTGCTCTTGGCAGCCAGGACAATGTCTGAGAACTTGATGTTGCTATCACGGCCATATTGATTGAAGATGTATGACAGCGTGCCCGAGAAGATGCCCTCGATGCGGGTGATGCGGTCGCCCGTCGCTACCATCTGCTGCACCATGTGGAGAATGGGCAGGCCGCCGCCCACCGTGGTCTCGTACAGACAGTGCGTGAAGTGGCTGTGGGCAGTGCTCTGGATGTCCTTGTACAGCGCCAGCTGGCTGGAAAAGCCAACCTTGTTGGGTGTGATGACGTGGATGCCCTGTGCCAGCCACTTGGGGTAAGACTTTGGCAACTCCTTGCTGGCAGTGCAGTCAATGATCACTGAATGCTTGGGGTGGCCGACCAAGATGCTCTCTGCAATGACGTCCACGTCGAAATCCTGTGCAGTGTCGCCACCAAGCAGCGACTTCCACTTGTCCAAGCTGACACCTTCACCATCGACCACCATCTTCTTTGAGTTGGCGATGGCGCGAACGATAAAGTTATGCTTTGGACGTCTAACATTGACCACAGGCTGCTTCTTCAACTGCTCCAACAACTCGCTACCAATCAATCCTGCTCCAATGATACCAATGGAGATTGAATCAGGGTCGAATGGTCTGTAGAAGGTTGAGTGAACAGCTCTCAGTGCCATCGATGTATCCTTATCCATGAGTACAGCCTATGTGAGTGAGTGATGGTTAGTGACTGGAATGATCCCAAGCGGTACTCTCCATGGGTTGACACATACAGAGATATTCCTCTCGGATGAACCTTGTGCAATGGCCTTGATGTTGATACCTCGTCTGGACAGTGCGTTGAATAGCTTGGACGCCACACCAACTGAGCTAACCATCTGATCACCAACGGCGGCAATAATGCTACAATCTTTGACCAACTCGATCGTTTGTACATGTCCAGTGTACTTGAGTTCATTGTGGAACTCCTTGCGAATGGCGTTCAAAGAGATGTCTCCGTCCTTCTCAGCGATGGCCACACAGATTGAACTTTGTGAAGAGCCCTGAGAGATCAACAACACTGTTACATGCACGTCACGCAAGGAAACAAACACACGTTGAGCCAAGTTGGACACACCGAGTCCAGCACCTTCAACATTGATCAACGACACTCTCCTGATGGCAGAGAATCCCTTCACATTATGATTGTACGGGTTGGTGTCCTCTTCTGGTCCAATATTTGATCTTGCATGGCTGATTGATTGATTGATTGAATGAGTGAGTGATCGAGTGATTGAGTCATCGGAGACATGTACTTACATCAATGTTCCACACTTGGAGAGGTTGAAGAAGTTACGTATCTTGATGGGGATGTTGTTCTTGATGGCTGGGGGCATGGTGTGTGGATGGAGGATGTTGGCTCCATAGTGAGACAGCTCACTGACCTCATTGTAAGAGATCTCCTTGAGGATGGACGCCTTGGGTACAATCTTGGGATCGGCTGAGAACAGACCATCGACATCCTTCCAAATGGTGATGAGGCTGGACTTGAGCATGGCGCCAAAGATCGATGCCGAGTAGTCAGAGCCATTCCTGCCCAGTGTTGTTGGCATTCCAGTGGCCGAACTGGCCACGAATCCAGTAATGATGAGGATAGAAAGCTCTGGGGTGTAGTTCTTGGACATCCAGTTGGCCAACTCGGCCTCTGAGCGCTCCCAATCCACAACAGGTCCACACTCGCCCTTTGACACAAACAATGTCTGGCGAGTGTCGAGCCAATTGGCATTGACGCCACGTGACTGCAGGAACAAGGTGAGGAGGCGAGCGGACCACACCTCGCCGTGACCCACGATCAAGTCCTCCATCTCCTCGGACATTGATTTGGTGATGGCAATCGCACGCAAGATGTCCTTTATCTTGAGGATGTCTTTGCGAAGGTCAGACTCAAACAGTTTCAGGCCCTCTTGGCTGGAGGCGTCTTGGATCAGGCCCTCGGCACAGCCGATCAGTTTGGCGAGCAACTGATCGCACACGGTCTCATAGTTGTTGTCCATGGATTTGGCCAGCTGGGTCATTCGCAGCAGGGTATTGGTGACGCCCTCCATGGCCGACACGACCACACCCTGTACACAGGCGGTTGTCTTTGGGTCCAAACCCGACTTGTTGAATTCCAGGTGATCATACTTTGAATGATCAATTACCTGTAGCACCTTTGAGTAATTCTCCGATGTGCCCAGAATGCTACCACCAATCTTATGCACATGCCATGCCACCTGTTGGAAGTTATAACTTGTATCCATCATTGGTATTATTTATATATATATTCTGTATTATTGAATAATCTGGATGTGATGTGAATGAATGAATGAAGGAATGGTAAGTGGACCTTTGGCCTCAATCATTTATTGCTGGATGTATGGAGCGGAGTCTATCCAATAGAGTACTTACAATACTATATTGATTGATATGTTATTACAGTGGAGGGTATATAAGTGATCAGGTGATATGTTGTGATTGATCAAGGTATTAAATATATGTGAGTGGTAGTGTGTGTGTTAAGTAAGTGATTGATCAATCAATCAGTGTGGTGAAGTGGTGGGTGTTAGGCAGGATGATGATGAATATGTGTTGATGATGATGCTGGTGGCCTTAAGTCAATCAGTGTATATATGTGTTTAAACTCAAGGGAGTAGTATCTTAACAACTGTTTCCTGCCTGCGTGCTGTTTTGATCTTGTCGTAGCAATAGTAGCAATCGTAGCAGTAGTAGCACTAGTAGTAATAGTGTATTCAGGTGAATGAACTGAAGATTGAATGAATGGATGGACTGTAACATTCATATGAATGATTACCAATGAATGATTGGGTGTCGACTGAGAGGTCAGTCACCCTACCCCCTTGCGGTGACCCTTAATGGGCCTTTATATTGCCCAAACCACATAACACAACAACAACAGAGTAAGGATAGAGGGCCTTATTATTATTAATTAACTAATTTTAGTTGTAAAGATCACAACATAAGCAATCGAATATGGGAAGAACGATTGGGTAGGCCAAGAAAGGGGGTGGGGTAATCAACGACGATGTGCATTGTCACATGACCTTCAGAAGCCTCGTTGACCATAAAATTTTATCTTCGTTTTGGATGCCATGACTCGCCATTGCATAGGCTTAGCTTGCATTGATGGATAATGGTGTTTTGACCTCGTGACCGGAGATCCGGAGATCTATCTATGTCCAGGCAATCCAAGGTGGTCCCCATCACATCCAATAATCCAGACTAGTAGGATACATATCTGTCCAATCTCTAAAGCCATCCAGCTCGTTTGAATAGTAGCGCGGATATGAGTGCAAAGCCAATCATGCCGCACATGACGCCAATGAATGAGTTGTAGTTGTTGTTGACATCTTCTTCGACCATACCTGGATACTTGATGTTCATGCCAAGTACACTGGTCACACAGATCAATGGGATAAAGATGGAACTGATTGCTGTGAACTTTCGCATTGTAATGTTCATGCGATTGGAGTGGTCGCTAACCTCCAGAGAGACACGCGCCATGTACATGTTGTTTAGGTCGCCCAGCAGACGGCGACACAGACTGAGCTTCTGTGTCATTCTCACAACGCTGTCTTGGACGTTGCGCAGGTAACTATGCAGTGGCAGTGGGATTAGCTTCTCGTCGCGCAACAACACTGATATGATCTCGCTCTTTTCAAAGATGCCGCTGTGTAAACTGGTGACTCGACGGCCGGCCAAACCAATACGCGTGAACAGTTCGTTCTGCTTGAGGCCACTCAGCAGAGAGACCAGCTCGTCCAGTGATTCGGTCTCCATGATGATCTTCTCGACGAGATCGACGTACAGGTCAACGATAGAGTCAAGGTAGGCGTAGATGATCCAGGCCGATGACGACAACGCACCTTCCTCTTTGTATTTGATCATCCTGACAACCTGCGACGTCGACAGTAGCATGTGAGCGTGGAACGTCAGCACCAGATTCTGAAAGAGGATGATGTTGAGAGTGCCAGTCACCAGATGATTGGAGCCCTCTGCATAGTGAAGTTCGTTCACGGCCACGTAGAGATGCTTTGAGAATATCTCGCACTTCTCTCTGGTGCCCTCCTTGATGATATCCCTCTGTGTCAATGGATGTATACCGAGCAGATTACATATCTCCATTATCTCATCATTCTCTAATGATTGAAAGTCTATCCAATAGTTCTTCTTATCACCTGGATGATGAATCTTCTCCTTAAAGAACTCTATTATCTCATTAAACTCATATAGTTTACTATCTTCACTACATGTGACTACAATATGCTGTAAGTAGTCTTGGGAGTTAGTTTACCTTGTTTGAATGATTGATTGATTGATTGACTTGACATACTTTCTTTGAGGATAATGATATATCTCTGTCAATAGTCTTTCTATTGCGATTGATTAGATCTTGTAACTCCATTATATGTGATGTTTGTTTGTTTGTTTGTTTTGTTCGAGATCCAAATATATAGTTATAGATACTAAAGATAATGGATGGTGATTATGATTATATATATAATGATAATGATAGTGATAGTGATAATGAATGAGCTTATCTAGCTGACCATTATGTTATAGATATAAAGATAGAGAGATAAGTGAAGTGAAGCACTCATTCATTCATTCACTCACTCATCTTGTTTGTCTGAAAGAGAGAGAAACACATAATTTGTGCGAAACACAAACATTTGATTACTTTGCCAACAAACAAGGACACAACTCTCACTCGTCTATCATTCCTTCTATCTCTTCACTTATGTACAAGTAATAATAAAACAACAAAAGCATATCATATATTATAACATACATACATATAAACATATACTTATCATCATAAATATATAGTGTATAGAGAAGAAAAGAAAAGAATAGATTATATAGAATGAGTTATCAACCTCCACCTACACAGAATGAATTAAGAGAGTTGATGTCAGCAGGAAGAGGATTGTACGCAATACTTGGTTTGAAACCAGGTGCTACACCAGATGAGATAAAGAAGGCCTATAGGACATTGGCTAGAAAGTATCATCCGGACAAGGTCGGATCAGACTCTGAGAAGATGGTCGACATCAACAAGGCCAATCTCATTCTCTCGAATGAAAGAATGCGTTATCTCTACGACAACTATAGGTTCACTGATGGTGTGGTGCATCATCGATCAGAGGGCAGTAGTTCCCGTCGTCCAGACTTCCACTTTGAGGGCGAGGGCGACAACATTGGCGACATTGCCAAGGCGATCGCTAAACTGGCGGGTCAGATGATCCTGACGCCCCTGCAGAACATCACGCTGCTCTGCCAATCAGAGATGTACACAACATTGTCGTCATTGCAGGCGATGCGACACATATTCTGGAACCGTGGCCTATCTGGATTCTTCCACGGCTCCCTGGCACAATCAGTACTAGACTACCTGGGACAGAAGTTCTCGGGTGTTATGGAAGGAGCCGTGCTCAAGAACAAAACTCATCCGATGGTTCATCAGTTGGTGAACATGTTCTTCACCTATCCATTCGACCTGATCGCAGCCATCTATCGAATGAGGATGGGCGAGTCCGTGCTTGACATCATTGGATGTCTGTACCAAGCGAATGGCATTATGGGTTTCTGGGACGGCTTCTTGCTGAGTACGGCGGTCTCAGTAACGCTTGGCTGTGTCGACATGGGTCTCGAGATGGCCGCACATTATGCCACAGAGAAGCATTTGGATAATCCAAAGTCCAAAATATGGCGATGGTCATACATTGCAATGACCAATCCCGTGGTCAATGCGTTGATCTACTCGGGCATCACACTGCCCATGTACGGTCTGACGCTGAAGCGACAGATGCAAGCGATCCGACCGCCTAGAGGCCGTCACTCGCTCCTGGATATCATCACTGGAACATGGAAATATGGTGGACTATCGAGAATCTATGCTGGATTTGTTCCATATGCCCTATATATGTATATATCTGAAGCCATTCCGAATTGAATAAATCAGGAATACTGCCTATGATGTTTATTATTTAAGTGAGATTGATTCGAGACAGATCAATCTTGAAACCATTCACAGCTCCAACGCAGTGGACGATGATGTTTGGTCCATGAGTCGCACCAGCTTCAAGGTTAAATGGAATGGCGCGACAAGATACTCCTTCCACCTCATCAGCAGTCCCTTGATCAGGTAGTAGATTGTTGAAGTACTCCTGTTGATATTGCATTCTGATCAAGTCTTTTTGGGATCTCTCATTCTCATTCTTACATTTTTGAAGAGGAAGTTGGAAGGAGAAGCCAGAGGGATCTTTTCTCTGGACCTTTAGGAGCGAGTTAATGGCCAATTGATTGTCTAATATCCTTTGTTCTAGCTGGTGGATCACATCATTGACTTGTTGTTTTTGGGCTAGAACTTGAAGATAGATGCCATTCTCAAGTAGTTGAGATTGACAATAAAGATAAATTGTTTCACCTGGGCCGTCCAAAAGGATTCCAGAACCTACACCAGCTCTTATCCAACGACTTATCTTCCTTTTAAGGAAAGCAAGAGTGCTGATTGGCGATTCAAAGTAGGGGCGGATCTCCATTACAAAGTCTGGTCTAACACTAAACTTATGTATCTTTCGTTCAACCAAGGGAATTGCATTATATGTTTGATTAATCATATATGATGCATCTGGTTTACTACAAAAGTATGGATGTCAGTTTTAATAATTATTGCTAATTTTATTCCTACATTTACATACTAATGGATATTTGGTAAACCTGGAATGTTGATAAGGTATTGGGCATGTCCTTCAAATACTTTTCCAAGTTGGGATTCATCGTTCCAGTTATCAAGTTGAATATATAGTTTAATATTCTGATTTGATGATACAACATCTTTAACTTTGACCCATATTGTGCTTGGGTCCTCAGCCTCGAGATGAATATCTTCATTGAGTAATAATATATTTAACAGAGGGTCATTGTCAACAGATTTGTTTGGGAACAGTGGAGATATATCAATTGGAGTTGCATAAGGAATGTAGATAGTATTAACTTTATGAACATTATAATAAAAGTCCAGAGTTGGTAGTTTAACTGAATGATTAATATTTATAAAGTTGATATAAGATGAAAGTTTAAACTCCCATGGTAATCTGATTGCCACTCCTTCTATATCCAATTCCTCCTCATCCTCATCCTCATCTTCTTCCACTTCCGCAACTACATCCTCCACCTCCTCAAAATAATCTTCTATATTATCTATGTCTGCCATTGAATTGTGATAAAATAAATAATATTTTAGTAGTAACTTATACGAATGGAAAATTATTGATTAGACGGACCTCTTATCTTTATTTGGTCATTAGGTATTGGTCTTGTGTGACTTTTGATTGGCCTGTTCTGTAATGTGGACATCATCGTCTCTTTGCCTCTTTGCCGATGACTTTGTTGTTGATGACTTTGTTGTTGATGTTGTTGTTGTCGAGAAGATGGAGCTCAACAGGCGATCACAAATATCAATGATCCTTAAATGAACACCTCCAGAAACAGAGAAATATTTAAGACGACGGATCAATGTTGGTATGTTAGTTGTGATCATATTGGATCGTTGAATGGGAGATACTGAGTGACCATCACCTTCAAGCAGATATCTGATCACTTGATGATGATTTCTCTCTGTCGCTTCGAATATACCCTCCAACGTTGGAATGTATCTTGATAGCTGTGCTGGTGAGGTGCATCGTTGATGAATGAGTTGGATGATGTCCAGATGTCCTTCTCTGCAGGCCCAGTCAACCAATCGAATGATGGCGTCGGATTGATGATCGTCCACACTGATGTATCCCTTGTCCAAGAGATGCTTGAGTACAGGTAGGCTACACATCTCCAAGTTAAAACTGTCCTGTAATTTGAAATACTTGTTAATTGTCAATGCCAAGTTGATAATGTAGTCGATGGTTTCAATGTGCTCATTCTTGATGACTCTTTCGATGATGGCGCTGACATTGGCTCGTCGGAATTTGGCAAGATCATCGTCTGGATCGTTGCCAAAGGTTGTCAAGTGGGTCACAAACAACTTGATGGTTGAGAGTGATGGCATGTCACCATCACTCATCAAATTAAAGATGATATTAAATGAGTTGGTCTTGATATTATCTGTTTCAAACTCTTTGATTGTCTCTTCGGTTAGAATGTTGTTGTTGAGCTGTCTAATCAGGTTGATCATTTCATATAATGATAGATTGTAAATCGATGACACTGTGCCAACCAGCTTCATGTCCTTGACCAATGTGTTGAGCCTTCTGATGGAACCAATGTCAGCAAGCTTTGAAGCTTGAATGAAGGCAAACGAAAAGTTTGTTGAAATCACACCTTTCCTCGATAGCTGTTCCAACATCTTGATAACTTCCTGTTTGTCATTGTCACCAGACTCTGTCGCAGACATCTTGATTGCCTCTCCCATTACACAATCAAACGAGCAAATAACATTTGGAAGTGCCAACAGTTTTTCCAACAACTCGATCGAGAGTATACTGTGATGAATTCTCCTTATTTCAACTCTATCATAAACATCATCAACATCATCATCACCATGGTTGGTCTTGGTTGATGCAGCCAAGTTGAGTATGAAGTTGGCCAAGTCAAGATGTCCAAAATCCAGTGCATGGGCCAAATGGATGATTGGACGATGCTTTTGAATGAGGACATTGTTTCCAGACGATACGATGAGTGAGTGCATCTGCTGAGCCTTTGCCAGATTTCCATATCTGACTGCCATGCCAAATGAAGGCAAGAGCATACCGTCGTCCATGAGCAACTCCAAGCACTCCATTCGTCCATATTTGTAACAAAGGTCAATGGCACGTCTCTGTAAATTATTGAGTGGATTTAGATCGGCAAATGGTACAACCGGCATGTTGGGTGCGATCTCCCTGTCCTTGACAAAGTATCTGACGATTGGTATCATGTCGAGCTCAATCGCCTTGAAGAACAGGGAGATCTCTAGCTCGATGGTGATCAGCTCGTGTTGAGTGAGTACCTCAAGCATCTCCAATGCACATGGTTTGTTGAACCAAAACTGTTCGACGAGGAATAAGTGGTCTTGATGAAGGCGTTCAAAGTTGAACAGAGGTACCAGTTTGTGTACGAATGCTGGATGGCGTACTTGTACCAAGACATCTGCGTTGATCTTGAGCGTGGGCTTGTCCGGCAATAGTGTGAGCCTGAGGTATTGATCAAACACCCACTCCCAATCGGGATGAGTGCATGATGATATCCTTGAGACAAAGTAAACACTGATGGGATCAGAATCTTTGATATAGAGTGTCATCAATGGGTTGTCCAACAGCAACTTAACAACTTGTTTGTTACAACTGGCCAGTGCAGTCTCCAATAATGATGTGTTGACATGTTGATTGAGAATGTTGATGTTGTCATTGTAACTCTTGATGAACCATTCTGTTGCGCCATATCTGATGTAATCACCCAGAGAATGATTATCGAGTAGTTTGGCACCTTTGATCAGTTGGTCCTCCTTCATTCCAAATGATGATCTATGAATCAGTCCAATACTCTCCATTATCCGTGTGCTTAACTTCTTGTCACTCAACACCAAGTGAATCACTGTGCCCAGCTTAGCCTTCTTGGCATTAGGTCGACGCTTCTTTGTCTTGACCACGGTACGTTTATTGTCCAGCTTCCTAAAGTTGTGATTGATTGATTGATTTAGTGAGTGAGAATGATTGATTGTTGATGGATAGAATGAACTTACATTTGATCGTTTGAGTGTGAGAGGATCATCTTGATCTGGTCTTGACAGAGAGTGATTACTCGTGGTATTCCATGCTCATAGGAGCAAACCAAGATGGAGTATAGGATTCTTAGCATCTCAGTATTGGACAAATCATCGCTGTATGAGTTGAACAGGGCCTCCAAAGAATGAAATGCATTATCCTTGACCAACTGATGTAGTTGAAATAGAGACTGCTCCAACATGACCTTGATGTTATACTCTGGGAACATCCCAAGAATGTTATCAACCACTCCAGGCTTGTCATTGAGTAGTGCATCATCGATAATGCGATCTATACAGTCCTCCACAGTCAATTCATCTTCCTCCTCTTCATCCTCCTCATGTTCTTCTTCTGATGCGCTCATGTCTGAGCCCTCCTCATCATCATCATCATCATCATCCTCGTCCTCGTCCTCGTCCTCGGTGTCCCTCATCTTCTTGTCCTTGGGGAACAATCCTATCACATGATCAAAGACATCCAAGTGTGGATTGGATGTGGCCCAAGCACAAATGTTTGGATCATTTCTGAATGATTCCAAGTGTTCCAACACAAAGATGACATCCTCCAATGGTTGTTTCATGATGAAGGCCATCGCAGCAGCACTGACAAAATCATCATCCAAGTGCTCTTTGTCGACGCGTTTGAAGAGCAACTCCAATGTCTGTTGGCCACATCCTCGTTTGAGAGCAGTCCTTAGACATCGAGCATCATGGAGTTCAGGGATCCCGATACCCTCACCAGAGATGCTGCAATTGACCATGAACTGATGAACAATGTCCGAGGTGATGTTGCTGTTTGGTTTGCCCACAGCCTTGATCATGCTCAACAAGGACTCACCAGAGAATAGGAAGGGTGGCGTGCGTGGACTGCAGATGAACCGCGCCATTGACTCTGTCATCCTTCGACACATCTTGGCATTCAAACTGAAGATGTCGCCCTGATGTGCGACTGAGTCCAGGGCCACAATGTCATTGTTCATTATTGCAGCCCTTGGGATGACACGCAATCTAGTCAGAGCCTCGTCTTGGAAACAATTTCTTAACAGCTCTTGATTTGAATCGTCCAAAGTGTCCATGTGATGGAGGACGAGATGTTTGAGAAAGTCTTCGCGACCTTGGTCCAGCGCGATCTCGATCGCTTCGTAGATCGAATCTGTAGTCCCAAGGTATTTGCTGCCTTGTGGCGTTTCAATGATCATCAGGAAGATTGTGATATTGCCATATTTGGCGCAACGCTCTAGACAACTCTGGATCAAATGCTCACTAAGTTGTTGGTGGCTATACATTTGATCGTCATCCAAAGCCTTGTCGGGCAGGTGTTCAAAGATGTATCGAACACTGTCCACCATGTTGCACTTGATCGAGTGCATCAATGCCATGTGCCAGATGATGATGCGAGCGAAAAGGCAATCAAACTCCTCGTGTAGCAATCTGAGCATGCCGAGTGTGATGCCACGTCTCTTGAATTTGAACAAGGCGGATCCCTCGTCGTCCTCTGACGATGGTGGTGGCCTCTCAGGAGCTCGGTACCTAGGGCCGAGTAATGAGTCGGGGACGAATGGAATATGTTTGAGTAGCAGTCGCACAAACTGTTCATTGCCAGAGTCGACGGCAGCGGGAATGTACTCAATCGTCTTGCTGGGCAATGGGTGGTAGTGTGTGGCTGCGAGGTAGCTCTCGAGTATGTCGATGTTTCCACTCTTACATAAACTCTCGAGCACATCCTCATGGTCCAGTACTTGCAAGCAAATACCATTGCTGTTCTGCAGTAGTAGATGTTTGAACACTGTCGCGTTGTTATAGTCAATAGATTGTAACAAGAGATCACAGCCTATCGGTGTTGTTATGTTGTCCACCTTGGACATCATTATAATGTTGTCGAATGTCTTTATGAACATGCCTGTGGCGTTGTATCGTAGCATTGACTCTAGTGACATGTTGTGTAGTTTGGCACCTTTGATCGTTGACTTGATTCCACCTTTAGGGTATCCTCCTTCTCCTTCTCTTTCTATATCATCATCATCCTCTGACCAGTTGATAATACCAGACCATCGCCTATATATATCACCAACTTGTCTAAATATAAGTCTGCACAGTACTTGATTATGGAACACTTCTTGTATCATGCTGTTGTCCTTCATTGTTTGTTTGTTTATTTGTTTGTTGAATGATTCGAACCCACAGATGAGACTTGTTCACTTTGTCAAAGGTCATTCAATGGTTGCTGTCAGTCTATATTTAATTATTTATTACAATGAACTATGGATGTCACCTACCTCTATCTCATCATCTACATCCAGATCATTTAAACTTTACATCAGAGACAGACTACATCTTGTTCACACATTACAAGACTTCAATTCCTTAGACTATATATAATGCCACCATCTTAACCATCCTTTGTTATATTCCTTTTTTTATATATATATAAATATATATAAACAAGTAGTAATAATATCTATATCGGTATACTACTACTAATTATTCATTCAATATCTATACATTGTAGTCGACAACTTTCTCCAACAGTACCACTCATAATGGGTAATTACCTTTCTGTGAGCAGACCAAGTTATGTAAGTTTATATTATCTCTATCTATCTCCATTCTATTCACTTACTAACTATTCTCTGTTATCCTTAGATACCCCCTGAGGAGATTGAGGACAAGGAATGTTTTGAAATTATCCTCGCTTTGAGGAATAGATGAATGACAAGGCCTTGGAAGTCTACTTGATCATGTACCCTGGATCTGCAGACGCACCAACAGACCAGAGACACTATACAATCATAATTGATGTACGTGCCGAGTCTAATAAGGAGATGACCACTGGGCTTGAACTCCATCTAGTAGTTCCTAACTCCGAGAACCAGGTGGTTGGCTTCAAATGCGCCTACAGAACTCGTCCATCTGATTCCTTCCCAAGGGTGCCCCTGGGCCGTCTGACCAAGCCGCTTCCAATGGTCAGTAGCAACATGACCTTGCCAGACTTTTTGAGATACCCGTGCCTCTTCATTTCATGGGGACCTGAAGTGTTCGAAGCCTTCCTCATGGAGTCTGTTGGGAGAAGGGACAATGTCAGGTGGGGTGCGGATACCAACTGCCAGAAGTTTGCCAGATATCATGTGACTGCCCTCCAGTTGCCTTGGCCAGCCAACGTCCCAGTGATATCCGATCACTACAACTGGGCCATCGAGTGGTACGTGGCAGCCAATTAGGCCTTCAATTGAAGACTATCTAGCCAATAAATATATTATTATCTTATCTGTTATTCGTTCAAATGATCTAATGAGTTACCCAACATTGTCGGCATCAATGTCCAACTATATATATGAATAAATGATGAATCAAGGATTTATTGATTCAACTGATGCACTGGATTGATCAATCCAAGCTCACCCACTTTGTTGAAGAGGCTGTTGTTGTTGCTGTTGCTGGACACTGTCGGTGGTCTTGGTGTTGGCGGCGGCGACGGGATTGACTCGCTTCTCGTCCACTCTAGACTTTGGAATCTGGAATGATGGCGCAACCCATGCACCGCACGAGCACTGAGCTCCACTCCATGACCATGATCCCAACTTCTCCTTGCACTTTGCGTTGTGACAGACTATCCTATTGTCATCGTTCTCTGGTGTCATTGTTATCTTTGATATCCACTCTGTCTCGCACAAGAAGAAACTAGTGCACTCGTCCTTGTGACCAGTTCGCTCGCGTCTCGACCATTTGAATGACTCCTGTCCATCGCCCTTCTGATGCTCTGCTATCTCGCTCTTTACAAATAAGTCGCTGCCACACTTGCGGCAGCAATATCTAAACTCCTCGGCATCCTCCTCATCGTCGTCAAAGAGGCTCTCTGCTGCCACTACTGTCGTCGTGGTCGTCTTTGTTGTTGTTTGATCATTGACAGTGAGTGACTCGATCTGCTCCACAATGAGTGACTCTGCTTTCTCAGCCTTCTCAGCTCGCTCGGCCTTGAGAGCAGCCTTCTCGGCCTTCTTGCGCTGTACAATGAGCTCTTGCTCAAACTCTTTGAGTTGTCTCACGAAGCCAGGGTTGGGATAGACGATTGGACGAGCATCGACCATCAGACCATGTGCGTCAGAGTAGTCAATCTTGAGCTTCTTCATCAGATAGGCAATGCAGATTGATGCCGATCTTGACATTCCTGCAAAGCAATGTACCAGCACAGCACCATCCCTTCTACCCTCCTCAATGAACTCGAATGTCTGTTCAAAGTATTTCTTAATGTCTACATCATCCATATCATATATATCAATAACATGAAACTTGTACATCTATTGATTGATTGAGCGAGGAAGATAGTGTGAGTGAGTGAGTGATTGATTGAGCGAGCGAGTGTGTTTGTGAGGCCAGCGAGATATATACCTTTGGCCATTTAGGTTTGAAGCCATTCATTATAGAGAGTACATGTGTAATTTGATACTCATCGAGTGTATCTCTCTTCACTGCTGCAAGTGATCCAATATAGAATCCAGGGAATATTTTACTTATATCTTCAGAGGACATAATGTTATTATTGTTGTTATAAATATATATAAATAATTATATATTATCTGTATAAGTGATTGATTAAATAATAATGACTAAAGATATGATCGGTCACATCAGATGTGATTGGTTTAGAGACGAAGACTTTGAAATTTATGAGAAAGTTGCAAAAACACATCTTCCCAACTTTTTTGACAAGATGGATGTCTCAAACGACACGACGTTGACAATGTTATTTGTTGGCATTGGACACGTTGCAGATGCATTGTATACAGACAGACAGATACACACAATACAAGACAACTGAAGAGATGGACTAAACAACATTGACACCTTCAATGTTTGTATATATATTAATTGTACTCTTTTCTAACTTATCCTGATCAACTACCTCTGCCTCTGATGTTGATGATGGCTCCTGTTTGTCTTGCTTCGCAGGCTCGACACCAAGGCCAAGGCCAAGGCCACCCTCCTTTAGATGTTGTTTGGAATCTTGACCAATCAATGGTGTGGACTTTGGATTGTTTAGGAGTTCTCGACATTGTGATATGTACACTGATTTGGACTTGATGAAACTGGTGATCAGGCCACCGAGGATGATGCCGCCTGGTATGTTGGACAGTCCATTATCCTTGCCCAGCGATAGGAATAACAATGGCTTAGATGGTTTGTACTTCTTTAGCTTACGATGCTTGGCGCCCGCCTCATCCAATCGCTTGATATTCTTGGCCACGACACCTGAATGCAGTAATGCATTGTAGGCTGTCTTTAGCTCGCTAATGTTGGTAATATCGCCCATTGCAAATACATTGGTGTGGCCCTCCACTCTAAGATGCTCGTCCACCTTGAGCTGGCCCAGCGCGTCGATCGATGTTGCGAACGACTTCCTCAGCGGCTCGCTGTTGGGCCTGCTGCCCAGACACCAAAAGATAATCTCTGCATCCACGTTTCCTTGATCGGTCTCGAGCACCTGTCCAGGGCGCGTCTGGTAGTCCACCACGGCGCCAGTGTTTCGTCGTTGTACCTCCTCCGCTGGGACATTGACCACGGTGTTGAGCATCACATTGACGCCCATCTTGGTCATCTTCTTTGCAAGCTTGGAACAGAATCGGTCACCTAGTCGATGTGAGCATAGTCTGTTGAGGCTGTGCACTAATGTTATCTTCTTGTCTGGGTACTCGCAGGCTATCTCACTGGCGAGCTCACATCCAACGGTTGTACCTCCGACTATGGCAACACTCTTGGCCTCGCGGACGGTATCACGTAACTTGTGATAGTAATTGTATAGGTCACTGCAGTCGACTGGCGACTTGTACGGCGTCATGTTATTGGATCCAGTGGCAATGACCAGGTAGTCAAAGGGCAGCTCGGCGCCGTCCTCCAGTCTGACACACTGGGGTGTGACTTCAACTGCCAACTGATTGATCACACGACCATTCTTTAGAAGGCTATCCATTGGTAAGAAGACCTCCGTGCATAACTCTGGTTGGACAACCAGTCTTAATGCAGTTATATTATGAAAGAACAACTTCTTTCTCTCTATCAATGTGACATTACATCTATTATCCAATGCTTTGGCCAGATAAACACCAGAGTATCCACCTCCAACTATTACAACTTTTGACTTTGCCATGTTTGATGGTTTGATTGATCGTTTGGTTGATTGGAGAGGGCTAGCCTAGGCGAGGTGAGGGATTGAGTTTAGAATATGTTATAATTGTAATGATATATTATAATACTAATAGATAAGTAGTAGTAATTGAGTGGAGTGGAATGCTTCCCCTCCTACTAATACTGTTTCTCGTTTAGTTGGTAGACTGGTTGCATACGAAACGATGAGATGTACTTGATTGTGTGCAGCGACTACACATCGCAGCGGGGTAAGATGCGTAAGTTGTCCACATCATTTACTCTTCAACTACTACAACAACATGGGTATCCCTGGGATTATAAACAAGTTACATCTTTGTGCCACATTTAAACCATCTGTCGTCATCTCAAGGACATTAACAACCCAAATTTGGACTTTTTGACAAGATGTTTGATCAAAGACGATGTTTGTGGATGAACGATTTGATGAGTGGCACATCAGTCCCGATTTGAACATTTTTAATTACACTACACTACAACTTTAACCAATACATACCAACTTGTGATAATATGGTAGATGATGAGACAATAAGAAAACAGTGCATAGGTTGCAGAGGAGTAGAGAATGAGAAGGACATCTTGCTGTACAGGGGCAAGCTTATCAAGGTGGTACTGTCGACAGACAATCAGTGTTGGCTAGGTAGATGCGTGATCGTTCCGGACGAACATATTTCACCTGTGGATCTCTATGCCTCGCGTCACGATGTTTACCAAGAGATTGGCGCGGCAATCGCAATGATGACGAGGTGCTACCGCCACCTATTTGGCATGGCCTACCCGAACATATGTCAACTGGGCAACCTAACCAAAGACCTCAACGGATGTATAACAACTGAAGATCGATACCATCATGTACACTTCCATTACATACCACGTTATGACAAGCCTGTTCAGTATGCCGGTGAAACCTTTGTCGACAAACAATGGGGACGTGGACTAAACGTTGATCGAGAGTCTGGCCTACTCGATTTCAAGGAGGTCTCCCCACGAACCATCCAAGCCATCGTCACCCAAGTGAGAGAGTACATAGACAATGACCTACCACTTTAATAACATACAAGTAATTGTACCGTATCAATCATTATCATAATCGCTTTCATTCATTCGTGCATTCATTCTGACAAGTCCACGTTGACGACCACGACCAAGAGGCCACGTCATGTCGTTCGGACTAATGAATACTTATGCTCAAAGTTGAGTAAGTGACTTGCCAACTGTGTCTTGAGGGCAATGTGTCGGTCCATTTATAAACAAGCGACAGTGTTGACCATGATCATATCAGAGGTTGACGAAGTTCCTTTTGCAACTTCAAAAAAGAGTGGCTGGTCAATGCCACATCAGTGTGTGAATGAACAATGAATGAAAGAATGAAGTGCAATCAAATCACTTGTTTATGCTTCGACCCTTTGTATAGATATAAGATTAGATTAGATTAGTGAGTCAACTTTGTTTGATTGATTGATAGATAGTATATATAAATACAAACAACATATACATATTTTAAATGGTATGATCAATCACATATCAAACAGCAGATGATACTTCAATCATCCATTCAATCAATCAATCAAATATAGTACTGACTGACTCATCGATTGATTATATACGATATAGGTTGTACTTGCAGCAGCTATATGCACAAAGAATGGAAAGCCATTGCTTTCAAGACAGTTCTCAGAGATGACAAAGAGTAGAATAGAGGGATTGTTGTCTGCTTTCCCAAAGTTGGTTGGTAATGGCAAGCAACATACATTCATCGAGACTGAGAATATTAGATACGTCTATCAACCATTGGACGCACTCTATTTGGTGTTGGTAACAAACAGGAACTCCAATATCCTCGAGGATCTCGACACCCTGCACCTGCTGGCCAAGCTCGTGCCCGAGTACTCGACATTCGACGAGGCCGACGTCTCAAGAAAGGCCTTTGACATCATCTTTGCCTTTGACGAGGTGATTGCCATGGGCTACAAGGAGCGTGTCACCCTGCAGCAGATCAAGCATTTCATCTCGATGGAGTCGCACGAGGAGGAGCGCGCCAAGATGGAGCAACAGATGCGCGAGCGTGACGCCAAGAACGAGGCCGTCAGAAGAGCCAAGGAGATCGAGCGACAGAGACAGGAGGCATTGGCCAGAGGTGGTAGCGGACGTGTCGGTGGAGGCATGGGCAGCGGCATGGGTGGAGGAGGCATGGGCGGCGGTATGGGCGGTGGCATGTCCTCAGGATCCCATTATGGAGGTGGTGGCAATGATCATACCTCCCCACAAGAAAGGAGAGAGCCAACGTATGTGTACAAACACTCAGATGAGATCAATAGTACTTGTCAACTAACTTCTTTCATTCATTCGCCTATACATAGTCCACCAGCAAAGACTGCACCTGCAAAGGAAGCATCTGGAATGTCACTCTCAAAGACCAACAAGAAGTCTACATTGGCACAGGTGTTGAGAGAGGAGAAGGTTGTCGACAAGGAGGAGGAACTCGAGGCTCTGTTGTCTAATGAGCCAAATGCAGCTCCACAAGCACCAGCACGAGCAGTCCCAACTGAGCCGTATGTTATCAATCAATCAATCACTACATCACTCAATCAATCAATCAATCATACTAACATTCAATGAACTGATGTGATGTAGAGTACATTTGATCATCGAAGAAGTGTTTACGTGCCGCATGGAGAACGATGGAACTGTGGAGAATATCGATATAAAGGGTGGACTGACTGTATCAGTTGAGGATCAGAGTTTAGGAAGAGTCAAGGTTCAACTGCAACAAGGTCCAAGTGCCAAGAGCTTCCAATTCATTGTATGTGCGCTTGCATGAAGGAGGTAGTCACCTTGTGCCATCGACTAACAATCAATCAATCAATCAATCAAACAATCTAGACTCATCCTAATGTTGACAAGCCAGCATTTACATCACAGTCGGCTTTGAGACTTAAAGAGGGACAGAAGGCATACCCATCGGGAGGCGTACTGAAGTGGAGATGCAAGACCACAGATGATTCGATGATCCCACTCAAGGTGAACTGCTGGCCATCGCCAAGCGGACAATCGACCACTGTCAACTTGGAGTACGAGTCAGTGGTGCCATTTGCGCTCAACAACATCGTCATATCGATACCAAACCCAACGGCGGCGTCGCCCGTCATTGGCCACTTTGACGGCCTGTACGAGTACGACACCAAGCAGAAGCTGGTGCACTGGAAGATACCCAACATCGACGAATCGAACCGCACAGGCTCCATGGAGTTCACCGTCAAGGGTGCTTCGAGCAACTTCTTCCCCGTCCAAATCGTCTTCACTGCCAACCAGTCACTCTGCGACCTCGAGGTCAGCCAGGTCGTCTCTGAAGACAAGGGTGGCGCACCAACCAAGTTCTCCACAGATGTTCAGTTGATGGTCGAGTCGTACGAGATCATCTAAACACACAACACCAACCACCGGACTATCCAATCATCAAGCTGGATGATGGAGTCTTGTTGTAACTATTCAAATACCAATGTCAATCAACATAAACATACATGTCCACCTTCTCAAAGGGGGGCAATCATTCAATCTCTTGTTGTTGTGTTGGTTGTCGTAGTCCTTGTCACGCATGACGATGATGAGACGTCATCGGGTAACCAAGGGTGAAGGCGTTGGACCCATCTACGGATCACACCTTTATGTTTATATATTATGTTACAGACTTCTTCTTCTTGAATGACAGACTGAGACTCCGAGACTTCTTTGTACTCTTCCCACTGCCGCTATCCTTATCCTTATCTTTGTCCTTGTTGTCTTTGTCTTTGTCTTTATCTTTGTCCTTACTCTTGCTTTTACTGTTGCTGCTCCTGCCACTGCCTCCGCTGTCTCCGCTGACTCCACTACTATTTACATTGCTGGCGTTTCCATTGCCTCTATCTTTGTTGTTGCCAGCACCTGCACCAGTGACATTGTTGTTGTTGTTGTTGTTGATGATAATGTCACCTAGACTGGTACTCCTGCTGAGACTGATGAGATTCCTCAGCTCTGTGCTCTTGTGTCCACCTACTACACTGTCACTTCTTGGCTTTGTACTCCTTGTACTATTTGTTTGATTATTTCCTGTATTGTCATGTGATGATACCCATGTTGTATTGTTGTTGTTGTTACTACTATTGTTATTGTTGTTGTTATCGTTGTTGTTATCACCTCCATCTATGACAACGAAGTCATCATCGATGTTTGATTGTGGCCTTTCAAGGTCGAGTGATTGAGCCAGTGGATTGCCACCCTTGAATCGGTGAAATGATGGCAAAGAGAATGAGAGTGATACAAGATGTGATGGTGATGCCATTGTGAATGCATGAGGGCGTCGTGTTGGAGTATGACTAGGTGCAACACTGGCTTGTGTCCGTAATGTTGTTGTTGTCATCTCCAACATCTCCATTGTAGACAATGATGCCAGGGCTGGTGAAGATGTTGATGTCGTTGACTCAACTGTCATTGAAGCTGATGTCGTTGTTGTTTGTGTTGTTAATGTTGTTGGTGTCGTTGGTGTTGTCGTTGGTGTTGTAGTTGTAGTTGTTGCTGATTCTTCAGGCTGAGAGGATATGTTGGAAGTGCCCTCGGCCTTCCCTTCGACCTCATTCTCCTCACTATATTGTATCTGTCCAACTGTGAACTTCTGGGCGTGACGATTCTGATTATGCCGATGAGCAATCCCATGATGACTATGTCTACTATGACCATGACCATGATGATGAGTTGACTGTCCATGTGTATGACCCAGACCCTGACCCTGACCATGACCATGACCCAGAGTCTGACCCTGAGTCTGAGTCTGTGGATTAGATTGACATAGCCCTGCTATTGGAGTAAGTGGATGATGTATAGGCTGTCTGAGATGTTGATATATAATGTCTTGTTTGGTGAGGAAGTCATCGTCGAGATTTGATCGCTTGAATGTTGACTCTTTGATATAATACTCGGCCTCCTCCATCAATAGATTCTCTGCGTACACACTTGAATGAGCCTGTATCCTTCTGAACCAATCATCATACTCGAATCTATTCTCTGCACATAAATGAAATGCTCTCTCTGCAGTCACTATAACAAAGCAATACTCTTTGCCATTGACCTCTGCTGGCTAAGAATGATTGATTGAGTGAGTTATTGAGTTGATTGATTATATGATATGATAGATGATCGATCAAACATACATTTATGATTGATCTTGCTAATGATATTGTTCTTGAACTCTTTTGTGTATCATGTGGACCCTTGCGATATGAGAGCTTGCTGTCGATGCTCAATGAGAACCATTTCTTCTGCCACTTCCTGCCCAGTGATCCCTTCTTATATAAGAATCCTGTCTTTGTCTGTTTCATTATAATATGTATATATATATATATATTATTACAACTACAACTACAAATACAACAACAAGTATGATGAAACTGACTATGAATGAATGAGTGAGAGTTTGAAAGTACTGACTTTGGGCAACAACAGCACCTTAAAAAGTGTAAAAGAGCCGATTCTTTCAAAGATTGAGTAAGTTTGAGTTTTTGGGTGCTTGTGGGTTGGATTGTGCCCCATGTCCATGCAATCGTCATCAATGAGGATACAAGTGTTCAATTGAGATATTAGTTGTTGTTGTTATAACTAATATACATTATATATATATATATATAGATAATAGATAATATTAGATCTTATACATATATATATCTTTTTGAAGAATTGACATGTAGAAGATGACCAAATCACATGCACACAATGTTGTGCGAATCAACTATACAACTCATCGATTACAATTGTTATTATCAATGTCTTTGATATTGTTAATGATAATGACAATGACAACAAACATATTGGTCGATGCTCGAGAAGTCAATGAAGACATGTTAATAGATGAATTCGATGATGATCCAATCTCTGTATGTCCGTTCGTTCAATCAATGTTTGATTGATCGTATAACTAACTCAATCAATGTCATGTGATAACAGCAATTCCTATACTTAGAAGGAGGAACAATATCTGTTTCAATTGAGTCATTGGTATGTCCCCGCCTCGGTCGCCCAAACGACCGCCCATTATTGGTCGCCACTTCATAGACTGACCATCCTTTATCCTCATCATCATCAGCCACAGGAACATAAGTTATACTTTACATTATGCTCAGATCATGATTGGTCATTATTATATGGTTACAAGAGGGTAGTACCTGCTTGTGATCAATTGGAACAACAGACTGGACCAAGTCTAAGTAATAATAATGGATTATGTATGATTGTTGTAAAGTTCAATGATAGATTATCGATATCAAGAAGTGTGGATGAATATGGAAGGTTCTTTGTCAACTTGGTCAGTTGCGAGGATGAGGTGGTGGCCAACGTATCGATCAATCTCGAGATGCTCAATCCAAACAACAACCGACTGTCGGCCGAGTTGTTGCCAGCGCCTCTGATGTACTCGGTCATGTCGGTTGTGTGGCTGGGCGCGACAATCTTCTGGTCACTGGTATGCATTCGCCACTGGACCAACTGCTCGCCAAAGATTCATCTGCTCCTGGCCATGTATCCAGTGTTCAAGTTGATCATCTCGTTGTTCAACGCCTACGTGTTCAACCGTGCATCACACATGCCCGTGTCCGTGGTCCAGGAGTATGGCTACCATCTTGGCACCATCTCCTTTGGAATCTACTTCCAACTCACACTCCTATTGATGGCTGTCGGATGGGGATTCATCAAAGACGACCTTGAAACCGACAAGTACCATGTATTCGCCTTGGTCAGCGGACTAAGTGTCTCACTCATACTCGAAGAGTTATACGTCCAAGACAATGTATCATATGTATGTTCAATCAATGGAGCTATTCCAAACGATAAATCAATCAATCAATCACTTACTAACTCACTAAATCCATCAAACAGTTGTTGATAGAGTTATTGGTACTATCATTCAGAGCATTCTTGTTGGCATATATGTTCTTCTCGATTAGTTTTAATGTCAGCACGTTGGAGTATAAGATACATCAGTACAATCCATCAGAGTCGTCTGGTACAACGTTGTCCACCGAGGACACGATGTTAATGATCAAGAAGTATAGAGTATTTAGTAACTTTAGAATCATCGTTATATTCTGGCTGACACTCATTGCATTGGAACTCTTCTCAACTCTATTACTCTATGGTGGAGTGTTGGAGAATTGGGCAGAGATGTTGGCCGATGAAACAATGGATCTATTGGTGTATATGTGTTTAGCGTAAGAGTTCAAACAATGTCATTCAGTCAAGAGTGAGCACAAGATATTAATCAACTCATCATTCAAACAGTTATAATTATCGACCAAGAGAGGAGAATATATTCCGAATGGTTGGATCGAGCCCGACGATTGCTCAAACAGCATCCACTTCATTGACAGTCAATCGATCATCAGTTGATCAACTACATGATGGACATGATGATCAAGGAATGGAAGAGGAAGACAATGACCATGATGATGGCCACAATAGTATCGAACTTCAAACATTTTCAACGACGACATCAAGGTCAACAACAGCAAGGTCACGATGACCAATACACGATATTGTATTATTACTACTTTAATCATTCAATCAATTGATTGTTTATGGAAGAGTATCAATGTAGGCAAGAAGATTCTTGAATCGTGGAGTTCCAAGTCCAGAGACTGGATCCCATCCAGCGGTGGCAGTGTATCCGGCGTCAGTGGTACAGCACACTTGAGTGCACTTGTTGTTTCCAATGGTGATGTCATTGAAACAGCTTGATGGCGCTGAGTAGAGCAGTGGATTGAGGAATCCAAGTGTTGACTTGTTCATGCTCAATCTGTATGAGTTTAACAAGGCCACCATTCCAGCGAATGTTGGTGTGGCACATGTAGTGCCATCAACAAACGTTGGACCATTGAGGTAGATCATGTAGTTATGTCCAACCACAGACACATCTGGATAGCCACGATTGGACTCGTTGAACTTTGATTGAGGCGGCAGATGAATGCCCGAGTTGAGGTAGTGCTCCACCACTGATTGTTGCCATGATGGCATCGGTGAATAGTCAGAGAAGCCTCCACCTGATGTCGTTGTTGTGTTGGGGAACGTTTGAACGACCTCTAGTGTTGATGTTGCACAGGCATACTGAGAGCAGATAGGTGCAGTGTTCGTCAACTGGCCTTGATTGTTTGACGACAACAACATTGTGGAACCAACTGATGTCACGTAGGGCGATGAGCCAGGGTAGTATGAGGACATGGTATACTTTTGGTCCAAACAATCATCGTTGTATGAGCCAGGCGCACCCTCATCACCGGATCCAGCGATCAAAGTGATGCCTCTCAGTCCAATCTTCATAAACTCAATGTTGATGCGCTGGACAAACTGAGCGGGCGTTGTGGTGCCGTTACAATAGCCAAGATCTGGCTGGCATTGGTCAATCTCGGGGAAGCCCCATGGCAGGGTTACGACGAATGGTGCAGGGTCTTGAATGAAGAGCTCATTGGAGAACTCTAGCAACCACTCTCCATTGGTCCAATACCAAATGTCCGACGACTGTGATATGGCGCCACCGTACTGAACATCAAGTGTTGGTTTGAGTTGAGGGTAGTTGCCATTGAAGTGACCAAGTACCTTTGTGACATTGATTGGTGGCACGGCAGTCTGTGAGGCAAAGCTGGTGAGGTCGCCACTGTTATAGGACAGGTCGCCACTGAACCTGGCAAACTCTACCAAACAGATTGATGATTGATTGTTCGTGGTGCTTGGTATGCCTGATGAAGGAACATTGTAAAGATTCTGGATGGTCTCGGGGATGATGATGCCGGGGTCCAGACCAGCGGACAGTGGTGAGGATGGGAGAAGTCCATGACCATTTGTGTTGTCCTTGATGAAGGGCAACTCTGAGAGACCGGCAATAAGATGTATGTCATCGATGAACTGATCGGGTATCAAATGACCGATTGATGAACGAATGATTTGATGATTGCCTATTGTTTGATGTTGATAGTAATGCATCTCTGTCCAGAACAAACGCTCAACAACCTCAACAGTTGCCGATGCTTTGATAGCATCACGATTGTTAATAACATTGACACAACCATTATTCTCAAGGTACTCTACAATCTTGTTTGATACAATTTCCAAAGGTGCAACGAGATCAAGTATACTTGAGATTGTCCAATGTTTGCCTTCATAGGTTGATTGATTAAGTTAGTAAGATTGAATGATGGAGTGAATGAATGAACATACATACCATAGTTTAGGGAGGTTGGATCTGATACATCGAGTAATGTTGATTCTAGTATATCAAGATTACGTTGATTGAGTGCAACATGGAAGTTGATAACATCTTCTGGGTTGGCTTTTGTTGTTCGTTGCCATAGTGTGTCGACATTGACAGCTGTTGTCAATGACACTACCAAGAGAATGGAAACAACCAAACTATATACAAATAACAATCTCATATTGTTGTCTGATTACTATTGATATGATTGCTATTGATTGTAATTGATTGAGTGTACTATTGTGTTGATTGAACCTTGTACTACTATTGATGTGATCATCATCTACTTCACAAACATGTTTGATTGAATAAGCCAAGGAATAGTTGTTGTTGATTATTTAACCAAATGAGGGAATGGAAAGAAGTAGCATGGTTAACCTCGCTTCGTTGCTTCACGATGTAATCTTCGGCTGCGACACAACAATAAACAAAACCGTGAAGTGTAGAGGCATCGCCAACCCAATCAATTTCAAAGTTGTAGAAGTCACATCCCCAAAAAGTGATGCAAATGACAGGTCTCTAGGAGAATCAGTTGAATTCCCTTTTGGATATGACGATTGTCGGCAATGAATAATATTGTAAGAAGACATATGTTTACTGATTTAGATATGAATTATATCAAATAAATTCCATCAGAGATAGAGATATCTGTCATCTAACCTTTGACAATATTAACTCTTTCCACTCCACCCTTCGCCCCTATCATTCTTTCTTTCATTGATTGGGAATAGTTGTCCACAATCCGATTCAACTCCATTGATTGTCTTTGTAAATTTGTTTGTTTGATGAACATCAAGACATGACACCCAGACACAGTCTTTGTGCCTCAAATTTGGCTGACTGTCTTACTTGTTAAAGGAGAACTCCTTTGTCTGGACGAATGATTATCATGATCACTCGTCTGTAAGAATTAGTATGATTCCACAATCGTTCAAACCTGTCGAGATTTTATTTTCGATCCTTATCCGAACTAGGTTAACTTAGATAGACTTGACTATGACATTTCTGATTCCCTCATCTCTAGATATACTTCAAAGCAATCAATCATCACTCCAACTATGGACGACCTGTCTACTTGTGAGAATATAAATACCTCCACAGTGGAAAGTAGAATAAACAACAAATACAATAACAATAATAATATCAAATATGAACAAATATTTAATAACATTAATATTCTCAGTTATAACATTAGCAACTATTGCCTATGCTCAGGTAATCCCAGCGCCTATCCCGGTGTTTGAGCCCCAGATCGCCCTTGGATGTTTGATCATGTCATACTCTGGTTACTGTCAAGAGAACGTTCTCCAGGCATTCCCCTGTCCCAACTGTGCAAAGACACCTGCCTGGAACTCATTCTTTGGAGGCAAGGTCCCATCCAACATTGTCCAAGGTGAAGGTCTAGAATGGTACAGTTTCGAGTTTGGTTTGGCTTTCTACTTTGCCACTATCAGAGACAATACTGCTGGTATCTATCAATCATCCACTCACTTCCTAAACCTTCATCCAAAATTAATATTATTGTTTTCCATAATTCAATTCTTAGCCGTTCTAACTTTTAGAGGAACTGATAACAGATGGAATATTGCTGAGGACCTTTTGTTCATGCAACGATCATACCCATGGGTTGCTGGAGCAAGAGTCCACAGAGGTATCTACAATGCCTGGGATGACATTAGATTTTTGGTTATGACTAAGCTCAGAAGGTTTATGAACGAGAAGTGTCTAACTTGTTCCACCATCTATGTCACTGGTCACAGTCTTGGAGGTGGTCTTGCTAGTAAGTACAACACAACACATATACTTATATACTCATTATAATCACATATTAATACTTTACACCTTTTTTTTTTCTTAGCCTTCGCTGCCATTGATGTCGCCAAAGCTTACCAACCACAAGGTATTAATGTGATTGCTTACTCATTCGGATCACCAAGAGTTGGTAACATGGCATTTGTTCAACACTTCCAAAAAATTGTTCCAAACAACTTCCGTGTGGTCAATGGTCTTGACAACATCCCCCATATGCCTCTGCCAAGATTGGACCTCGACGTGTTTGGTGAGACTGACTACATCCACGTGACCAACGAGGTGTGGCTGCACAGCAATGTCACTGGACCAGAGAGTGCCTTTGTCTACAACACCACATTGGAGTGTCAAGGCAATGAGAACCCCAGCTGCAGTGCCAGTGCCCAGATCCCCTGGACTGACTTTGACAGCAGCTACCTCTTCTGGCGTTACCATCGCAGCTACTTTGGATTCTACCTTCCAAGTTACTGCCATGGTTGGTTCCAAACCCCTATTCTTGAGTCTGGTTCCAACACAAACACCGTCTCCACTAATACTACTACTCTTTAAATATGATTTTTATATTGATCGATCGATATATAAATATTAATCTTCTAATAATAAATACACCACTAGTATAACTAGTCAACTTGACATATAACATAAAAGATGGTGTTCATCTTGTTAACATCGAGGTTTGTGTTTTTGATCATTTTTTCAATTTTTGACCATTGGTGGTGTTCCAAGTCCTGTTCATTTAACTTTTCTTGTCAAGATTGGGAAACAGTTCAATGAAGAATTCAGATGACAACTCCAATGTCGTGTAAAAAGAATGTTGTAAACATCTTAAACCATTGATCAAATGATTTTTCCGACCTCATATACGAATCATGTTCGAATCACAACAACTATTTATACCAATCTCAAGGGTGTCACTGACATCTATCTAATCATTCAAACAAAGTAAATTGAACGAATATATATTTATATATAAAATGGCAAATAGTATTAATAATAATAATAATATTGATAATGATAATAATAATAATGATGATAAAGATGATGGAGCAAGTAGGAAAGTGGAATTGAATGACTTGTTCTTTTATGGAAGAATTAAGTATCCAATTACATTTAAACATTTATTGTTTGCATTATATCTACCATTTGCCTTATTACTTTGGCCAATTAGATTGATGTACAATGTTATATTGTTCACATTCTTATTGTTCATGCCACATTGGATGAGACCAATAACCAAACCATTGTTGGCATTTGGTCTGGGCATCATTACCAACATCAAAGACAAGCATAACCTGCCTGGCAAACATAATCCCAACAGTGGCCGAATCATCGTATCCAATCACTTGACCGACTATGACCCGCACACAATGTACACCGTCCTCGAGGACTACCATGTCGTGGTGAAGGACCTGTTTGCCAGTGTACCGCTCGTTGGAAAGGTGTACAGAAAGATGGGCGCCATCTTTGTCGACTACTCCAACCGCGACACAGCCCGCCAGCAGATCACCGGCGCACTCAGCAAGACCGAGCATCCAGTGATCATCTATCCCGAGGGTGGTCTGACCAATGGCAAGTCCGGCATGCTGATGTTCCAGAAGTTTGTCTTTAGTCTTGGACTGGGCATCACGCCAATCTCAATGCGCTACACATCGCAATGGCCAATCCATGTGGACTACATCGGCAGCACATTCCTAAAGAACACATTCTGGTGGTTGATCGTGCCCTATCATACTTATGAGATGAAGGTGTTCCCGACCGAGTACATCAGAGAAGGTGAGACCGATGTAGAGTTTGCCAAGCGTGTCCAGACCATGATTGCCAATGACCTTGGTCTTGAACCAACCGACATCCCAATGTTCAAAAAGAGGGAGTTGTTCAATCAAATCGTCGCAGCAAGGTCAGCTAAAAAGGATAAATAATAAATAATAAATAAATATATAAATGATAGGATGGGATCATTCCAATGTATCATCAAACTGTGATTGTGAGTGTGAGTGTGTGAGAAGTTTGATCAATCCTTTCTTTGTTTAATTGTTAGATTGTAAAGATATTATCTGTATTAATGATTGTGTATCACTGTTTTGATAATAAATGATCATAGTTGATGTTGATCAGTTGAGCCATTCATTGCCAAAACAGGAAATGTTTGAATTGTTGTTGACCAATTCAAATAGACCCCTTTGAAGTCTCCAACTCACTCAAACACACACATTCATTTACCTTCACTCATTCATTCATATATCTTTAGATATATATTCATACAGATAATACTTATATATTGATATATATATATATATAATACATAGGATGAAAAGGTTCAAGACACATTTCAATGGATACTCTGTCGAGTTCAGCCCTTTTGAAGAGCAGAGATTGGCTTGCGCCACATCTCAACACTTTGGTATCATTGGTAATGGTCGTCAGTATGTGCTCGATGTGTTGGACCGTGAGATAGCAGCATATCGCGTATATGATACAAGAGATGGCTTGTACGATTGTACGTGGAGTGAGGAGAATGACCGTCATCTGGCCAGTGCAAGCGGCGACGGCTCCATCAAGATATGGGATACATCGGCGCCCAATGGCGAGCGACCTCTAAAGTCGTTCGAAGAGCACACCAAAGAGGTGTACTCCATCGATTGGAACCTCGTCAGCAAGGACATCTTTGTGTCGGGTTCGTGGGACATGTCGATCAAGACGTGGTCGCCGCGCGCCGACCGCTCTCTGCGCACGTTCCGCGAGCATCGCTACTGCATCTACAGCACGGTGTGGTCGCCGAGGAACCCGCATCTATTCGCATCAGTCAGTGGAGATACATCGATGAAGATATGGGATCATCGTGACACTCGATCCCTAAACACAATCAAGGCGCACGACAATGAAGTGCTCACCTGTGATTGGAACAAGTACAACGAGAAAGAGATAGTCACTGGTTCAGTTGATAAGACTATACGTATATGGGTATGTTATCATTCATTCATTCATTCGTTCAATCAATCAAACCAATGCCTAACTCATTCAATCAATCTTACGACACAACAACAGGACATTAGATACCCAGATAGACCTACGAATATACTAAGAGGACACTCTTATGCAGTGCGAAGGGTCAAGTGTTCACCTCATTCTGATGCAATGCTTGCTTCTTCATCATAGTATGTATAGACAAGACAAAGAGAGACAGATAGGGGCCTATTGTACAAGTACTAACTGTACTAACTGTACAAACAAATAGTGATATGAGTGTAATAATATGGGATAGAGCAAGAGATGACCCAATGCTGTTAAAGATGGACCACCATACAGAGTTTGTCGTCGGCTTGGATTGGAATATGTTTATCGATGGTCAGATGGCATCCTGCTCCTGGGACGAGAGCATTTGCGTCTGGAATCTGGGTCGCGTCCCTCCACAGCAGTTCCAACAGCATCATCACCATCAACCGCCCCCTCCCCACCATGCACCTCCAATGCGACCATAAGATATCTTACTTACAACAACAACAACAACAACAACAACACAACAACACTACACTGCACTACGATGCTGCCCCTCCGTCACGGATCAATCAATTCAAAAACCGACTGTCCGGGCGGAAGGACCATCACCATTCAATCCAATCCATTTCATTTCAGTACCTGCCTGCGACATCGCTTGCCTGAAGCGGTAACTACGGCGACTGCCCATGCGCAACCATCCATCGTGGTTGTTGTTGTTCAACATTATTATTCTGATCAATTTGTGTATAAACAAACTTACTTGCATCGGGCGAGACCTTGCCCAAGCCCTTCAAATGTGCACGTGTGTATTGATCAGGCCCACACCCGATCAGTTCACAAGTTGGTTTCGAATCCCCACAACACAACGCGTGACCCCGCAAACACGGGTTAGCCAATCAATCTCGTCCTTTTACCAAAGGTTGCATTGATCAATCACACACTACACAACACACATTTACGAAGATCTTTGATTGATGCCTATCTTTCATTCATTGCAGGTCAGGTCAGTAGTGAGTCCACTCGCTTAAGCGAGTTAAATCTCAAATGGCTCTGTTTGTAATAATGGGCAAGAACAAACTGCCGCCTATTGCTTGTTGTACTTGTACATGGTCAACTACATTGATCCAATACAATAATATATTCAATCAAGCCTTATGTCCACTAATACATGTTGTTGAGGGGAAGGAATGGTTATTGAATGATAGACTCAATCTTGGTGAGGCATAGGAGATTCTCAAGAATGATATCAAATTATTCCAAAGGATAAAGATAAATAAAATGAGCGGTACATATTGTATAAATGGAACAAGTATGCCAGATACTATGAATGATTTCAAGAGTATAATGGTACCAATGAATACAGGTGGAGTAGTCATTGGTGTAATACTTATAGTTGGAAGTATATTATCAACAGTACCACAACATTATAATATTATAAAGTCAAGGTCAACCACTGGTTTAAGTTACCTCTGGATGTACCTTGGTAATATCAAACAATTCACTGGCGCTATCAATATATGTATGTTAATACTACCATTGTATTCAATAGTACTAGTTTGTAATTTAACTTCCCTTTACAGTTATGTTAAAGTATCCTCAAGTTGATGCATGTCGAGTACTTGGATTCATGGAGTGTGCGCCTTCAATACTATCAATATTCCAGGTGTTCTCATTCTTTGCATTCACATTTCCTTTGTAAGTTAATATGATCCTTCTTCAATTCTATCTAAATCCTGACCATCATAAATAATCTAGATATATATTATATATTATATTTACACCTTTGGACTTGAAGAAAATTGTAAAAGAGAAAGGAGATAAAGAAGAAGATGAATATAGAAGAGGAAAAATATTCTTTGGAATCCTTTTAGTATTCATATTAATAATCTCAGTACTCACTTCTATATTCATGTTCCTGCTTGGACCATGTCATCAAAGAGCCTACATATTCGCTTACTCCATTGGAATGGTATCAACTGTGATCACATTCATACAATGGCTACCCCAAATATATAAGACATTCAGAGATAAGGTAAGCCCAAGTACATGTTCATAGTATTATTTAATATCTAACTATATCTTTATTCCAATAGACAGTTGGTACTTTCTCGATAATGATGTTAATCATTCAATTCCCTGGAAATGTATTGATGACATATTTCTTGATATTCGTATCACATGAGAGTGTATCTACTTGGCTATCCTATGTTAGTACAACTTTACAAGTTGCAATTCTTTTGGTACTTCTATTATATTATCACTTCAAGAATAAGAACTTAAGTGACAATATAGCCATGGAGAATACTAAAATATCAAAGGTGGATATAAGTGTCTACCAATCAACAACTTTGGAGGAGGAAACATCTAAAGGTGATCCATAATAGTTAAAATATCACGTGACTATAACATTGATCATGTGACCAATCATCTGATCAAAATAATTAAAATAAATTAACTAAGTATTATTTATTAATGATGGACTCGGTCTCCTCATCCTGTTGCCCACTTCCATCCACAACTAATCTAGATCTTAATAATAGTAATGCTCGTTTGGTATGTCTAATTACATCTGATATAGAATAGAATCCTCCAAAGAATATACAGAATATTGATACTGGCATCGCACCCAAGAAGTCCACCATATAATGATACCTCAAATACATTGTGGCAATTGTGATGAGGAATGCTGCAAACCCAGATACTATGCCATAGACCGGAACTATCTTGTATGAAGCGAATGCCACTGCCCAACTAGTGGCAATATGTCCACTTGGAAATGATCCAAAGCTACCTTGAGCTGCATTATCAATCTTGCTTCGAATGATGCCTGCCAATCCAAAGCCTTTGAGACTGTTCACATACTCGCCCTGAAGATACACTCGTGGACTGACCGCCGGAACCATGAGATTGATCGAGAACACGATGAAGTATGTGCTGATCCACGTGACGATGAACATCTTGAGCAGCTGATCCCAGATGGGCATGCGTCGTCGCTTCTCAATGTCCTTGGAAAGGTAGCATCGCCACAGGTTGTAGATGAGGTAGATCTCCATCGAGTAGCCCCATATGTAGTAGCTGATGTAGGATAGCTGGAAGACTTCGGTGGACAGACTGCCAATGAATGAGTCGGGACCAAGCCTGTCACTCTTGTCGATGTACAGGCCCATCTGACCCATTGGGAACAGCCATCCCATCAGACTACTATCTGTGTCCAATAATGTTTGATCCCATGTTGACAGTTGGAGATGTATGACAACCTTGCCTGTGGCTTCAAAGAATGAAGGGATACATAGTCCCAGTGCAATAGACAGGACCGTCATCCATAATATATACCACTTGTTGTGCTTGGCTGAGCATACCAATGTATAAGTAGTGATCACAATCAGTGATATAATGAATGCAAATAGTATTGACTAATTGATTGTGAGTGTGTCAGTTAATGTTGGCGCTAGGGCTGGAATAATTCCAAAAGTGGATGGACTTACAAATGGACCAACAATGAATGAGTAGGCCAAGGAGTATATACAGACTACTGCGACTAGGATTGAAAAGGTAGTATCGGAGAATTGTGGAGAGTATGGATATTGTGTGTCGTCATTGGGCTTGGAAAAGTGTGTCTTGGTGATTGATGATCCTCGTGGAGTGGTCGATGATGCAGGTGAGCCAAGCTCTATACTACAATCATTTCCTCCTACTCCTCCTCCACATGCTCCACTGCTGTCCACTTCACTTGATCCTACTCCACCTCCATTCGTAATAATATAGTTTGGATGGTCGTCTATACCAATGGACTCAGATTGAGCCATTCGCATTTCGTATGAAGTTGAATTGTTTTCATCATTCTGATGATGATTATTGAATCTATGATTGACCAATCTGAAAAGAGTGAATAGTGACAGTCTTGGAACAGAACCACCAAGTTCATCAACATCATGAATTGGTATTGTGTCCAACTCTACGTTGTTGTTGTTGTTGGTTGTTGTTATGGATAGAGTATCCAGTGATGGTATATGATAATGGTAATAATTATGTTGAACTCCCATGATCGTGTTATTATCTATTATGATTGAGCCTGTTGTTGTTGTTGTAGTAATCTTGAAGGATAATTGGTTGGTATGTTAATATTGATTGATTGATTGATGGAATGATTGAATAAACAATGGAAGTGGAGTATGGACAATGATTGATCGACTACCATGGAAGGTATACCAGGTCGGAGTGACATCGACATTACACTCACACACTCGCACACACTCACACACACTACAATCAACAACCAACACACACACCAGATTGGTAAAACGATCAATGGTGGGTAAGATATGATCATAGTGATTGGTATTGGTGTACTTGTCGAGATCATCATGATCGTGATGATGATGTACATTGACATCTATCCAATTGCAATAACATGTTCCATTGATTAAGGGACATACCGAACCATCTTGATTGATTTGAATGGAATCATTGTTTTCTTTTTGTTCTTCCTTGTCAATTATCTGTTGTTCCAACTCTGCCACTTTTTAATTAATCTATGATTTACTAATGCAATGAGAATTTGATCACATCACATGTATATATATATATATATTATAAGTTCCAAAAGATTATCTGTTGTGTGTAACAAGTATTTGTTATGTGTTGGATTGTAATAATGAATGAATTAATGTAGTAGACCTAAACAACCCCACCTAACACCTCTTAGTTGTTACCGTTTGTTTACCCTTTTTCATCATCACTCACTGCTCATGCTGTTGTTGTGTTAGTGCTTGTTCTTGGGTGAGGGGGAATGGTGTTCGACTGATTGATTGATTGACCAATTTGGGGGTTATCACAATGCCAAATTATTTGAAAACGATGTTCGGGACCATCAAATTGCGCGTTCAGTGAACACCTGAACGAAAGGTCGCAACGTTTATGCGTGTCAATGCGCGATCAAGTCACACAATGATGTTTGAATGATTGACTGGAGCAACATAGTTGGACAAGGGATCGATGTTCTTTGAGTCAATAAGAGGAGATGTGGATGCCTTTTTGAGTGTTGAAGATAGTTGGAATTGAATATGGACTTAATATTACAATATATTATTATCTTGGTTGATTGGTCAAATGTGATTGATTGTTGGTCGCTCAAATCAATGAATTGTCTAAGTTCGATGGAATCTATGCAAAACAAGATCTGCTCAAGCAGAAGTCAACCTATGCGATTGATTACATTAATCTTTATATATCTGTAAATTGTACTGGTTGCCGCAATATCGAAGAGGCACCATTGCTAATATGATGGTGATGATTATGATCACTGTTACTACTGTTGTTGCCATTGCTACTGCCATTGCTGTTGCCACTACCATTGCCATTGCCATTGCTATGCTTGGTGATGTGTAGGAACAACTCTTCCTCCTGTTGCTGCAGTGGATCCTCAGTGTCCGACGCTGGACCGGACTGACTCAGCATCTTGGTCAGGCGCTCAAAGGCCTCGATAAACTCGCTGTCGATCGTCACGGTCACCGTCTGGTTGTTGCTGGCGTCCATCTGTTCGGCCATGTTCTGCTGGAACTGATCCAATATCGATTGCAACTGACCATTGATCTCCTCGCACGACTGTTGCAGCGCCTTCTTGCGCTTGTTGCACACGCCGTAGAGACGCCACAGATGGTCGTGTTGAGTCTCCAGGTCCTTGTACTTCTTGGACAGGAAGCCCATGTGATTGATCTCCTCTTGCAAACCTTGCTCGGCAATCAATCGGCCCTTTCTTTCAACGTCGCGGTAGTGTGTCTCTGTGTTTACCATCTCCTCCAACTCTACAATCTTGCTCGATAGCTCCATCACAGTGACATTGGCATTGGCAATGGTGTTTGATGAACTTGATGTTGTGGCAGCATCAGCTTCCTTTGTACCACTCATTCTCATTGAGTCATCGTCATCAATTGATGAAGTTGTTGATGATGATGATGTGTTATAATTGTTGTAGTTGTTGTTGCTTGACGAAGCATTTGACATTGATGTTGATGTTGATAATGATGAGCCAAACCAAGGATTCATCCTGTATCCCAGTAGCTCCCTTGTGAAGAATGATTGTAATGATGATACAATCGTATTACCAAGTCTTGAGAACACGTTTACTCTACGTTGTTGTTGTTGTTGTTGTTGTTGTTGATTATTATTTACATTGTTGTTGTTGTTGTTATTTGCTTTTGGATAGTAATAATAATAGTAATAGGGTACTTGTTGATCTGGTAATGTTTGTTGTTGTTGTTGTTGTTGTTGTTGTACATATGTTGGTTGTTGTTGTTGCTGATATGATTGTTGTTGATATGATTGTTGATATGGTTGTTGTTGATAAGACTGTTGTTGATAAGGCTGTTGTTGTTGTTGTAAGTGTTGCTGTAACCTCTTTCTTCTTTGACATTGCTCATTTGTTTCCAAACCTTCGAGCAATGAGAGTGTTGCCAACATTGCTACCAGACCAAATACTAAAAAGTATGATGGTACATTACTACTATCTGGTACCAACATTCTCTCTATCTCTTTATATCTCTAACTCTCTTGGACAACTACCTTCTGCAATCTTCCTTTTCTTGGCGCTCAAACAGATGTTGATGTTCTGATTTGGTAAAAAAAAACTAAAAGCTTTGTTTTTTTTGATAAACTATTAATAACTAGTATCTATTACTATGATAATATTAACATAAGAGCAATGTATTTATAAATAGAGGATAAGTGATAGTGCATTGAACCAGCTCATTCATCAATCAGTATGCTCCACTCACGCAATCATCTAAACACCCTTTCCCACTTTGATGCCACACACGCATTATATCAAACACCCCAACCCAGGTCATCATCCACCCCTCAATCCAATCTGGTCACTGTCATTTTGCCAGCGGGCACTAAAGACGCGTCTATTCGGTCATCATTGTTGACAAGTCATTACATCATTGTTCTTACTAATTACTTACTTTTAATAATCAAACTGGAACTCTGTTGTATTTTGATGTATTTAATTAATTATTATTATTTTACTGTTTGTTGTTGTTTCCATGTATACTTAGAGATCCTAACTTGTTAAAGAAACTCTTGAATGAATCTGCAATCGGTGGTGAAAGTGATGATACTAGTGATGGTGAATTATTGGTTTGATGTTGTTGTTGTGTGGATGTTGATGATGAGCTATTTGATGTAGATGATGTTGTTGATGAATTGGAAGAAGAGGCATTAGATGATAATGATGATGCCTGGTGTATGTGTGCCATTGTCGGTATGGAATTGCCAGAGTTGGCCGGTGATATATGAGGCGAGTTGTTGTTGGCTGGTGACCAGGCCAGTGGTGAGGGCGGTGATGTGGCCTTGGAGAATGGGTTGAACATCTGGAAGTATGATTGACCCGACTGGAACACATCCTCTGTGTTCAACTGGAATGTACCATCCTTCAAAGATAGTGCCGTTGAGTATATCGTATGAAAGTCAATATTGTTTGGATAATGTTGCAACATCTTCAAGTTGTCCGCGAATGGTGAATCCAACAATTGTTGTCTTACACATCTAAGGTATGTTTGATAGATTGATTGGTCGCCAGTGAGTTAGTGATTGATTGATTGATTGATCGATTGATTGATTGAATGGGACTTACATTAACATTGCACAACAGAAGTAGTAGAGGAAGTCAAAGCGATTGGGATCAGAGAATAGTGAGTCCCAGAGACGAAGGACATCGGGTAACTCAAACTCTTGTGAGAGTAATAGGGTAATCCATCGGAAACTGTAGAATTGTGGATGTAGTTTCTTCTCCTCCATGTCCTTCCACAGCTGTCTGTCCTTCTTGTTGAGCAAGAGGTTCAGTTTCTTGATGTTGCCAATGACGCCACTCTCACTCTTGTCGAGCGTCTTGCAAAAGTTGTCGCGAACCTCGCTCATCAGGTTGGTGAAGCAGTAGAATGCGTCGGCTTCGGCGTTGGCCTTGCAGTCGGGCAGGGGATCGGTGGCGAACGTGTAGTAGATTGGTCCGAGCAACTCGTTCATGCCCTGTACGTAGCGAATGCCCGGGTTGAGCTTGGCATAGATGAACAATATACGTCTCAGTGCTTCGTAGTGTATCGACTTGCCGCCCTCCTCATGATTGAAGAAGTGCAGCATTGGGAATGTCCTCCTCACATCCTTCTCAATGTCCACCAATATATTCTGGTCCTTGAAGTACTCATTCCACTTGCTGTCATCTGATGTGCTCAAAGGCTATATTGTGTTGGTTGATCGTCAGAACATGTGATCGATCGACGTACACATGATCAATCAATGTACATACATGATCATTCTTTCGTTGTTCAATCTCTTTGTATGGATTGACCATCAACTCATTGATCCATTCTTGATATGTTGCACGACTGCTCTCTGTGAATGATGCCCATCTTGATTGTTCAATTGGTAGGTAGTGTAATAGTATCTGTAGTTGATTGATTGATTGAGTAAGTTAGTGAGTGAATGTGATTGATTGATTGATTGAATGAGTGATGTAAATATAGTACCTTCCAGTAAATTGAACGTAGTCCATTGGCCTCGGGTATGCCTTGTTCAGCGAGATGCTGAATGACAGTGAGATCCAATGTTGTTGGCTTGAGTGCCTCTTTATAATAGTGCAAACGCTCTTGGAATGATATATTGGCACTCTCAATAATAGGTGATCTTTGTGTCTTTGTCTGTGTTGTTGTCTCTGTTGATGGAGTTGATGTTGTAGATGTTGTTGACTCTGTGGTATTCTTTGTTGGTGCAGGTGGACTAGATGATTCAATGACTATTGAAGGATTCTTATCCTTGACATTATCATTGTCCTTTGTTGTCGTTGTTGGAGTTGATGTTGTATCTGTTGTCGTGGTGTTATCATTATTCACATGTTGTTGCTCCTCCTGTTTCTGTTCTGATTGCTCTTGTTGATCTTGATGCTCTTGTTCATGTTGTTGTACATCTGTCTGACTATCAATAGTTTGTTGTTGTTCAGACATTGTTCACCTTTTTATATATCTATCTCTAGAACTATTTGTTATTATTATCTCTTTGCAATTTAATGATAATCATCGGGTGGGTTGGGTGATCGGAAGATAAAAACAGATAGTTTGTTCAAATTCTTGAACAACAAACCGTCTGGTCACCAGACCAATTGGACTCTGTTGACTGGAAAGGGATAATATAAAGTATTATAGAATTGATACTGTTTCCAGATAAAATAGATAGTTATATATAACTATCAATCAATAACCTGAATAAATATATTTATTAGTTGTACCTGCAAAGATTGAACAAAACAGATATTTTTTAAACGATTTTGATGAACTTTGCATGGTTTAGACCGTTTTTGGGGAAACTCTTCCTTCGATTGTATTATAACATATTGTTGTTGTTATTGTAGTCTCAATCAATCAAACAATCACATCACTATAATCAACAATCAATAGTCATACATAGATTATATATATACTATAAGGTTTACATGATTGAACAACTTCATTTCAAGTGTATTATAACTGGTCCTTCTTGTAAGTTCATTCATTCAATCACTCTCACTGAATCAATCACACTCACTCATCACTTTAATCAACCAATCAATCAAACAATAGTTGTTGGTAAGAGTGCACTACTACTACAATACTGTGAGAATGAGTTCTCCAACTCATTGGACTCAACAATTGGTTGTGAGTTCCAGGTCAAACATGTTGAAATCGATACCACTCACAGAGTGAAGCTGGAAATATGGGATACAGTATGTCATCAATCAATCAATCAATTAACATGGACACATAATGACCGATAGTTGCATTGACACCATCACATAATAATAGGCAGGACAAGAATCATTCAGAGCAATTACAAATAATTATTATCGTGGTGCACATGTGGCGTTGTTGGTCTATGATATATCGATGCGACAGACATTCCAAACGATTAGATATTGGCTGGAAGAGATCAGGAATATGTCAGGTGAGGATACAGCTATAGTGTTGGTTGGTAACAAATGTGATTGTGCCGATCAGAAAAGAATGGTCACGATGGAGGAGGCTCAGATGTTTGCCAAAGAGCATTCAATACCATTCTTTGAGACGAGTGCCAAGGACAACACAAACGTGGAGCAGGCATTCACCTGCGCAGTTCGTCAAGTGATCCAATGGATAAACGAAGGAAAGTTGGTCGTTGTAAACAAAAGACCTCAATCACTAATTGTATGTATCATCCTCTGGTGGAACCATTCCAATCAAACAATCACTCACTCTGGGATCATTCCAATCTATCAATCATGTAGCCACCTGAGAAGGATAGTTCCACTGATGGAGCTGGAAAGAAGTGTTGTAAATAGTTATTTATGGTATCACCTTTGGAATCATTCCATGATCTCATCACACACCTTGAATCGCTTGGATGGTCCCATGAGTCAACATCATCATAGTCTGTACATAATCCCAAATATACATATTCCTCAGTCCAATGTCTGGGCTTGAGCCGGAAATAACATAACGATGGCGATGACCTCGCCAGTCCTCGTCTTCGTCCCGTTCGTCCTCGCACTGTATTGTGATGTACGTTTGATTTATAATTAACTTATTATTAAAAGCAGTTAGCTTAGATAAGAGCATGCTTCTTGAGTGATTGGACGATGGCCTCGACAGAGTCCACCTTGGCTCCACCTGTTCGCTTTGCTGGCTCCTCGACAGAGACAGTCTTAATCTTGCTGCTAATGTCCACGCCCAAATCTTGTGGAGTGTGTACCTTGAGCTCTGCCTTCTTTGACTTCATACTATTGGTTGTTCAATGTTAGCTTGGACTCGTAATGCTGCCCTGCTGTTGGGTTGATATACCTACATGTTTTGAAGCTTAGCATAACGTGGCTCATTCAAACGGAGATCGCAAGAGATGATGGCTGGCATCTTGAGGGAGAGAGTCTCCAGTCCACCATCAATCTCACGTGTTACCTTGACTGAGTTTGTAGCCTTGTCGACAACGACCTTTGAAGCGAATGTGGCTGTATGTTTAAGATAAAGATGAGTGAGTGAATGAGGTTCATGCATGGTCGTTGCATCTGGCTCGCGATCGCTTACCTTGTGGCCAGTTCAAGAGACCTGCCAACATCTGAGCGGTTTGATTCGAGTCGTCGTCGATTGCTTGCTTGCCGAGGATGATGAGGTTGGGCTTCTCGGTCTCAGCGAGACGCTTGAGCACCTTGGCGACGGCCAGTGGATGTATATCGGTGACGGCGCCAGTGTCGACGTGAATGCCCTTGTCGGCGCCCATGGCAATCGAGCCACGGATAGTGTCTTGCACAGCCTTTGGGCCGAGCGAGACGGCGATAACCTCGCTGGCATGACCTGCCTCCTTCATCTTTATGGCCTCCTCGACGGCGATCTCATCGAAAGGGTTGATCGACATCTTTACATTAGCAGTCTCAACGCCCATCTTATCTGGTCTGACTCTAATCTTGACTGCATAATCAATCACTCTCTTGACAGGTACTAGTACTTTGAATGACATTGTATAAGTATGTATGTATATGTATGAATAATGTATTTGAGTGAATGAATGAATGAACTCACACTCACACGATTCAATTTCATTCATTCGGGAACATGATCAATCACTCACACACAGTGTGCACTGCTCCATCAGTTCCCAAACAAACAATGTAAAGACGAGTTATTAATACACAGACAGGCATTGTTGTAAACATAAATAATGTATTATATATAATGTATTGAGCTAGTTGATTACTTTGAACTAAAGTCTCTGATCTCATTGATGATCTCGTTGGCCTTGCGCAGGACATCGATCATGGCCTTGCATGACTTTCTCTTTGAAGAGATCTGTGGTGATTCCTCTAGCAACTCATCAAACAACTCCTCTCTGTACAGCGCACCAACCAACTCGTTCTGCACCTGCTCCTTCGAGGTGTTGACCAAGAAGTGCATAATTGACTTTGGCACAGAGTCCTTCACGTTCTTCTTTACAATGTTGAAGTATGACATCAACAACTCGCCTGTTTGATTGATTGATTGATTGAGTATGTTAGTGTATTGAACAACAAGCTAGGTGTATATGAATACATACGAATCAACTCGGTCTCGAACTTCTCCCTGGAGTTCAACTCGTCTGATGCTTTGATGGTGTTGGGTACTTGGCCCAGTCTGTCGTTGCGATAGCCATCTTGGTACATATTGGATCTGTTGTATGATGACGATGATGATGAAGAGGAGTACATGTTGTTGTTCTGTTGCATCTGTTGTGGTGATTGTTGATGTTGAGGTACTTGTTGATATTGTTGATTGTTGGACGACTGTTGTTGGTTGTCTGGTCCTCTAAAGAATGATGATAGGAATCCACCCTGCGGGTTCTGCTGGTTCTGCTGCTGGTTGAGCTGCTCGTTGGGTCGCTGTGGATTGGTGGGAGGCATACCTGGCGCAGGCTTGGCACCCGGAAGTGTGTTTGGCTGCTGTACCGAGGGTGGTGGCTTGACGCCAGTGGCTGGTGGCAGGTTGACGTTGGATGTCAAGAACTTGCCGCCAGATGCAGGCTGTTGTTGCTGTTGTACATTGGGCACCCACACTTGGTTGGGTTGCGCGCCACCAGACTGTGCGCCACCTGTAGCCGACTGTTGCTGTTGCTGCTGTTGCTGTTGCTGCATGTTGAAGAATGTTGCCTCTTGTTGCTGCTTCTTCTCCATTAGTGCCTCAAACAGACCGTCACCGCCGACAAAGTCTGGATGTGATGTGTTGATGTAGGCCAACTCAATCTTGATCAGGTTCTCGATCATTGTCTTGGTGGGCGTGCGATGCTTCTGCAGCAGATTGTTGACGACCTCAATCACCTTGGCCTTGAGGTTGATAAAGCGGGCCAGCTCCTTGGCCTCCAGCTGGCTGACGATCCTCTGCAACTCGTCATAGACGAGCTCGACGCACTGCGACGAGGGGTCATCGAGACGGGCCACCTGCTTCTTGACCAGCATCTCGAACGATGCCTCTGGGATGAAGAGGGCGGCACGAGGACCGGTGGCATTCTTCATCGCCGTTCTAATGTCGTTGAGACTTACGCCGTCCATTGGGTCGATGCCATTGAGACACTGTGCGTATATGTTGTTGAAGATGTAGTTGATGCGAGCACCTCCACACAGCTCGTTGGTGGACAGCTCGGTGAGCTTGCCATCGATGGCGTCACGGAAGTTGGTCGAGAAGATGGTGATGATCTGGAGCAGCAGGGCACCCTGGCTGTTCTTGGTGTCGTAGAGGGGGTCACCGTACGAGGACAGCTCACCCTGCACCTCGGTCAGCATCTTGGTCACCTTTATCTTGAGCTCGGGCAGGCAGTCGCGGATGTGGAACATCAGCAGCTTGTTGAGCGTCTTGGAGAGGTAGGCCGTGCCGCTGCGGTTGGCGATCGTCTTGTAGATTGGATGGTTCTTGAAGTACTGCACCTCGCTCTTGAGCGCATCCCTGATGGATTTCTTTGAGATGATGTCCTCCTGACTACGATTGATCACACCGACAAAGCCGAGAGCCAGGGGCACGACGCGGCCAGTCAGCACGTCCATGGCGTCTGTGCCCTTGTCCATGAGGTCCAGCTTGGTGATGACACCGATGGTTCGCTTTCCATCGGGGTCGACCTCACGAGCCAGTTGCAGCGCGTCAGAGTTGGCCAGATCGGTGTTGGCCGGGGTGACGGCCAGGATGATGGCGTTGGGTCGCTTGATATAGGCCATGATCATACGGCGAATCTGCATCTCAATGTCGGTGGGCTGGTCGCCGACGGGCACCTTTGTGATTCCTGGCAAGTCGACCAACGTCAGGTTGACCACATGAGGCGAGTATATCTTCAAGTTAATCGGCTGAGCTGAAACGCCCTTATTCTTTCCCGTGAGGCGGTCCGTATCCTTTATGATCTCCTCTCTAATCTCGGCAAAGTCATAGAACATATCATTTGGTCTATGTAAGAACTCTCCCCATTCTTGTGTTGATACGTCAACTACATGTGCAGACGTTGATGTTAGTTCATCTCTATCATTCAATCAATCAAACAATAACATTGAACATACCTTCATCAGTTATTGGTAGATGAGTTAGTTGAAGTATAAGTGGTCTACGAGTGACGATTCCAGATCCACGAGGTAGGAAGTCTCTGCCAACTATATTCTCCAACACTGAACTCTTTCCAGAGGACTGACTTCCAACCACAACGATCTGAGGCAAGTCCAAAGGATCAGTTCCCAAAGTATTAAATACATCTTGTAACTTGTTTATAACTGGAATGAGTTGGTCCATTATTCTGTCTCTTCTTCTTCTTCTTCTTCAACTAACTATATATATTTCTAATTCTCCGGTTGAATGTGAATGTGTGAATGTGAATGTATATTTATATGTTTGATTGATTGATTGATTAATTGATTATTATTATAGTATGTATGTACAAATAATTATAAAGTATATTATATATATATGTGTAGTAGAGATAATAGTGTGTAGTATAAATAAGTGAGTGTGTCTTTGTCAAGATGAGGTGGATACTTGAACACTCAGGTCATCAATTATAAAGGTTGGTGGTGAATGTCTTTGTTTGTGTGTATGAAGGGGGTGTTTGAATTGAATTTAATAAAATAAATTAATGTGTTTCTTCAAGACCAAGGGATGGACCTTGACTGGAACTCAAACTTGTGGGACTGAGTCCGTGTCGACTCTTTCGTCACACACATCTAATTACACCAATGCACGAATGATTCATCGACTCTACTTATGCTTAATTGATTGAAGTATGGTCAACGAATCAACCAACTGACAACAATAACTTGATACGGATAGTAGACAAGATCCCTTCTCCTGTTGCCCCAGGACTGGTCATCATTGTTGTTGACAGACAACGTGGCAAACAATTCAATTCAATCAATCAATCGATCAATCGATATATACATTGTTTAGTCGATAAACAGACAGACAGACATACACCTATTAATGTTTAATTAGGTTGATGATGGCGATGATGATGATGATACACTGGATCTATTACTTCTTGACTCTTGTACCAACTTCATTCTCTTTTCTCGCAGACTCATCTTTCCTGGTGTTGATGGTGATCCAGTTTTATCAACATTGGATCCTGTTGAACTTGAGTTATCCGACTAGTTTGATTGATTGAGAGTTAGTATGTATGCTCATCAATCAATCAAATGTACTTACATCGAGTGGAGGTGATTGTGCATCAGGGTCGATTGGAGCATATTGACCTGATGTCCTTGAAACGAATTGTTGTTCCAGCTTCTGTTTGGTATCGGCGACCTTCTCGCTCACACTTGACGTAATCCTCTCATCTTGATCCTTCTGTGTCTTCTCAGCTGTGTTTGATTGAGTGATTGAGTGTAGAGGTTAGTTAGTCATCTTGTTCGCATCACATAAGACATTGAGTCCATCACATTAACATACCCTCAGCCTTCTCAGCCTTGATGGCTGCGATCCAATCTTCCAATGTATCACTGTCCGCTGCACATATAACGATGGCATTGTCACTGTTGGTTGATATCTTGATCGCGTTGGAGTATGCTAAACATTGTGGTGATGATTGGATGTTAGTGGCGATGATATGATCTGATGGCCAGTGTGCCAACAACTTACAGCTTGTGTCTTCGAGTTGACGAAGCTTGAGATTGGTTAGCTTGTAACTATTCTCAAACTGTAGTCGAATGGTCTTTTGCTTGCCAAAGAATGATCCTGATGACTTGGATGGCTTGGTGACCGCCAGAATATCATTGAACAGGTAGAGAATGAGTGGTGTCTTCTTGGCCTTGGTGCCACCGCCAACCTCCATGAACTCGCCTTCCTTTACAAATCGTCTGCTGGCCTTTACAAAGGACTCGCTGCCACCTGCCAACTTCTCCTGTATCTCTGCCAACTTCAATCTATTCTCCGCCTGTTGCTTGGCCTCATTCATCTTCTCGGCCACAGTATTCATCGAGTCAAATGCCTCCTTCAACGACTTGTAATCAGGATGTGATTCCCATGTATGTGCTATCATGTCCTTGAGAAGCAAGCTGTATCTCTGTGTTTGATTGATGGTCAGTAGGCGAATGAATGAGCGATCGAAGGGGACTGACAACACATACGGGTATTCTTTGGATTGGCCTGATGAGGTAGTCTTCGAGTCCACGACATTTGATCTCTTCATTGCGCTCCTTGACCTTGTTGAGATAGTTCTTGAACTTGGCCTGCTTCTTGCATTCGTTCAACACTTCGAGTGACATCTCATAGTTGAGTGAATACTGCGTGTATATCTTGAGGAATTTGCTCATCTTTATAAAGATGTCGCCAATCAACGTGAATCTATCCCAGGTCTGCAGACGTGCCTGCAGTTGATCCTTGATCAAAGTGTTGAAGTTGATAATACTCTCCAACTCCACGTTGAATATCGCCTTTAGATCATCCTCGGGAATGATTGGTGAGCCCTTTGCAATCGCCTCTCGCAGCTCCTTAACCACAACATCTCTCAAGAACACCAATCTCGTCAAGTACTCCACCTCTGTCTTTGTGATCTCTTGTGCAATCCTCTCTCTATAAGCATTGTCGCGCTCTGCATTCATTGAGTGTGTTAGTCATGTGATCCCGCGGGTATGGCGATGGTCGCGAGTGAACGAGCATACCTCTTATCCTCTGTCTATTCCTCTCGATCCATCTCCTTGTCGCTCGCTGGATTCTTATCGCTGCTCTGATCTGCAGTGACAGCCTCTTCTTGTCTTCCTCTGTTTCGCATCCTGTTGCCAACAAGGCATCACCACCGCTACCATTCGTAGTCGTAGCAATGGTCGTCGTGTTTGTCGCAATCACCAATGGTGATGTTGGTAGCTTGGCACCTGTGACTGAGGCGGCAGTCGATGGTGATGATGACATCTTTGTCGTTGTCGTTGATGTGGTTGCGTTTGCGTTTGCGCTTGATGAAGATGGTGTCGCAATGAGCAAGGGCGATGATGAAACCTTTGCTCCTGTGCTTGTGCTCGTTGTCGATGTAGTTGATAATGTTACAGGTTGATGGGACGCATCCATTGGAAACTTGGGTGAGAGTGGAGTGTTCTGATCAAAGTTCAGTTTGATTGGCGAAGGCTGGCCGCTCGAAGACGATGGTGTCACGCCAGGTTTCGAAGGTGACAGTGGTGCCAGCGGTGATTTGAGTGATTGCTATGAAGGTGTTAGTTCATTCATTCATCATCATACATGTGATCACACATACCTTTGGCGAGTTATCAGGATACATCTTCTTCTGATCGGCAACATGTTGAAACAGTTGATTCTTTGTTGCTGACACGGAGAAGTCACTGCCAGGCACGGAGCGCGCCTGGCTCTTCTTGATCACCTCTTGTCGCTTGGTCTCCCTGATGGTGAACTGCGCCAGGAGGCCTTCGGCCTCGACCAGCTCGCTCTCTGTGAACTTCTCGTCCTTGGCGTCGACAATGGGCCATGGCACGTCAAATTCGTACTGTGGGTCGGCGTTGGCCAGCTTGCAGATGGCTTCGAGTGTGTCGATAATGCGGCGGATGTTGGTGTAGGTGGGGTGCGCCGCGCAAAGATCGGCCAGCGCAAAGCGCTTGTGACGAGGCACGCCCATGTCCTGACAGGCCTGCAAGAAGAATGATATATTCTCGCTGTTCTTGAATTGGATTATTGTACGAGGTGTGTTTGGGTCTGGTACAGAGATACGTGGCATCAAGCCTGGACTGATGGTTTGCATCACTCTACATAGCAACACACCATCATACAGTGTACTAATGAAATCACTTGCTCCACTATTAATCTTTATATCCAATACTACTTCAATCCATTTAATCGCTGCTCTCTTTTGTGATAAATAATGATTTGCCTTTACTGTTATCATTTGTTTTGTTTGTTTGATTCTTTAGTTTGATTGATTGAGTTGATTGAGTTGATTGAGTTGATTGATTGATTGATGTTGTTGTATGTATCTGTATCTGTATTTGTATTCTTATTATTATCTGTACATTAATGAATGTGATCTCATTCAAATGTTTTATTTTTATCATCTGTTGGGCATCAAAACAATGTTGTTTGAATCTTTGCAAACTTCAACCCCACCTCCAACTTCAAACCCTTTCTCAAGTCATCTTTGTCTCTGTCATTGATCAATGAAAGAGATAGAGATTGAGTCGATGTCACCTCCTTGCTGTGGTCGTCGTTGATGTAGTTGATGTTGTAGTGATAGTGGCCAGGGTATCAACCTTGCACGTGTGTCTATTGAGGTTGGCTGCTCGTACTGAAACTACACAGACGACACAGACATTGGAGTTGCAATCGCCACACTTTACAATCCTGTCGCCATTCGCATTCTTTTGAAGCGTGTCTTGGCATATTGGACAGTTGACAGTCTTCTTCTCACCCTTTGGCTTCACAAGTTGAAGCTGCTTATGTCGTTGTTTGATAGTCCATTCACTGTGCAGATCTCTGGTCCTTGTGGCAATCGATGGGTTGTTATAACTTGAGTAGCTGTAGATTGATGCCGTCCTCTCGGGCACCTTCTCATGGGCCACCTTGTATATGACGTCCTGGACACGCTCCATAAAGACCGCTTCGTTCGAGGCATCGGCTGCACACTCACCAAAGTGCGAGTAGTCCTCGATGGGCATGAGACAGTCCCAGCAGAAGGGCTTCTTGCACATGTAGCAGATGACCTTGGCGCAGCCACTCGTCTTCTCGATGAGTACCGAGCATCGTGGACATGGTTTGAAGCTGTATTTGTGTTTGGAAAGGAAGCTAAACACCTTGTCAAACAACTTGGCCGCCTTGGACCTGGCCTCCTCGGCTGTTATGCGCTGATCCTCTATCCTGGCCTCCAATGTCTTCAACTCGGTCACTACTGGCAGTCGTTTGGAATCCACATTGAATAAGACCTTATCCTCTAATGCTCTCTTGTTATAGTCAGTATCACAGCTGACTCCTGGATGCCATGATGTGTCGCACTTGTGGCAATGCGAGTAGAAGCATCCATCGCAAGTGACTGTGTCCCACTTCTTGTCGTATCGCGCTGCAAACTCATGACAACGCTTGCATTGTAGTGTACCCATCAGACCAACCAGTGACAGTTTGAACCTTTCATAATCTGCCGGTTTCAATATCGACTTGACAATTGCGTCATCAATCATCTTGCCACATCCAACATCCGAGCACTTTATATTCTCTGGTCTTCCATCTGCACTGTTGATCACACTGATTGATTGATTGATTGATTGATCGATCGGTGGATTAGACTCGGCATGATCACGTGGAACTATTCCATCACACTCAATCAATCAATCTTACCAAGTCTGACTTGTACACTCCTTGCATTGATGATGCCCACAAGCCAGGATGTAGAACTGATCGGGAGGATATTCATCATAACAGATGGGACATGTGTGATGGTTGTCAAAGAACTTGATCTTGAATCGTCTAGAGTTGTGCTCCAACAGTGATGGTACACATGATTTGAGGTACTTGTTCCAATGTTGCTCTGCAAACCAAACTGATCGCAATGACTCTTTGCACTCACCAATCATCAAGTTATCAATCTTATAATCCTGATCGATGCCCAAGTATGCCAATGACTCATCCCTCACCCACTCAATACATTGGAACAACACTGATTGATCTGGACTCCAGAATGTATCCATATGTTTGATCATCCTCTCCATGCTCTCCATTGACAACCCTGTCATTGTTTGATTGATTGAATGAATGAATGAATGAGATATGGATTGGAGTGATTGATGGACATGTCTACATACATGATGAACCAAGCCAGAGGTATGGAGGTGATGAACTTGGATATTGATCATCGATTGTGATGATCAGATTGACTGGAGGTAGTTCGACGATTGGATATCTTGTATCCTTGCCACCTGACACCTCTTCAACAACTAGATTGAAACAATCCTGTAAGTTTATATTTATAGTAACTTGATATGTATTATCATCAATAGTTGATAATTGATCTGAATAGATTGATTTCAATACTTCAATCTCTTGTTGACCTGCTGATTGATAGTCATCAACATCAACATCCTCCACATCTTCTACATTTTCAACAACATAAATATCATCCATTTGTATTATTGTTATATCAATATTTATTATTATTATTACTATTACTAGTGTGACATTGTTTGTTTGTTTGATTGGTTGATAGAATGATTGAATGATTGAATGGTTGGTTGGCTGGATGAAGCTGGATGAGAAACATTCCTTGTTCTTGTGCAATTCTTGGATCATTCCTTTTCAAAGTGGGGAACACAAACCCTCAACCCTAACCCTCGCCCTAACCCTCGCCCTTGACCTCGACTATTACCTCGCAATCTGCAGATTGATCAACGATTGTCATTGGAGTTTGGTATGAATGACAGGAGGAGGATGTTTGTGTTTTATTGATTGACTGGGCTGTATGTATTGATTGTTGAGCCAGCCAAGCCTAACCAAGTCAAGCTAAGTCAAGCTTAAGCTTGTTGTTGGGTGCTGCTGGGTGTTGTCGTTTGTCAATACATATTATATTGATTATATAATCGTTGTTGTTGTTGTTGTTATTGTTATTGTTGTTTACTGCTGCTGCTGTTGATGGTTGATGATGTTGTTGATGATGATGATTTGACTTGACCATCAATCGATCAATCAATAGAGGTTGGTTGGTTTCTTAATAATATTCACCGCTGAAGCCAACCTGGATACCCTGTTGCTCGGCGTCTACATATACACTGGATGGGTTGTGCAGGCCCAGATCCTGGTTGTGTTGCTGTGCGTACTTGTGGTACTGGACGGCCTGGTCGTGAATGTTGATGATCTCCTCCTCGGTGAGCTTGCGCACAAACTTGGCTGGACGGCCTGCCCACAACTCGCCCGACAGTACTCTAGCGCCCTTGGGCAGGATAGAGTTGGCTGCCAATATCGAGTTTGTCTCGACGTATGAACCTGGCTCCAAAATCGATCCCATTCCAATCAAACAGTTCTCCTCAACAGTGCATGCTTCGAGTACACAGTTGTGACCTGTAATGTAGTCGCATCATATTTGATTGATTGATTGATTGGAATGATTCCAAAGTGATTGATTGAGTGTTGAGTGTAAGAATCATATGTCCCTGTTTGATTGATCGATCGAGTCAGTGTGATCACACAACATACCGATGGTTGTGAAATGACCAATGACGGTTGATCCATCATGGTCCAGTGACAGAGGTCTTGTGGCCTCTCTGATGATGGTTCCATCCTGAATGTTGGTGAAGTTTCCAATGTGAATTAAGTTTACATCAGCTGTGATCGCATGTCGTGAGGTAGTATGTGTTAGTCGATCAATCAATCCAATCAATCAATAGTCGATGTCCGTACCTTTGATAACACAGCTGTACCATACGGATGATCCATAGTTGAGTGCAACATTACCAATGATGCTGGCAGATGGTGCAACAAAGACACTTAGTGGCACTCTTGGGTATAGTCCCCAAACAGTTGGGATAGCTATACTGTTCTTATTGTAAAATGGAATGAGTGTCTTGTGCTTGTTGTCTAGAGGGGTGTGTGGCGCGTGATATGTCAGCGAATGATCGATCATCATCATCAACATTATCATCATCAGGTCTGTCAGTCACTCGGCGGACATACATTGATCCAAGTATCGCTCGATATGGTTCTCATTCTCGTTGAACTTTTTCAAGGGAGTAGTGTCGTATGGCAACTGATTGTCCTTGTTGTTCCAGTATGTGCAGAACGATCTGACCTGCTTGCCATCGGCACCTGTCGACCTGTACAATGTAGAGACGATAGTCGTGCTCTTTCTACAGAACTGTTTGATCATTCTGATTATATATATATATATAATAAGTAGTAATAAGTTTGAGTTGTAATGTGTAAAGAAGAGACTTGAGTGTGAGTCTCGCGATTCTCTTGAACTCACTTTGATCATTCTGCACCCAACCCTGCGCTTTCTAATATTTATTTTGCAAAATCAAAATAACGTTACTGAATGATATCGGCTTGGACCTCGTACATGTATGTTGTTGGTATGGAATCAATCCAAAATATAACTGTTGCGACTGGACCAGAGTGGATGATTGATCAATGATTGTGTTTTTTTAGATGTCAACACAACAAACAGTATCAACTACATCCACAATCTAAACAATATAAATGGTATATTATTGATGTTGATTGACATGTCTCGTCTTGTCTATGTCTATCTTTGATGTTTGTGTTGTGTCTAGAAGTGATAGAGAGCCAATGGATTATCCATTTTCAATCCAGAACTTGTCTAAAGGTCAAAAGGAGCTAAAGTTGTTCACTTTTTGAAAGTTTGAAAAGTAAGTTGTGAAACGAGTTTATCGTTATTGCGCATTGAGGCATACAGATACGCATTCATACAAATAATATAATATATACAAACAGATAATTAATATAAAAGGATGTCAGCTATATTATACGAAGATACATTCGAAGTCAAGGAAATCGATCCTGATGGAAAGAAGTTTGATAGAAGTATGTGATCGATCATTCAATCATTCACTCGACCTCAATCACATCAATTGATTGATGTGATCACACAAGACTACAATAACACATACAACAACTACATCATCAACAACAGCAGCAGTATCGATTGTAAACAGCATCAACAGCATCAACAACAACAACAATATACGCATCATTAGAATGTTTGATTGATGTAGTTACTAACATGTCTTGTGCGACAAACAGCATCTAGATTCATTTGTTATGGCGAGAGCTATGAGATGGATATGCATTTGGATATAGCTACACATATCTATCCAATGGAGCATGAGAAGTTCAAGATGGTGTTGGCTTCATCACTCAGCTTGGATGGCTCGATCGACTCTGGCTTCGAACCAAGCAACAAGCCAACACTTGCCGATAAGTTCGACTATGTTATGTACGGAAAGATATTCAGATACCAGAAGGACAACTCTTCATCCAAAGTGTAAGTGATCATCCTCAATCAGTTGAATGAAGTTGATTGATCGACTCGCTTACTCATTCATTCAATCAATCAATCAAATGAACAGTTCAATCTTTGCATCATTCGGTGGACTGCTGATGCTGTTGATTGGCGATCCAAAGTACATGCAGGGTCTGGAGCTGGACGCTCGTATTTACTTGTTGATTAAAAAGATATAATGATGTTGATGATAAAGCAGCACAAGAGGTTCGCTTCCTCTTTTGAGACTCGGACATCTTATCTTTTCATTGATTCAATCATTCAAGATGACATCGTGGTTGGCCATACTTCAATGGCTTCCTCGGTCACAACTTGCTCTTGCGATGGCTCTGGTACTGGCGCTGGCGCTGGCTCGGACACTGGCGATGGCTGTGAGGCGGGTACAACTTGCACGCCATTGGCAATTGTATTGATGATCGTCGTCGTCTTCGTCGTAGGTATACTCTCTTCTGCTGGTGAAATTCTATTTACATTGTTGTTGTTGTCGTCTTGTTCGTCTTTGTGTTCTTCCTTGTCATTATCATCATCATCATCATCGCTTAAGTAATCAGATACATCATCAGTATCGCCCGCCAGCACTGGCGGCTTAATATCAGAGACAATGTCACCATTGTCCATCAGTACAAACTCGCTTAGATAGTTCTCTGGCGTGATGTCGTTGAGCATCTGTAGACACGATGACAGGGCGTTCTCGTAGTTGTCGGGGAAGTGATCGGTGAGTAACGTGCTCGATATAATGATCTCGCCAAACAGTGCCGGGTTGGAACGCTCCATCACATGGTGCTTGTCGCGTTGCTCCATCTTGTATATCCTGTAGATGTCGCCCGGTGGCAGCATCGTGCTCTCGGACAATATGCTCTTGGTCGCCACGATATTGACCTCGCGACTCACGCGCAGGAAGCCTGCAATCTTGTTGGTCATCTCCTCGCCCAGCGTGTTGCCAGCGGCCAGAATCTGGAAGGACTTTTGAATGAGGTTGGTGTTGCTCTCGAGTAACGAGCAGACCATTGTCTTTAGATGTTCCAGTGATTGGTAGCTGAGTCGTGGTATCATATCGTCGTTGAGTACAAAGCTTGTGATCAATCTCTTTGTACTCTCGTCCAGCGCCATCTCAAACGATGTCACGCAAGGTGGCGCGAAAGCGTAGCAATGTATCGGCAGGTCTGGGTACTCTGCGTGGAACAACAACGTGAACAATGCCGCTGTGCCCGCGCCCAAGCTATGTCCAACTGGAACCAATCTATATCCTGGATGTTCCTGTTTATGTTGATTGAATGTGCGTCAGTGAGAATGTCGTTGGCTGATCAATCAATCATCGCTCGATCATACATCTAATTGTTGTACAAGAAGTGAGGAGAGCTCGTTGAACTTGTTGCGGGCACATCGCAGGATTCCATTGTGGGCGTAGCCTTTGAGGAACTTGGTGTTGGTGGCCACGAGGTCGGTGAGGATGTCGCGTGCGTGGAATGTGCCGCGAATGGATAGGATGATTGATTTGGTCTTGTGATCAATGGCGACAAAGTGTCCAGGATCAAAGTTGGTGCTCGTGAATCGATAGCATATAATGTCGTCTTTGCCAATGCCTGTATGCTCGCACAGCACCTGCACATTCAAGCTGTCGGTGCCCGTCACACCCTGTATAACATTGCGCTTGGTATAATAACTGTAGACGTACTTGGAGCCAAAGCTTGCTGCGGCGAATCGCATGTAATGTGATGCCAATCGTACAAACTCCTTGTCCTCCTTATGCTCGCCCGATGCAATATGCGCGTTCTTATAATAACTATCCAACAGCAACAAGCCTGTCAACATGTCGAACTTTGAATAAGGTACATCCTTGAAGAACTTTGTGAACAATGTCTCTATCTCTCCCAATGCCTCCTCTCTTCATTGATTGAGTGAGTGAGTGAGTCTTGCAAGTCTCGCGCCATACCATATGAGTGATACATACGTCTCTGGTGAGATGAACATTTGTTTGATTCGATTGTTGAATGTCCTGAATGAACTCTGTATTGATGAGAACCAGGAGGATGATTCTTCTTGTTGTTGTATCCCATCATGTATTGGTGGTGAAGTTGAAGGTGAAGATGTAGATGATGAAGATGAGGAGGATGAATTCAAACTTGGACTATGTAATATATCATCGCCAGTTGTTTGAGCAATGTCTGGATAAGTCATTGGTAACATCTCAATTGGTATTGTAAAGTTGACAGAGTTGGAGTGCATATGTTCGAAAGGGTCGCACTCACTAGAGTCCACATCCACAACAGTCGACTTGTTGAACACAGGTGTTGTTGCTCTACTGTTCTCTAAATGTGTCGTTGCCGTGGTCGTCGTAGCATTGTCTACCGCTTTGTTTGTTGAGGATGTCATAACCTCAACAACAAGGTCATTATGTAACAGTTCTCGCTCATGTTCATGTTCATGTTGCTCAGAATTAGAGTTTGAGCCCAACTCAGTCATTGCTTGCTTCTTTCTTCAAAGTTGTTATATATATATATATATAATGTATAATGTAATGTAATGGAATGTTTGTATTAGTGTAAGATGAGTGAATGAATGAGATAAAGTGAATGAATGAGAGAAGGAAATAAAGTGTTAGAGGTGGTGGAAGTTCTCCAAAACATGAGAGAGGGTTGCGCGTCTAAGACAATTTGTTGCAACGTTGGTGGGGTTCACTGTGAGAGAGTTCTTTCGGCTTCATTCTATTCTTTCATTCATTCCACCAAAGGTTAACAGATATTTATTTTATTCAAATGAATAATAAATAACATTACATTACACGACTGGCTCATAATATTATATTATATGGACACATTCTGGATCAAGGTATAAAGTAATTATCTCCTTTTAAACTTTAATAATTACATGTTACTTTGCCAACAGGATTGATAATTATGTTTATTGTTGTTGATGTAGTTGTTGGAGCATTGTAATCAATCAATCAACCAATCAATCTGTTAGTTATGCCACATCATCAGCATCATCATCAACAACAACAACAACACCCCACAACAACATGATTAGATTCTTTGAAGAGTCGTCTTGAAGTCTTGTTTGCTTAAGCCACAACTTGTTATTAAGGGGGATGATGATGATGATGATGAAAGCAGTTCAACCACCTGTTGGCTTTATTCAATCCAGTCGAACAGATAGATACATTCAGACCAGAACAACCAAGATAATGATAGTACGACAAACCACTCACCCCCAATAATACCTGTTGTATGGTTCCAACAACAAACTAACCAACCTGCAAACATAATGTCTAGACTAGTCTTTAGCCATGTTGTACAGGGTTGGCCAAGAACTAAGTATGAGTGAGATGTTGGCCCAAGACGTAGGTGTGGGATTCGCCCTCTTGTTTTGCCCATGATGATGTGTTCAGAGTACCGATCACGTTGATGACCTTCCATTCGTCTCCACAAAACTTAAAAATAGGGCCTACTTGATCGAGTGATGGACCACACGAATCGAGGCCTTGATGATCGGATCTGACTCCAGGAATTGTTTTCAATATGGGCCTGCCACTGCGCTCTACTTTCCACGATGTATGGATGTTACATTGATTGATGCATCAATCATCGCCTCCTTTTTCAGCGGCTGTGATCTAGAACCTCTTCACTCATACCCACCCATCATTCAACAAACATATGTTTGGTCAGGTCCTTCGTACAGCCATCCTTTGTCGTCCCAATTCTGTCTTGGCAGCTGGCTAGCTGACTTGGTTCCGTCATCCGTCCATCCGTCCCTTCACAATCATGATCAACATTTATGTTTGAGTGTTCCATCGATCAATCACTCATTCATTCATTCACATTATTCAATCAAACAAGGTTGTAATATTATTATTATTATTTATTATTTATTATTATATTTAAGATATAGATAGAATATGAAGTTACATATATTCTTTCTATCTCTAGCACTGACGGTGTGTGCTCTAGTCATCCACTTAAGCCCCGTCAATGCCACCATCTCTACACCTGCACCCAAACAATATCCTGGAAATGGTTTTATGTAAGTTGCCATCATCATAATGGGATAGTTCCACTCACCCAATCAATCACTAACTCACTCACTCACTCCGATCAATCAATCAATCAATTCATAAAGGTATGATATCTTACAATTGTCTGGTGTTGATTGTAATACTGGATCGAGTTCAATGATCTCCAGCTCTTTGGCAAATTCGTTCTATACGGTGACAATCTCTGGCACGCAATACACTGCACGTGGAACATTTGGCAGTGTGATCAATGCTGATCACGCCAATTGGTTGGCCACAAACTTTGCCGCAAGGGAGGCAGCCGGTTATTATATCGGAGGCTATCGTCTTTCCACATCCGACGACTTCTACTACCCTGACGAGAGCCCCTTCAGGGGCCAGAAGCTGTACACCTACTCCAACGGTCGCTGCTACAAGTACTGCGCCTTCCCCCAAATGTCCAATGACCCGACCAAGAACCAGCCCACCCCCAACGGCATGTTCCTCCAGAACAAGGCCAAGGTGTGGACCTCGGTCCCTGCCTACACCTGTTCGGGCTGGTTCCTCGTGGAGTGGATGAGCAACTTTGCGCCCTACGTCCCATCGATCCCCACGATTGGCGGTGTGTTCACAATAACCAATCTTGTGAACGCCGTCAACAACTTTGGTTGGTTCTCTATCTCTGTGTACGTGGTGGACGCCAGTGCCAACAACGCAGTCCTCTTCACCCCAACCTACCTCAGCACTGCAGGCAACACAATGACCTACAACTTCTCGTCGGCCAATCATTATGGCGCGGGCATCACACCCAAGATCCGTATAACAGACGTTGGCGGTGGCGGCATGCGTACCTACGACTTGCCATTTGAGTACGAGCTCCCTTACGCCTCGATGGTGTACCCACCCAACAACATGCAGTCTGGCTCCACCCTGACCATTGTCGGAGGCAACTTTGGCGATGGCACATCAGGCGTGCCAACTTTCTCGTTCGGTACCAATCCAACACCTTGCACCAATGTCCAATACCTGGTGCCACACACAGTCGTCACATGTACAATGCCCTTCACACCCTCCGACACCTACTACCTCTATCCATTCACCATCACCCTTGCAAATGGAAGGAAGACCCAATCCAATCCCCCAATTTGTAAGTTGTTATGGTTGGAACTATTCCGTCGCCAAACACTCAATCATATATACTTACCTACCCTATAGACCATGCTCCAACCTTGCGCGCCATTAGAATTTACCAGACTGTTTCTGCAGTAGCTACTGTCAGGGCTGGCATCTCCGTGGCCACTTCTGTCGACAACAACAAGGCCTACCAAGGAATCATCCAAACTTATGATCAGATGCTCTTCATCAGAAAGATCATCCCATTCGACATCACCACCAGCCTTTGGGTTGGTGCCCAGGGTTCGTTCGGCAATGGAGTAACTATTAGCAATTTGGGAGGACCCCGCGATAACCAAGTCCTCACCGCCCCCAACTCCTACGCCTGCTCCCCCGGCTACTTCTGCTCTGGCCTCTCCAACTTGCCAGGATCCGGTGTCTACTCCTTGGGCTACAACCCCAATGATAACACACAACCTGCCAACATGAATGGCAAACCCGGCGGTGGCGAGCTCACCTTCTTTGGAGTTGACCCAGCCAACGCCACGTCCAACCCTGTGTTCCAGATCGCCACCACCGGTGACACCATCTTCTTCAACGTCGCCGGCAGTGTTGGATTCCGCTACAGTGCGCGTGCCTACTACCTGGACGGTGTTGCTGGCCCTGGCCCCATCACATACATCAACTCCACATGTCTCTCGTTGTACATCCCTGCCGGCTCAGGACAGGCCACTCACAACCTCAATGTCACCATCGAGTCGATGCCATGTTTGACCGGAACATACGTCTACAAGCCATCCAACATAGCTTCAGTAAGCTCGGTGTCTGCGCTCGGTGGAACGATCGTTGTGAATGGTATCAACTTTGGTACTGTTGCCAATCAGATCGTTGTCCTCATCGGAACACAGCCATGCACATCGGTGAGTATTCTCGTGAACCATCTGAAGTTCCAATGTACCGCACCACCTGGCAAGGGCGCCAACCTCATCCTCTCAGTGTCGGTCAATGGACAGACAACCACTGGCTTCTTCAGCTACGATGCCCCTGCCATCACCAGCATTGTTCAGACTGGCACCCAGTTGTTGATTACCGGTACAAGCTTTGGAATCGACTCCTCCGCCCTGGTCATCACCCCACCATGCCCACAGCTGGCCGCATTCACCACCACTGCCATTCAATCATTTACATGCACCTACCCAATCAACCCGACCAACGCCGGCTACAACGTCTCACTCGGCAACCAGAACAGCAATATCTACGACTTTGCATGGCAGCCAACTATCAGTGACGTCACTCCCACCCACGTCGCGCCAGGTGGCACCGTCACCATCACCGGTACATTCTTGTCCCTCACCCGTTACAATGGCTCGCAAACTGCTAACGGCATCTCGATCAACAATCTCAACTACTGCACTGGCGCAACATTGCTTGATGTAGGCGCTGCCAGTATGAGGATCACATGTTCCGCCCCTTCATCTCAGGGCACCAACATGCCTTTGAAGGTCGTCATCGATGGCAAGTCCACCTCCACCCTACCAATCACCATCAACATGCCAACTACCTCTAGTATCACATTCAGCACAACCACCAACAATGTTACCATTGTGGGCAAGAACTTTGGCGATGACCCTTCACTCATCACCATCTACTTCAACTTGATACCCGTGGCCGTGGACCAGGTGCTCCAGACCGGATTGCCTATCGGTTCCAAAACACTGATTGCTCGCGTGCCCAACAACGTGGTCAGTGGCGTCTATGGCATCAAGGAGTATGGTATCTACAGCACTCCAACGACATTCACGCTCATTCCTACCGTGACCAATGTCCAGGGCTACACCACACTTGGTGGAGACATCCAAGTGTCTGGTTACTACTTCAACCAGGTTGATTTCAACGGTCAGCCCGTGGCACTGACATGTAGCATCAGTGGCATCAAGTGCTCTCCGATCGTCTCGACTGTCAGCACCTTCTTCACTTGTACAATGCCGTCGGCTACAGGTATCAACCTGCCAGTGGTGGTCAAGGTAGGCAACGTATCATCGACCAGCAACTACAAGATCACCTATCCAGCCCCAGTGATCACCTCCCTCGTCCAAGAGGGCACGTATCTCTCCATCATCGGCACTGACTTTGGCAAGGACAACTTTGTAATTGATGCAAAGTTGTCCCCCTCGCTCACCTACGCTGTGCCCACTCTCTACTGGAACACTGGTACCATTCGCTTCCCCCTCTATTCCTACGTTCTTAATGGACCAGTCTCGGTCTGGGTCAACGGACAGACATCCAACAGTCTCTACCTCACACTCGTACCCATCATCACCCTGGTCGATGTGCCATCCACACAAGGTGGCCTCATCGGCATCACTGGCAACTTCCTCTCTGGCAAGGACGCAAGCAACCAAGATTTGAGCATCGTGGCGATGATCGATGGTACCATACCATGTGACGGCGCAGCATCAGTCTCAAACTCCAAGATCACATGTACTGCACCAGGAGGCACAGGCACTCAGCACACAATCACGCTTACCATCCAAGGCAACAATTCCAATACAATCCCATTCAGTTACAGTCCACCAACACTCAACCCAGGCGCCGTCCAGGCCAGCAAGAAGTTCACAATGACTGGTACCAACTTGGGTGGCAATGTCAATGTCGTCAACTTTGTGTTTGGTACATTCAACACACCTGCCAGCAGCGTGTCCAATCACAACACATTCGATGTCTACATCCCATTGGCAGCAACCAATGGCTATGGATACGTAAATGTCGACGGTCAGAAATCAAACAGCATCTCCATCAACCTCCAGCCGACCATCACTTCGGTGACCTCTGTTGGCGTTCAGGGTGGCCCGATCATCATCTCTGGACTCTTCCTCAACACTCTTCGTCAGAACGGTACCAACACAGACATCTCGATCACCATGCAGAATGGTCAGGCATGCCAGTCAATCGAGAAGCTGGAGGACAACTCTGATGGCTCCAACATCAAATGCACTGCTCCAGCGGGCACTGGCAAGAGCAAGATAACTGTGATAATTGATGGCCTTTCCGACGTGATCGACTTTGCCTACGGCGCGCCAGTCATCCAGACGATCGAGTCAGACTCCAGCAACGTGTTCACTATCGCCGGCACCAACTTTGGCACGGACCCATCGGCCGTCGTTCTGACCTGGGGCAGCACACCAATCAGCACCTTCACACTCAATGGAACAGCCATTGTATTTGGAGTGGGCAGCACCTTCCAGAACAGCCAGGTCTACATCACTGTGGGTGGTCAGATATCAAACAAAAAGAATGCCAACCTTGTGCCAACCATCACCTCTTTCTCGAACTTGGCCACATCTGGAGGCCAAGTCTTCATTAGTGGTAGTTTCGTCAATCCCAACAACCTCGATGGCTCACCATGCACCGTTGTAGTCCACATGGATGGTAACAACATGGACATCATCGTCGATAGCGACTACATCATCTTTGACGCACCAGCCGGCTCTGGCACTGGTCATACAGTCACGTAAGTAGTCTCCCAAGTGTTACTTCTATTCTAAGTTTGTACTAACTCAATCAATGCAATGAATGAACAATCTCAATAGCATGTCAGTCAATGGTGTTGCAGCCCTTGGTACTAATACCTTGAACTATATGCCTCCAAAGATCGGAACGAGCACGCAGGATGGACAAGCACTCACCATCGCCGGTGACAACTTTGGCACTGACGCTAGCAAGTTGACAGTGCCAACAGGTTGGACTGTTACCAAGGTGGTACACACCTCACTCGAGGTCAACCTCCCACCCACAACACGCAACCAGATCATTTCAATCACAGTGGACACTCAAGTCTCCAACGACTACGAAGTCTACTTGCGTCCAGGGCTCGCGTCAATCACAACTGTTACCGCTGATGGTGGCAACATCACCCTCACAGGCATCTTCCTCAATGACAAGCGTGACAATGGCACCAACACTGACCTCTCAATCCGAATCGACTCCACCATCTGTGTGTTCGTCTCGACCACCGGCACCAATTTGGTGTGCACACTTCCTTCTGGACCATTCTCCCACAGCGATGTCACAGTGACCGTCGATGGCGTGACAATGGTCAGTGCCGAGTCCTACTCGACAAACCAGCCAACAGTGTTGTCAGCCTCATCATTGGTGTTCCAGCAACCAGGTGTCGTCACCGTTATGGGAACCAACTTTGCCCAAGGTCTCGTAATCAAGATTGCCTCTGTCGACTGTGACAACCCTATCCTCATCTCGTCTACGATTGCCACATGTGAGTTTGTTGCCTCTGTACCACAATCCAGCAATGTTGGCCTTGATGTTCTTGTCTCTATCGGCCCCATTAGTGGACATGCCGCAGTGTTCCTCTACAACACCAGAGAGTGCCCTGCTGGTTGTGCAGACAACGGCCATCAATGCCAGTTTGGATACTGTGTGTGCAAGACTGGATTCGCCGACCCCTCATGCTCCACCGTGGTCTCGGACCCCGTCACTGCCGCACAGCCCAACTCTACCACCGTCGGTTTCCCCCTCAGCTCGGACGTGAACTTCTTTGCTGGCCTCACCTACATCCGCGAGGTCAGTGGAAGTACTCCAATCAAAACACTCTCCTTCCACGACGCCACATGGGTGCAACAGGGAGCAACTGTTGGAGATGAGGACGCGACCATCAAAACATTCGTGGCCACCTTCACTGGGGAGAATCTCGTCGTCACACTCACCGCATTCACCTTTGGCGTTCCAACCAATGCTTCGTTCGCAGGCGAGACCATTCCAGTGCCCGCCCACACCGTCAAGCACACAGTCAAGGTCGAGCATTGGACATTCGCCGATACGGACAACTCACTCCAAGTGGTCTACTCTGGATTCTACCCAACCACAGTGAGATACAACTGCTCTGATGCCAACGTTGTGCTCCGTGCCAATGCTAGCCGTGGCGAGTTTGTCATTGATTCACCAGTTGGTATACTGGTGACTCAATTCTCCAGCAGAGGTTATGTTGATGGCCGCGTTATGGTCATCCATACCAACCGCATCGCATCATCCGACCCAATCTACAATGGCGCAGCCGCTGGCACCATTCACTTGGGCGTCAACATGCAATCCTTTGGCAATAGTATATCGTTCGACCCAACGTTCATAGCCTTTAAAAAGCCAGCTCTTAGTCCAGCACCATCATGTCCAACACCCACCACATCAACTACCATCACCACCACCTCGACTACCACGGCAACTACTACTGCCTCGACCTCAGCTACCACTGCCAGTACAACAGCCACTACCACCGCCAGTACCACGACCACAACGACTACTACCCCAGCCTCTACCACAGCTGCCACCACCTCTGATACAACTACTACTACTACTACTACCACTACCACTGACAACCCAAGCTCAACCAATGTCGCTACCACAACAACGACAACAAGCACTACCACAACTACTGGATTGAGCAGTGCCAGTGCCGTCCTTCCAAGTTTTGTAACTCTGTTGGCTCTCGTTTTTATCTCCATAACTATATAATAAATCAACTTGTAGGATAGGGTATGCAAACAGAACAGAATGATCAGTTTGTTCTGAGCTCTATGAGCCTAAAAACAATGGAGATGGGAGCCATAACGTAGAAGATGTACATGATTACCATTCCTTGATCAGAAGAAGAACTAATGGTGCAGTAGGAGGGTAGCCAACAGTAGACTTCACGAAAAGTGCAGCTTACTAATAACCATGTTTCCTATTGAATCTTCTTACTATATATTCATTAATACCTGCATAACCAAGGGTCATGATTGAAAATAGAATAACAAAACATAAATGAAGCTCTGATATTTTGGGACACTTCTCTCCTGAGTATATATATTCTTGGCATACTGGACACTTTGATTTATTACTCTGTCTATTATAGTTTGTCATTATAAAGGGATTTTGATTATTTGATTGAAGTTCTACTATTATTTGTTAGTTTCCAAACTGGTTGATAAATTTATAGATTGTCAAATTATTGCAAGTCTTATAAAAATAATAATAATAATAAAGTTAACTAGATCTTTAGTTGAATTTATATTAATATAATAAAACTACTTATTAATATAACCATGTTTCTTATTCAGTCTATAATAATAATACTCTATTAAACCAATTCCACCTAAAGTTATAACTGAATATATAATGACCAAAGGTAAAGGTAGTATTGGTACATTTCTACATCTCTCTCCTACCCTAACATAAATTCCGCAAACTCGACATTTATAATATAAAACTTCACTCTCCAAGTTATCTATTGATACCATCGTATAATTATGAATGTTTGACAAATAATAAATGATTAAGTGAATGAATGATTTAATTATTATTATAAATAATTTATATATTGTTTTTTTTCGAATGTAACATCAATATTGTTCAATTTGAATTAATTAATTAATTTAGAGGTTTGGATCTGTTTTGCAAACTCAATATGATAAAATCATAATTCTATTTGAATAGAATTCTATTTCTTCTGAAACTTCATTCATATTAATAAAGTTGTGATTAAAATGAGTAAAGATGTGATCAAGATGCACCAGAGTTCATGGACTAGCAGAAGGATATGTTCAACTTTTCAGAGATTGCCATGTCTATCCCTGGTATCGATGAGGCAATGAGTTTCTCCGAGGTGATGAAGCTTGTTCAAAGCATGGAGTTCTCTGTCATTGTATTCGGCACAACGAGGTTTTCATAACTTCTGTTTTGAGGTTTTGATCAAAACCAGCTCACTGTTTTGAGGCAAACAAAACTTGTTGAACCAAGTTTCTTCTTTTGTTTAGTTTAATCTGTGTCCCTGACTTTGTTGGTTGGACTGTGTGTCGATTCGAAGTAGAATACTCTGTCTTCTGATCAAGACAGTCTCATTCATACACTCATATATATCTTACTTACTTATACACAGACACACACACATTTAATGGACAACGAACAAACGCCAACTGGGACAAAGACCAATGTGGTTGAGTCAAAGGCGTTGCTCATTGTTGGCAGTGATAGCTTTGAGCATCGTCTCATATTCAACTTCACCGAGAAGTACATTGCCATTAAGATGTTGGGTGCCACTGGTCAGCGATCAATCAATTTCACATCAATAATCTTTTATGAGTATGTCTTCAACTCAATCATTCTATCATTAGTTCACTCACTAACGCATTCATTCATAGTATACGCTTAAGCGATGGAACATTGACACTTGGAATGAAGTACTCACCAAAGGACGAGGCTGTGTCAAACCAATCGTCGATGCCTCTTGCCAACTTGGACATGTCATGTTCAAACAATTCAATGTCATCAATCAAGCCAACCATCTACAAGATGGTGTTCAGTATCAATGAAAAGTCCACTATGACATTGTTGGAAGACAGTCTAAAGACTTCAAGCGTCCAGGTGTTGAAGACTGAGCAAAGGCATTTGATGATGGCCGAGACTGTCAACAATGAAACTCTAACAAAGTACAGTCTGGAGCTTAACTTTGACAGGTTGAGCAAGATTGGTAACATATGTCCACTGCTCGTGTTCATGCATCGTATCCTTGTCAAACCACTTCCACAGGACCGTCACACAAAGGAGGAAATACTACTGGATGAGCTTAGAGTCATCACCATCAAGCCAAAGTCACCCAATGACTTTGACACCTACAAGGACTACATCGACCTCCTGGCCAGCTACAAGCTCTACCCAAGGCTAGCACTGTACATATTCATGATGTTGGACAAGTAAGTACACTAACTCATTCAATCAATCAATCAACCAAACTAACATCATCCCATCCATCGTCCAATCAATCAAGTGCATTTGGCAAGAGTCATATACCAACATACTTAAGTATCACATACTGTATATTTGGCACACTACAACACAAGTGTACAAAGGGTCTGGCCATCAAGGGGCTGAATGCCGACGAGCTAGACCATGCAACATTATGTGTGTTCATCAATCGACTATTAGATGATAAGCCAACCGATCCAATGGCTTCGGTGGTTCTACTTCAACTTGGACTGCCAATGGCTGACTTCCAGGGTACATCAGAGCTCAAGACCAAGTATAAGGATACAATCAAGCGTATTATCCATTACCTCAAAGATGACGTACTACTTCAATATCCAAACTCCAACCATTACATCAATCACATCAGCCACTTTATCGACACTCTGGTCAACAACAACTTGGTCATAGAGTGTTATGATGAGGTCACAACACCATTGGCAATTGTAAGTTGGGCAAAGTAAATCACCTGATGAGGACACAGATACTGACGTACACGATAGGAACCAAACAAACACTCAAACAATATACTGGCTATGGTCCAATCATCCAAGGTGATCAAGGCTCCAAACTTGGCAAGCCACTATATTGATGATCGTAAGTTGATTGAATGATTGAATGATTGAATGGTTGTTCTTTACAAAACTAATCCACATCAATAAGCCAAAGGATTGAAGCCAGGAACCATTGCATTCAGAGCCATTTATCATACAGTGTTGGTCAGGAAGAAGTATCAATTGACTGATAGGTACGGACATCGTACTCATTTCCAACTGCTGGGTGTACCACGATCAATCATTGATGGACTGCTTGACAATGCATTCATCATGAAGCTACTTGGCGACTTTAGAGCAGAGTTTTACAATCAATTCAACAGTGAAGCCATCACCAAATACTTCTCCATCATACTAAAGGGATCAACTCACAAGAGGATCAAGGAGCTGTTTGCGATAACACCAATTCTCACTCTTCCTACAAAGGAGATCGTGGACCTAATGAAGCTCTTTGTCAAGGAGAGGATTGATCCAATCCAGGTGATCTCTACATTGACCTACATCTTCAACAGTCCTGGTCTGGTCCAAGCTCAATCTGATGCGATCGTCAAGTATGGACCATCATTTCTCCCATTGATCGCTCTCCACTGTCCGGACTATGTGTTCACTCAGCAGCACCTTGAAAGCATATCAAATGTATGTACATTTTTCAATCAATCAATCAATCATGTTCACATCTGACCAACGCTCCAGGCCACTGAGGTTCAGGTTGACAATGATCAATTTGGGAACAACGACCAAGATGGAGGAGAAATGTTTGGAGAGGCACGGATTGGAACACTTCCATGATAAAATCAACAAGCAGTACTATGACTTGTGTCAGAGGATGGCACTTAGAATCTACGAGAGGTGTAATGGCCACATACCGTCATCGTTTCCAAGTGGCAATGGCCTACCATTGTTGTTACTCGCCAACTCATTCCTTTCATACTGCCTTGAGACCATGAAGGGACAGCCCGACTTTGACAAGGACTATGGCCTCTTCACCAAACTGACATCCAATCAAGACAATTGTCCATGGTCTCAAGAGTGCACCGAGTACCATGGTTTGGTGATTAGGGTAAGTTGGATTGTTGAGATCCGTTGATTGTGATTGATCGATTGGCTAACAACACCTCACTCTCTCAATTATAGTTCAATAGCCTACTCAATTTAAAGTATCCAAGTTCTTATGCCAACCTGAGAAAGTCTGACCTGGATAAACTATTCTCGACACTGGCACTGGAGGCTGAGAAGGCATCATCTACCAAACAAGGCACCGGTATGATCAGGGTTGCCAAACGCCTCAGAGTGTTCTTCACCACACACCCTGTTGGCAAACACATGATTTCCCTAGCCTACAAAATCACTCCCTTGGCCATGCTGGCCTCCGTCGTGATGTCGATTGGACTATGCTACTGTCAATCACTATCCAATGTCAGACCAATCATTGAATCACTGCACAAAGAGTTCGAGAGGATACCAATGAGGAGTGATTCTGGACCATTCATGGATGTGTACATGAAGGTGATCAACGATCTGTTTGGAAATGGTCGCGTCCAGGTCGAGGAAAACGTTGTACTCACTCATGCATTGAAGATCAACATCTTCAGCACGATCGTCGCCATATGCTCCAAGACACCATTGGTCATTGTTGGGCTACCAGGCAGTTCCAAGTCACTCAGCTTCAAGACAGTCAACATCAACCTCAACAACAACAAAGACTCACCAATCTGGGGGTCCATGCCAGTGAGCTTAGTAGGTCTTCCAATCACACAACTTACGACCAGCATCGATGTACTGAGAATGTATGTAAGGTGTGAGGAGGAGCACAAGAAGAACCCGACCAACCAAGCCAACGTTGCCCGGATACAAGTTGCCCTCTTGGATGTGGTGGGCGACAGTGACGCCCTGGGCTCTGTCTTTGAGCACCACGCAATGTACCGGTCAATCACTCCCATCATCCATTCCAACCACATCATGGAGTCACTTCAGCAGCCCATCAACCCATTGTGGACTGTCGTTCATCCAGACACCCCAAGCCCAGAGGATGGAACAATGCTCACTCGTACTACCTTGGCCGGCCACCACAACGTTGAAAAGGTCAGCAAGAGGCTCTGGTCATGCATCTCGACACACATCAATGGAAATGATAGTCCATACCGTATGATGGACTTCAATCGAATGTTGGGATACATGAGGCTGGAACAAGCAAACAATGATTATCCTCTTATCCCTGAGGTGTTGGTCAATGCCATGGAGAGGAGCTTTGGAGGCGTCCTGCCTGAACAATTCAGGAGTGTTGCCAGTCAGTGTGTCGGCTACTTTGTCGCCAACGAGCAGTTGGCCAACAGTGTCACGATAGAGGACAATACACTCAAACGAATCGGCCAAACATTGAGAGCAGAGCTTGGCTTTGTTTCGATTGTGATGGTCAGTGGCATGCCTCAGGAGACCGCACTGGATATACTTCGATATATTGATGCCCATCACTTGACCATCAATGTTGACAAGTCAATGACCTTGTCAAGTCTGGCCGCACAGATCAAACAATTGTGGGTCAAGCCCGACCGCCGTGTCGTCCTGTACAACACCGATCGACTTAATGGATCAGTCCATGAGCTGGTCAAGGCATACCTTGGCTATCCCAACGCTGATGGCGAGATGAATGGCAACCTCAGATTGACCATCCTCTTGCCTGTGACCGAGGCCAAGTCAAACATTTGGTTGGCCAACTATGAGAGGTACCTCCTAACAACAGCCAGTCTACTAAATTGGATGGAGCTTCCACAAAATGGTGCGAAAGATACCCATGTGACTCTTGTCAGACTGATCACGCCACTGCTCAACACTCAATGCACAGCACCTCTCCAGGCCAACATGCAGTGCAATCCTGTATTGCACACAAGCAGCTCACTTCCCATGTATGATTGGATCATAACAGTCATCACTCAATCAATATCGACATGTTTGGTGCCGCCAACCAAAGATCAAGATTGGTTGGCAGCCGACAATCCTTTGGCAGACATGGTCCGTTACATCAAGGGCAACAACGAACTATTGGAATCCTTCATCACAGACTTCATCAAAAGAACATTGTCCTTCAAGGATGACAATCTCGTCGCGTTGGCCTTAGACGTAATCGAGATACTCACCTCAAAGAAGATGAAGGACCTGGACATTGTTACCTTGGTCGCACTCGAGGTCACTCATCGCGACACATTCTACTTCATCAAAAGTACGATGTGTCCTCTCGCCAAATTGGTGCCAGCGCCCAAGGTCGACCCGGTACCAGCAGATGGGGTAGCTGTGGCTGCAACAGCCGCGACCACAAAACTTATAGCATACAATGGAGCAGACACTATCAAGCTCATGACTATAAGATATGCGCTCACTGTCTTGCTTGGAAAACTTCAAGTGATAATGGATGATACATCTAAAGACATTTTAGAAGTGAAGGCCCCTTTGCAGACAGCGATCCAGGGTATCCTCGATCAAGTTCCCATCACGCAGATCATTCACATCATTCATTCAGCCAAAGATAATGATGTAATGACGCTCAACTTCCTCCAATTGTACACAATGCATATATTACTACATTTGTCGAATGAAGGAGGCACCATTGACCACTCTTGGGCCATGATCTATATCATGGTGATGCAGCTGGAAGCCAAGCCCCTCAATGAGATGATCCGTAACCTTGCAATATGCTACAGCACGATCCTTTTGGAGTATTCGACAAGAATCAACATCGATCCATCAGTATTCATGGACATCATCGACCCATTCGTCCCAATCTCACACACTATCCTTCTGGACCTCATTGTTCCTGGATTGTTCACAGGCTACAATGGCATTGCATTCATTCGGGATATACCTCACCACCGGTTCGTCGATGTCATTGAACGATACAATCTGTTGGCCATTGAATCGTTCGTTGGCGATGTAGAGGTACTCCTTGGCAAGGGTCGCATGACCAACCAGATGGTCCCCAACCCCTCGATATTCCAACAAATCGAGGAGCTGTGCAAGAAAGAGGAGAACAAGAAATGGGTCGGACATCTCGGGTTTGCCAGCTTCAGAGCGCTGGAAAGCCATAGGAATCCAACGCTGGTAGCCGTGTTGCTCCAGGTCTATGAGAATATGTCCAAAGTCTTGGGTGAGGTGGAGGTGCGTGCATATTCAAATGGCCACGATCATTTGACGAGGATCAAGCATGCGGCAAGTGCCACACTGTTGGTCGAGCACCTGGCCACCTACATCAACTCGTGCAAGGATCTCCTCAAGGTCACCGACTGTCTGCTAGAGTACTGTGACATCACTACACAACTTCGAGACAACGTATTCAGAGACTACATTCGCAAGGATGATGTCAAGGTCAAGTCGGGCAGGTTCAACAGCATCTACCTGTTGACACTGATCAATGATGACCTGTTGGCGGGAATGCTACAGTGCCACTTGTTGGAGCAGCTTGGCATGGAGTACCTGATCACCTCCGGTGGTCCTTCGCCACTGATCGACATTGTCAAAGCCATCAAGAAGAGTCTACATCAGAGAGCCCAACTGCCAATCGTTCCACAAGAGGAGAAGTATGTGACAAAGACTTGGCAGAGTGTCTTTGTTGAGTTCCTCCAAGCATTCCAAGTGTGCATGACCATGGTGCTCCCTCAATCATTCATCCATAGATCAGTTGGAGATTGTATAATGTACATCGAGCAACTTGGAGACATCAAGCTAGACAGGCAGTTCTCATTAAGTTTGCTCAAGGACAAGTGGAGCATGTGCAAGAAGTCATTCAATAAGTTGATGTCTGATTCAACAAAGACTCCTTTCGTGAAGGCAGTCATTGGACATCATCATGTACAGCATCTCAATGACAACACAATCATATCCAAGCTCCTATTTACATGTATTCCAAACAAAGATGTTAAAGGAAATGACACGACATCAACATCATTATCAAATGGATTACTCATCGATTTGATCAATGCAAGCAATGATCCTATGGTTTTATCCACCATCACTCCATTCATATTTGGACCTTCTGGCGTCAACAACAACAAGAACGACAAGGACAACAACAATGACAACCATAACAACACCTCCACAACCACCAACAATGATGATAACAACAACAATAATAACAACAACAATAACAACAACTCGACCAACTCTACCAACTCAATCAAGTCCACTAACTCGGTCAAGTCCACCAGCTCAATCAAGTCCACCAACTCTTTCAAGTCGCCTGACTCCACGTCCACAAACAACAACAACAACGACTCCACAAACTCCTCCAACAAAATTGATTTCAAAGGAGAAGAACCAAAGGCTTACTTTTTGAGTAGTGTAATGCCACTTTGCGTGAAACCGATTGAAAGCAATGACCTAGACAAGTTCATTGACAATCTAGAGATATCATCCACTTCATGCAATATAATCAAGGACATTCTGGGCCAGATGAACATTGATACAGTGTCCATCCTACTATTTTCAATCAAACAAGGACCTATACTCAACACATTGGTAAAGGAGTTGAAGCGACAGGTACCCGTCGAAGCCTCATGGAACCGATTCCTCAGAATATTGGAGCTGATCAGTGGTGACAAATATCCACTTCCATCATTCTTAATCAAAATCATCAAGCACAAGACAATGATGATGGACAATGATCATGATCTATCTCATTGGCTTGAAGGAACTGGTCTGCATCCAGTTCGTCTGCACGCCATCCGCAGCTCACTAGGAGCTCAATGTACATTAAGTGATTTCGCCAATCATATCATCAACAAAACATGTGATACCAATATCATACCAGAGACATGTCGTCTCTACCTTTTGGACATGCTTCCATAATAAAAGACTCCTCAGGTTGAGTCTTTGGCCCTCCACAAAACTGCCAAATCAAGAATACAATGCAAATTCAAATTTCTTCTTGGAAACGATGTAACGGATACATCCTAAAGTGTCGTTTGTGTGAACAGATGAGTTATGACTGTTTGGATTGAAGAACAATACATATACATACATATATAAAGTTACAGATACAGATACACTATAGATATAATACAATGTGTGGAAGAGCAGTTTGTACACTCAATCCTCAAGAGATAATGGCAAGGACTGATACCAATGAGTTTGTTGGTCGAAACAACTACAGGGCCAGTTACAATGTAACACCTGGTACACATCAAGCTGTGATCACAAACTACATGTCCACCATAAACACTACTACCACTACTACCTCATCAACTACTGCTGCTGCTCCACAACAACAGCAACAACAACAATCATTCAATATGGGTGTTGTTAGAGTTGGAAGATGTGATCGTATTGCAATGGCAATGACATGGGGAGGCATTGGAGACCCTCAGTACAACATCATCAATATAAGATCGGACTCTATACCCAACAACAACCTATTCAAGAGTTTGATCTCAAAGAGACGTTGCCTCATCGTGGCCGAAGGCTTCTATGAGTGGAGCCACAAGAGTGACGAGTCATCCAAGATACCTCCATCACCATACTACTTCTACCCTGCCCCGTCGTCACAACCAGACACATCATCATCATCATCAACATGCCCCGATGTTGACATGTCAGACCTCGACGACAACAACAACATGATGGACAACACAACACAGCCAACACCATCATCACCAACAAAGCAAATGATCTTGATGGCTGGTGTGTTCCAGATCAAAGAAGAACAAGGATGGAGGAGATGACTACCGCTACTCCCTGATCACCACCGATGCATTCAAGGGCATGGCATCAATCCATCACAGAATGCCTGTAATCTTTACAAACAAAGCTGATATTGATCTATGGCTGCGACCATACGACGAGAAGAATCCAGTTGACATACCAACATTATGTCAAATGCTCAAACCATATGATGGTCTATCATTGTATGTATCACTGATATTCAATCATTCACTCATTCATTCAATCATACTAACATTGTCTGAACACAATAGCCACAAGGTACCAGTACTTGTCAACAGTAACAAGTTCAACTCACCAGATTGTATTCTACCTGAGAAGGAATACTTTGCAAAGTCTGGCATTGACAGGTTCTTCCAACCAAAGAGTAGCACTGCTACACCTACATCAACAACATCAACTCCATCATCCACTCAACTCCAATCCTCAAGTGATGACATATCTCAATCAATCTCACAAACTAGTTCACAAACAACTTGCTCTCAGGCATTCTCACAATCGGACCCATCCACGACCCATCATCAACTATCAGCTTCTTCCACTCCATCCTCAACACCGACAACTACGACGCATGTACCAAAATCACCATCTAAATCCAACAAACACAGTGTGACCAGCAAGCCCAAGCCCACATCCAGCAAAGGGAAGCCCAAGCCAACATCCAAATCAGGACTAAAGGAAAACTCGGGAGGAATTGACACATTTTTTAAGCGAATCAACAAAGATTCATAATTTGATTGACTTTTGGTGGCAAAGTCATCATTCTTGCATAAAAGACAACATGTATCATTCATTAGACCATTATCGTTTCGAGCTTATTATCACTTTAACAAACAAATACACATATGGGAGTAGCTGGATTCACTACATTCTTCAAGTCCTTTAGGTCTGGCAAGAGTATTTCAGTGTCCGAGATTGCCAAGACCAAGAGTATGTCTTGTTCATTCGTTCATTCAATCATTCAATCGAGACCAATCACTGACTAACATAACAACAGGGGTCATCATCGCTATTGATGGCAACGCATTGCTTTATAACCTTGCTCAGACTGAACTATCATCATGTGGCTCATACTTGCACGTATGTGATTGATCGATCATGGGCACACTCGCTCGATCAACTTACTTAACTTATCATCATTGCTCATCGTATATAGCTCAACAACTCATTCAGAAGATTCTTTGAGATATTGAAACGATTCAATGTCGAACCTGTTGTGTTCTTGGATGGACTTTCACCAGAATCTAAACTCGAAGAGTTGGAGTCTCGTTTCGCCAACAAGCTCAAGGACATCAAGATTGTGACCACCAACCTCAAGGAGAACAAGCCATTCCCATTCTCCACTGACTTTGCACCTGCACCAAAGTTGATGGCTGTATGTAGGCACTCTTCAGAGTTCATGAGGACCTCTGACTGATCAATCAATCAATACTTTAGGCTCAATTCAAACATGTAATGTCAGATATGGGCGTACAGTTCCATACTACATTCCTTGAACTGGATCAATACATTGTACAATGGGCAGATGACAACAAGGACAAGGTATTTGGCATCTTATCGAATGACTCTGACTACTTCTTCTTCAGATTCCAAAGTATCTTGTACTTCCCACTGAACGATTGGACTATGGATGACGACGAGATACTTGGAGTTGGTTATGTCACAGCTGATGTAGCCGAGACCCTCGGCATCTTGGAGAGGGTATGCATGATCACTCAATCATAATGGATGGGATGGGATGGTGACTAACTCCAAATCTCGCATCAATGGCTACATAGCATCTCCCAATACTTGCAACAATCACTGGCAATGACTTTACCAAGCACATCATCTCGAAACACAAGGGACCTCCAAAGTATCGCATACCAAAGATCATTGAGAACTTGAACAGGAATAGACGACTGAATATCGAATCAGTGTTCAAGGACAACTACTTCAAATTATCGGATCAGGACTTAAAGACATGCTTGAAGTCATACAACTTCTACCAACCAAACGAGCAAGAGGTGTCGCCTGCTACGGGCATCACTCAGGCGGACGGACTGTTCTTCCGCCACTGCACCGACCCTCGATTCCTCATGCTCAAGGCCGACCACAAGTACTTCAACAGATTCTTTGGTACAGGTTACAACATGGTCAACTACAACTACCTATCGCTCCTTATCTCCAAGCGACTACAAATGTCCAGCTTCTGCATTGAGCCAAACATACACTATCACCAATCAATCATCTTCCACACGTCGCCCATTCGCCAGAAGATGTTTGGTCTGATCTCCTACCCTCCAGATCCCACTCCATTCAAGTGTATGTTAGTTATAGCAAGCGGTTCTGGTGATGTGATGACTAAACATTCAACCAATCAATCAGATGTTGACCTTGTACCTCATGATGATACATACCTCCGCAACTTGGAATCTCCATTATATACAACATTCGGTATCGATGAGTGTTGGGACGAGAAAGTCACGCTTAGTGCCAGAATCAAGGAGTTCTGTCTAATCTTTGGATCGAGTGAGGCCAAGGCCATCAGCTACAGCACCAAATACACCAAAGGTGCCTTCGACGACTTGATGCTCATCCTGTATGTACTCGTTCTCGCTCCCACCTAGCTCCAATCCACTCACTCACTCAATCAATGTCATAGCTTCTGTCGATTCTTGAGGAGCAAGCAACTGGCTATCAATTTGGAAGAATGGATGATTGACTTATGGGTGTTCAACTACTTGTTGTTGGGACAGGGTATCGCATTGCCCAACCACGAAGTGTTTACAAAGGATCAGATCACTTATATGCCAACTCAGTTGTCTGACTTGTTTGCCACACTCTACTTCTTGGCCTACACAATAGTAGAGGTGTTGAATATTGTCAGTTGGTGTCCATTCCGAGCACCTCATAAAGTGATCGATACCATCAACCTACATCTATTGTGGACTGCCGCTTCACCACATCTATCATCTCTGGCAAATGGAACAGGACATCGACTTGATACATTGTTCTCCAACACAGTTTACAATGATATGATTGATGATCAGATCAGATCAAAGTTTGATCAACTCAAACAACATATCAATCATGTTGTTGATGTTGTAGGAGATGATGAAGATGAAGATGATGATGAAGATGATGAAGATGATGATGTTGACTCACTTTCAAGTGGAGTTCAATCACTGGGCATCAAGACCATAACTACGAACAATGGTGCGCCATCAGCCAATTAGATCCATCCTTTGGAGGATGACCCAAGGTATCAATCCAGCAATAAACAGTTACCTAGTTTGTGTAATATGGTATGGCACAACGTGGCCCAACATCAGAATAAACTTGATTGTTGGGGGCTTTTGTAGACTACTCTTCCGAGATGGTTTCAGGTGGCCGATCACACTCATGATCGGTGTGAATTTGTGATTGAATGATTGAATGATTGATTGAGATTATTGCCACACTACTGCACTGGATGAACATGAGTGTGTTTAAAGATCGATGGTGACGCGTTGGCTTTAGCCTCATCATCAATAAACTCCAATCCAACTCACTCACTCAATCAATCAGATACATACATATAAGATACAAATACAATTATAACTACAACAACAAAGTATGATTGAAACAACCATGAACAACAACAATAATGATAAGATCAAGATTGGTATAATCCTATCAAGTGTAAGGGACAATAGAATTGGAAGATCAATTTGTGATTGGATGATGAAATTGGTTGAACCATCAACATCACCAAAGGTGGAGTTCGTCCTGATCGATCTGAAACAATGGAGCCTGCCAATGTTTGACTCGCCAGAGGTCCCCCGCGAGACCACCCAGTTCCACAGCGACATTGCCCGTCGATGGAGTGAGGAGATCAGCGAGAAGCAGGCCTTCGTCCTGATCACGCCCGAGTACAACTATGGCTATACAGCGCCACTAAAGAATGCCCTGGACTACCTGTTCAGAGAGTGGAATGAGAAGCCCGTCACACTGATCAGCTATGGCTTTGGCGGAGGTGGGCGCTCTGCTTCGCATCTCAAGGGCGTGCTGACCGATGCGCTCAACATGAAGTTGATCGACACTCAGCCACAACTATTCATCAACTATGACATGCTGGACAAGACCACCGGTGAGTTCCACGATATCTCCACCACCTTCAAGCAGTACGAAGAAGTAGTCAAGAAGTCTGTCCAAGAGGTCTGTTCACTATTAGTATCCTGTCCATGATGAATCATTAAATTGTACATTTGATTGATTGATTGATTGATCGATCGAGCATATTATAGTATATCTTTGTACCATTTTTATTGCTGTTGCTGAGCCGCTGATGCTGCTTGTTGAGCAATAGTCTTAATCTTTGTTTGAAGTTCGAATACCTTGTTTCTTTGATCCAATGCCTTCTTTTCTGTGTCCTTATAGTTGACCTCGACTTGCTTCCTATTAAGGTGTAATCATGTTTGTTTGTTAATGACCTTTAATCAATCGATTGATGTGATTAGGGGACATACAGATTCTTTGAGATAAGTTCCAGACGAGCAGTGATAGTTGTCTCTGCCTCAGTCTTTGATTGCTTAAACAGTACTGGACCAATAAGTTTGTAGATGTTTGTCTCCTCCTCCAACAGATCAAACTCCTTCTTCACCAATTCATTCTCATTCTGTTGTGTCAGCAATGTAGTTCTAGCCTGTGCAATCTTTTGTATCTCTATATACATTCATATGATATATAAGTAAGTTAGTTAGTAACATTCAATCATTCATTCAATCACTCAATCACTCAATCATTCAATCATTCTTACCCTTTTGTAGACCATCAAACTCCTCTCTTGCTTTCAGCAATGTCTCTTGAAGTGCTTGTATCTGTACCTGTGCTGATGCCATTGTATATGTTTATATATATATGTATGAAGAAGTGTAAGTATTAGTTGTCGTGGATCTCAGAGATACTCTTTGGTTTGATTCAAAAAGTTAACTTCGACCTCATTCTCAAACAATTTGCCTCTTCAATCCCAAACCCAGCTCGACCCACACACATCAAACAAGCATTGTTGAGCTCCACAACACCAACACATTCATTCAATCAATCTTAGTTGTAACTTATAACTTACTTGTTATACAGATATGTATGTATAACTATACTCATACAATCAATCAAACAAAGTCTAACAATGATTGAATGAATACAGGGATCACTATCCAGATTATCACGAACGTCAACCAACTTTATCAACATCAAAGTTGGCTTTGGTCAATACATTCGGTGGATTGATATTCGGTTATAATACAGGTGTAATTGCTGGAGTGCTCAATATTGATCCATGGAAGTCTATGAGTGATATCGATCGTGGTATACTAACATGTAGTATACTGCTCGGTGCAATGATTGGCTCATTGCTGGGAGGACTGGTCACCGAGCGACTGGGGCGCAAACGTCCAATGCTCATGATTGGCGCGCTCACCGTCATTGGTGCGATTGGCTCGGCCCTGGTACCTGCCAACCTCTGGTACGTCTCTCTCTTCCGTCTCATCCTAGGTCTTGGAGTGGGAGCCTCTGGCATCGTGTGTCCGCTGTACGTTGGCGAGATGTCCGACCCTCTCAGGAAGGGCACGCTCGGCACAATCTTCCAGATCGCCATCACCATTGGTATACTCATTGGTGATTGTGTTGGCTTTGGCTTCATCGATGTCAAGTACAACTATCGTTGGATGTTCTCATTCGGAGCACTACCAGGTTTGTTGCTCATTGGCCTTATCTTCTTCATTCCCGAGTCATTTGCTTGGCGTGAGAAACAATCTGCGCAGCAGAACACTCTTTTACTGTTGCATCGTGATAGCAGAAATGAGGGTATCAAGTCGTTGCTCTCAAAGCCCGAGGGACGCTTCGCTCTGTTCATGGGCGCCATCCTGGCCGTCAACAATCAATTGACCGGTATCAATGCCTTTATGTACTTTGCCCCTAACATCTTTGGTGAGGCCGGTATAGAGAGTGTCAATGGACGTATGATTGCAACTGTAAGTACTTATAATCAACCTTCCAACGGAACCATTCCACTCACTCACTCACTCATTCAATCAATCAAACGATCAGATATCACTAGTAGCATGGAACTTTATCACAACATTAACAGCAACATTCTTTGTGGATAGGATTGGCAGGAGGAAGCTGACATTGTACAGTTCGACTGTGATGACATTCAGTTGTCTGTGTCTGGCACTGATGTTCTTGTTGCTCAATGGCACCACGTTGGGAGTGCTGTCAATCATTCTTCTATTCCTGTTCATCGCTGGATTTGAAGCTGGTGTCGGCCCACTCTTCTGGATCATGGTCATTGAGATATTCCCACCCGAGTGCAAGGATGTTGGATCAAGTCTGTTGAACGCACTGCAGTGGTCATTCAACATTATACTCTCATTTAGCTTCCTGTCACTAGTGACACTTATTGGACAATCAGCAATCTTTTGGATCTTTGGTGGAATTGGTGTCGTCTGTCTCATCTTTATGTACATCTATCTCCCGGAGACCAAGCAACAGATGAACTATGAAGCATTGTAGACCAAGTTCTTCACCTATCCATCCAGGTTTGTACATACTGATCAAATAAATAAAATCCATACTTTTTATGTGTGATCAATCAAATTCGATCACTTTGAGTGACCATTTGATCAAAGTTGAAGAGATACACAAGTGTACCAACATGGCTGAGTAAGTATAACGACACAACTTATGGTATAGTGTTCTAACAACATCAACAACAATGACCAATAGTCAAATTATTGTCCCTTATTTTGTCGCCAAGGCAATCATTGACCCATTGTTGCTTGATGAGAGGCAAGGTTATGAATGGCCAGAGCAATGGATACACTACAACAACTCTATAATGCTACCACTATCGTTGATATGTAAGGCCTTCCACAAGGCTGTATCAAGATCAACAACTCATTACACTTGCAAAAGGTCATTACCTCTCCTGTTCCAACATCTTACAAACATTGACAACAAAACAACATCATGGTCATTATGGCAAGGACTACAGACGGCTGACTGTGTTTATATACATGATATCTTGTACAGGATGAACATCAAATATGTTACACTAGACCCGAACATGGACTACTTCCTCCTTTATGATCTGGACTATTGGAGTGAGATTAAATCAATTCTGATCAACTACGAACCCGATCCTCCACAAAGGAAGCGATTGCTGGAGATCGCAGAGAATATCAAGACCGTGAGAGTTGATATTAGTGCTGGAGAATCATTCAAAGGCTTATTCTATATGTCTCTTACAATGTTCACTAACCTGACATCGCTAGAGATATTGAGAGTGCCTTATGAAATAGCAGATCATCCGAATGTATGGCACCCCAATCAGCTCTTTGAAGCACTGGAGCAGTTGACAGAGCTAGAACACCTTACACTTGGCAAATCATTTAAACAAAATCAGAGTGCCTACATCAAACGATTGTTGCTCTATCTCCAGCATCCCAACACTTGCCTCCAATCACTTAGATTGGATGACCAACTTAATGATTCACCCATAGTGAAGAAGCTAATTTACTTCCTGTTCCAATCACTCGAGAGCACAGTTTCCAAGTTGTCCATTGATCTCTCATGGAGCAATAAGATCCTTATCAAGACTCAGTTCGACGTCTTGGAGTACAGGTCCTATGATCTTTTTCAAAAAACCCCTGGCCAGACATTTGACATGGTGAAGCATCTCATTTGGAGGAACGATCTTGGTGATGAGACTCTATTGAGTGTCCTTCGCACATGCCGCTCAATCCAGACGCTGACGCTGAGCATCACCCGTAGAACAAAGTATGACAAATTGATTGGAGCACTGTTGGACAACACGACATTGAGAGAACTGCGATTGATAGTAGAAAGGATCCATCCCAAACTCAGTGGTGCGAAATCTCCTATTGATATTCGCAAGCTTCATTCGGCCATCATCCAACACCCATCCATTCAGAACAAGGACAAGTACTTGGTCTACCAAGATGCCCCTCCAAGCGAGCACTACGATGTTTGGACCAGTGGCAATCATCCATTTGGGCATCTTCCAAAGCCTGCTTGAATATCCAAGAAACAATAAGATTCCTTCTATAAGTAGAGCATGTTGTAGGACTTTAATTCTTCTAAACTATCAATCAATCTTCTCTGGCCTCTTCGCGGCTCTCTCTCTCTTTCTTTGAACTTTCAACAAGACTCCTCAGTCTCTTGATGTCCAATTTCTGAGCTGGCTTTGGTGGTTGTAGTTGTTCCACGGGAATAGGAGGAGCAGCATCCTCCTCCATATCCTTTCTCTTCTTTAGTCTTGATTGTTTTTGAGCTGCTGGTGGAGGTGGAGCAGGAGCAGTGGCGGTTGATTGTTTGCTCTTAGTTGTTGACTTGGTATTTACATGCTTGGTGGTGGGAATGTCCTCTCTTGCCTCGACTTCCTCTTCACTGCTTTCGTCGCTAGTGTTGCTGGATACTGTCCTTGCTGGCGGCAACTTCTTCTTCTCAACTCCATTTGTCTTGGTAGTGCTAGTCGATGCCTTCACTGCTGGCTTTGCCGTTGCCTTTGTCAATGTCTTGGTTGATGCCTTTGCTGGCACCTTCACCGGTGATGTCTCACTCTCCTCCTCACTGCTGACGATTGGCTTTGTCTTTTGCTTTGATGATACTGCTCCTCCTTTCTTTGGAGCAGTGATGACCTTGGCCTTGACGTTCCTCTTCCTAGGCTCCTCATCACTCGGCTCCTCGCTGTCCTCATCGCTTTCTTCATCCTCGGACGCAGCAGTCTGGTCCTCTCGCACAACCTCCTCTTCCTCCTCGATCTCCTCTTCCACCTCCTCTTCTTCATCTCCATCCTCTGCCAGGGCTTTCTTGTCCATGACGGCACCCTCAACATCCTGAATGAACTGATGCAGATGTGCCAGATATGATACACTGTACAGCTTGCTCTCGGGGATTGTAAAATGTCCATCGACGCTCTTGAATCGGAACACCTTGAACAGCTTCTTGACGTGTCTGTTCTTGACGTAGGCGGCCTCAAGGACGGAGGGTCTGAACACGTGTCTTGTGAACTTGCCCTTGAGCGTCTCCTTGCCTCTGACCACAGTGGCACTGATCAGATGATCCTTGATCCACATCAGAATGGCATCGCCATCGCTATGCTTCAATATCTTCTTCACCAATCTCTTGAATCTGTTGACCTTTAGCTTGGACTGCAGGCCCACCACCTTGTTGCCAAGAATCTCCTCGTCTGATGAGAATGTGTCCTTGCCTGCCTCCTCATCCTCCTCGTCCGGCTGGTTATTGCCATGTGTAATCTTGTCGTCATCTGCATCGCTATCCATGTGAGCCTCGCCGTCTGATGAGAGTTCTTCGTCTTCGTCCTTTTTGCCTCCTCTCCTCTTTGCACTACTGCTCTTCTTTGTTCTGCTGCGCTCATTGAGTGAATCGCGTGGATCATTGAGTATGTCGTTGGCAGACTTTATACATGCGCTGGCGCTCTTTTGGACGAGCAACTGGAGGAACATGCCTTGGCTCTCCTCGGCCGCCTTGAAGAAGTTGCCAACGACAGTTCGAGCCAACTCGAGCAACTCGATTGCATTGGGGTCTTTGGCCAAGATGGGATCGTTCATAAAGTTGTTGAATATGTAGAAGATGGAGAGACGGTAGAACATGGGCTCGACGTCCAACTCGCTGATCATACTCTTGATCATTGATACCAGCTGCATATTGGTCTTGTCCGTGTTCATATGGTAGTTGCCAAGCAGGTTGCAAAAGTTTGTGATGACGCTGACGTTGGCAAAGTCCAGCAAGAATGAGAAGAATGACATTGTCGTCTCGGCTGACTTGGCATCCTCGGCATCTTCTGCCATCTCTGTGTCCTCGTCCTCGCCCTCGCCTTCGCCCTCGCCATCTACATCGTGCTCGTCCTGGACAGACTTGGATCGCCTCTGCACCTTCTTCTTGACAGTGATTCCTTGTTGTCGCTCGCAAAAACGCTTGACCATGTGGATGGTGGTGTAGGAGAGGTTGCAGAGGTCGATCAGCATGCTGGACGAGTGCAGCTTGGGATCGTAGCGCTTGAGCAGATCGATCACCTTCCTCAGAAAGACGTCGCGATTGTAATAGATGTTTGATTGCATCTTCTGGGAGACCTTGATGTACTCGCTGTTGTCCGACACGGACATGTAGTACAGCAGCTCGACCATCACGCACAGCGTCGACACGGTCTTCTCGAGCGACACGTAGCTGACGTAGCGACTGTTGCGCACGCCCAGGTACGAGTCGATGCACGCAAAGATAAAGTTGAAGTTGGAAAGTGACAGGGTGGCCGACAGGCTGCCAATGATGCGCTGATGCTGTTGCTGTTGTTCAGCCGCCAGGCTGGCGATGTTGCTGTTGTTGCTCTGTAGCAGCTGGAGCGTGAAGCCTGTGAAGTAGTGGGTGATCGCGATGAAGTTCTGGCGATCCATCTCCAGGACTGACTTGTCTTTGGCAAACTCGAGCACGATGATCTCCATCAGCACGTTATAGCAGCCGTCGAGGAACTGCTCGCTCCAATCCTTGAGCACACGTCTGAGACGCGCTGACGACTTGGAACGCTGCGCGCTGCCCTTGACTCGACCAATCACCTTGGGTTGAATGCTGGCGACCATCGTCGCCTGCATCGACTTGGGATTTATGGTGAGTGGCTTGAGGTTGGCGGCGCCATCAGCTGTGGGCAAGCCGTGATTGTGTATGTTTGCCTTGCCACGTGCGTCCAGCGACTTGTACGTGCCGATGAAGCGTGTGGAGAATGAAGGATTGCTCGCGCTGTGATTGAGTGCTTTGAGCTGGCGCTCCTTCTTTTGTAGCTGGAGCAAGGGGTCGGTCTTCATCCGTTGCTTGCGCTCGTCCTCTGTGATCTTATCATCGCCCTGCTCAAACTGCACCGATTGGAACACCTCAGACGGCTGTTCATTCCTCAAGATGTTGGCAAAGATCTCCAACAACAACAATGAGAAGATTGAGTTGGCACGGAACAACCTATTCTCCTTGATCGTCTGTGAGAGTGTGAGGAACAAGTCCATGATCTTGACCCTGGATGATTGATTGATTGATTGATTGATTGAGCGAGTCGGTCAGTGAGTGTGAGTGAGCGGGATGGTTCCATGCGGACAGACATACTTGTCAAGGAGTAGGATGAACTCCTCTTGGAGATGCTCCTTCTCGGAGACCATGACGCCAGTGCCAGAGTCTGGATCCTGGATTTGTAGAATGTTCCTGATGAGTGAGAGGATGAGCTCGATGATTGATGAGTCGATCTCTTCAATCTTCTTGATGGCCTTGGCCTCGGGTGTGGTTGCAGTCGTTGTAGTAGTCGATGCCGATGTGAACAATCTAATCATTGGCTCACGCATCACAGACAACAACATCATTAAAAAGTCCTCATTAATGAATGACGCCTTATACTCCAACAAGTAATGTACCTGAGTCGCCAACTCATTCGATTCAGGTGGTATTGGCATCGTAAGCTTGACCAATATACGCACTATGTTTGATTGATTGATGAGTTAGATGATGCATGATTGACTTGGGATGTCGACACACGTACATAGTTGAACGACTAGAGGTGTGTCATCGGAGCATGTGAGTACGAGTGGGATAAGCTTGTTCTTGATGATGTTCCATGGTCCAATTGTGAGGAAGACATCTCTAAAGTTATCATTGTCACGACGAAGATATCGTATTAACTCTACACATGATGCCTTGCAATCATCACCCTTTACAAACTGTTGTTGTTGTGTCTGTTGTTGTTGCTTCTTGTTTGTACTTCTTTGTTGAGGAAGGTCTTCAAGACCACCCATCTCCTCAACAATGAATATTAAATGTGTTTGATCTTCTTGATCCATTGTTGATTGATATATATGTAAGTATTACTAATACTAATACTATTACAACTACATGTACTCCTTGAAGGTGAATCATTGAATGAGGAAGGACCTTCCTTTGGCTGCGCGAAGATGTGGCGCCAAAATTCAAACTTGAGGACGGTTGCGAAATTTCATTTGATTTTCAATCCATCCAAATATGGAACTGTTTAATCAATCAATCGTTTTCTTTGGAAGCGACAGTAGTAGATGGACCAACATCTTCATCATCAACAAACTGATCATCATCGCTGTTATCATCATCGGTATCCTTCTTGTTGTCTTCGTCCTCCAGGTACTTCTCCCATACTTTGAGTCGCATCTCTCGCTCTTCTTCAGTCTCCTCGACATGGTAGTCTGAATAGCCATCGTAGTAGTCGGCGTGTAGTTGTCTCTGTGCAAAGTATCGACCTTCCATCAGTGCGACACATCGCTCGGCCGACTCAAAGTCCTTGAACTTGATTGTTGCCACGCCCTCTGGATTTCGCTCAAAGATCGTGATCGACTGTATCTCTCCACATCGCTCGCAGCCCGCCTCGATATCCTCCTTGAGCTCTTCAAAGAAGTTTGGGTTTGTCCACGACTCGACTGGATCAAAAAGGTTCTTTATCACAACTACTCTAGTCTCTGCCTCTCCCCATCCATAATCACTAGTGTCATTGATTGAATGATTGAGTTAGTACGATGCTCGCTCGCTCTCATGTCATATCATATCATATTACATACGCTTCTTTCTTCTTATCCTCTCTTGTACTTCGCCTGCTCTTCTTTACTGCAAGTGCTGGGTCTGTCTTGGTGACAATCTCTTCGCCTTGTGCTTGTGACAATGTTATGGGATAGCCTTTGACCATTTCGACACCATCAAATAGTTGTATGGCCAGTGGGAGTGACTCTTTGCGAGCAAAGCATATTACTGCCTTGCCAATGCGCTCGCCTGTAGCTTCGTCGGCGAGGAAGTGTATGCGGGGAACGCCCTCCTCTATCTCCTGTATGAAGCCAGCCTTCCTAAACATTTGATATAAATCATCCACTGTCACCAAGTCCTTTGCCAGGGGAAGTCCTGACACGACCAGATCCACTATATCAGGTACCTTCTGTACTTGTGCTGCTCCATCATCTTTATCAGGTTGTTTCTGTCTATCATTCCTATTTCTCTTATTATTATTTTTATTATTATATTGTTTCTTCTTATTATTGTTATTGTTGTTGTTGTTTGAAGACATTATTATATTGTTTGTTGTATGTTATATATGTACACGATTATTACTTCATCGGCTGAGTAATAACATGAATGAAAGAATGAAGTATACACTTTCACTTCTCTAATTTCTTCAATTTTAGTGTCTTTTTCAAAAAGTTCATCAAACAAGTCGACCTGGAATCCAAAGTTAGTCATTCCTTCAACTTTCCTCACATCATCCATCACTATCTATGTGGACCGCAACATGATGCATTACATAATGAGTACTCCACTCATTCATTCATTCTTTGTTATAAACAACAACAACAACAACAAATAATAACTTATTCCAACAACAAATTAACAACAACAAATGTCCAACAACAACAATGATTGTTTCAAAAAGGAGGAGGAAGAGCCTACAAGAGTTAATCCAATTCTTCATGTGTTGACAAATAGAGTGCTGTTTAGGGAGGTCACCGCAAGATTCAACAACCAACATACTTATCGTAATGCTTGGATTGATATGTGGTTCTACTCAGATGCCTTCAGCAGGCTCTATCCAAAATATCATCACTGGACTGATGTAAACGAGATTGTTAGTAATGGCCAATTCGGACTGCTTCGAGACCGTATCAAGAGAGACCTGCCAATCAACGCCAGCCAGGAATCAATGACCAAAGTCTGTCGACAGAAGATAGACAGGGAAACATTCTTGGCATTGCACAACAAGTATCAAACATACTTCAGGTCCCAGGATGCGATAAGAGAGGCTGTCCGAGCTGGCAACATAGAGATCACTGAGATACTACTCAATCAAACCCAACCCATTCAATTCAAACGTTTGGAGGTCTTGCTGAAGGAAGCCGTGACCAGCGGTCAGTTCAAAATGCTCAAGTATCTCTGTGACACTGGACTGTTCAACAATAACCTATTGATCGAGGAGCATGAAATGGTGACCGCCAATCTCTTTGGAACAAGAAGGGCAAAGGACATTCGCTTTGTGTTGGATCCAAACAACTTCCCATCTCGTCTTGGTGACCTGATCAAGTCGTGTGCTCAGATGGGCCAATTCGCTCAACACATAATAATGACTGGAGACCAACAACTGATCGAGGAGTTGCTCCTTGGTCCAATGCCCAACATCAAGAGTGGATGGAACGGTGACAATACCTACACTATGACTTACTGCCCACTTTACGATTTGGCTCCGATTGAACAGGTGAAGCATTTGAAGCGACTCGTTCGGTTTGGCTTCATCAATCGTGATACTTCCGTGACCAATCAGACTGCACGCGACCACCTTGCATCGTCAATGGCAACAACAATATCAATTGCTCGTGCAGAGAAATGTGTGGATGAAGTGTCAAAGGTGGACATTGGAGAAAGGGCGCGACTAACCTTTGTCACCATTGGAGTGTTGGCTAATATGAGCCATATCGATGAGTACAGATTCTTCAACTACATCATGCAACATTACTTGACCACTGGTGATTGCATGCTCATTCCCTATCTCATGAGAATGACGAAAAGTGTCAATGTAGAGAAGACCATGTTCAAATGGATTGTTAAGCTTGGCAATCTCACTCAAGCCAAGGTGGCGATGGGATACTTGAAACAACTCCCCAGTCACACAAGGCATTCAATGGGGAAGTATTTTGATTCAGAACTTTACAACATGGCATCAATCCATTCACTCAATCCTGCAGGCAGTCTTGAGGTGATCCGATACCTCAACGACCATGGCGTCACCCTTCTTGCTCAAGCCTCAATCGAATATTTGGATAGCGTCGAGATGCTTTCATTCATTTTGTCTGGCGACAATAGGATATTCCCAACTTGTCGTCCAGAGAAAGTTATCGAGCCAAAGGCATTGCTATACGTTCTCAAGAACAAGCCATATACCATCTCACAGCGGCAAGGCAAGTCCAATGCATGTGTGGCCGCACTCTGTGGCAGAGAGGACATTGTCCTCACATTTCTGGAGCACTGGCCAGCATTGTTCTCCAAGGAACCGGAACTCCAGCTGGTGGCCGTCATGATTGGCAATCAATACATCACAAACAAGCTCGAAGAGAAGGGATTGCTCAACTTCTCAACAGTGGACGCGTGGCAAAACATTGCCAAGCTTGGCGATGTCGACATGTTTGAGTATGCACTCAAACACTGCACCTTGCTACCGTCTCAGAGATATGAAATACTGGGCCACATGATGGAGCGTGCAGCACGAATGAGCCAAACCGACCTTGTCAAGCATTGTTATCTCAATCACAAAGACAAGATACCAAAGGTATCAGACACACTTTTGGTCGAAGTGACCAAATTGGGCAACTGGCAGTTGTTGGAACAACTCTTCACCATCACCTCTGCCTTGCAGACTGCACCAATCGATCATGTGATCAAGTACGTTGAACTGGCATGCATGAATGGACATGTATCGACATTGGATACCATCCTCAGCCATATCCAACTAGAGCAGAGATCAACAATCATACACAAGCACAATCTTGAAGCCGCCATTGACAGGAATGATGTAAACATGCTGAACTATGTTCTTGCTCTCCAAGACAAGCAGTAAACAAGACAAAGAGTGAACTGTGAAGACAATCAAATGGAGGAAGGGTATTCGACTCATCCATTCATGATGGAGTGGTCGACGAGTTTATTGGTGATTAGTACTCTGGCAGAGAAGGTGAGGTTATTATGCTCTGGCACTAGCTTTGGGCTTGGCGGTGGCTGGTTTGTCAATCTTGCCATCACCATCTTTATCCTTTTCCTTGCTGTCTGGATGCCATCCTTGTCAGTGTCCTTAGGCTTGGCTGCGGCTGGCTTGTCTGGCTTTCCATCACCATCCTTGTCTGGTCTGACCTGAGGACCTTCATCGTTGTGGAACAATTTGGCAGGCAAGATCTTCTCCAGGGAACCGTCGGCAAACTTATCCTTCTTACGTTGGGCTTCACACCTGGACGGCTCGGTGCACGAGGGACCATCTTGAGTGGGGCGTCACGGGCGATACCGACCGACTTGGAGGCTACAATGTTACTGGTGTCGATATCAAACTCTTTCTTTAGGTAGTCCTTGATCATAGCATTGCAATTGTAGACTGGTTTGTATCTCTTGAACAGGTCCTCATCATCATCGTCCCAGTAGATCATTAGACACTGACCCTCAAAATCCTTCTGACGCTCATCAATGTCAATGGATCCAACTGAGTAGTAGTTCCAGAACCTGGACTCTCTGAACAAGGCGAGCGTGATATCAATGCCTGGTTGAATCTTGATGACGACGTAGTCCCAGTGTACATTTCCAAATTGATTCTCGTACAAGTGACCCTTCTTATGACCCATAATCAGGTCTTCAACTTGACTTTGGCGAGACTCAGGAGCCACATTGGCACCATTCAGGGTAACATAGATCTTGACCTTCCTCATCCAACTGTCAGCAGTGGTGACCAAACAGATCTAAGAATCAACATATGTAGTTGAATGTTAGGATGGTTATCAAACTTGGAAGTGGTGGATAGATCAATCATACATACTCTGAAATTTCTTCCAACACCATAAGTATTCTCATTGTAATCGGAGCTCACCTCCTTTCCATACTCTGTACCATTGTAGGCTTCAGAGATCTTGCCGGTAAACTACTCGAGGAACTTTCCACCTGCATAAGAAGCAACGGCAGCACCAATTGCCTTCATCACCTTTGACAAAGCGATGATACAAACAACAGCTGCAATAGGGAAATGATACATTATATTATTTGGAAATATATTATATATAACTAAGAATTATTATTATTAAGCTTAGAATGAATAAATAAATAAATAAACTTTCACAAACATCTTCAAGACAATCACCATATCATTTCTTCTCCATACATAAATGGCCAAATATATTTTGTCGGGCGAATATTGATTCTTCGTCTATGATCCATCAGATGGTTGTAGAATGGACATGACCTGTCACATCCTTTGTCGTTTAGTTTGACACCCCCCCATTACTATTTTCGGTGCCACCAAATCTTAGGGGAGGCTGTCAAAAATCAGTTCAAGGTAATGGTCGGCCATACCAATCAATCAAGATAAAAGAGAACATGGACAATACATAAACGAACATGTAATCCTGACTCGATTGAGGCCTAGTAGATTACATCCAACATTTACTAATGGATGTTTGCAAGAGTGTTTGGGAATGCAAAGGTAACATTTGAATATATCTGTACATGTTCAAGGATTAGATAATGGAATATTTACCAACTTACAAACAAGATTCCATGGAATGGTTAAGTTCACATTATATTTATTAAATATCGATCATTTTATAAATTCTTGTGAATCATAGATTATTCAATATTTCCAAATATGTCTGCTTCTGACTAATCTCTACCTCCATGTGATTATCCAATTCCTTTTGGAACAATGGTAATGGCCGTTGGTGGACCGGACAAACTTTTTGAAAAGTAATGGAGATGTCAACTCAATGGTGATGGTAGACATAACTCATTGCCTCCAAAAGAACACCCATAATTCTGTGACAGTTTGGACGAACCCCAATCCAAAGTACCTGGCTCCAGGATATATGAGGGTATGTATTCAATCAAAGCAGAGTTGAATTGTCACCTCTCAAATTGTTGTACTTACTTTATCCCTCACCACCTAGGTGTGCCTCGTGACCCCTGCTGATAGCTGGCTTAGATGCATGACCACAGTATGCTCTTGGGTCAAAGATGAATCCTACACTACTCACGACTGCACTGTTGGTGACCATGCTGGCTACTTGTACAAGTTTAAAGACCACGGAGATGTGAAGTGGTCCTTCTACGACTTCAAGGTTGAGGAGGGTGCAATCCAGCTCAAGTTCTATTGCCAGACATTCTTTTGGCGCTGGTGGGAGGTCAATACGTTGGAGATCATTGAGACATTTGTTGATACATTCAAGGACAAGTGTTTCACCGTGTACTGGGACGATGATAATGGATCAAAGTTCACTTTGTACAGCACTTTCTACACTTTCAACATCCTGTACGATTCCTACTTGGCTGAGAAGGCGGCTGGAACTGTGTCTGATGAAACTTTGCCAACACCTTCTGGATGGGTAGCGCCCCAATCTATCGCCAGATCTGTCCCTCGTCCCAAGCCAAAACCAGTTCCAGTTGCTGCCCGTCCACCACGAAAGGAGAAGTCGCTCCAGAGAGAGATGTTTGGTGATGGCAAACTTGAGAAGACAATGAAGCTGGAGCAACTACATGAGGAGATCATTATCCCTCCTAAGAAGTAGAAGATTGTCGACAAGAATGGTGATGGTAAGCCCGACAAACCAGCACCTGCAAAGCCCGCTCCTACCAAGCCAAAGGACACCGACAAAGATGGCATCCCAGACAGCAAGTACAAAGATAAAGATGGTGATGGCAAGATTGACAAACCAGCCACCGCTAAGCCCAAAGCTAGTGCCAGAGCATAATAACCTCACCTTCTCTGTCAGAGTACTAATCACCAATAAACTCGTCGACCACTCCATCATCAATGGATGAGTCGAATACCCTTCATCCAGACTCCTTGATTCCAAGGTCATTCTCAAACATTGTTCATGGTTTTGTAAGACCAATGGATTGAATGGCGTATGTATTTCATCAATATTAGTCGTGTATCAAACATGCACCAAGCATATTTCGATTGGGAATATGATCGTTGTCTTCAAGGAGTGTCCACTTCTCCTCAGAGTATCGATAGTTCATGCCCTTGCCTCCAATGTAGAGTATTCCAAACATTCCGTCATAGATGATTCGATGAACGTGTTTTCCATCAGTTGGATGTTTAGCAAGTTTTGTAGATTGTTGATTGGACAATGAATAGCTGATGAGCTCCTTGTCTGTGAGAATGAATATGTTGTCTGATCCATCAAAGCAACTCGATAGGACAGGTGCTCCGCCACCGACATCCTTGACAATGACAGTTGATACATGTGTTCTCACATTGAATGAGATGATATCAAGGTGATAATAGTTATCGTTCATTATACCACCTACAATGTACAAGGTGTCAATGAGAAAGTATGTTGATGATTGAAAGAGGCCAACAGGTATGTTACCAACTTCATTGAACTGCACCGTCTCAATGTTAAAGCAATCAACTCTATTCAAGGTCTTGCTCTCGTGCTCTCCTCCAATGATATATATGTGCTTGTCGCCGTCGTGGCATGCAGAGATAGATCTGCAACCAATGATTCCATTAATGGGATAATAGGTGCTTGTATTTGTAGCCAAAGTGTATTTACAGTAGTTGGATGGATGCTGTCTTCCTCCAAAGATGTAGGCACTACCAGATGCATAGACGATTGCTGTTTGAACACTTCTGCAAGGGCCGCTCGTTTCCTTCCTAATTATTGACCACTTCATTGATTGGAGTGAGAACATTGAGTATTCTCTGCAACCCAAAGATAAAACATGATTGACCAGTGATCTATTAGTCTGTGCAACTAGTCCGGTAGCTGCGGATGGTGCCACCAACTCAAATATTGTCTTGACCTTCTTCTTGATGTCGTATATCTTGTCTTCATCTGTACGAATTGTCCAAGGTCTGAGACGAAGAATTGATACAGGACCATATGGGACGAGGTCCATGTGCAGTTTGTGATTCTTAATCATGGCCAACAGTTCATTGTCAGTGAGTAACTCTTTGCCCGCTCCTGCCTCTTTGTCATCAGGTCTAAAGGATAATGATGTATCAATGAACTGATCTATGGATGGGCAGGATGCGATGACCTTTATGGATTGAGCAAGTTTAGGTCCATCGATCACGAGCGACTTTTTGAGAATGGCCTCGAAGTCGCAGATCTCATTGACGATATCGTTGATTGTGGACTCGATGTGCGCCATCTTCTCGTTGATCGCCGACTTGATCCTGTGCTCCTCTGCCATTAACAACTTGAACAGTTGTTCAAACTGATTGGATATCTCTGCATGTGTCTTGGACAAGGATTCATAGGTGTCGCCACACTGTTGCATTATCTTTTGTAGATGCACCAGTCGTTGTCCACACCATAATGCCTGGTAGTTCTCATTGTCGATGTTGTATTTGATATTCTTAATATGTTCAAACTTATGACCATAGTGACTCAAGGACAAACACAACTGACAAGACAATGTCCCACAATTATAACAAATGAAGTTCTGCTTCCTATTGTGTTTATCACAATAGAAGCTGTTGTTGTTGTTGTTGTTGTTGTTGGTATCTTTGTTGGTGGTATCAGTGTTATTGCTGCTGTTGGTATCTTTGTTGTTGTTGTTGGTGTCTTTGTTGTTGGTGGTATCAGTGTTATTGATGTTGTTGGTATCTTTGTTATCCTTGTTATCATCATTGTTGTTATTACTAATTGATGAAGTATCTAGTGATAAATCACAACTATCAATGATACTAATACTACCATCAACTTCATGATCACTACAATAAATATTATTATTAATATTATTGATATTGCCGTCCAACAATATGCTCATAAGTATATTTATCTCTGTCTTCATCCTTGCTACCTTCTACTAATAACAACTCTCTCTCTACCTCTACCTCTAGAGGTAGCTATTTAAACACCAACCTGTCTCATCCATCCTGTTTGAAACTCATCATCGACCGATCTCTTCCAAGAAATAACGTTCGGGTTCACTCCTGGTACAAGACACACCTCATTGTGATGCAATCACTGTTATATATTACTAACTAATACATTTAATATCTAACTAACTAAATAAATAACTAGTAGAAGATGGTAAGTGTACGATGGTGTGGTGCCAACTGGTCCAACATGGCCTCTCCCCTACCCCAGAGCATCCAGTCCACCTCCAATGCCAGTAGATGACATTGGTTCTTGTTGAATATATCGCGCATTCTCTCGACGGCCTGTACGGTCACTGCTCTGATCTCCATCTCCATCTCTGAGCCAACAGGCAGCTCCTGCTTGCCGTCCACAATCTTGGCAAGGGCATCGCCATACTCGAGTATGCCCATCCATCTAAGTATCTGTGGTACTCTATAGTCTGCAAACATTGTCAATTGATCAATGTCATCGAAGCGGCCTAGACCCTTGCCTTCATACGCGCCCCAAAGGTCGCCAACAAAGATCTGAGCACGCTTATAGAAGAATACCTGTCTTCCATGATACACTGCGCTGTCTCTGAATCCCCAGAAGTACCTAGTAACAATCTAAATTGATTGATTGATCGAGTTGATGGTCAGTATGATTGATTGAGTTCTCCACAACAATCAAACATACATCTACAAGTGCTGATGCACTGTGATTGGCTGAAAGGATCATATTCTTGATGCTGCCACCAAAGTGCTGTGTCAGTGCGTTGCCAACCTCGTGTAACAGCCTGCAACGCTCCTCTGCATTGGGCATATCGCGACCAAACCACTTGTGCAAGGTGGCCGGTGTGACTTGAGCCAGACGATCAGCATCAAATGCGAGCGCGTCAGCCTCAATCGTCTCCTTTAGTCCTCTGGCCAAGTGATGATACTCGAGTGATGCGTCAGGCCAGAAGCAATGGTTCAGACAGTCGAGCACTATGATGTACTTGGCTGTATCCTCTGAGAGGTATGTAGAGTGGTCTGTCGCCGTCTGCTTCCTATCGACATTGCAGAAGTGGAACTCATTGTCGGCCCACACCTCTTTATGTGGCTTCTGACGATGCTTCTCCACAAAGTCATTGCACTCCTTTAGCATACAATCATCATTGATCTTAACATGTGTTGCCTGATCTGTCACCCACTTGGTACTCGTTCTTATCTCTCTTAGTGGATCCATGATGACGGCTTATAAGTATGTATGTATGTATAAGTAAGATTGCTTGTTCGATAGATTGATCGAGTGATGGACAAACATCTGAATTTCGAGTTTCTCAATTTTCCTCAAGATCAAAAAAGTGACCGATCAATGAGTCGCCAGTGATCCCTGGTGATGTAAATACGATTATATCTGACTTCCATAATCATTGAAGTCGATGACTGTCTCGTTCAACAACTGGTGGAGACCTTACCGTCACCCCTTGAATTACCCGACAATCACACTCACTCACTCATACACTCACTCACTCATGACTCGCTCACTGACCCACACTCAATCCACAATCATTCTTAGTTACACAATTACAATCCGGTTGTATAAGATATATATATTTACATCTCTAGGTCATAACATTAATAATATTAATATTAATTAAAAGTCTTCAAAATGAATTATAGGTTGATAATAATTATAATATTTTCAATGTCATGGATCATAACTTATGGATTTGGAACTGATGATAATTATAATCCGCTATTTAATACAACTTTCAATCTTGGAATAGCAAAGGAAGCACTAATGGTAAGTGTCAATAATATGGATACTTCCGGATAATAATAATATTAATATCCTCCATTCAGATGTCTTACTCAGCTTATTGTAACTATATTGATTTAGTTAAATGGACTTGCGAATTCTGTGATACAGAGTATAACCTTGGACACATTCGTCCAAAGTTTTCTCTTTCAAACAGACTTATAATGGGTTTGCATTCGTGGCCCAGAAAGATGATAGTACCAGTATGTACTCACCAATCAATTGTCTTTATCTCCACAATCCACTAACTCATTCTTATTGCCAGTTATTGTAGCATTCCGAGGAACACAACCATTGGATCTTGACAATTGGATAACTGATGCTCATTTGATTCAAGTACCAATCAATAAGAGTGAACCTGATATAAAGATACATTCTGGTGTACTTGGTCTATACAATGGTATGATTGATTGATTGAATGATTGAATGATAGAAAGATAATCAAATTTTCCAGAACTTAAACCACAACTAGAGTTCTTTGTAAGTGAGATACAAGAACAATGCCCAACTTGTACAAATTTGGAAGTTACTGGACATTCATTGGGTGCTGCATTGGCTACTATGATGGTGTATGATTTCTATCCAAGTCGCTTCAACAAGACATTGTATAGGTATATTTATGGATCACCTAGGTTGGCCAATCAAGCATTCGTCGATGCCTTTCTAAAGAGGGTGGGCTCCAACATTGACAATGTTTGGAGGATCGTACAGAGTAAGGACATTATATCACAGCTACCATTCAAGAAGATGGGATATGCTCCTCTTCCACACGAAGTTTGGTTGAACAGTGATGGAACAGTCAATCATGTTTGTCTTGGAAGTGAGGATGAAGAATGTCAAGCCTCACTACCAGTTAGACTTCTGGAAGTAAGGCCACACTCCTACTACTTTGGTATCAACTCTGGTGCATGCGAGAGGAACGACTACCCTATCATCACAATTGGTCTCAATTTTAACTTTAACAATCAACAAAATATTGTAGTTGGCAATTAATTTATTTATTTATTAATTTAATTAATTGCCATCATTTTGTTATTATACAGCGATCGTGAGTGATGATTGATTGGCCACCAACTCCTTATATACATTGCTGACTGTTGTCGTAGATACACCAGTGACATCGGACACTGATTGAAGTGAAAGTCGCACTGACTTGTCACTTATCAATTGATTGACTACATAATATACACAGCCTGCTGCCACTGATATTGGCTTCCTTCCTTCGTTCAATGATAACTCAGCAGACTTGATCGAGACGCGCTCAGAGAGACGTCTGATCTCATGTGACAACTCCAAGTTGGCACAGATCCTCGTGATGAATGCATCTGGTGCAACAGCCTGCTGTATCTGTTGCAACTCTTGTTGCTGTCTGGCTGACAGCTGAGGTCGTGGTTGCTCAATCGAGGGAGAAGAGGAGGTACCGGCTGTGGATCCCGGGGAAGGGGTGGTGAGTGGTGATGCGGTCGTGCTAAACGACTTGGTGATGTTGTTGATACACCTGCCAATGTCCTTCTTTGAGACACGGTCAGACACGGACAGCACCTCTCCAATGGTTCGTGGCATGCCCTGCGTTCGGCACGACAGGTAGAGAGATGCTGATGCGTATCCATTTGGTGATCGTCCTTTATTTGTGCGTATCGTCTTGTTCACGTGACTGAATATCTCATTGGCCCTGTTCATCACTGTCTCTGGCAGGCACAGACGATCGGCCATATTCTTTATGAGTTCAAATGATGTGATTAGATTCTTGTTGACAGCCGATGAGGTCTGTATTCTTTGTTGTGAGTAAAGTGCTGCTGCAGATGAAGAAGAAGATGATGATGAAGAAGATGTAGAGCTGGAGGAGTAGTTTGATCTGCTGACGAATGAGAATAGTTCGTCCTCCAACAGTAGAGGGTTTGTAGCGGCGCCAACTCTGCTTCGATCAATGTCGTCATCGTCGAATGAGCGCCACTCTGCATCCTCGCTGATCGTACGCTCCTCCAGAATGAAACCGCAATCACGGCAGATCAACTCTCCTCTTGCCATGTCCTCTATTATATCTGAATTCTCTTGTCTACAAGCTGGACAAACACTGTCGAAACGACCGTGTACAATATTATCATGTGGGAACAATGGTGAATAAATCAATGTTGTGGCTACCATTCTTAAATGTATGTGTGTTTTGCGGATGTTGGCAATGAATGTTTGTTGTTGAGAAGTGTTCATGAACACTCTTATTTATAATTTTTGGTTTTTGTTTATTTATGGGACACTTGATCCTGATTCGCAATGACATCATTCATCAACAATCAATCTCTTGGATTATCTCCGTGATTAGTAATATTTATGCTTAATAATATTACATATTTACATATTGTTTCAAATTATTGGTATTATATATTATTATTTAAGTTATTTCGAATAAATTCTCATTTATTACAAGTTTTCAATCAAACTATCAATCAATCAAACACACCATTTCATTCATTATCTCTTCTAGACATCTTCACACAACACATTATTATTTATATAAATATATATACACTGATACAGACATGTCATCAGAAAGCGACTTCCAGAATGATATATTGAGATTGTACAGCGCATCAGGTCATGAGTTTGTACTCTCAAGAAAGATGACCTACGTCTCTGGCACAATCAAATCAATGCTTGGTGGAGGTATGATTGATTGATTAGTTGATTGATTGATGATGTTGAACATCATGCATGATATACTTATACTAACAATTCAAACAGAGAACTCTAACTTTATGGAGGATCAGAACTCAGAGATTAAGCTTAGAGAGATATCAACACCAGTGTTGGAGAAGGTGATTCAATACTTCTACTTCAAGAACAAGTACACCAACAGCACTACAGACTTGCCAGAGTTCCCAATCAATGATAAGATCGTTGTCGATCTCTTGTTGTGCGCTCATTTCTTGGACACTTAAATGATCATTCATTCAATCAATCAATCAGTCATCATCAAGCAGCATCAAGAGGCAGCAACTCAATATAGGAGATGATGGAATGGAGTAGAATAAACTCAGTGACCATCACTCACAATGTATGTTTAAACAGATAATAACGATATTGATCATCAATCAATCGAATGAATGTTTAAAGTATATAGTTTAGTTTGTTGATTGAAGTGATTGAACGAGGATGTCAACGAAACGCTTGACATCGGTGAAGCTGACGTAGAGTGGAGCAGGTGCAACTCTGAGTACATTGGGCTCGCGAACATCACAGACGACGCCGGCATCCAACAGGGCGTTCTTGAGCTTGGCAGCCTCAACCTTGCCACCAATGTTCAATGAGATTTGTGCGCCACGCTGAGCTGGATCGTTTGGCGTGATGATGCTGACCTTGTGTGTGGAGGGCAGCTTGGTAAGCAACAGATGCTCGAGGTACGAGGTGAGCAGCAGGGACTTGGCGCGCAACTTGGGTATCGATGCGCGGTTGGTGATTGAGAGCGAAGTGCGCAGCGACGTGCAGTCGGCCACGGAGGGGTTGGAGCAGCGGAAGCCGAGTGCGCCGACCTCGGCCTCGAAGGGCATCTCCTTCCTGAAGCGGTTGGACAGCTTGTTGCCGAACCAGCCCAAAAGACGACGGTCGTTGTTCTCCTGGAAGTCAGAGGTGTGGCGCTCGTGCACGAATAGTCCACCGATGCAACCTGGTCCCGAGTTGAGATACTTGTACGAGCACCAGCAGGCAAAGTCCACGTTCCAGTCGTGCAGTGACAGCTCCACGTTGCCGGCGGCGTGTGCCAGATCCCAACCGACAATTGCGCCCAATGAATGACCATAGGCGGTGATCTCCTTGATGTCAAACAGCTGACCTGTGAAGAACTGAACGCCACCGATCATTATAAGTGCGATCGAATCACCATGTGTAGCAAGAGTTTGCTTAATGTAGTCTGTTGTCAAAGTATATTCGCCAGCTGGTGGTGTAAGCTTGATAAGATCAGTGGCCGGGTTGTAGCCATAGTGTCTAACCTGTGACTCTGCGATGTACTGTGTGGCGGAAGGGTGTGTTAGTGGACGACGTTGTGTGGCGCGCGCTCAACGGTGGTGAGCCGACACATACAAGGTCCGAAGGGAATGCGCCAGCCTCAATGACGATCTTGAAGCGGTTGGGAGTTGGGTTGTAGAACTTGGCCATCATCATGTGAATGTTGACGGATAGTGTGTTCATTGGACAGCACTCGGCAGGCTTGCAGCCGACGATCTTGGAGAGTGACTCTTGGACCTCCTCGTCGATCGTCAACCAGGGGTGCTGGCCCTTGTGATGGCCCTCGACGGCGAACTGACGCCAGTCGGACAAGTAGTTCATCATCTCGCTCTGGATGGCCTTTGGCTGCAGACCAAGCGAGTTTCCAGTGAGGTAGATAACATCACTGTCGTTCGTCTTTCCATTCTCTGATATGCAACAGTCCTTGACCTTTGGGAAACAGAACTCGCCCTTGAACTCCTTCAATGTATCTGCTTCGTCCATCTTTGCAGCAAACTGCTCATCATCAACATTCATGTTTATTCTTGCTGCCTCATCTGTTGTTGTTGTTCATTGTATTAGTACCATAGAGTTTGATTGATTGATTAATTGAGTGATTGAGTTGAGTTACCTTTGATATGATTTGGGTATGACATGTTGTTGTTTGTTGTTGTGATATCACAATATATCTGTAATAGTATTACTTATTATATGTATGTATGATTCAAGTATGTTTGCAAACATTGATCATTCATTCATTCTCTCTTTGAAGATTCTTTGGAAGACACACCCCCGACTAGTTTTTATCGTCAAAGAAGATACTTCAATTACGAACTTCTTCCTTGTGTCTCCGCCTTCATTCATTCGATCAACTGATTATCATTGACTAATTATTCCAAAATCATACATATAATACATTGTTCATTCAATGAATGTAATCAATCAAACATTGATGTTGGTTAATTTGAAATTGAATATTCAATTATACTTTGGGACAAGACTAGATATTTGTATAAATTACAAGTCAGGTTAGATCAATCTAACAAACAAGGATGATTGAGCATTAGCATCTGATGCCCAGTAATTGTGAGGTGTTGGTGATGGTTGATCGGTCAACTCTTCCTGATGCCCACCCTCCCCAATACCACCAGATATGCATTCATGTCCATGTCCTTGTCTTTCGTTTCTTTCGTTTCGCCTTCATGACAACATTGTCAAGAACTTCGATCACATCATTACCAAATAAAGAAGTGTGTGGTGCTGTTTGTGCAATAAATTTTAAACTTTGGTCACCCGACAAAGACACTGATGATGGGCGGCTTTAGTAGATGTATGCATGGATGTTCATTCATGTGTGGTTGAGAGTGGCTAGCTCATGGGGTGGGCTGGCTGCACTGTCACATCTATCCTCTGTCCACTCCCTCCAGCTACAACCAGCATCACTCCAATCAATCATTCAGTTATTCATTCAATCTCTCTATCTCTCTCGAATCAATATATTTATATAATTTTATATTATAATCAAACATAAATAACAATATAATGTTCTTTAGATCTTCAAGCAAGCTCGTTGCACCAGTGCTCAGACGCACTTATTCTACATCAAGATGGTCAAAGGTCGTCAAGGGACCAGAGGACCCAATCTTGGGTGTGAGCGTTGCCTTCAACAAGGACACCTCACCATCAAAGATCAACTTGGGTGTCGGCGCCTACCGTGACGACAACGGAAAGCCATACGTATTGGAGTGCGTGAAGAAGGCCGACAAGAAGATCTACGAAGCCGGCGTCGACCACGAGTACGCACCAATCGTCGGTGTGTCGTCGTTCAACAACGCCGCCGTGCAGCTGGCTCTCGGCGAGGACTGCAAGGCCCTCAAGGAGAAGCGCGTCGTCACCGTGCAGGCCATCTCCGGAACCGGTGCCCTCCGTGTTGCCGCCGCCTTCATTGCCCGCTTCCTGCCTGGCGTCACTGCCTACGTGCCCAACCCAACCTGGGGCAACCACAACGTGATCTTTGCCGACTGCGGCGTGCCCGTCAAGTCCTACACCTACTACAACCCACAGAACTGCGGCCTCAACTTTGACGGCATGTTCAAGGACATCCAGTCGGCACCCAACGGCAGCGTCATCCTGCTGCACGCCTGTGCTCACAACCCAACCGGAGTCGACCCATCGATGGAGCAGTGGAAGAAGATCTCGCAGCTGTGCAAGGAGAAGAACCACTTTGTGCTGTTCGACTTTGCTTACCAGGGATTCGCCTCGGGCAGCCCGGAGCAGGACGCCGAGCCAGTGCGCTACTTTGTCAACGAGGGTCACGAGATCGCCCTCTGCCAGTCGTTCGCCAAGAACTTTGGTCTGTACGGTGAGCGCATTGGCGCCTTCTCGTTGATCGGATCGACCCCCGACGAGGCCATCAACATCGAGTCACAGCTCAAGATTCTAATCCGTCCAATGTACTCGAACCCACCCGTGTACGGTGCTCGTCTCGTCTCGACCATCCTCTCCAACAAGGACCTGACCGCCGAGTGGCGCTCAGAGGTCAAGCTGATGGCCGACCGCATCATCAACATGCGTGAGCAGCTCGTCAAGTACCTGAAGCAGCACGGATCGACCCGCGACTGGAGCCACATCACCAACCAAATCGGAATGTTCTGTTACACTGGTCTCACTGGCGAGCAGGTCGATCGTCTGGCCTCAGAGTTCCACATCTACCTCACCCGCAACGGTCGTATCTCTATTGCCGGTATCACCCCACGCAATGTTGAGTACCTTGCCAAGGCCATGCACAAGGTCACTTCCGAGTCCAAGTAAACTAAACTAAAGTACAGTAAAGTCAATCAAAGACATTCATTATAACGCAACATTTGGTGGACCTTGGTTGGATTGAGACTCAAGGTGGAATAAATAATACTTTGTCTTCTTCTATTCACATGATTGGAAATGCTTGGACTCATCATCACTCATTCAATCGATCAATGATTGATTGTGTCAGAATGTATTGGCAATGCTCTCATGACCATGTCACCTGATCATTCATTCATCAACACTGATTCATTCAACAGTGTGGGTCCAGGAATCAATCAAACAATCAATCATACAAATACACACACGACACATACACACACACACATAGAGGCCTGATCAATCAATGGAAGGACCCACACAGTTGGTGCTTTCTCACTGGAACACACCACCACATCAATCAATACAATGCTTTATATTGATGTATGCCATGCAGTATAGGCAGTGATGATGGATGAGTGTACACTCACAATCACAAACACAACTCAAGTAGCTCTATCACTGATGTGCTGTGTCATCATTGAGGCCTTGTTGTTGTTGTTGGCTGGCAGGATGCCTGGATGAGTGTGCAACATTGGCTGCTAAAGAAGAAATGCTCTCTTCCCATTACTTCCTGAAGCCTTACATTCAATCATCAGACCATACTGAAACAACACCTAGATAGATAGAAAGATAGACATATTGGAATAGTAATAATATATATATATACGTATAATAGATAGATTGTGCCATATTCAAGATGATGATGAATGGACAGTACCAAACACATCGTCGTTGGACAGCGACATACATCAGTGTTTTAACACTTGTGATCACTTTGATGATTGTTCAAAGTAATGCATGGATTGAGAATCAGGCATTGGACATCCATGTCGTTCCATTTGTATTGATGGATGCATCAGCCCATCTTCAACATGTAAGTTTGATCAATCATTCAATTTGGATTCTCTCCAACCACTAACTCAATCATCAATCATTCAATCAATCAATTATAATGGAATAATTCCATTACCAACAGAATAATGAATTGAGGATATCCAACGCCATGAGTTTGATCATGGAGGGCACTGCAAGGAAGATAATCATTCCAGATTTACTCAACTATAGAATATGGTGGGACAAACAAGACCAAGATACCAAGGACAAGATTGGTGCTTTGGTAAAGAGTGGCAACATCGAATTCGTCAACGGCGCACCTGTGATGATGGATGAGACATTGGTCGATTTCAAGGACTATGTCACCCAGCTCAGCCAAGGTATCCACTGGCTAAACGTCACTTTTGGTGTGGCACCAATCAATGCATTCAATCCATCGGCACATGGCCACACTGAAGCCATCGCCTCATTGATGGCCGCAGCCGGCATCAAGAATGTGGTGGTGAGCCGCATCAACTCTGATATGAAGGACCACATGTTCTCCAACGGCCATCTCGAGTTCCTCTGGAAGGAGTCGTCCGCCAGTCCATCACCCTTTGAGCTCTTTGTCCACGTGACGCCCAACGACGAGATTGGCATAGCCAACTTCTGCAGCCTCGACCCGCAAGAGTGCCAAGCCTTTGAGTTTGTCAACTGGACCACCTCGGACCAGGAGTTGACCGCTATCTACCCAGCCCTGCTGGACCAATACCAGAAGAAGGCGCTAAGGTTCCGATCCAACCAGCTGTTGGTGCCATTCGGCAACTCAGATCTGTTCCTCGACATGAACTACACGCGTAGATTGTTCAGCAACTATGAGACAATGTTTGTGGACATCAATCAACATGACAACGAGGCCAACAAGATCTCAAACATACAATGGAGTACACTTGCCGACTACTTCCAAGGTATCAAGAACTCTCCATATTCACTAACCGTCGCTCCTGTCATGCACTATGGTGAGAAGATCAGCCAGGACCAGAGTGTGCCAGGCATGCCCGCCAAGCCCGACTCCCAAGAGTACTCTGACTTCCGCGGGGACCTCAGCTCCATCTCCAACGATGAGTCCACTCACTACTCCATCCTCCATGAACATAGAGTAAGTCTTTAATTTATTGATTGATTTGAGGTGGAATCATTCCAGTCCCAAACTAACCTCACCCTCACCCAACCAACCAAATAGCTACAAATGGAGACTGTTTCCAACTTGTTGAGAACTGTTGAGAACATGTACTCGATGGTCAAGAGGGATGAATCCACGTCAAAGAGTGAGATGGACATTATCCAGTCATGTCGCAATGTTATACATTTCGGCCAGAGAGCAGAGTCGTATGTTGGACAACTCCCCAGTGTGCACTATGAGTGGCTCCAAGAGGCCTTGAACCAATGCTCGGCAAAACTTCGCCCACTCCTGTCCGAGTTGACTGTTCGTTCATTCGAGTGTAATGCTGAAGATGACACCCCACTGTCCATCACACTCGTCGGTGAGGTATCATCTCTGAGTCCTCAGTTCATTCAATTGGCCACTCAGAAGCGCCAGACTGTGTTCTTCTACAACCCCTCCGATAAGATCAAGGAGGAGGTTGTGCGACTGCTGGTTGACACGCCCAGTGTATTGGTAGTGAACAACAAGAACACACCAATAATGGCACAGCTGAACCCTGTGTGGGCAGACGACAACACATCCGCGGTGGCCGTGCCCATCGACTCACACTTTGAGGTCTGCTTCATGGTTCAGGTCGAGCCACTGTCCGTCACCTCCTACACCCTGTCCTTGTACATGGAGGGCCAGGAGCAGCCGCCCACTACCGTTCCCGCCACCGTCACCATCATGAGCCCCGAGTATATCGAGATTGAGTGGGACATTGCGCCATTCTCAATCTCCCAAGCCAAGCTTGGCAGCCAAAGCATCGTAGTCAAGAACTCAATGTTCTCCGCACAGCTCAGCCACGAGACTGGACACATCCAGAAGTTGTTTGTGCAACAAGGCAAGCAGTCCGAGGAAGTATTCCTTGAGAATCAAGAGATGGTGTACCAACACGCCAAGGTTGAGTCCTCCATGGAGGTGTCTGATCAGGTCAAGTCCGAGGGCATGCTCCGAACAATCAGGTCACCACCATCATCCATTCGCCACATTCAAGGCGCGATTATCGATGAGGTCGTGGTGTTCAAGAAGCAATTGGAAGGAAGTCCATTCCACAAGCAGCGCATCATGTTGACAGAGGGCGAGAGTGCCAATGTGATCTTGCTCGAATCCACCATGCAGTATGCCGAGGAACAAGCAGCAATCGACCCCATAGTCAGGATCTTGGTTGGTGGCGAGGGTGTCGGCGATCTTGATCGCGAGCACTCTTACTATGTCGATGTTAATGGATACATGCTGGCCAAGCGCGTGGTGAACCCCCGCCAGGACTACCATCAATCATTCACTCCAATGTCCAGTGGAGCATTCTTTGGCGGAAGCAACACAGTCTCGGGCATCAAGGTTGGCGTGCTCTCGAGGACACCCCTTGGCGTAGCCAGCAAGGATGAATCGATGTTGGATGTCATGCTGCACCGTGGCGGCCACAAGTCCAACGAGCGTGTGACAGTCCCCGTATGGCTGACGATCTCACAGGGCAAAGACAAGTCATTGGTGTCCAGCTCAATGTCCATCAACTCACCATTGATCGCAGGATACAGTCCACAACAAACCACCAACAACAATATGTATGTAGCAAGCAAGTGTGCTCGCATGGAGTTGATCCCAGAACTGAAGTTGCCTGAGAACGTCCACTTGATCGCCATGCAACCATTGGACATCGACCTGATCTCGCTTCAAATGTTTGAGCCAACCGATACCAAGCGCAAGCACATTACACACAAGCTGGACAAGTTGTTGCCCAAGTTTGAGATGAACAATGAGAGTGCCATGATGTGGACTCCACCATCAGGCGGCATTGTCTCTTTGTCCGTGCAAGGACTTCACTATTCTGCCAACAAGGTGGTTGTGCAAGATGATACTACAGAGCCCCAGCCAAGCCCCTTCACCCAGCGCGACTTCCAAGAGGGCGACAAGGCAAACCATGTTCACGTGGGCATCCAACACAACAAGGGACATCAGAACACCGCCATACAGCATCCACAGACCGATGATGTGCCAATTGAGAGCGATCCAATGCAAGCCTTCCATCAACAAAAGTTGGAGCAAGTCGATCCCAAGAATAAGGGCCTAGTTGCAGGCGCTGTACCCGTGGTCGAGACTGGCACCAACGAAGATGAGCTCAGAGTACAGGACAGACTACACATCAACAACAAGGGCAACAAGGATCAACACCAGCAACAAGTCAAGGCTGTTGATGAGCAGGCTGCCAAGCCATACTCGGGCATCGACAAGAAGTTCACCGTGGATGTCGATGCCAACAATGTTGGTCGCAAGCTTGAGAAGAAGTTGGTGGCCAACGCACAAGAAGCCCAAGCTGTTCCAGTCGCCGAAGGTGGTGGCCAACATCCAGCATCAAACAACAATGATGCTGCTGCCACAAATGTAAAGTCATTCAAGGACAACAATCAAGTGAAGGACACTGTTCGAGTGATGGTCAATGATGTGCCAATGGAGTTGGAGCATGTCAAGGACAACAATCCAGTGATGGTCAATGATCAGAAAGTCAATGTCAAGGTGGAGGTGGCCGACAAGAACCAACATGTTGCTGTTGGTGGCGTTGCCAAGACTGTCCAACAACTGCCCGTGGACACCAGCAGCCTCAGACAAATGGAGCTTGAGTTGGCGGCGACCAAGAAGGAGTTGGAGATTGCTACATTGAACGCCAACAGATTGAAGGATTTGAACGATGTGATCAAACAACAGATGACAGAGTTGCAGCATGTACAGGCCAGCAGCAAGATACAACAGGATCAGATGTTGGAGAGGATGTCTGCGCAGGCAGCCCAGATGCTCGCCACAAGGCTGAGAGAGCAGGAAGAGACGCTGAACCTTGCACACGCCACAAAGCTCAAGTCTGAGGAGGACAAGCTGATCCAGGCCACTAAGTCGATGGAGGAGCAAAAGAAGAAGTCCGAGACCTTCCAGTCACTCTACAACCAGGGCATGAACACACAGGCCAAGCTCGACATGATGGTCAAACTACTTGGCAAAGAGAGCGTGACGCTGAGGGCCATGCTCAAGGAGGCCGAGCTCAACAACCAGGACACAGGCTTCTTCAGGAGTCTCGAGCAGAAGCTGTTTGGACGCGAACCCATACCCCTGCAGCAGCAGCTGGTACACGTGGAGAATGAACTGGCCCAGAGGATACCGGCCGTGGAGGCCGAGCAGAGAAAGCTCAGGACTCAGGACCGCGACAACCAGTTGGAGATACTTCGCATGCAGTTGGAGCAGACATCGGCAGCCAGGCGTGATCTGGAGAGTCGCCACGCCGGCCAGAAGACGCTGACCGTCGAGGAGCTACTGCTAAAGACCAAGTACTTCAAGACTGTGGAGCCCGTTCAGCTTGCCAGTCTGTTTGTCGTGTTGGTGTTTGTCTTTGTAGCGTGTATATTGTACAGTTCGTGTGTGGCGTGTGCTGCACCGCCACCCAAGAGAAAGTACAAGCAAGCCAACAAACTACTCAACTCACCCGATGGCGCCATGACCAGTCCGACCAACCATGTCTACTCCTCGATCGAAGAAGAGAAGTTTGACTAAGTCTTCCATTCATTAATTCAATTACCTACCTTGTTCAAACATATTTAGTATCAATAAATAATCATAATATATTATATATACCATTCATTATCTGTATCTCTAGCTCGAGACATGAATGAAGTTGAACAAGCAAACACTGTTTCAAAGTTCATTTATTTCTGTTTTTCACACATTTGCAAAACAGGAGTTGATAAAATGACGTTTACTCGAGTTTTGAGTTCATTTCACTTTGTGTTCAATTATCTCTTTGTTTATTTGTTTGTTTATTTGTTTGTGTTTTGTATTTGTATTTATGTTTATATATAATAATTATTAATAATCAATCATATTCACATCCACCCTTGTATCAAACTATCATAGTCATTGGGTAGTCAATCATTCATTCGATTATTCATTCACATCATTCATATCAATCACACACACGCGCACACACACACACAATCACCGACCCGACAACCTGCAATGCTTTCAAACAACGATTGGTTTGAGAACAACTACAGCACAGCTATTTACGATACCCAATAGAATCAAACAATATAACCCAAAAGACGTCAAGGCTCTCGACTAGCCCCTCACGTGACATTTACCATCAACCACATCAACCACATCAACAACAACAACAATGGGAAAGAGAAAATCAGCCAAGCCACCTCCCAAGAAGAAGATCATGACAAAGTTGCCCAAGTACTTTGATTGTCCATTCTGTGACCATGCTCAAAGTGTTGAATGTATATTGTAGGTCATTCCCTCTCCTGGATCGATCATTTTGGGACACGAACATCACTCACTTACATCCATCCATCAATCAATCCAGAAAAAAGGAAAGCGCCATTGGAACAGCCAAATGCAGGTCATGTCACTCTTCCTACTCGACAAAGATCAATGGTATGTTATCCAATCCACCATCCATTCCTTGAGTTCAATCATATTGACAACCCCAATCTATCAATCAAACATCAATACAGAGCTTAGTGATCCAATTGATGTATATTCAGATTGGATCGATGCATGTGAAGCTGCGAACAGATGATCAATCGATGTCCTTCCTTCCCTACCCTAACCTTTGGAATAAACAATGGTACAGGTGCTCTCTATATTCCAAACTCGATCGATGGTTTATAAATTGATTGACTGATTGGTGGACGTCAGACTGATATGTACACGGGCGTCCATTTATGTGGCTTGTCCTTGTTGGCTGAACAACGAATGGCCAGTCTTCGATCAATCAAACGATATTGATACATTAACTCATCTGCTTCATCAGAGAAATTGTAATCCATTAGGTAGTAGTTGGTTGCGTTTGGTACGAGTGCCAGCCCGCCACTGCCACTGCCACCACACAACTTCCTGAACCAATCATCCAAGATTGAGAGTGAAGCTGACTTGGTCTGGCATGAGTTTGGCGATCGCGTCTGCAACCCCAGCGAGTCCAACTTGTTTGTGATTGGGTACAATTCCAGATGTTTCAAAACAGTGCATCCCAACTGAACATTGACAATCGTGTCCGCCGTGATGTATTTTCTCTGCTCGGGATGATAGAGCGCGAGTGATGTTATGCTGGCTGGCAATACAACCTTGTCCAATGGCGGGAAGAAGTTGCGTCCAAGCATAAATTTAGTGAGCGAGGATGGCAACACACCAGGACCAAGTTCAGAATCAAAGTTGGCACCAAGCTCCAACTCCTCAAGACCTTGGGGAAGTGTGCCTGGAGTGAGTGCGTGGGAGTATGTATCACTCATGATCAGTTTCTTGAGGGACGCAGGTAACACACCAGGAACCAACTCGTGATCATAATCTCCGCTCTCCATGGACAGCATGGTGAGTGTAGGCGGGAGTGATCCAGGCAGGAGCTCCTCATTAAAGTTTTCTCCAATCGATAACTTTCTGAGATATTTGGGTAGCATGCCTGGCGCGACCGGATGATCATACCAGTCGCCCAACTTAAGTGATATGATCGACTCGGGCAACAAACCCGGCTTGATCTTATATGAGTAGCAACTGCCAACGTTAAGTGAACATAGTGAGGGCGGGAGCGCACCCGGACATATCTGGTCCAACTCGCCATCGCTCAAATCCAACTTGGTGATTGAGGCTGGAATCATTCCAGGAGTGATTTTCATATGGTGAATATCCATGAACTTAAGTTTGGTCAATGATGTAGGTGTGTTACTTAGTCCATGTCTACTTGATTTGAACAAATGATCATTTTGCAATGCCAACGATGTGATTGAATGAGGCAAGTTATCGATCTCCTGCTTGAAGCCACCTCCAATGATCAACTCCTTGAGTGACTGTGGTAGCGAACCCTCAAGAAATGGTTGATTGAAGCTCCATCCAAGTGTGAGTGACTTTAGTGTCGAGGGAAGGGTACCAGGCTCAATAGGTTCATTGAATGAATGATTTAATGTCAATCGTTTGATATTTGATGGTATGGATCCAAGAGTGTCGCCAGCATCCAAATCGTAACTACTACTAACACTACTATTACTACTACTATTTATCTTGTCCTTGTTTGTTAGGGTATTGACCAATATTGAATGGAATCGTTTACATGTTAATGATAAACATAATGAGTCTACAGGGCTGATCAAATCTATTCCATTTGATCTACTGGCACACAACAATCTAATCAACCTTGACACTATCAATGTTGGTAAAGTGTGTAAGCCAATGTCGTCCATCACTTGTTGTTTAAATGTAAAAATTTAATCACTCAACCAACAAAAGTATCCAAATAGTTTATAATTTATGGGATGAAGTATTTAAATATTAGAAGTTCGGAGTTTGGATTAGGTAACGTTAGAAGGATGTAATTTCTTTTTGATTTTTTAGTATTTTATTTTGAATTAAAGATACTCGTCTCTTTTTTTTTTGGATTAGTGATTCGCGAGAGGTACATCAAAACTCATGTTTAGCATTGAACACATTCCTTTTTTCTCGACGTACATAAAGTTGGTTGTAGGTATACATACACATATATTCATTCATCAGCATCTAATCATCAGTAGGCAAACACAACATGACATGACATGACACGACACGACACGAACACATTCATTGATTGATTGATTGACTTAAGTGTTGTCTGACGACTTGGTCGATCATCATCACATTGTTTATGAATGAACGAACGAACGAACAACACCTCACAATCACACCATCTCAAACATACTCGCCACCTGCTGAATGAACAATGCAATGCATCCCATTGAACATTTTAACTAACATTTCATTCAATCAATCAATAATAATAATATAGGACACTTAGCGAACACACAAAGAACACACAATGGGTCGTATGCATTCAAATGGAAAGGGTATCTCAGGCTCCGCCTTGCCCTACAACAGAAAGCCACATTCATGGACCAAGCACACCCCAGCTGAGGTCTGCGAGCACGTCGTCCGTTTGGCCAAGAGAGGTTACACCCCATCCCAGATTGGTGTCCTCCTCAGAGACTCCCACGGAATCGCTCAGGTCAAAGAACATCACCGGCTCCAAGATCCTCCGTATCTTGAAGGTCAACCGTCTGGCCCCATCCATCCCAGAGGACTTGTTCCACTTGATCAAGAAGGCCGTCACCATCAACAAGCATTTGCAGCGTGCCCGCAAGGACTACGACGGAAAGTTCAACCTCCGTCTCGTTGAGTCCCGTATCCATCGTCTCTGCCGTCCATACAGAAAGTCTGGTGTCCTCCCACCAAACTGGAAGTAGTAAGTTTAACCTCATCATCCCATCACACTCGTTCGCTAGTTCGAACACATAAGCTAACTTAATTACCCTTCTCTCTTTTCCCTCCTTCTTCTTCTTTCTCCAATCTCTTAGCGAGTCTGCCACCGCCTCCACCCTCGTTGCCTAAACTGGTTGACCATCACATCCTTCGATCCGTTGTCCTAGTGCCAATCAATAAATGTAGAAGGATACGGGGTGGCTTGTGTGCATCGATGGACGCCAGTCCATCAGCACAACTAAACAAGTCACTTATTAAAACTGTTCCTTACTATACAATCAATTGCTAGAGACAGACCAGGCCGGCCTGACTGATGATCATCCGATCATTCAACCAGCCGATCAACCTGCGCTGTCCTCTACGACCAATAATTGATTGGCCTCCTCTCGTCGCCACCATGGCGGAGATGATTGGCGCGGTTGGCCTTGACCGCTCTGCCCGGAAACTTCACTGCTATCCATGTCAGGGGAACCTACATGTGAGCAACGTTTCCAACCCTACAGGTGATCCCAACTACACCCTCCGGTTTCCAAGCAGTAGTACACCAAGCCTCCTCGTTCCATCCCATCTCCACCATGTCCAAAGGACCACCTTCCCTGTGCCGTGTTGAGTGATTGATTTGATTGAATGGACCTGTTCCAATCTCAGTGATCACTCTTCGACCAGGGTCCGTCCTGGCGTTCATACTAACTTTTGTCCATTCATGTCTGTGTCTTTACCTTCCACGTCTAGCTTTGTTGTTGTCTTGTTGTTAATGTGTCAGGGTGTCATGGGTTATCTTTCGATTTAGCGAGTCCTCCTGGTCACTGGCGTCAATCAATAAACTCTCAAGCATTCAATCTATCACAATCTTCTGTGTAGAACCTAAAGTTTATTTACATCAGTGTACATGGAATGCGTATTGCGTCTAATTAATTAAAGGGAGAGATGTTGTCAACTCTTGACCATCATCCTTGTAACGTATTGGAATAGGTCTTGTGTCTTGGCAGTGTCATCAGACTCGTGTGTATGAATGAACAGTCGTCTGTTCTCGTGGTGATGGTCCCTGTTTCGGAACTGATTGATTAGGAAGCCCTCTGGTGACTCCTTTCCATTATACTCTGGGAAGTGATTGGACAATGGACTTGTAGACAACTTATTCTTAAAGTGATCCTTATTGACTAATAATACAACTGATGATTTGGTGAAGTAGCTATTATTTACAATCTGGATTATGTTTGGAAATGGTAGAATGAGTTAGTATGATTGGTGGATTGATCGAATCACTGGAATGATTCCATTATAACATACATCTTCAAAGAGATGGAGGTTCTCCTTCATCTTGTTGTCAAACTTGTCGTTGTCTGCTGGATGGTCGTACTCGTCAAGACCAACAAAGAATAGGATGACACTGACATCATCAAAGTGATCGAGCCATTTCTTCCTATCATGTCTCTGTCCACCAACATCGACAAAAGTATAAGTACAATCGTCCACTTCAAACACAGTATCAAACGATCCAGATGAATGCATCTTAAACTTCATAATATCTTCATGAGTTGGCAAGAAGTTATCCGAAATAATTCTTGTGATATTATCCAACAAACTGGAAATTAATTGATAGATTGATTGGATGGAGTTAGTGAGTGGAATAATTCCAAACTTGGCAATATTATTATAATACATACTATACTTGGTTATCTCTCTTTGATTCATCAAGGAGATGGAGGTATCCTTTCTTGAACTCGTTGTCATTCCAGAGGTCACAGATATGTTTGGTCATTTGAAGACATAGTTTGACATTATCTGAACATGCCTTCTTCAATGTGAACCATGCAGTCTTACTGATAGTCGATCCATATAATGCTTTGTTCGATGTCTTGATGAACTGGATGATCTCCTTGATTGCATTACACAATGACTTCAAAATGAATGGCTTGATCTTTATTGCGTACTCTGTGGTAAACTCTCCCTTGTATATCAGATGGCAATGTTTGATGAACAATGACTATTCATTGAATGATTAATTAGTATATGAGTGTGGGTTAGGACCAGTGGATTGGACTTGGACTTGGATTGTTGGACCTACCTTGCTACTTGAGTTGCTTCCAAACATCAATATCTTGTGTGAGGTGGTGAGCTGTTTGGATGATTTATGTCCCATGTTTGATTGATTGTAGTTGGTTGGTTGAGTTGGAGGTTGGATGGATTATCCTAGGAAACTAACTATGATTGCTGTTGATCAACTGTCCGGACAGATACAAGGAATGGGTAATGGGAATCGCGGTATCTGTTGGAGATTATTATTCAGTTAAGTACTGTTGTTGGTTTGGAAGTTGTTGTTGATGTTGACTCAATGATTGTTTGGTACGACTTGTGCGTACAAGTGTATGTACTGTTGATGGTACGTTGGTTGGAAATATAAGTACTGAGTTCTGTTGTCATGTGTTTGAGTGCGTGTGGTCTTGCCCGTCATTGGTCCAGCGCATATTGGGTGAGTGGTAGTGGTAGTCGTAGGGGTAGGGTAGGGGGTCGACCAACACTCATCATCACCTGTTTGATTGAGTGATTGATTGAGTGATTGAATCAGTGTGGTCACATGGCATCCAAACAAACACACAATTACCTCAATGTATATTAATATACTTGAAGCGAAGAGATAGAGGCACTCTGCCACGCCGCGGTTGGATCATGGTTGTTGGAGTTGTTGCTAATGGCAAGAACTTTAGGGATTCCAGATACCAATATCTCCCAATATGGGAAGAGACCTCTGAGGTGGTTGGCGATGGGGCGTAGAAAGTGGTCCGACAGAGCAGTTGCCAAGCCACACACTGTTGTTGGAAGTTGATGGAAGTTGGAAGTTGGAAAGGAAAGAGGAAAGTATATGGTCGGGCCACTGGCTTGTTGCGGGGGGTGGGTGCGGTGGGTGTGGAGGAGGAAGTAAGTCATCCATCCAACCCTCTCCATAGATCTAAGAACTAAGTGTGTATGGTGGTGTAATGGTATGATGGTGATCCAACCAATGTTGCGGTGATGGTCGATGGAAGGGATGGCCGAGAGGTAGGGGAAGCGATTGAGTGAGGGTCTGGCGAGTGGGTTACAGAAACCTTTAATACATTAGTGTTGTTCATCATAATCAGCTGATGAGTGTGTGAATGATTGATTGAGTGAGTGGTGTGGTATGAGTGTGTGTCCTTCATGGCAACAAAGTGGTGGACGTGTTGGTGGTGATGGCGGTGGCATTATTGTTGTTGTTGTTGTTGTTGTTGTTGGTGTTAATGGCTGTTGATGTTGATGTTGAAGGTGGTATGGAGCTGCCAGAGGCTATGCCCCCAATGACGGCCTGTGAGTCTGAGTGCGGCATCAACATCCTGAGCGTTCCAGTCACACTATGTATACTCTTCTGCTCAGCTGATAGTTGATGAAGGAGAAGTTGAAGGAGATTCTCCCATCCTGGTACTCCATCCGTTGCTCTCTGTGGCTGTGACTGTGACTTGGTGGCAGCAACAACAGTTGACGATGATGAAGATGATGAAGCAGAAGATGATGTCTCTGCACTGTCAACTATTTCATCTTTGGAGAAGTTGATCCATGGACAGAACCAACGATGCTCATTGAGTGGAGAGAGTGGATTGGATGATGCCTGGATGCTCTCAATGCCTTTGGATAGTGATGGCGTGGGATGATGAACAAACTTTGTTGCCCAGCTCCATCCAACGTCGACTCGCGCCGCCTTTTTGACAGGCTCGGCACTCGAGCCCTTGTTGTTGGTGTTGTTGAACATGTTGTTAAGGTCCATCTGTGAGCGTGATGATGATAATGATCGACTAAGCATGGCACTCAATCTAATACTTCTCTTCTCTTCAACATCATCCTCACGTGGTCTCTTCAAGTTGACTGTTGTTGGCTGTGATTGAAGTTGTGTGTGTATGTCATTGATGTTGTTGGCACCACCAGCAAGATGAGATATTGTTGATTGTTTGATCAGAGTAGTGGCAGTGGTAGTGTTGTTGTTGTTCTTGGCAGTTGCAAAGTTCCACAATCCACAGACTCGTTGACAGTATGAACATTGGATGTTGACTGTATGTGAACCATTTCCATCACCCAAGTCAGCCTCCCATCCACAGAGCGCCAAGATGACTGCAGTCTTCCTATGTGCCCAATCAATATTTGATGTTGGCGTTGGTGTTTGTGTCGTTGTTGTCGTGAGTGATGGCATCGTCAATGAGTGTGAGTTTGAATGTGATCGCGTGGTAAACTCTGTGAATGCTGATAACAACTTGATCAGATCCTTCTTCTTCTCTTTCTTCTGAATAGCGTCCTGTTTGTGTGATGGTGGCCGCGATGTTAGTTTGATTGATTGATTGATTGAGCTGATGGAATGATTCCAAAGTGATTGGAATGATTGGACAGAGTGATTGGACGCGGACGAACATACCCAAAATTCTAGATTGAGCTCGGGCAGGGCCACGGACTTGATGTGCTCGTAGACACTTTGTGCACGACGATGGTAGTTCTCTATCTGGATCTGTGATGGTATGTTGATGAGCCTGGCGTAGAAGGCAGGACAACCATTGTCACGCCATGCACAAGTATCGCGATGTCCATCGGAGCGAACTGAGACGGCAAACTCTGCCGTCCTCTTTTCACGCATCGCTTGACCAAGTGCTGCCGGCACACTATAATATAGTCTCTTGCTACATGATACACATTCGAGCATGTCCACATCACAATTGATCCAACCAAAGCGTGCACATTGGAGTGGATCTATCAATGATGGCTTGGCAAACCATCTTCCAATTGAGAATGACGTGACTCTACGATGATAATCATCACTACTCCATGGTCTATGTTGTTTCTGATGTTCTGGCTGAGTAGACTCGGTCGTCGTCGTACCATCTGATGTTGTCGTTGTTGTTGTTGTCGATGTTGATGACTCTGAATTAGATGAATGATGTTGTGACCTCTTTGAAGTCAAAGGCATGTCAATCACAGTTGCACTGTCAAGCTCATTGAGTGCCTTCTTAATACGATCCTCCATATTTATATGTACTATTCCTTCAACTCAACTCAACACATGCATCAAGTAAGAATGAATGAATGAGCGAGGGCGAGGGTTGAACATCGCTACGACCTGAAGTGTGGGAATAAATGCCCGGGCTGATTATTTTTGAGTTTTAGGCATTTTGTCATTTTCTTTTTATTTATTTTTAATTTTTTGAAAGACGAGTGTGAGGAGATTGTGTGTGTGAGTGAGAGTGGAGGAGGCGACAATGACAAAACAAGTCAAGTTGGCATAGAGTCATTCCTTTTTTCTTTTTGTCGCAGAGTACATACAGTAAGTGGACATACAATTCATCATCAAGTGTGCACAACAGGAGAGACTATATCGATCAACATGTTGGTTCAATAATATTATGCGATCAATCAATGCATGACTATTTAAAGACGACGATAAATAATCAATCAGAATGAATGATGATAATGATGATGAACCAACAGAGGAGATATAGAAACACATACAAGCTGTAGACATACATACATTAGCGACTACTTGACTTGCTTGATATCAACATTGAACGATAATACTCGCTCGTACTATTCGTTGTTATCACATTCATTCATTCATTCATTCACTCAAACAACATAATTCGAAATATTATCAAACAACAGTATACTGACTGACTCGACTTTATAATCAAACAACAGAACACAAAATGACACAGAAGAGACGTAATCACGGAAGAGCCAAGCACGGTCGTGGATTGACCAGAGCCATCCGTTGCACCAACTGTGCAAGATGCGTCCCAAAGGTATGTTTCATATACAAAGACTTAAAGCCCATGACATGCAGTCAATGAACAATGTTCTAACATATAACTCACTCAATCAATCAACAACTCGACCTATCTCGATTAAACTCAACTCAACATCAATCGATCAATCAATCAATCAAATGATATTATTACATTTGCGATAATACAGGACAAGGCCGTCAAGAGATTCTACATTCGCCCAATCGTTGAGAATGCCGCTGTCAAGGATATCTCTGACCAGGGTCTCTTCACCGAGAAGAAGTACAAATTCCCAAAGACTTACCTCAAGTCCCAATACTGTATCTCCTGTGCCATTCACTCCCACATCGTCCGTGTTCGTTCTGTCCAGGATCGTAAGATCCGTACTCGTCCACAGAGACCAGGTGCCAGACCAGTCAAGACCACCAACTAAGCGTTCGTTCTTCTCAACTCTAAGTCTGTCTCTTGGTGATCCACATTCCCCTGTGTGGCAGGCACTAATAAAGCATTCAAACCATTAACTGAATGGATGTCTAACTTTTGTCTCTGTCTCTTTCTCTATTTATGTTCACCTCATTCATTATTGGATTGGATTATTTATTAATTAATGGAGGAATGGAATGTTGATGTTGAGTGGATGGCGATGGATTGAGTGTTGTCCATTGAGCCACTTGAGTGTAGATGTTGACAATGGTCATTATCATGTACCTCCAATACATCCACCATTATCAATATGTGAGGAACTTGTGTTGACATTATGTTATTATCAGTATGTATGTTCCTGGAAATCTTCAACACTATTACTGCAACGAACCAATGACTTGAAATAGTGTTTGGACAGTATATACTTGTAGTAATTGTCCAAGCCCGACAACAAATACAAGTGAGAAGTATGAATAAAGATAAAGATGGTTGTCATTTGAACAAACTTTACAAACATTGAAATGTGACAGATATACTTGTTCAAACATTAGAATGACTGTCTGAGTTATGTCAATCTCTAAAGATATGTTCAGTCTGATATGATGTACCTGTTCAATTGACCGGATATGTTCGGTCAGTATGGAATTCAAAGACAAGCTGATTGGACCTTGACTTGGTCTAAGTTGTTCGTGTAAGAGTAAGTAGAATTGAAAATAGACACAATCGATGAATAATGGTATACCCCAGCCAATATCATCATTATCATCCATAATAACATCTAAGTCTGGGATACTACCCAATTAACCCAAGAGAGACAACTCAAGGCAACCCGAAGTACGACTATCCTTTGTCCGGTTCTTTTTTACAAAGCTTTTACACAGTTGCGTAGTTGGGGATTGTTGTGTGTTTTCGCTTGATTTATTTTAATTTTTTTTAATGTTGTGGTGTGAGGTCCATGAATGAGAGCATACGAGAGACGAGCGTGCGCATAACTTATTCTCTCACACATTTTTTTGTTGGTAAGTGAGAGATATACAATGCTACTCTTTGACATCAATGCTACTGTCTTTGCTATTGCTATGCGATTATCATCAACTTGATATATAAATGCGATGACAACAACTACGACAACGAAGACTTTGACAACAACAACATTCAAACACAGAGATGTCAGGTTGGCAGGGTTACCTTATCTCACATGATGACACAATGATCGATCAAGCGATGATTGCACTTGGTATTATTACATGATCAAAGGCATTCAACAAACAATCACATAGGTTGTGTTCAGATGCACTCGAACACAAACTGCATCAACAAAACAACAACTGCATCAACAACAGGATAGCATTTAGCAATAGCATTGGCATTAGCATTCATGGCATTGCAGCATAGCGAACATACATATACATACATAACGAAGACTAACATTTAACAAACATTAATAGATCCCTACAGTTTCTCCAGTTACAACAAAATGGTCTCTCTTTGTTTGCAAAAGAGGTTAGCCGCCTCCATCCTCAAGTGTGGAAAGGGTAGAGTTTGGATTGATCCAAATGAAATCTCCGAGATCTCCATGGCCAACTCAAGTAAGTCTTCATCATCATCATCGGTGGATCATTCAACGATATCATCATCACATAAACATATACTAATCAATCAATTATAATGAATGATCATTGTAGGAGACAACGTTCGCAGTCTCATCAAGAACGGTTTCATCATCCGTAAGCCAGAGGTTGTTCACTCTCGCTTCAGAGCAAGACAGCACCACGCCGCCAAGCTTCTGGGTCGTCACAGAGGACACGGTAACCGTCTCGGTACCCGTGAGGCTCGTATGCCATCCAAGGTTCTCTGGGTCCGCAGAATCAGAGTCCTCAGAAGGTTGCTCAAGAAGTACCGTGAGGCCAAGAAAGATCGACAGACACGCCTACCGTGAGCTCTACCTCAAGGCCAAGGGTAACATCTTCAAGAACAAGCGCACTTTGATCGAGTACATCGTCAGATCCAAGACCGAGAAGCTCAGAGAGAAGCAGATCAACGACCAGGCTCAGGCTAGACGTTTGAAGAACCGTAACCTCAAGGAGCGTAGAACCACCAAGGCTCTCGCCAAGCATGTCTACTAAGCGCGTTGATGTCCAACCAACGTTGCAGTCATGTCATAGCCGCCGTCCCTGTGCTCGTGTGTCCGTCACTGTGCCAGATGTCAAACCAAGAGACCCAATAAACTAAATACTAAAAAAAAAATCTTTATTTAAAGACGACAAAAGTCGTCTTTCGTAAGTGTGATTGATGTGTGAGTGCGTGTGTGTAAGTCAGTTGATTGGATCAACATAAGATGGACCATCTTGTTTGACGTGTCAAGGACAACATTGGACTGAATGAATGAATGAACGAATGATTGAGTGAGGAATAGTTCCATTGAGTGATAGAATGAATCAAAGTAAGAATGATTGCATGAGAGCGGTTCCATTCACACATCAATCAACGACAATGATTGAGATATACAAGTAGGATATTTATTTGATGATGTTTTGATTGTTATTTGATCTTTGGAATGCTTAGTTGGTGGCCATTCCAGTCTTTGGCTTCTGTTGCTGCAGCTCAGCTTGTTGCAATCTCTCCTTTCTCTCGGCATACTTCTTGTCCAACTCGTCCTTGAGATGGTCGTAGGTGTAACCGAATCCAAGACCTCCATGCTTGAATGCATCAGACTCGGCCTTTTGTGCCTCTAGCTCTGGTTGACCCTCTTGGAACTCTGCCTTGCTTGGCTTCAACATTGTGTTGGCGTTGGCGTTGGCACTGGCATTGGCGTTGGTATCAACAGCAGTAGGGAATGGACGCTCTCCAGTTGAACCACCGGCCTGGGGGTTCTCAGAGGATGATGATCGGCTTCTCGACTGACCAGTTGCAGTTCCTGATCCTGATCCAGCTGTAGCTTGGTCCTTTCCCAAACCACTGATTGGTTTGTTCATTGATGTTGATGATGGTCTTGCTGGGAGGGGTGGTGGGGGAGGTAGTGGAGCAGTAGGATCGTTCGGTCCTTTGGCAAGTGAGGCCAACTTCAAACCTGCACTAAGGTTGTCAATGTCGGAAGCTGATGGAGCTCCACTTGTATTGGAGGATGCTCCAGTTCCAGCACCGGCTCCTGATAAGGCACTCTTTGATGCATCCTTGTATTGGCTTGAGTATTGATCTTGGACACTCGAGTCACCCCCATAAATCTTCTTGAGTTGGTCAGTTGCACTTGTCTTGCCCGATGACGATGTTGTGTTACCAGAGTAGGAAGAATCTGTTTGACCCGAACCATACTGGCCTCCAGCTCCATATTGGCCACCAGCACCATATTGTCCTCCAGCACCATACTGTCCTCCAGCACCATATTGGCCACCAGCGCCATACTGGCTACCACCAGAACCATACTGTCCTCCGGTAGCTCCATATTGTCCACCAGTAGCACCATACTGGCTGCCACCAGATCCATACTGTCCTCCAGTAGCACCATATTGACCACCAGTAGCTCCATACTGACTACCTCCTGAGCCATACTGGCTACCACCTGCTCCATATTGTCCACCTGTTGCTCCATACTGGCTACCTCCAGGACCATATTGACCTGATCCATAACCTCCTGAACTAGATGTCTGGGTTCCTGCTGCACCATAACCGCCAGCCTTGTTGAGACTTGAGTCACTTGATGTTGAAGATGACTTGGAGGTGGAGCTTGAACTACTCTTGTTTGTCGTTGCACCATATTGACTACCAGCTGTGGTAGCAGCAGCTCCATATGGACTGGTTGGATACTCAGATCCTCCATATTGGTTGGTCTGGCTTGAGTAGCTGGATGCGCTGTATCCTCCAGCTCCATATTGACCACCGTATGATTGCTCATACATATAGCCAACTCCACCAACTGCAACCATACCCGGGGCACCAGGGTGGCCTCCTGGTTGTTGTTGTTGTTGATAGTTGTTGCTGTAGTAATTGTTGTTGACTGTTGTGTTGGAGTAGCTTCCTGTGTCATTGACGAGCTCGCCTCTATGACGCTCCTCGTTGACGAGGATCTCGACGTTGACCACTTGGTAGCTACCATCGAACCATTCCCAGAATGAACCAAGGAAGCTCTTTGCCTCCATGATATGCACGGACAGTGTACCAGCACCAACAGCTGCAGTTAGACCATAAGTAACAAAGGCAGCGGCAATTCCAGTCTTTCTAATTCTTGCCCAATAGTCAAGTTGAATGATCGTTCCACCATCGGTATCTCTCTTTACCATCACTCTATACTTTGGAATAAAGTTCAAGTGTAGTCCTGATTTCCTATTTGTTTTTTTTTTATTATTATTTTCATTTAGTTAATATTTGATTGATTGTTTGAATGAGTGAGGTTACACGTGTACACATACCTTCCTTGCATTAGACCATTCGGGTCATATTTGTCAGTCTGGTAACGCTCATATGCCCACCAGGCTGCAATGGCTGACATTAAAGTTGGAATTGGAATCTGTAGTCCATAATACTTTCTGGATTGTACAAAGTCGAATACACTAAGTACACCTTTTGTTGAATCCTTTGTCATTTCTTTAGACTATTAATATTAATGTAATAAATATTATTATAGAACTGTATTAATTATTATAATTAATTTGAATGATTGATATTGATATATTAATTGATTGATTGTTTGATATATATAAATATAAATATAATTATTTGAATTGATTGATTGATATGTACAATGATTTGGAAGTGTTTATATATATTTGTATAATAATGGTATACGTTTATCTCAATATGTCAGATAAAGACGAATACATTAAGTTAACAAAGTTTGTTGGGCCAGACGAAGGACTATCCTAATTATGTGGGATACAAAGAAGGAGTGAGTCCGATGTGTGTTCATTCATTCATTCATTTACACAGATACACCCCTTGAAGGACCTTCTCTCTCTTAAGATGTGTGGACACATGTGAGTAGTCTCAGATGTCTTTATTTCTGTTCTCACCTCACAACACCCACCCACCCACTCACATTTACATTGACTTCTCAAAGTGAAGAGTGTGTGTTTGCTTGACACCAAGGTGTGCGAAGGACATTCAATTTGAATAGATGCGTGCTAACCAGGATGTTTGACTTTGTTGTTACCATTTAGAGACTCTTGCTCCGAGTTAATTACCTTATTAAATCATTCTAGATTAAAGTATCAAGACCATGGTCTGGACTGTGATAAGTCTAAGTCAGTCAGTCGGTCCATTCATTCATCCATTCGAATAGATTAAGACAAAACTAATTTAATGGCTTTACGTATTGGTAAAGTTTAAAAGAGTCCCTACATCTTTGTTTGGTTCTGTTGTGGTGTAATCAAAGTTGTCGTGACCTTTGGTCGGACCTTAAGATAGATAGACCTCCCCGAGTTTACAATTTGATTAATGTGTGTACTTAGTCATCTTCTTACAGTCATCCATCTCCTTAATAATTATTATTTATCCAATTATTCAATTCATAATAATTATTGAAACTGAATGTTTCGTTTTATGAGAGAAGAAGAAGTACGTTTTAACTATAATTCAAGGATGTTCTGTTTGTCACTCTTTCTTTTGTTCTCTATTAACTTGGAGATGGTATATTTTGAGCCATTGGCCAAGATACTACTGCTCATTCATTCGTTCAATCAATCAACCAAAAGGAAAGATGCATTGCAAATGTCATTTTTTGTTGTCCCGACAACATCCATGTCCACATCCATTTGTGACCTCACTAGATTGACTTCAAAAGTCAATAATGACATCAACCTTTGCATCTTTGACTTTGAACAACAAAATAAGGTATGATACAATTAAAACTACAACACTGAACTACAATGAGTTATGAGTTAGAACCAGGTTCTTAGGTGTCAAGTATTGTCCGCATTCTTTAGGAGAAATTCAGACCTGTTTGCCTCTATCGTATGATCGAGACAACACACGTGATGATGATCCTCAATATTTGAGTTGAAGATGCTTAGACCACTTTTAATTCGAACCTGTTTCTTGTATGATCGCGCAACTCAAACACATCATTCGTTTGATGGTTCTGCTGTCATAATGTTTGACATTCAACATGGAACCCCGTAATTTCAGACCACAAGGGCTAGATGAACCGCCCATTTCGCACCATGCTGTTGTGAGTATGGTGGGGGCTGTTTCGACGCCGAATCATATATCCGCATCACAATTTTGCATGGTTATTTCCAAGACAACAAACAATTTATATGACATGTCTGAGCCTTGGAAACTACAACAACCTCCAACCCTAGATGCGAGCTCTCTCACAATGGTGTGAGGTCTTCCGCATTATGTTGCTATGAGTGGAAGGTGATTCAATCAATTAGCATCATGAATTCACGATGGATGTTCTTCGCACGTGCACTATTAGACAAGGCTTGTCACACCCATGTAATTGGGAAGTGTCCTGGTTATTGATTGTAGCTTTCTCGATCCCTGCGTTCTTCCTTCATCAGCAAGACTCTTATTGTATCCTGATAGGGCAATTGAATTAATCATCCCCTTTGACCATACAAATAGAGATATAGACAAGTCAAAGTTATCCCTAACTACCAAGGACATCTAGTTATCCAACTTTAATTCTTTAAATAGAAATACGACCTCATTTATTATAACAACAGGTTACCAACTCTGAGGGAAATCTCCAACGAATAACTCAAGTCTCACATATAATACTCCTTGACATTAATGGGGACATGGTCGTATTCATTCCATCAATCAATCAAACATATATACAAAAACAAACAAACAAACAAACAAACAATTAAATATTATTTAATTAGGTAGGTAACTGTCTTAAACAATTCTGTCCTATATTTGTTGATTGATCATGACCTTTCCTCGGATATGTCAAAGTTCATTGACATCCAATCACAATGACACCAATATCACCTTCACACACATCACTCGCTTCCTACACATTCGTCACAATCAAACACATGCACACACACACACTTGACAACCCCATCGCTATGGACTGATGACCTGTCGTATATCTGTACGACCAGTATTCATACCAACAGTGTTGACAGACCTATCGCACACGATTATTAGATATCCATACACACTTTACATTCTGCCTAATACCACGATGTGGAAAGGAAATGATTACTAATCAATGTATCTCTTAATTATACTTTTAATATAATTATGGTTATCACACCCTTACCAATAATCAATTATGATATCCAATAATTAGTAATAATAATAATAGGAATAATAATTAGAAATAGTTATAATAATATTGTACAAATTAATAATATTTAAATATTATATATAGATAGTTATTTTAGCAATCGATCGCAGTACATGTTTGATAAACACAGATAAATAATTAATAAGGATGGAGAATCAAAAGACAGTACAGAGCATTTTGGTTCTGTTATTTATTGGTTTCATCACTTTTAATTATTTCGACAATCAAACATTACTTGTACATAACAATGGAAATGGAATGCGAAATGTAAATAAGGAAGTTGTAATTCAACACCCTACTACAGTACTACTAGTTCCACATTCACATTGTGACGCTGGCTGGTTAGCCACGTTCGACGTAAGTCCTTTGTCCAAATCCAACAAAATTTAAAGATATTAATAATATATATTTTCCATAATTCAGGAATATTATGCACATTTGGTCAACTCGATTCTTGATCATGTTTTAGATACACTTAGCAATGAACCAGATAAAAGGTTCATTTGGTCAGAGATGTAAGTGTTAGAATGATGGATAATAAGTTCCAGGAGGCAAACTGGAAACACAAACTGACATGTATACATTCATTGACACAAATAGTTCATTCTTCAAAAATTGGTACGACAAGTTGAATGATACAAAGAAGAAGTCAATACATAGGATTGTTGAGAATAAGCAATTCGAGTTTATTGGTGGTGGTTGGGTGCAGAATGATGAAGCTGCGGCAAATATAGATGACATATTGGACCAAATCAGTGAGGGTCATAAATGGGTATTGAAGCATTTCAACAAGACCGTGGAGTATGGATGGCAGATCGACCCGTTCGGACACTCCTCGCTTACGCCCACGCTCTTTGCCCAGTTTGGCTTCAAGGCCATGGTGGGCAATCGTATCTCTGACACTGACAAGGCCATGCTGCGCGACGCCAAGCAGCTGGACTTCCTCTGGCAGGGCAGCGAAGCGCTCGGCAACACCAGCCAGCTGTTCGTTCATTTGCTCGACTATCATTACGGCTTCCCCTCGCACAAGATATACCCGCGCGAGAACTCATTATCAGAGTTCCGCTACGATATCGAGACGATCACTCGCAAGTTCTTCAAACACATCAATGACTATAGATCACATACACACGCCAACGTAGTGATGATACCTTTTGGAGATGACTTCACATATCCTACGCCCGTGAAGAACCTTGCTGCCGAGGCACTGGGACTGGGTTTCATTCTAGACTCAACCAAGCCTGATGACTTCAAGCGTGGCGACCTCCTTCTCAACAGTCTACGAGCTACCATGGGTGATCACAACATCGAGGACATTCGTTATGCCACCCTGTCCGAGTACTTTGAGCTGCTGTTCAAGGATGTCGAGGAGCGTCATCAAGCTCTTCCAACATACAAGGCGGACTTCTTCCCCTACGTCACACATGTAACCGAGTCATGGAGCGGTTACTACACCAGTCATACACTGTTCAAGCGCGAGATCCGTGAAACCTCTGCACTGGTGCGCGCAACCGACATGTTCTACAGTGTTGCTCTTGCACGCTCTTCCGCCACCGACGAAGCTGCTTATGAGGATCTGAAGTCGTTGTATCAAGATCAAAGTGATGCTCGTCGCAGTGTATCGATCACTCAACATCATGACTCTGTGACAGGCACTGCTAGGAGTTATGTTATGAATGACTACTTCCAGAGTCTGCAAGATGCAAAGCAATCAGTACATAACACTTTTGTCAACACTATCCAGTACCTTGCCAAAGTGGAAGTGGACACACAGTTCTCATTCGATCAAATACTCGACATTGACAAGCTTGGACTCACTGACTCCTACGCATTGATCATGGCCAACCCACTTGCATGGACCAAACAAACACACTACTCCATCCGTATCACTACATCCGATCCAAAGCGTGCTGAACGACTACGTATCCTGGGGGCTGACCAGCAACCAGTGATCATCCAAGTCGTCCCCGTGATCCATGGACAGAGCGACGAGAGGTGTATAATGGACGATTATAATGAGTACTTGGTGTACTTCATCATTGACATCCCAACCCTGGGGACTACATCGTATTTCTTGCAGGTGGTACCACTTGCTGAGTATGATGGACATTCACCATTGGCCACTGTCCAGAGATACAATGATTCACTGCCTTCAGATGTCCAGCTAGAGAACAACAATGTTGCCGTCTCATTCCAAGATAATGGATTCATTCAATCAATCACACTCAAGAATGGTACATCTTCAAACACATTGGAGATTAAGGAGAAGATCAAACAATATATAACATCAGAGAGTGGAGCATATGTGTTCTCACCTGGTGCAAAGGTGGGATACTTGGAGGATGGCTACAAACAGTTCATAACAATCCGGGGTCCATTGATGGACGAGATATTGTACTACAACTATGGATCACATAGAAGTAGTTGTTATCCAAAGTCCATCGTCATGCACAGATTGTTCAAGTCTCAGTTGGACACACCATTGGCATCCGAGACCATCGTCGAGGTCGGTTACTCGATCGAGGGCAGTGGAAACCGTGAGACCATCCTCGTATACGACACAAACATGACCAATGGTGGCATCTTCTACACTGACAATGGAATGGAGTCACGCACTAGACATCATGTACCAGACCAAGGAATCACTTACCAGTACTTCCCTGTTATCAGCTCGGTCCACATCAAGGATAGCCAACTCCAGTTCTCAATATTCACTGAGCGCAGTCATGGTGCTGCCTCTGCTAAAGAGGGTGCACTAGAGCTCATGATCCATCGATCACTGATGCAAGATGATGGCAAGGGATTGTCATTCCCACAGCGGGATATGGCACGTGTGGATGGCAAGATCTACCTCAGTCTCGACTTCAAGGATCTCGCACCAAAGGTCAACAAACAAAAGATTGTCCAGATAAACAATCCAGCTGTGTAAGTAATAAATCTTCGGTCAATCAATAATTTCAAGGAATAATACTAATCATTCAATCAAACATATTTAGTGTCATTTCCTCATTGATCAACAATGTCAATATTGATAACTTGGCTGGTAGTACTCCCACCAGTTTCTTAAATGGACCATTCCCTGACAATGTACATCTATATACACTCAAGTATTATGATCAGGACCAGTCATCTTCATCATCACCCATTCTCAACATGAGAATTGGTAACCTGGAGACTGGAGAGTTCCCCGCGCCCAAGTCCTTGCCACTAAATGGCATCTTTGCCGATATGGAGGTGACCAATGTAACTCGTCTTGGACTGAACCTACTTCCCAAGCAAGGTATGTTTCATTGATCGAATTCACTATCAATCAAAGTACTAACTCACAATCAAACAATCAAACATTAGATCACAATGACCTCCATTTCGAGACAACTGGATACCCATTGGAGGGCATCAACTATTATGAGCATGGTGTTAGTGAGTTCATTCCTTTGTTACATAAGGAGAGAAACAATGACCCAAGCATCGTCTACCTCAATCCACTCGCAATCGAGTCCATGGAGTTTGTGTTGACAGTTCAAGATGCTGATCAACAGAGTGCTGCCGGTGTGAACACAGCAAGAGACATGAGGAAAAGACCAAACAATAGACCAGCACATGGAGGCGCTGGCTCAACTAAAGGCGCAACGATGCGCTACCCCTACGACTTCTCAGTCTATCGCCTGGACAACTCATTCAACTATGACTATGGCCGCTTCAAGGAGGGTGTCAACTTTGCCTTGGTCATTGGTGTGCCCATGGCCATCATTGGTGGTATTGTGGCCGTTGTCCTGCTGATCGCTGTCAAGGTGTACAGAGTGAATCGCACCAATCGATCCGGAGCAAGCCATAGCCTAAACAGCAGCAGCAACAGTCTGATCAACTCGCCGCCTGGCGGCAAGGACGAGGAGAGTGATGTCGGCAGCAGCAGTTGCATGAATAGCGCAGTCATGTCCTAATAAACAAACGCAATATATATATATAGATATATCTACAACATCGAATGAACTTTGTTATTTCCATTTCCACGTTTGATTGATGATGTCGCTGTCGCTGATATCCTTTGAGATCGATGATGGGTCCACTCCACACTCGCTCACTCAATCACACACACAAGTGTGACGGGTGGGCATGTCCACGTCCAAGGCCTAGGCCTAAGCCTTGGCCGGCTTGAGTTTGATGAAACTTTGAAGACTCTTTCGCATGTATCTGTCCAGCAAGATGGTGAAGTCCTTCATGACAAAGGCGCATATGACCACGGAGTAGAACTCGCCGACGCGACGCAGCTTGTTGGACAGGGCTTGGTTGCCCAGACTCTCGCAGCAGTTCATCCACGACTCGAGGAACTGACTCTCTTCAAACACGGTGTTGAGCAGACCGACGTAGTCGATGCCCTCCAGCTTGGAGGAGGGCGCCAGACGCACGGCACCCTTGGCCAGCGACGTGCCCAGCTTCTTGACCTTACCGGCCCAGCCCTTCTCCTCCTTCTTCTCGATCTTGATCTCGGGAATGAATGACAGATGGAAGTGTAGCGCGTTCTGGATGATGTCGAGCTGCGAGCAAAAGATGTCTGTCTCCTTGGCAATCGTGTCCATGTTCTTGCGATCGAATGGCATGTCGCTCTCCTTGGTCGACAGCGTCTTTAGCTTCGCCAGGTACTCTTGCAGCTCGACCAAACTCTGAATCTTGGCCGTAATAGCTAATATCTTACAACCTGTCTGTTGCCAAACAGCCTTGGGTATATATAGTTTGGGCGTGAGGTAGGCGCCCGTCGTGATCGTCTTGGACAGCACCCTCATCAGCCAGAATGGCTTGTATGATGCGAATGCTGGCACTGTATCAGCGCTCAATCCCGAAGGTATCTCTTCCACAAACACTATATTCTCTTTAGTTGGTGATGCTGCTGCTGCTCCATTTTGTTGATTCCTGTGTCGCATGGCGGGTGGCGAATGGTGAGTGGGTTAGTGTCGACGCGCATTTGATTGACTACATCCACTCTCTGGCGGACGGACATACAATAGAGACTCGAGAACGTCTGCCCTCGCTTGGTACTGCTTGGCCTTCTCGAGCATGGCCTGATAGTGTTCATCGTTCAATGTTGTGAGGTCCTCGGGCGAGTTCAAAAGGTTAGCCGCCTCTCTATAATTTGTTATCGCTGCTGCATAGTCTCCACGATTATCTGCATTGACACCAATACGCGCCAGTGCCAAAGCTTGACGAACTGAGTTCAATATAGCCTGATTCTCTGCCATTCCTTCCTATTATTATTATATTGTTGATGAGTTTGAGTTGAATTGAGATAGTATTACAATGTATGATTGAGTGATTGAATTGAGTTGAGTTGAGTTGTGATGAGTTGTGATGAGATGAGTTGATTGATCGATTGACGACAGGATAAGTTACTAACTTCCTGTTGTTGATTATCGAGGATGACTATTATACTTGTACACGCACTGTCTGTCTATCTGTCTTTCTAACAAACTAACAAACTAAATGATTGAATGAATGGTTGAATGAATGATAATGATTGAATGTATTATGAATAAGAGAGTGAGAGAGTGTGAGACAAAGAGAGAGGGAAAGAGATACACACACAATAGTGTTGTTGTCGACACTTGATTCGATTGATTGATTGATTGACCCACTCGAGATAATTGTGTGTATGTGTGTGAGAGTGATCGATTGTTTGAAGGAGTGTTGAGTGAATGGGTGTTTGGGTGTGTGGTTTGATCATGATCTGTTTTTGATGGAATGACAAACTAAATTCTGATAATGATGTCATTGCCTCCATTGGCATTTTTGATAGCTATTAATAATATATATAATATTTGATTGATAACAATATACCATCTTTGCCTTGGTGGAGAACAGAACATGGCATCGAGCTTGAATAAAGCTACAACAACAATTACAACAACAACATTTAGATGGTCACTTTTAACATGATCGATCATCCCGCTAATGGACAAAGTGAGAGAGTACTTGGCGTCGGGTACAGTTCCATATTAGACTGGACATTCATGACCTGATTATTTCCTTAGCGCCAGCCATTGGTTGACTACAATGAACATGATTGATTGATTGATTGATTGATTGAATGATTGAATGAATGTCAGAAAATATGAAGGGGGAATCATGACCTCATTTTTACGAAGTTGACGAAAGCTCAAAGCTTGACAACCAAGTCAATCAAGTATTAACAATATATACATACATATACACATACACATACACATATAAAGATGAACTGTATGTACAAATATAGATAGACTCGATCAATCAATGAACCAATCAATCAATCTTAGGTCAACCATAATGAAGTAGACTAACAAAGTTTGAATGAATGAATGAATGAATGAATATAGATAACGAAATGGAAGACGATCCCAAGTATGCTGCCGATGGAGAGGCAGGTGATGTACAGGGAGCATCATTGTGGGAGATCATCAAGGCACAGTTCCAACATAGAGAGACAAGACAAATGATATTCTCAACACTGCGCAACATTGCAGGCTTTGCTCTGATCACTAGATTGTTTGCGAAACATGCCGACGAGTTCGCTAGCATTGACAGCGTCATGAAGATGATTGAATAGAACAAGTTAGGACTTCCTTTAAAGTAAAAGATATAATATTATTACAAACAGCAGACATCGATCACTGGGCTCATCAGTGCTCAATCAGCCGATACCAGATATTACTTTACAAATGATTGTAGATAGTCATCTGTTGCGTGGCCAAGTCGTTGGACGCTAGATCTCTGAAGATGACGGCGACAATCTAGGACGAGTACGGGTGTCGGAGGCCACAGTTGGAAGAGGAACTGCAGAGTGCTGATGTTGTTGCATCGTTCAATGACAACCTTCAGAAGATCAAAGTAGTTTGGAACGAGTTGGCGAATGCTTTGGCTCTCGAGTAGGTGTTTGGCCACATCGATCAAGCCATGAGCACAGGCCAACCTGAAGCAGGCCACCCTAGCCTGTTCTCTTGGCAATGTACAATTTCCAATCACATAGTCTATCAATCTCAGGTTGCCATGATGTGTTGCAACATCGATTGCACGGACGGAGAAGCGAATCGTAGTTGTCTGGACAAGGTAGTCCATTATCTCTTGACGTCCAAAGTACAGTGCCAAGTCCAACAGTCTATTGATGGTGGATGGATCGGTGAAGGGCAGGGCCGCCTTGAGATGTTCCAACATACCAAACTGAACCAACTGATGGCAGACGCCTCCCATGGCTTCCTTAATCAATTTCCTTCCAAGGAACTGCTTGAACTGGTCGATGTCCTGAGTGAGAGAATGATCAATATTGACGTGGACTCTCGAGATGTTTGGTTGATTCCTCAAAGTCCAATCGATCCTGTTCGATGTAAGTATTTGATAGATGGACTTGGTTGGGTCATCGGGTCGATGGTACGCTTCAAACATTAGTTGATCATGGGAACATTTGGGAGTGTAGAATTGGAGAAACTGGTCCCGTGTTCCATGCTTGCAGTAGCAGTTCATAAACATATCAGCGAGTTGCATGCTGGACAATGTCTCTGCAAGGTATTGGTCGACATCTGGAAGTCGTAGTGCAATGAGATCGGTGATCTTTGAACTTGCTTCTACCATCAAAGTACTGCCTAAATACTGATCGTAATACTGGGTCCAGATTCGAATACACCTTCTTTGCGAATTCAATCACCAATAGACGGTCCATGACAAGGTTGTACAATGTCGATTCCTTGGGGAACAAGCTTCTGAGTCTGAGCATCTGCTGGATCGTGTTCAGACTCGTGTGAAGGTCGTATGTCGAGAAGCGGAGATCCATCAGTTTGAACGTCGACTTGAAGCGACTGAGCTTGGATCGAACCAGGCCTGGCTTCTGGCGCATTAGCGACATTAATGCCTTCATCACTGCGCTGGTCTGAAGGATGATGTTTCTGGTAAAGTGTACCAGGACCAGACGATTCATCAGGCCAATGTCCTTGACCTTGAACGTCTTGAGCATGCAATTGAACGAATGTCCTAAGGTCCAGTTTTTGACCATGATCCCAAGGACTTCGGTACGCAACCCAGGGTTGATGGAGAATTCAGAGGTTGTGGATATCAGCGGGATTTGGAACCGTTTGATGATGAAGCGAGGCGTGTCAAAGTTTACAAAGCTCATCTCGCAGAGTTTGAGTCTTGTATCATTGTCAATGAGGTCAACTTCTCTCTTTTGTTCTTGGAGCAACAGTCTGGCAATGTGTACGTGACCCATCACAAGTGCTGACCAAACCAGTATCTGACCATTTGTTGACCACCTGTTGACACCACCAGCTTGATAATCATCCGCCATATCCAGCATCATCTTGACAAGTTCAATGTTGCCCGATTGACAAGCAAACTGAAGTAGACAAGGATCTGCCAACAATCTCTCTCTCACACTTCTATGCTCCACCATGATTAGATTGAACAGACGTACATTCATGTTCTGCATGAGGTATTGTAGGCTAACATCAAACATTATCTCTTGTTTACATTCAATCTTGTCGACTAGCAACTCCATATATCCACTACGTATCATCCTATCCATGCTATACCAGTCATTATATCTATATACTCGTCCATTACTATTTGGATTGTACTCTGAGGGGTCATCATCATAGTTGGCCACAACATCCTTATAACGAATTAACCTTGATATATGTTCTAATAAACCTTTGGGGAACATTAAACGCAACAAGTATCTATTGCCAAGTACTTGATATATGGTATCATATCCGTTCTGTCTTCGTTCGGTTGCCATACATGTAGAATATCTGTATATGTATCTGTATTGTTGGATTTGAGATGGAGTTGATTGAATTTCAAAGGGTGCACTTCGAAAAGTTGAAGTCGATTAGAGAGTGAGAGGGCAAGGGTTGAGGGTTGAGGGTCAAACTATTCTTTATGTAATGAGAGATATTAGACTGACAAAATAGGTCAATAAAGAGTAGCCGATGTTGCTTGAACGTGAAGGTGTTGTTGTCTCCATCTCTGTCTGTGTTCCTTTGTTGCCATCATTATTGAGTAGCTGACATCCATTGTTTGGAAGTAATGTAGTCATAACTACAAACCATAACACTCTAATCGTGAACACTGTTGTCAATGCAACTCTTTGTCTATTCATGGATTGGATTGTTAGTCAATGTCAATCGATCAGGTCGCGACTTAGTACTTACTTCCTGTTGAAAAAGAGTGGCAGGACTGAGATGAACAATGTTGGATACATTAGTGATGCATTGGGGATGCCATCAGGGAGACATTGATCCAACAGTGTCCACACCTGGAATAGGAGTATGGCGGTATGGACGATATAGTAGAATATCTGGGCGTCACTCAGTGGCTTGTTTGGTTTGTTTGGTTTGTTTGGCTTGTGGCCTCCTGCGTGAGGCATGTCATTGCCACCAATTTGAAGTTGGAGTTGAGACCTTGGACTCAGTTCACCCATGTGAGCGGGCATTGAAGATGATGAAGGTGAGCGTGGTGGTTGATGCTGTTGCTGATGTTGTTGATGCTGCTGATGTTGATGTGTTGTGCGGATGACTAATGATGATGAGGAGATTGGCGGTACTAATGGGGATGCCAGCTCTTCACTGCGTATAATATGATCATCTGAACGTCCGAGTTGACTAGAGGACATTGATGAAGTTGTGGATGTCGATGTTGTTTGATTCGTATATATGTCTGTGTCGTATGTATCCATCTGCTCAACCAAGACCTCTTTCGACTTCTTAAGGTTTCGTTTCCTAATCGTTGCCTTCCTTATCGATGGAGACTCTCTCACGATGTTCTTAAAGTTCACATTAATGTTAGATGATGCCATGCCCATGCTCTGCCATGCCATCACTTTAGATCAACTTACAATTGGATGTATGGACAGTAGTTTGGTCTTCATTTGTACAAAGGGTGTTGCCAGTATTTGATTGATTGATGGTCTATCATAAGGACTTCTTCGCAACAGTGCTATGATCGTTTCCTTAATCTCCTTGGATCTCTAGAGAATGTTAACATGTTAGTGTACTGCGGCAACATGTCGCGGCTACTGGCGGTAATGCCATGTACTTACAGGGGGCGTGGTGGGTAGGAATAGCTTGGTATCCTTGAACTCTTCAATCTCGGTGGCGAGTAGATCGATGTTCCTGTCTGGATCACTATCAGAGAATGGGTTGCCAGAGTATCGGAATGGCAGTCGTCCATAGGCAAGCTCATAGAGCAGGATGCCCAGCGACCAGATGTCACACTTCTCATTGCTCTTGACAAAGTACTCGCCGTTTGAGTTCTTCTGCAGCAGTTCTGGCGCCACGTACTCCATTGTACCAGTGTTGCCCGTCCTCTTCAATCGCTCTTTGAACCCAGACACAGTGTCACATGTGCCAAAGTCACTTATCATCAAGTGAGTCACTAGACTATCACAAGCTGGTTCATAATGTTGATGCAACAAGATGTTCTGAGGCTTCAAATCACGATGAATGATCTCTGAATGATGAAGATATCCAATGCCTTGACACAAATCAATGAAGACTAAGTTGTTGGATTGAGATTGTTAGGCCACGACAATGACAATGGTTGTTGATTGATTGATCGAATGTATGTATACGTACAACTCCATATCTCATTCTCTGGAAGTATTTGCTTCTCTGCCATGTAGTCGTAGAGGTTGCCATTGTTGGCATACTCCATGAGGATGAATAGACATGGTATCTTTGGTCCAAAGTTTGCTGGCTGATCATACTCTAACCATGAGTGCTTGTAGTTGATGATGTTCTTATGCTTCTGTAGTGTCTCCAATGCCTTCACCTCTTGTAATACCTGATATAACCATGGTAGATTCTCACCAACTGGTACCTTCTTGACTGCATATTCCTATATGATTGAATGAGTGAGTGAGTTAGTCGGAATAGTTCCAACGTGTCAATGACATTGTTACTTACACCAAGATCAACAGTGTTGATTAAATGACGACAGTGATACACTGCACCGAATCCCCCTGATCCTATCTTCTTTGTCTCTTGGAAGAATCGCCTGTAGTAGCCAGAGTTGAGGAACTCCTCGGAGAATATGTCGGCGGCGGTCGGACCACCYCCMCCGCCACCTCCACCTCCTGCCGATGACGACGATGATGGTGATGGTCGTGTATGCGAGGTTGGTGACGACGATGAAGTTGGTGCTGCAGTTGTCGAGTTGTTGTTGTTGTTGCGACTTGATGACTCGAGCAACAAGAAATAGTCTCGTGACATGTAGTCGGATGCTGCTGCGTCATATAGCACTGATGATTGAGACGATGTTGACACACCTCCAGTGTTTGATCCTCCTCCTCCTGTTCTTCCCTCGTAGGGCCTATTACACATTGGGCATTGTATCGAGTGCTGTGTATTATGACCCTTACCTATATGTACATTGGCAGGTGAGTCCTTGACCACTGCGCTCAAGCTATGAGGGTCCCATAACACTATCTTTTGTAAGTCCTCATTATGTCTGTTGTTTAATTGATTGATTGATTGATTGATTGTTAGTATGTTCGCTTCATTATGTGTTTGTTTGATTGATTGACACATACAATATGACTTGTAAGTTATCATGATATATTGTTATCTGTTTCTCATTATTGTTGTTGTTGTTGTTATTGATATTGTTGTTTATGTTATTGTTATTGATATCGTTGTTATTGTTGTTGTAATTACTATCGATATAGGTATTCATTGCATGGTATCATTCAATGATTCAAAAGTATTTGTTTATCATAGTTATGTATTTGTTTGAAGTAGGTATGGCCCAATCAACAATGTCCAACTCTTGCATGAAGTGCAAGAGTTGTGTTTTTCAAAGATTTGATTGATTAATTGATTGATTGATTGAAATTGTTTATTTTATTACACAACTCTAGTGAAATACTGTTTTTCCATACGCCTTCCAATTGCATAATTGGATTCTCTTCCAAATGTCTCCTGGGTCTTCAGGGAGGTCACCTCAAATGTGCCTTTCCCAATGCGATAATTGGACTTTAGAAACAATAGAAATCTATGTTCAGTATTGCAGACCAACTCGACCTCAAGGCTATCGTATCTAAGTTTGATGGGCATAGGTTGTTCACACCAGAGAGATATCTCCACCATAGCTGTCTTATCTTTGTTCTCCAGAATGCCAGGGGTGGTACTCAAGAGAGAACTAGTTCTTGATGTCATTGGAATATCTGTTGTTGTTGAGGTTGAAGACCTCTTTGAGGATGAGGATGGTTTCAAAAGTGTATATGACTGAATGGTTGATGATGCGGGTAGATCGCTGAGTTGGATCATGGCCTCCTTGATGTTGACCTTGAATAACTCTTGGTCCAGGATGAAGGTGTAAGAAGAAGGAATTGATTCCACAACTGTTGTTATTTTGCTCTTGCTATGATAATATGTAATTCTTTTTGTGATCGAAGTTACGCCATCCAACTGTGTTCTTAGTGTTTGATTCTCTTTTTGTAGATGGTGTACAGTCATTGTCAGTTGCTCTAGTGTCATCAAAGGCATGGAAACAACAGTATTGTTTTCGGCCGATTCATTCTTATTGTCATTGTCTATTATTGGGGAATAATCACCATTTTCTTTGTTATAATTTTTAAATAAAGACATTCTATTTTTTTAGTAAATGATTTAGATTATTATAATGCTGTTATTGATTTGATTCAATCTTCAAAGTTTGTACTTATCTAAAAAAAAACAAAGGGTTTACAATGATTGGAGACATATGTCATTTGATCATTCTTGGCATTCCAAGGGTTCCGGATCATGGTCTGTACGGTATTGTACATGACTCTATTTGATGAGCTTCACCAAAACCACCCACATCGTGATATGATTTGGGGACTATTAATTATACCATAAATGGAATTTTGACTTTTTAAAGACTTTTGGGGCACTATTTTGAACATTATTTGGTTTATTATTATTGTATTTGTAGTATAAAAGAAAAATTATTTATATTGATTGATTTACCACCTTTGGAAAAATAGTTACATATTTATATTTATTATAATAATATGCTACAATTCCAACTTAAATGTTTAACTTGATCATGATGCAGTATACTTTCCCCATCCTTTACAAGAGAGGTCACTTCCCTCTTTCTCTTTGTCCTTCTGGAGAGTGATCTTAATTTTGCCATTCTTACCAATGCGAGAATTGGACTTTGGAAACAATAAGTATCTCGTCTCTGTACTGCCGAGTAAGTCGACCACAAGGCTATCATATTTAAGACTTATAGGCATAGGCTGTTCGCACCAGACACTTATCTCCAGCATTGATATCTTTTCATTTCCCAAGGTGATCAAAGGGGATGAAGTAGTGGTTGTAGTTGTAGTTGTAGTTGTTGATGATAACACCCCATATGTGGAAGTTTGTGATGATTTCTTCTTTGACTCTTTTGATGGTTTCAAAGGTACATAAGATTGGATTGTTGTCGATGCTGGTAGGTCGTTCAGATGTACCAAGACCTCTTTGATAATGACAGTGAACAACACTTTGTTCAGGAGGAAAGAATTGGTTGATGGGAGACTGAAAACAATAAAGGATATTTTGTTGGCGAAGTTTGTATAAACTGATTTGGAGGCATATGTTGTGGCATCCAACCGTGATCTCAGCAAAAGTATCTCTCTTTGAAGTTGGAGGATAGTCATTGTCATTTGCTCTGGTGTCATCACAGGTAGGGGAAGTCCAATAATATTATTATTGTTGTTATTCAATAGGTCTAAAATAGGGACTTCATCACCATTATCATCATTGTTATAAGTCATTATTATTATTATTAGTATATATAAGAAGTTGTAGTTGTTGTAATTGTTGTTGATTGATTTGATTTGATGATAGTTTAGTTAAATTACTTGCTACATATAAGAATACTTTATGATTGAGATAGATGACATAAGATCATTCTTGTTTTACAAGGATTCCGGGGCATGCCCAGGCCTAGGTTCAGTTCAGTTAAGGGGAAAGCACCCAAAAAAGGGTGATGGTGTGGTTCTGATTTGGGGGTAAAATGATCAAACAAAAATTTATTGATGGAAGGAAGATATTATGATGAGGATCTCACACGTACTCCATAGCTTGTGAATGGGATGTCACTTCCAGAATTTACGTAATCCTTGGGGACAGAGATCTTAACTTTGCCATAGTTTGGTCTTGTGTTGTTGGGCTTTGGAAATAACAAGTATCTTTGTTCTGCACTACATAATAAATCAACCTCGACGCCATTGTATCTAAGTTTGATTGGCATTGGATGTTGACACCACAAACCAAACTCGACCATTGATGTGTTGTTTGGCGTGGCCAAAAGTGCTGTAGTTGCAGTTGATGAAGTTGATGTTGTAGAGGTTGTAGAGGTTGTAGAGGTTGTAGAGGTTGTAGATGTTGTTGTAGAGGTTGTGGATGATGTGAAAGGTGTATACGACATCAATGTTGTTGTTGATTCTGGTAGATCTTTCTGATTTAACATGACCTCTCTGGTGAATAACGTGAGCAGTGATTGATGAAAGAGGAAAGTGTTTGATGACGGGAGACTGTACAAAACAAAGGTTACTTTCCTGATGGTGTTAAAATAAATATGTTTAGAGGACTCTGTTACAGCGTTCAACTGTGATCTCAATAGTTGTGTCTCTTGTTGTAGTTGTTGGACAGTCATTGCCAATTGCTCCATTGTCACTACAGTCTGGGGAACACCTCCACTATTGACCGATGCTTTCTTATCAATATCTACTATTGGGACATCATCACCATCTTCCTCATTGTTATAAGTCATTGTTATATTAAGTTATTATTATTAGTGGTGTTATATATATATTTTTATCTGTATCATCTTAATCAGAAATCGAGTTGACAACTAAAAAAGATTGGTTACTTTGACACCTAGGTCTTGACTTTCAAAGATTCCGAGTCCTCCCTGGGGCGAGTGAATTTTTAAAGATTGAACTTACAAAGTAATCATTTTAATTGAACTGGGTATTATAATAATCAATTGTTGCCTTCTTTGTATCCTATCGAAAATACCAAGGGGAATATTCCAGTCTGGGAATATTCATCCCATCTTGGACGATGTTACATTGATTCATTTAGTCTTTTCTCCCTTTCCTTCTTCTCAATATCCTTTTGTTTATCTTTATCATTATCATCATAATGAATTGATACTTAATGATTATTTCATAATGGTCTTCGTATCAATAACATTCGTCAATCATTCTTGTTTGGATAATTATCCTTTTTTGGACTTGATCAAAAGGCGTGTGTGATTGACAGCTTGGTATGTGTGATTGAAGTCAGTTTGGAGTGATGGCTTGTCAAATTGGTAATTGTTTAATGTGCCCAATTGTGGAACAAGTCATTAAGTAGTACAGTCTTGGTGTTGAGTGCAACATGTATGTTGTTGGTGAACTCCTTGGCAGCTTCAGTGTCGCTCACACCTGGTGCCAACGCTTTCCTCAAGTAATCAATGTCGTCCTCATGTTGTAGCTCTGGTATTCCAGTACTTAGCATCTATTTTACAATGAAGGAGATAATAGTTAGTGTAAGTATGTTATAACTATATAATACTAACTATATATATAGTTCTATTACTTACCAGTTGGAATAGATTAATAAATAGGTCTGTGTGTTTTCTCAATGTATTGTATGCTAGGCAACAAGTCTGGACGAAGAACTTAAAGTTCTCGCTGTCCTTGCCTCCAACAATCGCCATGTATTGAGGTGTGAAAATGAATGGCGCTCGCTCTCTCTTGAAGCCATACTTCTTCTTGTAGTTGCCAAGGAAGTGGCCAAAGTCGATGTCTAAATGTCCATAGCCAAAGTCAGTCAAGTTAGTAAACTGCCGTGTTTCGCCGCCTCGCCACACGTCGATCCTAAACTTAAAACTTACGGAATAGATGACCAGCCTTGGTAATCATGATGTTGTCAGCATGTCGGTCTCCAATGCCAAGGACGTAGGTGGCAACGACGTAGCCTGCGCAAGACAGAATGAATGTCTCCACGGCTTTGTTGTAGTCCTCCTCGTTGGGATTGCATTCACGAAGCCAATTGTCCAGTGTCTTCTCCTCGAGCAGTGCACCGGTGCCACCGGCATCCTTGTTGATGTTGGCGATCGTGTTGGCATTGAGCACGACCTCGATCATACCAATGCCATTGCCAGTGGCCACGCACTTGTATGGCTGCAGGCGCAGGTCCAGACCTGCGCTCCTCCATATCTTGTCCATGATCCTGATGACTTGCAGTGTCAAGATGTCCTGTCTAAGGTCATCTCCTACCTTGAATATCACTGTCAATGGCTTGGCGAATGGTTCCACGTTCTCAAAGACCAGCCACAGTGGCAACTAGATTGATGCGTCGAGTTCATAAGTTAGTCCATCGAGTCTGATTGATCAGTCGCCCGCGCAACAGTGCATCATCGACCAAATTCATACCTTCTTACTGTCCATATATCTACACTTGTCCGCGATGAGACCCTTGGCTTCCCAGCGTGGGTCGAGGGGTAGCTGGAATCGCTCTGGCAGCCTGAGCTTGGAAAGACCGTCAGCCAGGGCCTTCTTGCGGTCGGCCGTGCTGTGTGCATTCTTGACGCTGTTAGCCACGGCTACAAGCTGATTGATGACGTTGTCCTGCTTGACCAGCTCTTGACGATGCGATCCACAGCTGCGCAAGTAGCCCTCGAGGAACAGGCCATAGCGCTCTTCAATCTCGGGCGTGTCCAGCTCTGATTTGAGCGCCCAGAAGAACTGATGACCAATACGTGAGCGGTTTGCCAATGCGCGTTGCAGCAACATGGCAGAGAGGTCGGAGCGATGGTATGGCTCATACTTGAGCACCTGTGTCAGTTGCAGCAGGAAGTCCGAGAACTCGGCGTCCGAGAAACTGTTGAGCGCGGCAACGGCGTAGCTGCGCACGTTGCTGTCGGCAAACTTGGCGTCCAGCAGCTCGAGTGCCTGAGTGGTCTGAAGAGGCGCCCATTGGCCCAGCATCCTATAAGCCTCCAATGTCTGCTCGTGGTCGGTCCACGCGATGCTGCTAAGGAACTTGGCCAACGACTTTGGTTTGTTGACGTAGATGTGGCGGTATGAGTAGATCAACTTGCGATCCTCGGGCGTCAGCTTGACCAGAGGGTCTGACTGCATCAATGCCATGAGTTGTTTGGAATCGTCTGGGTCCTGCAGCTTGCGTTGGATGTTGACGATGGACTCAGTTTTGGTGGGAGAGGGAGGAGTAGTGCGCTCGACGACTGGTGGCGAGACAAACACGACGGGCTTGACAAATGTCTCGAACTCGACCAGCAGTATTGTTGGCGTCTTGGACGACAAGTTGTCCACGCAAGTGCCGATAGGGTTGGCGCGGGCATCCTCCCACAGACGCAAGGCAAATGGTCCTGTTCGCAGACATCCCTTGTGATCGATCAGCTGGAAGTTGGCCCAGCCCAATGGGATGGACTTGGACTCGCTGACGTCTGCCTGGTTCTCAGATGTGACAAAGAACGTGAAGCAAGCGCGAGCAGCACGCGGCAGTGATCGCACAGATATGTTGAATGGCGTCCACACATCGCGCTCCCAGTCTGGGAAGTGGAACGTGTCCATCTTGCCAAGAGGCGTGCAGGCTGTGTACACTGGGTTGGAGATCGCTTCGCCGCCGTGATACAGCTCGACCATGACGAATCCATTGGGGACGCGGTCCACAAACTTGTTCTTGGCGTCCTCGTTGCGCTGCACATTGATGTTTCGCAGTCCCACGATCTTGACGCGGAACAATCTGTTGACCTTTGTGATGGGCAATCGTCCACTCGTCGCGTATTGAGTCATATTGATCATTGATGCCGAGGGCATGTGCTGCTGCTGTTGCTGTGAGGCTGCCTCGTCTGCAGCTGGCGCGCCCGATCCATTGTCCTCATCCTCGCTATCAAAGTCAGTGGTATCCAGCAGTTTGTCGATGAAGGAGATGGTGCTGTCAGGTTGGCTCTGGAGGGTGGAGAAGCTGGTGAGCGTCAGGTCGATGCTCTGCTGCTTGCTGATGCACTGGCGAATGTAGTCGTAGTCCAGCAGGGCAAAGTCGCCGTTCTTGGCGGTTGGCGTGAGACGGTGGTCGGCGACAGTCTGTGCGCCCAGCTGCAGTGTGGTGAGGATGTACTCGCGGAAGCCCGTTACCTTGAGCACAAAGTCTGTGGCGGTCTTTCCGCGCGTGTTGATAATGTCCACCATGGCGTACTTGCGGAACATGTCGGTGAGCACCTCGCCGACGGGCACGTGCGGGTCGCAATAGATCTTCTTGCTCATCTTGACGGCGTTGGGGATCAGCACCTGGATCGCCAGCTTGGGCGGCACGTGCAATGGCATAGGCTCAGAGAGCACGTATATGTACTGCGACAAGTCGTTGGCGGGTGGCGGCTCCACTAGACGATAGTGCGCCATCTCGCGTCTGAAGTTGGCCACCTCACGATTGCTTGTCTCGAGGAAGCGAGTGTGTGTCTTGCCGATCAGGCCAAAGATCTCGAGCTCGGTCTCGATGTGGCTCTTGATGTCGACGGCCTCTGCGTCAGACAGGTTGCGTACCTCCTGGTTCTTGAGTATCAGTTGCAGCTTGGGGAAGAGTCGAGTGATGTTGCATGCCTGCATGACGAGCTGGCGACGCAGCGGCAGTGACTCGTTTGAAAACGTGGCGTTGATCGACAGCACCTTGAGCTCAAACTGATCGATGAGTGGGAGGAACTCCGAGCCGACCTCCTCGAGCAGTCGGGACTTGATCTCGGTGGGCGTCAGGTCGACCGAGAATCGCTGAACGATGCGCTTGCCTGGCACCTCGTCGAAGCACACCTTGATCGTCTCTTCCTTCGTGCTGACGTTGGCCAGTGTCGTCTTCCAGATGTCCTGTGTCGTCTGCTGACCCTTGACCACGAGCGGCTTGGACACGCCGAGCGAGGGCGCGCTTGATACTGATATCGATGAACGACTCGACATGAGGTGTGGGCTAAGCATGATTCGGGAGTCGTTGGCGCCATTGTTGCCAAAGCCCATAAAAGACATCTGTTTGGTGCGGAGGGGGCCGGACATGGTGCGGTCCTTCTCTGTGAGCTGTGGAGGTGGCATCGAGGAGGAGCGAGTCTCGAGCACCGAGGGCATCGTGGGCGATGCGCCTGTCACTGGTGAGGTATCCGTCTGAAGTGTGGGCGGCGAGGGTGTGGTCGTGGGCGAGGGCATCGACATCTCGGGCGTGGCCGACTCTGACTTTGAGTAAGGCGACATTGATTGTGATACAATCTGATCGAGCAGATCTAGTGTGTCCAGGGGTGATGGTGGTGTTGATGGTGTCAATGGCGTAGTTGACGTCGATGATGATAGTGATGTCGTTTGTGATTGTGCTGGTGATGATGTTGGCGTTGTCGTCGTCGTCGTCGCGGCGGCCTTGGCAGCCATGACAGTCTTGCTCAGAGGAGTGATTGAGTTGAGGCGAGGCTGGATTGGGATTGTCGAGTGTGGTGACGGACTGCCGTTGCCGCCCGTGCCAGCACTGCTCTTGCTAATGAAACTCTTTGATGTGATAACATTCGTCGTCTTTATCGGGTTGCTGCTGCTGTTGCTCGAGGGTGAGATGTTCGTGTATGGTTGGTAGAAACTACTGCTGCTGCCGCTGCTGCTTGACCCACTGAAGCTGGCCCTGGTCGATGATGGCGATGTCATGAATGAGTCATTTGTGATATTATCCAACAACTCCAATGTCGAGATCATGTTGTTGCCATCCTTTGAGCCTCTTTGTTGTTGATCTGTTGTCGTCTTGCTAACACGTGTGCTATTGGTATCGATCGTGGCTATATTATTGGTACTGTTGCTGCTACTGCTACTGTTGCTTAGTGGACTATGCTTGGCAGGTGATGTGGACATTGATATGAGAGAGGAGGCAGTGGTTGGTGGCGGCAGGACCACCTTGTTTCCACTGGTCTTTAGCATGTTGGTGATGCCATTTCTAAAGTCTTGATGTTGTTTCTGATGGGCTTGATGCTGTGCGTCAAAGTTGACGACATCCGATGATAATGACAGGGGTGATACTACTACAGGTTTGTTATTATTTGATATTGATGATGTTGATTTGTTATTATTGTTGGATGACATTGTGATTGAGTTTGAGTGCGTGTGTGTGTTGTCTAGTTTGTTGTCGAGTTTGTTGATTGAGTTTGAAGAGAGATATGGTTGCTTTGTTGTTGTTGAACCAAACTCTCTTGTGTGAATGAATGAATGTTGATGATGAATCTAATAAATCTTAACTAACTAACTGACTCTGAGTATCTGTCGCCTATTCTATTCTATATTCATTGGAATCGATCGGATTTGAATTGATTGAATGTGATTGATTGGGAGAGGTGGACAGGTCTATAATGTGTCATGTAATAGGGTAGTTAATTAGCAAGTTGATCATAATAATATATCATCATCATCAAACATCGTCATCGTCTGTTTAAAAATAGTGATTGAAAGAGGTTGGTCTGTCATGTCATTGATTGATTGATTGATTGATTGATGGAAGATGATGAGGGTGATGACAACAGCTTTGTTAAAGTATGACGAATATATATAGTATTATTAAGTAAGTGTATAGACAGACAGATCAAGTATATATATCTATATTTATAAAGATGTATATATATTTAGTTCTGTTTAAGGGTAACGTAGGGGGTGTGTTGCAATGGATGAGATAGAGACTGTGTGTTTGTGTGTGTGTGTGTGTGTTGTGATTGATTGTGTCAATGAGAATGATTGATCGAACTCTCGCTCGCTATGCCATGTGATGATATCATATCCGATTATGACACAATGTGAACCTGTACATTAATGAATTACTAGATGTTTTGTGTATATCGATATACCTACAATGCGAAAGAGAGGAGAGAGAGAGAGAGTTCAGATGTTGTAGACTCTTTGATTATTTAATAATACATTAAGTGATTGTAATACAGTTTTGTTTATATATGTATTATCTCTGTGTGAGTGGTTGTGTGTTTGTCGAGATGTCAATGTTGAAATATTTCTTTGACACTTGGTGCATGAAGCTTGACTTCTTTGGTTGTCGTGTTGGTAGTTGGAATCCATTCAAAGTGTTTTTGAGAGAGTGCTAAAATGGGACCATCAAAACAAAAAAAAACTGATTGTGTGAGTGTCGTCTTAGTTCAGAGAAAATCAATAACACTTTTCATTAATACTTTTATAGTATTATTTTATTTATTTATTATTTTTATCCATTTTAAATAAACCAAATGGATTTCCAGTTTAATTATATCAACATTCATAAATTGAAGGGTATTGCAAGAAGAGAATCAATTAGGCCATTCCCAGGAATAAAGTAGGTCCACATCACTTGACGGTATCTGTTGATCATTCCAAACTCTGGCTGGCCAGGAAATACCAACAAAGCAGACAAGGTAGGCGGATTCTTATTATACAATGAAGGTATTTTGAAGAGAGGAAACTCACTTCTGGGAAGTTATTATTATTATCTGTTCATTCTTTATCTCTTGAAGAAATAATAATTACTTGTTTGTTGTGTTGAGATTGATGAGAATGTTTAAGTTTTGTTGGTTTGTGTTTGTGTTTTTCAAAAAGATGGATTTTGAACACTTTTGAGCAACTTTATAAACGAACGACAATCATTCGTCTAATTCTAAAGACACACACTAATTTGAACTCGATCATTCATTCATTTATAACTTATAACATATAACGTACATAAACATACATACTCAAACAAAACATAACATATATAAAATGATTGATATGTCAAAGGTCAAGTTTGTCGAGGTCGTACCTGATGATGATGAGTACGATGATGACGATCAGGAAGCAGCGGATAATGGTGCACAGGCACAATCACAATCACAACTACAACAAAGATCAAAACAGAATGATAGAGATAGAGTACAAAGTACAAAGGCATCACAGAGGAAGTTAAAGTCATTGTTCAAACCGGATGTGACAATTGGATCGGTGTACACGGGTGGCCCCGCAGCACTCTCGACCAACTCGGCCTACGTGGTGACGTGCTGCTCGAACAAGTTGTGCTTTGTATCGACTCGCGATGGCGTCGAGACACGTCCACCCCTGGTCATGGACGCCAAGATCAGCGCATTCGCATTGAGCCCCGCCAATGACAAGGTGGTCGTGGCGCTCAGCAACCTACAGATGCACGTCTACGATATCTCGCAAGACCATCACACATTGCTCGAGAAGGAGCGTTTGGATAAAGAGTCATCCCATTCTTCACACGACAGTGAGGACACTGACAACACACTCACATCACGATCACTCATACGAATGTGGAAGGGTCAGGACACACACATCAACTCGATCGACTTCCACTCATCTGGCGGTCTGATCGCCACTGGCGCGTCCGATGGTTCAGTTCGCATCTGGGACGTCGATCAAGGTTATTGCACTCACAATCTAAGAGGTTAGTACCATCCATCAATCACTCAATCACTCCATCCTGGAACTATTCCATTCGCTCGATCACTCAATGGAACTATTCCACTCACTCACTCACTCACCCAATCAATCAATCAAACAGACGAGGCATCTACTGGAGTCGTTAGTATAGTCAAGTTCCATCCAAACACATTAAGGGTGGTGGCCGTGTCAGATGACTGTATAATTAGAGTGTGGAACTTGACGAACAAGTCCTGCATGTTGTTGGAGAATCACATGTCGGTGGTGTCAGGCATCGCCTTTTCCAATTCGTCAAAGGAACTTATCTCTGCTGGACGTGACAAGGTACTCAACCTATGGGATCTCAAGACTGGCAAGCTCATAAAGACTGTCCCCATCATGCAAGAGCTTGGTGGCATTGTCTCCCTCCCCCAATCCTTCTACAGCAGCGATGTCATGCCCGATATGTTCAAGTCCAAGTTGGCCAACATCAAGAACAAACTAAAGTGTAAGTGATAGCCAGTGAGTGATGTGGACGTGTACATGGACATGCCATGGGACTGACATAATGTGGCCACACTATAGCATCGACACAGTTTGCAGAGAAGATCGCTGTTGATGATGTGACCATTGTCATTGGTGGATATGATGTGATGCGTGCTTGGTGTATGGAGACTGGAGAATGCATTTGGAATGATGGCGATGTTGAATTCAAGAAGAAGGATGACAAAGAGATGGAGCAAGACCCATTATTCACCATCACCAATGTGCTGTAAGTTGACGACTTTGTTGGACCGCCATCACTCGCTCACTCACTAACTCACTCACTCGATCAATCAATCCAATCAATCAAACAACTCAGGAATAATGGAGATACATTTGCAGCGATCACTTCGGAACATAATATTGTTATTTATGATTATGATTCATTGGACAAACGTAATGAGATCATTGGATACAATGACGAGATTGTGGACATCAAGTATATAAATGCCAATGAGATTGCCGTGGCTACCAACTCAAACGAAGTATGTACCACTCATTCACTCTTTGGAACTATTCCAATCACTCAATCAAACAATATACTAACACACGCCACATAATAACACTAAATATTTAGATTCGTTGCTATGACTTGACGACAAAGAAATCATATACACTTAGAGGTCATAGTGACTTGGTGATGGCAATCGATGTTTCACATGATGGAAAGCAATTGGTATCAGCTTCAAGAGATAATACTGTTAGGCTGTGGGACTTGGAGAATCAGAAGTGTCTGAGCATTGGCAAGGGCCACACAGGCGTAGTGACCTGCATTGCCATGTCAAAGAAGGGCGCCAACTTTGCCCTGTCAGGCAGTGAGGACAGGACCATCAAGCTGTGGAAGTGGTCGCCCAGGACCAAGCAACTTGAGGTGCAGGCAACGATCATCGCTCATGAAAAGGACATCAACTCACTCAACATCGCACCCAACGACAAGATCTTTGCTTCGGGCTCGCAGGACTCGTTCGTCAAGCTGTGGAATGTGTCTGACCTGAAGTCAGTCGCTTCGTTCAAGGCTCACAAGAGAGGAGTGTGGAATGTGGAGTTCTCGCCGGTGGACCAATGTATCATGTCGGCCTCGGCCGATGGCACTATCAAGATCTGGTCGCTCAAGGACATGTCGTGTCTCAAGACATTCGAGGGACATAATGGATCGGTGTTGCGAGCATCCTTCATTACATTTGGTATGCAGATCGTGTCTGTTGGCGCCGATGGACTGGTCAAGCTGTGGACAATCAAGACGAATGAATGTGTCAACACTTTCGAGAGCCACGATGCCAAGATCTGGGCATTGGCCATGGCACCCGGTGCCACTCGCGGAGATCAGCAACAATTCATCACAGGTTCATCAGACTCCAAGATCATTATTTGGAACGATCACACCATACTCGAGGAGGAGAAGGTACTCAAAGAGAAGGAGGAGGCTATCAAGAAGTAAGTACAGTCACTGGGACTATTCCATAAATCAATCAATCAATCAATTTCCATGTTACTAACACTTGCCATCCACACTCAATCAGTCAACAATCTTTGGATACATCTTTGAGGAAGAAGGATTATAGACGCGCAATCAAGTTGTCATTGATACTCAATCAACCTAATCAAACATTGAGGATATTCCAGAATATTCTAGAGACTGAGGATGGACAGACTATTGCCAGGAACACGCTCAACACACTGCCCATTGCCGACAATGTCAAGATACTCAAGTACGTCCGTGATTGGAACACCAACTCCAAGTTTGTTGAGGTCGCTCAGACCATCCTTCAATTGATAATCACATTGTAAGTACCATTATATGATTGATTGAATGTGTGATTGAATGACAGACCATGGCTGACAATGGTTCATTCTTAGGTTCCACCCAAGTGAGCTTACAAAGGTTAAGGAGATGCCACAGTTGCTGGAATCATTGATACCATATAACGAAAGACATTTCCAGAGAATCGACAGGATATTACAAAAGACTTATTTGTTGGACTTTACCATCGCCTCGATCAATCCTGCTGCCAGTGATTTGCTGAAGCAGGACCAATAGACCAAACATCGACCTTGATCTCAACAACAACTACAACAATATATTAAAGTCCTGATGGAGATAATATTATTACAACTTTATTGTTTGCATGAAGTAGGAGCAATGATCAACAAGTCCAACAGAAGCCCATTCGATAAATGGTTGGTAACACCATCAGGGTTCGCTATCACTCGTCAATCTTTACAAGATTGCTCACTTATCATTTGAAATGATGTAAACAAATGAGACTTGTTACCACTTTTAGAAATCGGGTGATACAGATACAGATACATAGAGATATATACAATGAGTAATCGAACAACAACAACAACAACAACAACAACACATAGGAATAATAATAATAATAATAATATACATGATGAACATATAACAACAGAACAACAAAGACGTGAAGCATTTGTATTAGAACAACAACAGAGAAGAAGCCGTTGGAAGATGTTTAGATACTTTATAATTGTACTCATTGTTGTATTACTATTCGCTAGTAATATAAAACAAGTATCAACAACATCAATACCCGAGGATGATACATCTACATCTACATCCATGCAGACACAGACTGAAACACAATTGGAAACATCAACAGACAACAACAACAATGAAGTTGCAACGACAACAACTCCTTACATCAAAGGAAGCAATATTATAGACTTCAATGGTTCAAAGAGCTTTGAGATCAAGCAGGCCACTGCCAACCACTCCTCATTGTTGTTGGTATGTCACTTCCACTCCTACCCTCAATCACTCATGTAATCATGTACTCATACACTCAATCACTCAATCACCAACCCTAGGTATATCGACCGGATTGCGTATTCTCTATACAAGCGATGCCAATGTACATTACTCTGGCACATACATTCCCCAACTTAACATTCTATCGAGCTGACTTGTTATCGTAAGTGAATGGATGGATGGGTGGATTATAATGAAGCAATGAATGAATGAATGAATGTTGACCAATTCTCTACCATTTTCCATCGACAGTAACAAACTAAAGACAAGATCAACACCGACAATATTCTTGGTTAGGGAAGGTTATTGGTTGAGATATGGCGGATCAATGGATATTGTTGAACTCAAGGAATGGATCTCTGATAGATGTGATCAGAAATACAATGATGATGAGGAGAAAGACAATACTGTATCCACCAAGGTGGATAAAGAATCCGATGATGATAATGATGATATAACCGAATATCAAGATGATGATGGACACAGTATAATAATGGCCGTACAAAGCATTGGAACATCAATCAACTACATGCTAGTGTTCAGTACCTGTTTTGTCATTTACCTCTGTGTAAAGACAATTATAATTCACATCAAGAGATCAATGAAACAAAAGATACACTAAGGCCTCCCTAACCTATTATTACTCCTATATCTCGGGAATAATGAATGACATTGAACTCAAGTTCAGCAGCCAATCAAACCGAAGTACCCTGGGCTCACTTGCCCCCTTTGATCGGGTCGATCGGTTGGTCTTTGCAAAAAAATCAACTTAGCAAAAAACCCCCAACCGTCACTCATTCATTCCTTCATTCACACACAAACTTATTCATTCATTCACTCATTCTACAACTTTGTATCATATACATATATATACTACTTTATACAACATACATATATATTAATATCTATACAATTAGAGTGTAGATATTTTAAAAAGAAAGAAAAGAACGAATATGGTATTGAATAAACGATCGGTGGAGCAGGTCGTTCATGGAAGCGCCCACTTGGACGGTGCCTCAAAGTCGACAACGACAAGCACTCCCAGCAGCAACGCTGCTCCTCACAAGAGCGACAAGGAGAGACTGAGCCAGATACAACAGCAACGTATTGCAAGACAGCAGAAGCAGGCCGCCGCCAAGGCTGGCTCGGGCGGCTTTGTCAACAACAAGACGTACGTCAACGCAGCCGGTCTGTTCATGTTCTTCTTCTACTGTGCAATGATGTACTATAGATATCAACATAGAGGCGCCATTGGATTCGCCGACTCACTCTGGACCTGTAACATTGCCGTGTTGTTTGGTTGGGTTGCCGTCGTACTCAACAAGCCCTACATCATCTCCATGGGTCTCTGTGCCACCTTCATCGTACATGCCATCTGGGTCGTTGACGTCGTCACTTGGTTCGCTACCGGTTCATTCCCACTTGGAAATGCTGAGTATATCAGTATGTATTAGTACTCAATCGATTCATTCGATTCATTCGGCATGATAACTGACACTGTTGCCTGTCTCTCTTGTACAGGCTGGCCAAACATTACATGGGGAGAGATTATTACAAGCACTCACCATGCATGGTTCGTTCCATTGGGAATGTCATTGCTGCACAGAAATGGAGGTTACAGAGGAGGTGCCTGGTTCTACGCATTCCTCATTGCCATCCCAACCATCCTCATCTCGTTGCTCTTCCCCAAGGAGCTGATAATGCCCAACGGCGATGTATTTTACCTTAACATCAGTATGTATACGATGTACTTGACGACATCGACATTGACATTGACAATGATACTGACTGACACCTACCTTATTCCAAATAGACTGCGCTCACGAGTGGTGGAAGGATGTCAGAGGCTGGCCATTCAGCTTGATCCCATACGAGCAACCACAGTACTTGATGTTCTTGTACGCCTTCAGTTTCTTCCTCTTCAGCGTCACTCATATCGTTCTCAAGTTGATCAGTTACGTCACCATCAGAGCTCACTAAACTCTCATACCGATTCATTCGACATCAGCAAGCATTGATATTACGAACGTACGAACGAACGAACGGACGAACAAACATACGAAACGAACGAACGAACAAACGAACATGATGCCGATGTGTACCTTACTATGATTGATTGGAGGCGATAGATAAATACAATATGATTACTTTACTTTAGTTCATTTCTTCATGTTGATTAGATCGTTGATCTGGCGTATGTTGTCGGTCTCGATCAACCAGTCTTGGAATTTGGACTCGACCAGATGTAAGATGTGACCTCTGATCCTTTGATCATTGGTCGATTGCTGTACCAACTTGTGAAGTGATTGCACTGAGCTTGTCTTATTGCTCAACGCCTTGGCATACTTTGGCGGCAGCTCACATGGGTTGGCCTTTGTCCTACCCTTCAATACGAATGGAACTGTGAATGGATAGAAGTCATCAGGTTCAACCAAAGTATATATATGTGATTGACCTGCTCCAGTATCTAAGATTGGCAAGAAGTAGGTGTAAGTGATCGATCAGAATGGACGATGAGCATGAACATACCTCCGCCACCCATGTTGACTAACTTGAGATCGTTGGTGAGGTCTGCTACGGAGCCATCACTTTGTAATGATGGTGATTGATCGAGTGGAGAGGGCATCGGTGATTTGAACACTAGTGGCGAGCACCATTGATTGCTGGCCAGGTTCACCTGCAGTTTGGAGAGAGTGATTTGTGATTCCAGTGTAGAGTAATGAGTGTTGTAAGGTGCCAGACGAATGCCAGTGCAGTCTGTATTGATGATCGGCTTCTGATTTGTACATATATTCAATGTCATACTTGATGATGACCTTTTGGATTGATTGATCGATTGTAATGTGATTGAGTTAGATGTGATTGATTGAATTATTGAGCGATTGAGATTGACACATACTTGACTCTTATTCCTTTGGTGATGGCTATGATTGTGAGGGAGGAACAGTCGCTGACCTCGATGTAGTCGCAGCATGGACCGAGGACAATGGTACAATCGTGACAATCAGTGATGTTGCATATGGCAATGGTCACAAGTACGTATATGTTTGATTTCTTGGATGAATTGATCGATAGTCTAATAGGCTGAAGTGCTCCCATGTACTGTGATGCTGGGTCTGAAGCTGTAGTTGCATTAGACTGAGATATTGATGATAAGTTGCCCAATGCCAATGGTTGTATCTTTGGTGACATGTTTCCAAGTCCTCCACCTCCAGCAGGTGTCATATTCTTTCTAGGTGATTCAATATTAATCCTTGGAGTATGTCCACTATTTCCAACATCATCATTTGGTTGTTGTTGAGACTGTTGTTGTAAAGGTTGTTGTTGCTGTTGTTGATGTTGTACATTCATAAAGTCATTCTCTGTCTTTATAACTGTTCTCTTGAATATATCACTCAATGAACAATTACTATTCATTCATTCATTCATTGAATTGATTTGATTGAATGAGTGAGTAGAATGATCGATTTGGACCTTCGCAATTTGATCATGATCATTGACTTACACTATATTACTTGTATACATGTTATAGATTGAGATATAGATATATACATATATATTACAATGAGTTATTACAATGATCGTTAAATGAATGAATGAATGAATGAGAATGAAAGGGGTTGAAGTAACACTTGGTTTCAATTTGATTAAGGTGTTGAGATAACTACACTTAATTATTATTTGAATCTTGATGATCGTGATTAGATAGAGAGAGATATTGATATATATATAAGATGAGTAGTAAGACAACACTTAACTTTATAAAGAACTTTGTACCAAGACTTAGAAGTACAAACCAAGGCATCGTTGGTATCAATGTTAGCAAAGGTGTCTTCAACGGTAACAACACCATCAAGACTGGTGACTTTGTCCGACAAGCATCCGTGGCAATCCTCCTAAGACTACGTGAGAGATCATCAAACACTCCTTGTATAGTATGTCCAATTCCAGTACCATTGAATGATCAATCATCATCACTACCAATCGATCAACTAACTCGATGAATCAACCAACTTCAAGTTCAAATGTACATGTAATACAAGAGATAATATGCACTCTGTTCAATGTTTGGAACATTATGTTGCAAAGTCAACTGATAATGGTACATCAGAGAATGTAACGGCAGATATACTTTATGGAAAGAAGTCTGAGAGAATTAGAAGGAGAGGTGAGGTATGCTTCCCTGGTGGCCACATTGAGAAGGGTGAAACACCAAAGGATGCTGCTGAGCGAGAGACCCTCGAAGAGATGGGCATCGACCTGAAAGGAGAGGAGTATTCCTATATCGGTCGACTTGATGATCGTGTCACCTTTGACAAGATTGGACTCTACACCTTTGGTATGCTACCCTTCCATTCATTCATACAAACATCATCAGACTAACCATTGCCAAGTATATTTACAACTTAAGGAAACTCCTGTAATATTGATGGACGAGGAGTTGGATGATCATGGATGGGTGGACCTTGACTTCTACCTGGAGAGTCATTCAACAACCAGGAAGTATTGCTCGGTAATAGAGTTTGAATCATTGTCCAATATGAGGACAAGGCGTATGATCAATCCAGTGATGAAGTTTATATTCAAATCAATCATGGTACCAATTGTACAACTACCTCTACAAAGCAAGACAACGCCATTTAGACTTTGGGGACTCACGCTGGACCTCACTGGCAATCTGTTCTCAACTGTATTGGGACATACCAATGTACCTACAATCCCCGAATCAAACAATCTCTTGGTGTTCTATGCTTTCACCAATCCAATCTTAGTGCTCTCAATACTGGCTGTAACTGTTCCGACATTGTTATACTACTTATTTATGTGACCCACCGACGACACACCATTCATTGGTCGATGATCCTTCATCATCCATCAATGGATAACGAACGAATTATAATAATATACTATATTTTATGTACAAGTATAAACAAACACTGGTTGTAGTTGATGATGGATGAAGGTGATTGACTGATCGATCACCTCTGCGCCAACACACAACCCTTCTCAAACATTACGCTTCCTTAATGTCTGAGGCACATCATCTTCGAACATTCCAATGACTTGCCACTCCTCTCCACCCAACACTCCAGTGTTTCCATAGCTCTCTTGATCGGATGAGTGTGGAGTGAGTAGGAGCTTGGAGGTTTCGTCCGAGGTCGCATTGGTGGAGCCAGAGTCAGAGGTGGACAGCGACAGGGTGCTCTTGGTGGTAGCGTCTTGGGTAAGCTCCTCACCAGGTGTCGTCTCATCTCCAGGTGTAGTCTCATCACCAGCTGTCATCTCAGTAGTCGACAAGTCGTCCAACTTATCCATCTTGTCAACAATGTCTGGAGTTGGATTGGCACTGTTGGGATTTCCCACCACGCTACTGCTGCTGCTGCTGCTATTGTTGTTGTTGTTGTCATCATTGATGTCTGGTACCAAATGCGAATCAAAGCTGCTGGGTCCTTTGTCGTCCTCCCATGCATATTTCTGTTGTAGCTGGTTGTTGATCATGGATGAACTGAACACTTCATCCAAATCTCTATACAACTCTTTCTTCTCGTCTTCCTTGTCCTTGCGGCCTCCATTCGATGATGCTGGTATTGGGATGAGTTCAATGTCAGCCTCGGGTCTGACCACAATAGCCAAAGGTTGTTTGTTGTTCACAAATCTATACACTAGTAGAGCAGTGACAACAAAGGCGAACAATGTAGTCCAGAAAACAAATATTGCAGTGTACCCAATTGCGAATGACATCAATGGATAATTATGGAGGTAGTACCTGAATATGAAGTCAGAAAGTTAGTTATTGGAAGTGAGTGAGTGGATGGGTTGCGTAAGAACTTACTCTAATCCAGATAGTCTAGCTTGGAATACTAGATTGGCTTCATAGATTTGGATGTTTGGATTGAGTAGATTAACACTCACTGAGACTGTTTGGTAAAACTATTGATTGATCATATAGTTAGTATCTCTACTACACTGGATTTCAATGTACTAGGTGGTACATACCTTCTTTGAGAGTAAGTTCTCTACCATTGGTATGGATATTTCTTGTTTCTCATCGACAAAACCAAGGAAGTATGGACCCAATAGTATAATGCTTCTAAAGAACTTGACGATAGGTGATCTATATTTCAATACGGCCTTTGTTTGTTGTGGAGGACAAGTGTTAGGTATCGTCTGTGGGCTGATTGAATGAGCGAATGAGATGGATATACATACAGGTCGACAAACATGTAGTAGTTTCTGTGGGTTCCACTTGTCTTGGTTGTCTAGATCTAGACAGGCCATGAACATCCCCATTTCCTCATTACGTGGAGACTCTGGTAACACAAGATTCAAATATACATCATATAGTTTGTTCCTTTGGAACTCAACATTAACATCGGCAGCTGCGGACACCTTCTTTGGTCTGTAAAGGGTGAGAGAAAGAGAGAGAGTCGGATGTTAGAGTCAATGGATTTGGTCTTGATGTAGGTTGACCGTGTGGTCCATCAATACATACCCAAAGTCAAAGAATAGTTGCTCTTGTGTTGATGCCTTGGATACAATGTATGTATAGATAATGTAATACTTGACCAATGATATGAATCCAATCATAACAAATGCCAATACACTGTAAATTGATACCTTTAGTAACTTTGTCTTGTTGTCTTTAAGGAATACAAAGAATGGTCCCATCACAGGCATGATCCTCTCATTGGCCCATTCTAACATCGCGTTCAACGGAACCAACCAGAGTTTCAAAAAGAAGGAGGCCTATATGTACATGTTATTCAAACATTGATTAGTTGATGTTTGATTGTTTGATTGATTGATTGATTGGTTGATTGATACCTACGATCTTATACATCACCTCAAGTGATGATCTGATCGCTGTTTGCAAAAAAGAATCCATGTCTCTTGATTGTTTTGTTTGATTGCTTGTTGAGACAAATGGCAGGAACTCACACAATTCGGGTTCACTATTGTTGGGCCAAACTCGGTGACTGTCAAAGATCAAAGATCGATTGATTGATTGATATGGTATTATGTTCAACAACAACAACAAACACCTATTTGACTACACAATAACAATATATATACAATTATAATATATGTTGATATTTAAGTTGAAATTGAATGAATAAACATACAAAGAAAGGTGTATTGATAAGTTGATGATGTAATTGTTAGTGAGTGAGTGAGTGATACTAGTAGTAAGAGGGAGAGAGAGAGAAGAGAGAGAGAAGTGAAGAGATGTGAGAGTGAGTAATAATCTTTAATTTAATTAAATACTTGTTCCAAAACAGGACATAGATATCACACACACTCACACACTTTAGAAGATACCTTTGATTGGACAACCACTACAGCTACTACTCACCTACCCACACACACACACACACACACAACCCGAGAGGTCGACCTGGCACCTCTATCCGCGTCATCTAATACCTCTGAGTCACTCATTCATTCAATCACTCATCTAGTACATCCATCCCTTCCATCAAATACATTCATGTTTAAGTAACAGGACACATTGTGTGTGGATGACGAGTCAGCAGTCAGTATTGCCCATTTAGGAGATACAGATCCGTGTGCAAGAATAGGATAAATGTCTCTTCATTGATCGGGCCAACAGAAATACATGCTTGATGAAGCCGCGTCATCATTTGAAGAGTCGCCAGCCAAGCTTCTGAAGAGAGACAGCGCAGTTGTTGGTGAGTCATCGGAAAGTGAAGACGTGGACTGATTGATCAGCTGAGGCCCAGCTAAAGCCACGCCCATGATGCATTCGAATCACCACTTCAAGGGCGTCAATGGTTCAATAACATATCGATCATCATATGATCCGTAGCGAAGCATGTTGTCGGGCATGTAGGAGTAGTTGTAACAGGAACCGAATGTTGGATAGCCATATTGGATGTAGTTGGGTAGTTCATGGAGTTCGTTATTTGATCTGCAACGCYGCTCTTGAAGTAGTTCAATGCATCGGTCGTATACTAGACATCCATATTCGTCCATCTTGTAAGCCATTGGTCCAGTGCAATCGATCTCAGAGTCAAGTGCCACCTTGCTAATCATATTGTAGGTTGCACACTCATGGATTGGTAGTGCCAGGTATACTCTGGTGATCAGTGCATGGCCATCAACAATGGATTGCACTTGTACAATGGTGTTGGGAGAGAATAGTATGCGACGCCAACTCCACTCGCTTGGATACATGGATGGCACACTAAATGTTTGGATGGCAACTGGTAGTCCAATGTCGTTTGATTCAGTTCCATCGGTATTGACCTTGACAGCGCATGGATAGTAATGTCCACTGGACATTTGGCCATCTCCTATGTGGCCAGGTTGCCAGCAAAAGTCATCCAACAGTTGATAGAACGTTTGGCCGAGTTCGATTGGAGGTTGTTGCTCAACTGGGAATGGTAGGGTCTTGAAGATACGGTATACTAGCACTTTGGGGAATTGGCCATGTTCGTGGTAATGATCAGGAATAGGAGGTAGAACATCGGCGTCGATTATAAAGTCGGATTGGAAGCGTACCAGGTCTTCTACATCAATATCCACTCCAAAGTATTGGAATGATCTCAACTTGATGTCTGTACAGTTGTACTCCATGTTGTTCACACTGTATAATGTAGCAGGACAAATAACATCGCATTCCAAATGAGTATACCTCATGCAAGATATACAATCCGATGCCAAACCATTCAATTGAATGAAGTATAATGATCCTTTGGCTTTACAAGTAGGAATAGTCGTCGTAGCAGTTGGTATGATTCCAGGATCTGCTTCCTCTCCTTGTTGTTGGGACAATGTGAAAGATAGTGTAATAATGACCAAAAATATAATGAATAAGAGTTTAGACATGTTATTATTATTATCTCTTTGTACAAAGGTATATATATATTCTATCTCTCAATAATAACAAATGAGCTCCTTGGACGAGTGGCCACTTGTATAAGTATACTACACATTCTCAGTGTAATGTGTTTGTTTGATTGTTTGAATTATATGTGTGTAGTATGTGTAGAGATAGGTGTGTTGTTTGATTGATTGTTTGATTGATGAAGTGTAGTAGCACTTCTAAGTTGATGGGTGAAGGTGGTCTGGCCAACTAGTGGGTGACATCATATTGGTAGTGTTACCAGGTTGGTTACTATCAATCCATCCCGGGCTTGGCTAACATCTCAACATGTTTCACCGAATAAAGACCCGAGTGAATCCCATGTGGGGTATCCATATCTTATGTTGTTTATAACCTATCTACACATAGATAATGATGCAGAATAATCAATCAATAATAAATATTGTGTAAACAATGCAAACATTGTGGATAAAAACATTAAAAACAAAGATATTTGTTGATTTGATGAACAATTGAACTGAAATGACGAGTGTGTTATGATCAGGACCACTCGGGTCCATCTGGAGGCGTCAAGACCTTAAGTTTGGCTCATTGTTGAGACGTCTCAAACTTTGATAAGATCTGAATGAAGTGTGTGTTGGGGGTGGTGCTTGTATCCACATCAAGAAAGGTCCATCAACATCAACAACAAAGCAAAGGTTAACACTCACCTTATCTGATTCATTCACTCATTAACACATTTACATACTCTCAAACAAAGAGATAAGATAACAACATAATAATAAGATGATCAATGTATGTATATTCATCAACAACATTGTAGTCATATACTAATATTATTGCTTCTTGGTTTAGACAAATGATATACAAACAACAAACAATGGAGTTGTAATTCTAAACTTTGAAGACTTGATTAAAAAGAAGGACTTGGGCGCATCGATTGAGAAAGCCTTTGGTTATCATGGTATTGGTTTGTTGGTTGTAAAGGGCATTCCAAAGCTGCCAGAGTTGCGCGATGGTCTGCTTAAATTGGCACCAGAATACTCTTCATTGCCAGATTCAATCAAAGAGAAGACCATACACAAGGAGAGCAACTTTTCATTTGGCTGGAGCCATGGCAAGGAGATTCTCAAGCCTGGTGTATTCGATGAGTACAAGGGATCCTACTACAACAACCCACAGTATGACACTCCATTCGAGGATGAGAAGATGATCCAAGAGTTCCCCGAGTCGTGCCATCCAAACATCTGGCCCGTAGAGGACTTCCCACAACTTAGAGGTGCATTCATGGAGCTTGGCCAACTAATCGTCAGCGTTGGTGCTTTGGTCGCTGAACAATGTGATAAGTTTGGTAAGTTTGTTTGATTGATTGAGTGTCAATGTCCCATTGGGCGCGAGAATCCAGAATGCTAACTTATTCATTCGCTCTCTTACAGCCACCAAGAACGTAAATGGATTCAAAGATGGAACTTTAAAGAAGATTATTGATGAGTCAAAGACATGCAAGGCTAGACTCTTGTATTACTTCCCAATCAATGAGGATCAGACTGCTAGAAGCAAGGACTCGTGGTGCGGATGGCACAACGACCACTCCAGTCTGACAGGACTGTGTCCAGCGATGTACTTCCGAATGAATAGTGATAAGATCGCCGACTCTGACATCCCCTGCCCAGATGTCAATGCCGGTCTCTACGCCAGGACACGTGATGGCGAGGAGGTCAAGGTCATCATACCAAAGGACTGCGTGGCCTACCAGATTGGAGAGTGCTCGCAGGTGCAGACGGGCGGTCTGCTACGCGCCACTCCACACGCGGTCCAGGCCATCAAGTATCCAGAGAGCCAGAACATTGGACGTTCAACATTCGCCGTCTTTATGCAGCCAGATGTCGATGTCATCCTCAACACACCATCCGAGACTGACAACTGTGCCGTTGGTCAATATCAGCCTGGCATGACCTTTGCCGAATTCAGCAAAGCCACGATCGATAACTATTACTCTGACAAGTAATCCCGTCAATTTGATCGATCACCTGATTTATCGGCTGATTGATTGATTGATCATTTATTATTATAAACTTGAACTATTTTGTTTGAGTATCTTCATCTTACAGGTTGTTGTTGGCTTGTCCTGGTTATTTAGAGTGTCGATTTGTCGTCCTGAAGTTCGGTCATCAAAAATTCAAAAATCATCCATCAGAGTCGTGTTGAGTGTTTGACACTGGGTCACTTTCCTCACACCCATCATCCTTGAAGTGATCTCATTCAAAGTCAGTTGTCCCATCACTTATTATTATTTAATTATACACATACATCCGAAATATGTACGTATAACAGTGCACTGCGATCAATCGATCAATCGATCAATCGATCAATCAAACACAGCGAATCACAAAATGACTGACACATACATTCAACCGACTAATTGAGTACAGATAGAATGACGATCACCAACGAGTCTAAGTTCTCAGAGTTCTTGAGCGTGTTCAGACAGAACCTCAACAAGCAGGGCGCCATGAAGTGTGTCGACTGGTACCATGCTACCTACATCAAGACCGGAAGATTCACCCCAATCATCCACACCATCCTCGGTGTCACCTTGTTCTCCTACATCGTCAGACACGAGAGAGTCAACCACCACAAGACTGCCCCATACCATTAAGCAACAGAATGGATTATTATTATTATTATCAGCGATAGCAGCGACAGCAGCAACAGCAACAGTAGCAGCAGCAGATACATATATATATGGAACCCTAGTATTATACCCAACCAATCAATCACACACACATAACAGCTTCATCGACGTCGTAGTCTTCAACAACAGCGATAGCTAGCACCGAGCGACAACAGATAGCTACATGCATGCAATAAACACATTATTCAAACATAGAACAAGCAGCTGATCAGTTAGCGAATCAAGACATCAATATAGACGATCATTCAGAACTCTCGGAATCATGTTACAGTGGCGTGAATACATGTTGGGGAGAGGCCAACAACATGGATGGACGATGACCTCTTTATTTACATTGGTCTGATTGATGGGATGGGAAGGGAGTTGGTTGGGCATGGATGGGATGGAAGAAGGGATAAGGTTAGTGAGGAGCAGTAGCAGGCGGGACCGCCAGTGGATGACCTTAACATTAACATACCAAGGAATATCTGTACATTCTCCTTGTTGTCTGTAAGGTGTGGATTGACCATCTCGATGATGCCAGACATTGACTTGATAAACTCTTTAGAGTATGGTGGTTCGATGATCTCCAGCACTTGATTGATAAAGTAACGTACGAGTGATGGATCGATCTTTGGAGCCCACTGGCGAATCACATTGAGTACTGGTATAACATGGCCACAACTAAACATGAATACAATGTTGTCTATTATAGTCCTTCGCATCTCCAGCTAGATGTGACATGTTTGAGTGAGTGGATGGAACATCAATCCAGTGCGGCTCACATTGATCGAATACATACCGCAGCCAGTGCGTCCAGGTCAGTCTCCAGCTCAAAGAAGTTGATAAGTATCTTCAGGATAGTTTGGCGTTGTAGTGGATGCTTTACACATATCTGTTTAGTCATGATCATGAGCGCGATCAGTAGGTTAGAGGGGTGTGTCCAGTGCCATAATACGTCCTAGGTCAACTTTGGTACTTGCCTCACGAAGGAAATCAAGGTAGACTGGTGTACACAAGGTATTATAACTCGATATGTTGTTGGTGTTCATCAGATTGGATTGAATCCATTGTAGTATACCCATAGATATGATTGGAAGTCTATTGGATTGATTGAATGTGTGAGTGAGTGGGGATGATTCCAGGATTGACAGATTGAGTGATTGAATACATACTCCAAGTGTCCCTTTAGCACTGGGACTACATTCTGTAACTCTGATCCAAGTGGATTGATCTTGCATATACCTTGTACCTCTTCAATGGCCTTGATAGTCTCGTTCAATTCTGACTTTGGCTGTTGGAGAATGAGTGTTAGTCGACCTCTGGAATGGACTGGCAATACAATCAATCAATCATACATTCTCAAGTGTTGGATTGACGCTGACACCATAGCCAACCAAGTATATGATCATTCTCAGATTGTTTGGCTGAGGGTTCCTCGTTGGATTGAATAGTTCAAGTAGTAGCAGTTCTGGAATGAATGAAAGAATGAATGATTAGTATGAACACACATGGAGGATGGATGTCCAGCTCATACCTAGCAGTGATGGAATGCGAAGGAAGTCGACTGGTGGCGGATTGGCCGCCTTGGAGTACTCGTTGTAAAGTTTGATGATGTCGCCAGTGGCTGCAGTGTTGTTTGAAAGTATGGAGATGATGCTCTCGTATATCGTAGGGTAACTTGAGATGTTTGTCATCATCAATGATATCTTCCTGGCCACCTTACTTCTCTCAAACACCTCCAACTCAAGTTCCTGTGCAATCCTCTTCAAATTAGGATGTGACTGAGCAATGTTACTGATCAATGCTTGAGCATAAAGATAAGTATGTTGACTATTACAACATGTTTTCTGTTCCAATGATTGATTGATTGATTAGTGAGCGAGTGTAGTATGACGGGATGGCATCAAGCTTACCTTGAACTCTCCGATTGAATCTTGTAGCTCGGCTTCGTCTAGTTGTACGAGATGTGTGAGTGAGTCCAAGAGCACCTTGTTGAAGACGCTAAAGTATGTGGATGCAGTGCTGAGCGAGGCGATCTCATTCTGATAGCCAGCATCCGATATCTTCTGAATGGCAAAGTTCAACATTAGACAGTTCTTATGTGTCTCGGACAACTGATAAATGAGTGATCGCCAGTCTGCATCAGAGATCATCTCGTCAAGCCATTGTGGAGGTGACTATGATTGATTGTTTGATTGATAGTTAGTGAATGAAGACGACATCATGTTAATGATGCATAACCTCAACTCACTGATGAGAATATAGTGTCTGCCTTCTTGGGATCGAACTTCTCCATGATGATGTCTTTGAGATGACCTTTGACTGTGGCCAGGATGGTCTCGTTCGAGACACCGGTGCACGACATCCAGCTGCAGAGTAGGTTGCACATCTGTGCGTAGCCACGATAGCTCTCGCTGAGGAATCTGATGACGTCGGGTGGTGAACCACCTGTTGTAATGTAATCCTTCATCGTCTGTGCAATGTCGATCGACATGATTGAGTCGGGCACCTGCAGTTGCAACTCACCTCGCGCACGTATTGCCTCGGGTGTGGTCTGATCGACGCCCGTCGCCGGTGACGACATTGTCTTTCTCGACAATGACGATGGTGATTGCATCGTTGGTGATGTCGCACCAGTTGCTGTTGATGTATTCTGTGTAGTCTGTTGTTGTTGTTGTTGTTGCTGATGTTGTTGATGTGGAGGGCTTGATGCAGGATGCATCATATCATTTGTTGGCGATGACATTGAAGTAGTCGATGTCGACGAAGTTGGAGATGATGAAGGTGATGTCGACATGTTTGACTCTTCTCTCTCTCAATATATATCTGTATCTCTTTGTATCTTTATCTGTTTCGTTCAACACCTTTGGCGCCAAATTATCATGCTTTTTCATAACCCTTAGATCAACCCTTGCCCTTGCCCCAACACAAACTCTAATAATAATTAGAAGATGCCAATCCTTGATAGAATGGTTAATATTACATATTGGTTGTATTGGATTACTGTTGAGATAATCCTGGATCATTGATGGGGAATGGAGTTGTCATGATAATTGGACCGAATACACCTGGTCCAGGTTTTGTTGTATGCTTTGGATTTACAGGGTCCAAATTGAATGCGTTCAATGCAGGATGGATGTTAACATGACCATCACCAACATCTCCATCATGATGATTTCGTTCCTCTTCAACATTGTCATATCTATGTCCACCTCCATGAGCATGATCAATTTCTTGGTTTTGGATATGTGCTTCTTCTTTGATCTTCAACTTCTTCCTTGGTCTCTGAATATTTATAATAATTAGCATCACCATGGATTGATTGATTGATTGATTGATTGAATGAGTAACATACGTATTTCTTGTTCTTATTGACAACTTCATTCTGGTCTTGTTGTTCACGAGCATCTCTAGATGCTCGATTACGTTCAAAGCATTCCCTCAGCTCTGGAAAAAGTTCAAAGCAAGCTAGAATATTGTGTCCTTTCTTCTTGCAATGTATACAGAATCTAGTATCATCCACTGTGTTGTTGGCTACATTCTTATTCTTCTGTTTCTTAAACTCTCCTCTCTTCTTTAGCACCTTGGATGTATGTTTGTTGTTATATTTGTTGTTGTCATTGTTGTTGTTGTCATTGTTGTCATTGATTTTGCTATCCTCCCTCGATTGTTGTTCAAGTTGTAAAAGTAATTGTTCGTTTCTTTCATTTATTACTCGTGCTTTTTGTTGTAGTTCAAGTTGTTCTAGTTGTTGTTGTTGTTGTTTTTGCTGTTGATGTTGTTGCTGTTGTTGTTCTAGTTGTTCTAGTTGTTGTTCAAGTTGATCTCCATTTTGTAATAGTAGTAGTTGTTTTTGTTGTTGATATTGGCGTTCTCTTAGTAATTCATCTTCTCTTTCCGCCAAATCCTTTACTCTAACCATAACAAATTGTAGGATTAATAAAGGATCATCATCATCATGGTCACAATTGATAAAACTTGATATTATAGGATCGCCCCTAATTGACTCGTCTAATGTTGAAACATATATCGCCAATGCTCTTCTATCTCGACCTATCTCTTCAAAGTCTCTCCAAGCTTTGATATAATCAAAGAATGATTTTGTGTCTGGTAACTTTGGCTTTAAATATGATGGGCAACTCTTTAACAATCGAATAAATATCTCATAGTCATATTCAGGTCTAATCTCACCCATTATTAATATCTATTCCTTATTATTATTATTATTATTATTATTTAATATATATTTTCCATCAAATTAGAATGAAATTGTAAATTCATTCGTTCGAATTTGTTTAATTAAACTTCTCCCGGTCACTTTGAAGTTTTATATGAATCTAACTGATTGGGCTAGAGTTAGGACCAGGGTTGTCATTGTAACCGAAGGAAAGCCTGGTTAACCCAATAAAAAAAGATATCTTTTGGTTTTGATCTTTCAATAAATACAAATGGGCAATCAGATATTTCTAACTTCGGGAAGAGGACTCAAGCTCACACTTCTACTTACATTTTTGAAAACAACTCCAACCAATCATATGTCATACATGTATGTGTACATAAGTTAGTGATAGAGATAGAGATAGATAGATAGTATAAATGTATATTGTTAGTTTTTTAGTAATATTGATATGTGGAGTGATGACCCATAATAATGATCAATCAGCAGTGATGGCTACATCAAACTATTCAATACCAATTGCTGGAAGATATCAATGGAATGAGAATCATGGTTATTGTGGCGAGGTCAGCTTCATTAGTGCCGGTCTGCACTTTGGCCAATACGTCAGCCAGTATGAGACACGTGCGCTCGCCAGTCCAGGCGTGCCCCAGAACAAAGCCAGCAGCCAACTTCTGATCGGTGTCAATGGCGCCAAGGCCGCATCGGCCATGCGTCTCAACTACGAGGAGTGGGACACGGTGGCCGAGAACAACACCGACTACTTCTTGCTCTGGATCAAGCAGCACGTGGCCCAGGGACACCCCGTAGTCATCGGCGTCTACATGAACCAGTATCGTTTCGACGGCAACACAAGCCCGTCGGCGGGCGACCCCCAATACGACCACATCGTGCCCGTGATCGGCACTTCAACCAACCACTCTGTCAACTCGTACCATGGCTCTGACACGCTGACACTCTCAGACAATGCAGAGTGGGAGCGCGACGACAACCCACCCTACTTCTTCACGTACCGCTTCGACGAGTTCCAGTTGTCGCGCAAGCAGGCCAACGCAAAGAACGGCCCGCTGTACTCGACAGCCGACAATGCAGAGAACTACGGCATTGCCTTGACGGGCGTGGTCGACCTCAAGCACGAGACATTGCCCGTGAGCGTCGAGACCAACGTCAACTACGAGCGACCAGAGATCAAGGATGGCACGAGCACCCGTCCTGCGGCCATGCCCCTCACTCTCACCATCACTGTCCACGACGTCGTCCCCAATGTGTCATACGTGTTGTACAAGTACACCAGCTTCAACGATGTGCCAGAGAGCGACTTCAACGGCAACTCTGGCAATGCTGCCTCTGCCATCAAGTTCACCATCGACTCTGGCTCGACCTACACCACCACCGACGCCATCCAATCAGACGAACTCGCCATCTACCGATGTGTCTCAACCTCCTCACCATAAACTCAAACACAATGTTCCAACAATCAATCATTGTACGGAACTATTCCAATCACTCAATCAACCCCTCTATCACTTATTTACATATTTACATTTATTCACCAGACAGATCGATCAATTCCAGAACTCAGACACCTTGATCTTCTTCTTGATGATGTAGTAGTCTGCGATGATCTTGAGTTCGGATGCGCTGCATTGATGGACGTCATCCATGGTCATTGGTCGTCTGGTCCAAGGATTGGTATGCTCCTTGTCTACCCACTCCTGGATGCAATTGAGGCAGTAGTGTATCACGGTCAAGCCCTCCTTTGTAAACACTGGTTTGTTGTCCTTGGAGAACTCGCAGTAACATATGTTGCAGATGGGCACCACAGACTTGAGAGCGAACAAGAACTGTCTCTTAAGTCCAACCTCAGCCTTGAACTGGGCCAGGTTATCACGATACTTGATAGACTGATTAACACTCTCCTTCAAGACCCTGATGAGGCGACAAACCTTGAACGAGAGTGCCAGGGGGATGGCCAAGGCAGCGGATCCAGTGACCAATGTGGCAACGCCAGTGGTGATCATGGTCACACCCATTGCAAACTCCAGGAGTGCTACACCAGCAGTGAATGGAGCCAGAACAGCTCCCGTCACAACAAGCGCAGTACCTCCTAGTATTGCAGGGACACCAGCACTTAAGTGTAAATGTTTGTTTGATTGAGTTAGTGAGTGAGTGGATTCATTCCAATGAATGATCTATTACTTACCCAAAACCAATTTTTACAAGGCAACTAGCGGTCTTCTCCAACTCATTGACAACGGCCTCGACTTGATCAACCAACTTATTGACATTTTCCGAGATCTGACTGCAGTTGGAGTGCATAGTTGATTGAATAATATCGAGATCTTTGGCATACTCATCGACTTGGATGGCCGACAAGTCCCTGGACCTCATCCCAATGAATAGGTGGAACTGGTCTACAAATCGATCGTACAACTCTACGATATCCAACAACTTGTCTGGAATGCCTAGATCCCTAGCCTTCTGAGCATATTTATGTTGAGAGATAATTGATACAATGATCACCATTCGAACATAATCGAATAATAACCAGTCTTTGGATGCTACCAAGAATTCAATCTTAAATTGTTATTGATTAAATATATTAATTTACTATTTAATTAATATATAAATAAATACTTACACTTGTATTGACATCCTGGATTGATTTATACTTCTCTCTGACGTGTTCCAATTTCTTTATCAACTCTTGGTCATCTTTTTGAGTATGTTTGAATAAATCATCGGCAGAAGGTAGATCCTGATCTTTCTCTTTCTCTCTTTTATTATTTTTATTATTATTTTTGTTGTTTATACTCTCTTTTTTAAAAGTTGATTCAATATTATTATATGTAGGAACCCTCTTTAATCTATTATTTATATTTTTTTGATATTCCTTAGTATCAACATTATTATTATTGTTAGATAAATTATTTCCCATTTAAATTTATATTTATATTGAACAAATAATGAGTATTTGTTTTGATTAATTTTTTATATGATTGATTGATTGATTGTATGATTGGTCGATTGAAGGATTGATTTATTAATTTAATAGATTGTACGATATATTAATTTTCTCATGATATAATAGGTAATTCTTGAATTTGATTTTCCATGTTGTTCCACTTACTCAACTTGACAAATAAAATATAAATATATTTAGGATAGGGGATCAGATCTTGATACAAAGATGGTGATTGGGAGCATTGGAATATTATAAGTGAAGTTATACTATATCTTGATTCAATCCATTTCGGGGATCAATTGATTATAGTAGTAGGTCGAACTTCAAAAACTTAAAACCTCTCTCTTGACCCCTTGTCTATTTCAAGAAAATCAAAGAAATGAGTAATTAACACTAACATTATGTATTATTACTTATAAGAGAGATAAAGATAGGATAGAAAGAAATAAAGAATGATATTAAATACACTACCTCATGTAGTACTATCGATCATTGTAAAACACTTGGAGAACTCTGATAGGATGATGCTATCATTGTGTTGTAGACGATTGTTTCAAGAGAGACAACATTATCTATTCTTTGAGACACTGTCTATTGGATTGTATTATAGAGATCCTGACACTAGGACATTGCCAGCCTATCGCAACATCATGTACAACTCATTTCAACGCAATCGACATCGGTTCATGATCAACCAACTCAACAGCACTCACATCGAGTTTGATCGCGACGATGATCCAAACATCATCACTCATCGTCACTATGTCAAATCACGTACCTATCCCAACCATAGTATATATACACAAACATCATCTCACTCGATCACTAACAATGATCATTCATTCAATCAATCAATCAATCATACATTACAGACAAACACTTGAATGCTACACCAGCAAAGACTACACATATAACATACAACAGAAAGAAGACAGTACCACCGGGCTCATTGCGATCAGGACTATTGTCATTGTCACTCGGACCAAGGTTTCAACGACCGATCGACAAGGGCATACTGCCTGACACACTCACACGATTGAGTCTTGATGATTACAAACAACCTTTGACTCCTGGAGCACTGCCCTCTAGTATCAGAGTGGTCAACTTTGGCGAGGAGTACAACCAAGCGATTGAGCCTGGTGTGTTCGACCCAGACTCACCGCCAGAGGTCATTCAGTTTGGCATGATGTTCAATCAACCCTTATTCACAGAGCCACTAGGCACGCCCGTCCTTCCAACTGGCGTCATCAAGCTTACATTTGGCTACACATTCGACCAACCACTGCTCAGTGGCACACTGCCGGATACACTGGCTTTTCTCAAGCTTGGCGATGAGTTTGACAGGGCCTTGCGTCCGGGCGACCTGCCCCAATCACTTCGATTCCTAATGTTTGGCAGATGCTTCAATCAACACATTGGCCCCAACATACTGCCGAGCAACCTTCTCACGCTGCACATGGGTCAACGGTTTGGCAAACCTGTCCTCCCAGGCTACCTACCCAGCACACTCAAGGAGTTCAAAAACTATGCATACTTTTGGGATGACGAAGAGGATGGTCATGTCGATGTGCCACCACTGGTCCCAGGATGTCTTCCCGAGGGCCTGGCATCACTAATGGTCAAGACCCACCAACCTTTGCAATTGGGCTTGCTGCCGAATTCAATGTCGATCGTCCAGCTCATTGGCAACTTCAACTCAAAGATAGAGATTGGCATGCTACCTCTATCACTCACCACTCTCTCACTTGGCGACGAGTTCAGACAGCCACTGGAGCCAGGCACCCTGCCTCCCAACCTCTCCTATCTGTCGATTGGACGTGGATTCTCGGAGCCCCTGCGAGCGGGCGTGCTCCCAGCCAATCTATACTGTCTCACGGTGCACCTGTCACTCGAGCACGTGGTCGAGCCATATGCCCTGCCAGACAACCTGAGAGTGTTCATCAATGATGGCATGGGCATGCCTCCTGTGCTGCCTGACTCGCTTTCTATCATGTACATATCCAATGTTAAGACGATCATTCCACCATTTGTCAAATCATTGGTGATCAACTCTAATTCTTTGGAGATACCGACCATCCCGCCATCGGTCGAGTCTGTATACTTCATCTCACGGCAAGGACCTGGCGTACTGAGCATGACATTCCTGCCACAGTCGGTTACATCTCTCGGCTTCCAGGAGTTCACCGATCAATACAGATACATTCCATCGCGCATCACCAAGCTGTCAATACCACTGCACAAGTCATTCTCGTTCAAGTTGCTGCCCAAAGGACTTCGACATCTGATACTCAAGACTACGCAAGGTGTCTATGATATCTTCTTCTTTGAGACGCTGGAACAGATGCAAGAACAAAAGAAACTCAAGAAACGCAGCAACAAGAACAAGGCAATCAACAACTCGATATTGCTGCTACATAATGATCGACTGGAAGGTGGATTCACGAACGTCAAGGTACTCAAGAAGCATCTTCAATCAATCGTTATATAATCATCAATGCTTGGAATGTACATCGAATGATTGATTGATCAACAATTTATCATATTTATTACCAACAACATTGATGATTGGCTAACGAGAGATTGAACATCAAGGTGACGACGAACTGTCGACCCGACTCCAGGGAGTGGGAGATGCCTTTGCAGGGTAGCCCCACATTCTCCAAAGACCTCGAACATGTTCGCAATGACAAGATAGGGTTGTCTCTTTGAACTTAAAAATCCTTTTTTTAATTGTTTAAAGACAATTGTCTAATTATCTAATTACAAATCAATCCAATGGCCTGTTTTGGTATATGTCACCTACCATCCACCCTCCCAGTCGAAGCAGCTGTCCAATCAAACACGATTGGACAATGGTTATCTACCCCTACAAAGTACAACTACACACTGAACAAGTGAATTGTTGATTCCAATTTGTATCAACAATATGTCCAAGTTTCCTTATTAGTTGTGTAGCATCGAGGCCTACCCTTCTGAATTGGCCTGGAAGGTCCAGGCGTCGGACACCCACACCCACACTCTCTGGAACCCTCCCCCACTATGGTACGCAGACCTGACTCTTGCCAAATTAGGACTCTCGAGACCAACCAATTTTTTGTCGTGCGCCCCACCCGTGGACACATGCCAGGGAACCAACCAACTGACAGTCACCAGTTCCATCTTAACAGCTGGATGGTCTACTTTAATTCAACGAACGAAATGAAGATTGGTGTATGATAGATAGTGAGTTAGTGACTCAGGGAATTGGTGAGAGTGTGAGTGAGTGTGTGTGCGCCATGCTAGTGAACTGCTACTTGCTGACATTGGTCAACAAGTAAGGAAAACCAAACGACCTGTTAGAGTGCACTCTATTATACACATCAATCCTTCAATCTTATTGTCCTAAATCAATACAAGCATACACACACACACTTACATATTTATTATTATTATAACATTTTAACATATATTATTACCATCCTTTTCCATTCGTTCAATAATTCAGAAGATCTATTCCATTTTGGTTACATTATCTATTTTTAAAAGTATGTATATGTAATAATAATTATCTCATCTCACATCTCACCACAACCACGACAACAATATATTCTTTGAGGACCACCTCGATCTGATGACCAATGTATTTATTGATTGATTAGTGAGTGTGTTATATCATTTCCGCGAGTCTGATCCAATGCCAGGAACAAATAATACTTAGGGCCGCAGGCACTCACTCTGACTACTTACATATATACATACCTTACACAACAACCCTACACAATTAATAATTTAAACAATCAATGAAAGAATACCTAATTAATATTAACATATATTAATTTAATCTTTATAGACCAAATTAGTGAATAATCAATCTATCTGTGTTTTAAATAACTAAATGAAATACCAAGTTGAACCAGAGAAGTCGTACTTTCTGGCGAGGATTAAATCATTCTTTAGACGAGACAGCAGCAGCAGCAATAGCAACAACACACACACTAGTGATGGATACATCGGCACATCCTCCAACACTAGTTCATCTTCAAATGGAAGTGCTAGGAGTGCTCAGTTGAGTTTGTCTCCCACTGTGGAGCAATCAATATCATTTAGACTACGCAATAGTGCTGAGCGCAAACACCAACCTCAATCACCTAAACTTCAATCTCAATCTACACAACTAAATTCACCATCACAATCACAATCACCACAACTACAATCACAAAATAATTCCTCCGCTAGTAATAACAAAATAATTACTGCGGGAGAAGCAATAATATATAACAATAGTCACCCAAATCACTCCAACCCGCACAGGAAGCCACTTAAGAGGTCGCGCTCCTACTACGAGTCTGTCAACGGTACCTTTGGAACAAGTACCCAACACTTTGATTGTTGGATCGATATGGCCAACGATGAGGAGGAGAGCTACCATATTGACGACCAGCTAGACCAACAGTGCCAACTGTCAATGGTGGAGCCACATTACAATCATCATTTGGAGAGCATTGCTGCTGAGGAGGATTGGTTCCGCCAGCCCGAGGACTGGGAGATCAACCTCAAGTATCTCTACAAGTGGAAGTGGAGAGTAGAGATGGAAAAGCATTTCAAACGCTATCGCAAGAACCGAACCAAACTGATACATGACGAGCACTTCAAGAACAATGTCGTCAGAAGCTGTGACAGCAGTCCATGTACATTTGTATATAACTTTGAAGAAGGAATAGAATCTGGACGAGAGATTGATGTTGGACATGATGATGAGGACGATCAAGCTCCGGGGCGTGACGAATTGAATACCTTGCCACACGACCCAGCATTCCTTCAATCACTACTGGACAACCTTGACGAGATATGCCACTCCGATGGCCTAGGTCGCCCCATTGAGTCCAGCTCTACATTCTTTGACATTGGCGACTATGACCTTTCCTCGTTTGATGGCCTCGACGAAGATCAAGACTTTGACCTAGAGATTGATGACACTGGTGCGCTCTATGCTGTCTTCCGCTCGCCTGTCGGCACCATCAACTCTGACGAGGAGTTCTGGTCATCCTCACTGCACTCCTCTGTGATATCCGAGACGTCAATGTCTCCGGCCACCACAACAACCACATCACCAACCTTTGTACAGAAGCTCTACAACCTTGTGGACGAGTGCAGTCTGTCGCCAACCGAGGAGGAGAATGTCATGTTTGATCAATTCTTGGAACATATCAAGAATCTTCAATTGCCAATGACCTGTGAGGAGAACAACATCAACAACTCATCCAGCGATGAGTATTACTCCCAGACTTCCGCTACCAGTTCCTGGATACCAGCAGCATCAGAAGTCTGCGAGTGAATGAGTAAGAGTGCGCCGAAAGTGAGAAAATAGTTGTCTCGTCTCTTAATATTGATGATTAAATACAAATAAACTATTAGTTGTATATTCCTACATTATTAATTGGTTGATTGGTTGACAGGTCATCTCATCGATGGGAGTAGTGATAAGATGTGGGTAACCCTAAACAGACCCATCACATTCGTCTTTTTTTTTGTGTTTGTTCCAAAGAATTTAACACAACCCCTCGTGTGCCTCTTCACTTTGAGCACTTCATCACTCTTCACTTATCAACAACTCACTCATTCACTTTCATTCATTCATTCTTTACACCAACAACAAACATATATATATATTTATTAGTTCTTTAGAATATAGAGAAATATAGAGTAATGACTGAACCAGCACAGACATCCCCAACATTACAGGGAAAGAAAAAGAAGGAGCAACCAGAATGGTTCCCACCTCAAGGTGTACCCTCTGAGCTGATGATCTACAACTCGTTGACCTCATCAAAGGTATTAATGGAAGAGATGATTGATTGATCAATTGGATGGTCCACAAGCCTAACACGAACATACACATAGAATGCATTCATTCCATCCAGCGGAGGAAAGTATGTGTCATGGTACATTTGTGGACCTACTGTTTACGATGCCTCACATATGGGACACGCAAGATCGTACATTAGTTTCGATATCATTCGTCGTATTATGAAGGATTACCTAGGATATGACGTACAGTACGTGATGAACATCACCGATATCGATGACAAGATTATTGATCGTGCCAACAAGTCTGGTGTCACTCACACTGAGCTCTCTCGCAAATGGGAGGCGTCCTTCTTTGAGGATCTCAAGGCATTGAATGTTCTGCCACCAGATGCCCTGACAAGAGTGACAGAGTACGTCCCAGAGATCATCACATACGTTCAAAAGATCATTAGCAATGGCTACGCCTACGAGTCGAACGGCTCCGTGTACTTTGACACTGAGAGCTTCAAGAAGAACCACGAGTATGGCAAGCTCGAACCATCGTCCGTTGGCAACGAGAAGTTGATCAGCGAGGGCGAGGGCGCGCTCACAGTCGGCACTCAGGACAAGAAGAACAAGTCCGACTTTGCCCTGTGGAAGGTCTCCAAGCCTGGCGAGCCAGAGTGGTCGTCACCCTGGGGTCCAGGCCGTCCAGGCTGGCACATCGAGTGTTCCGCCATGGCCAGTGACATCCTCGGTCCAAACATTGACATTCACTCTGGCGGTGAGGACCTCAAGTTCCCCCATCACGACAATGAGATTGCCCAGTCCGAGGCTCACTATGGCTGCAAGCAATGGATCAACTACTTTATCCACTCTGGTCATCTCCTCATTGATGGCCTCAAGATGTCAAAGTCGTTGAAGAACTTTATCACCATTCAAGTATGTTGTTGTAGTGATCACTGCTATCAACTCATATCACTCACTCACCAATATACATCACCTACTACTATAGGCTGCTCTAGAGAAGTACACAGCAAGACAGATCAGAATGTTGTTCTTGATTCACAAGTATGACAAGCCAATGAACTACAGCCAAGAGTCAATGACCAATGTGTTTGAGATTGAGAAGATCTTCTCAGAGTTCTTCCACACGGTCAAGTCCGTGCTGAGAGATAGCCCGGGCGATCTGCCACAGTCATGGAACCAGGTCGACAAGGACCTGAACGCCCATCTGCTTGCCGCCAAGAAGAACATCCACTCCTACCTGCTCGACAACTTTAACACTGTGGACGTGATGCACTCTCTCACCGACCTGATCAAGAAGACCAACATCTACTTGGCCGACAAGTCGAGGAACCCACGTGTCGCCATCCTCACCAACATTGCCAACTACATCACGTACATTCTCCGCGTGTTTGGCGTTGTCGACACCTCATCCATTGGCTTTGGTTCTGGCGAGGGCAACGTCGAGGAGGCTCTCAAGCCAGTGCTCGACGCGACCATCGAGTTCAGGAACCAAATGCGCACGGCTGCCGCTGCCAAGGACACCTCCAAGATTCTGCAGACATGTGACTCATTCCGTGACGAGGTGCTCCCTCTGCTCGGCATCAAGATCGACGACAAGCAGGGTGGCTCTGTGTGGAAGTTTGAGGACAAGGAGGTGCTCAAGAAGGAGATGCTGCTCAAGAAGGAGATTGAGGCCAAAAAGCAGGCCGAGAAGGAGGAGCGCGCCAAGAAGGAGGCCGCCAAGCTGGAGAAGGCCAAGATCCCTCCATCAGACATGTTCAAGGCTGAGACTAGCAAGTACTCCCAGTTTGATGCTCGTGGTGTTCCAACGCACGACAACACTGGCGCCGAGATCACCAAGTCACAAAAGAAGAAGTTGGACAAGGAGTTTGATGAGCAGACCAAGAGCCACAGCAAGTATCTCGAGTCACTGAAGCAGTAATCAATCAGTCAATCAAACACTACCGACACATCCACAATAATATAATAATTAAATAATTGTTCAGCGCTAAGATGAACCATCCCCATCGATCACTTTATTGGAGTTCAATCATCATTTGGAGAACGATACAGTCTTGATTCCATGAACACTGGTGTTCAATATTAAGAAGGTTCCATCATCTATTCGACTGATTGATTCCATGAACACTGGTGTTCAATATTAAGGAGGTTCCATCATCTATTCGACTGATTGATCCCTAGTCTGGACAACCATTTCAGGTCCTTCAATGTAAGAGTGGCACTCAATTCAATTGATGGAATACTTAGCTACATCACCAAGATGGTGCCAACGTCGACATCTATAATATTGAGTACAGCATAGGAAGAGTGAATAGGTACAGCAACCATGCTGTCCCTCAAGGTGTGAATGGTTGTCCAGACTAGGGATGGGAGAGTTGTAGTTGCTCATTGTGAGGTGCTCCAACTTCTTGGGGAAACTCTTGGTAGTGAACTGAGGTTTGATGATGCGATTGAATGTTGACTTGGTGTGACCACCAAGTCTCAATCGTCTGAGAGTCTTTGGCAAAGTATGTGGCTTGATCTTCTTGGTATAGAGGCTCCCAAGATCAAGATCAGTAACTTTTGGAGGAAGAATGATCGATCAAAGGGAGAGTTGAAGTAAAGTTCGAACTTTAACTTTGTAAGAAATTCAAATGGCTTTTCCATTCCAATACCTTCAAGAATGGATAGATCTCTTATATTTAAACGAATCAATACATTTTGTAGATTCTCGGAATCTCTTACAGTATCATCAATGATGCTGGCTGAAGAACCAGTGTACTCAAGTGATGTAAGTGATTCAGGTAGCTCACATACTATCGTCCTTTTTGATGCTATTCCGAGACTGAGCAGTGCTGAAGGGAGAATGCAAAGCATCAGAGTCTGATGGAAACTAGTACCAAATGATAAACTGGTGATAGATGAAGGGAGTGTATCCAACACCACTATAGGTTGATTGAACGAGTCACCAAACTTCAAAGTAATGAGTCCAGTTGGAATTGTACCCTCATTGATCGGTTGATTAAAACTATGACCAAATATCAATGATTCCAAGCTATTTGGAAGTACTCTTGGAGATATTTCCTGATTATATTCTCGTCCAAAGGTTAGTGATCTAAGATTAGATGGAAATACACCAACTCCAATTGGTTGATTATAATTGGTACCAAACTCCAATGATTGAATATTATCTCCAAGTATATTTTTCTCCAACAATTTATTATATTCTACGCCAGTGCGAAGATTCTCTAAATTGTTTGGTAAGACTCCAGGTAGTAGATAATTGTTATATGTTCCTAGATGAAGAGATATCAATGATTGTGGGAGTGTTCCAACTGTTAAACCTTGATTCATATAATGAGGTAAGTCAAGTGATGTCAAACTAGAGGGGAATGATCCATTTATATATAGTTTCTTTATATAATGACCAATTGACATATAATCCAAACTAACATTGAATGACTTTAAATGATGGCTTGGTAATATTGGCAGGGGAGTATTGTAATTGATCAAAGTAAGGTGTTCCAGTTTAGATGGAAGACTCTTTGATGTCAGCTGAGGTTCAATCAACGACCCAATGACAATGTATTGTATCCACCAACTGCGAGTCGCTTGAGTGACTTTGGCAAAGAATGAGGTTTGTTTACCAGAATGTACTTGCTACCCAAGTCAAGATCTGTCAGTGTCTCTGGAAAAGAAGTCCGAGTAAACTTGTCATTGAAATTGGTAAAGACCAGTTTTGTTATGGAGCTTGGAAACAATCCATACCTTAGATTAATTGTTGTTTTCCATAGGCAATTTAAAGACAACGATATCAATGTTGAGGGAATATTGATTCTAAATTCTCCAATCCATCTATTCAAAGTCAAATGAGTTAGAGAAGGTATGATCAAGTTTTCAAGTTGAACTCCATCCCCCAGATCTAGGGATAATAAAGTGTTTGGAAGTTCTAGTTCTTTGCAACCATCAGGTGTCCAATAATGCTTCAAGAATCCAAAATTGAGACTGATCAATGAAGGAGGCAACACCTCGAGATCTAATTTATGAGAGAATTTATATCCAAATGAAAGACTACGGATGAGAGGTGGCAATGAACCAGATTCTAATTGTTGATTAAAATCCTTTCCCAAGGTTAATTATGTCAACTTCTCTGGCAACACCTTTGGATTTATAGGGTGATTGAAACTATTGCCGACTTTCAACGAGGTAAGAGATAGGAGTACCCCGACACGAATTGATTGATTGAATAACTTTCCAAATACTAATGTATTGATTGAGTTACCTAGAGATAATGGCTTTAATTTTTGATCAAATGAATCTCCAAAATTGAGTGTCTCCAAACCATTTGGTAGTATTCCAGGAGTAAGAGTTTCATTGAAAGAGCCAAGATGAAGATATAACAATGATGGTGGAAGTGATACTAAACTTGGTGTTTTTTCCAAGTTTGGAAGTGATAGAGAGGTCAATCCACGAGGAAGAGTTGAAATGTTCAACTTATGAAAGAAACAAGATATTGTTTTAATATTTAAATTCATTCCCACTAAAGTTATTTATATCCATTTATTAATTGAATGAAAAGAAAGAAAAAGAATGAATGAATGAAGAAGTCGGTGGATTGTTGTTCATCTGAATAAATATGTTACTTCTAGGAAATATAACTTTGAGGTTGTTGGTGAAGTTCGAAAAAGAATATCATTTTGGATTCCTGAATCGTGAATTTGAATTTAGGCGCGCCCGAATGATTAATTGCTTGATCTCAAACAAAGTGTCATTTACTCATCCATCAATCAATCGTACACACACATAACATATATCTATCAATCTTATAATAATAATATGGAGGAATCATCATCTAGTACTACATCATCGATTTCAACCTCAATGTCAACAAACAACAGTGACGAGATAGCTAATGCAAAGGGAAAGGTTATCGTTGCCAAATCCTTGTTTGATCAAGGAGACTATACATCATGTTGTGAACTACTTGCTACTTGTTTGACTACTATGTATGTTATGTTTGATTGACATGAAATGAAGACAGACTAGTATACTAATCATAATCAAACATGATTAAAGGTCATCGATTTATGGAGAGGAATCAATCGAGTTGGCACCAATCTATCTTAAATATGGAGATGCTTTGTTGCTATCGTACAAGACGAATGAGTCGGATGTGTTTGGATCTAAACCAGGCGATGACTCGGATGAAGAGGATGTAGAACCAACAACAACCACTACTACTACAACTACAACTACATCGACCAGCTCGACGACGACTGAAGACGCTCCCCATCTTGAAGAGATTGAAGATGGTGGCGTCGCCGCATCCGCCGCCGCACCATCATCCTCATCAGACATTACCAAGGATCCAAGATTCGCTGCACTTCAAAAGAAGGCTCAAGAGGACATTGAGACATTGGAGCTGGCCTGGGAGATTGCCGAGTTGGCTCGTGTAATCTATCAAAAGGATGCCAAGGAGAGCAATAACCATCGATTCAAAGAGCTCTCAGAAGCACATATCCTCATTGGCGAGATCTCTATTGAGTTGGGTATGTTGCTGCAGCGATTTATTGTGGATCATCCCAAAGGGGATCTGATGTGGACTGACCATTCATCCCCACCCCAAACAGATAACCTTGATGGCGCCCTGCAAGAATATGAGTATGCCTTGGAGCTTAGAAAGAAGCATGATAAGGACGACCTGCGATCGCATGCACAAGTGTATGTTTCTCTAGACCCAGGCGATAATGATGGATGCTGTCCACACATCATACTCACATCACACTACCCTATAGTCTATTCTTCATTGCTCTAGTGTACCAGTTAAAGAATGAAATGAAGCTATCAGAGAACGCCTATAAACAGGCATTGGCCAACTTGACGACATGCCTTGAGACTCTGCAGAGTATGGCAGAGCCTCCAGTGGACGATATTCAGGAGCTCAAGAATGTTATTGCCGAAACCCAGCTAAAGATGGTTGAGGTCACTCCAATCGACACATCCAACGAGCCAGTGCCCAAGGAGCTGCAGAACATGGCCGTGCCCGAAACCCTCTCTATATCAACGTCGGCCAGCGACAAGCTCCCGCCCACACCCGTCAAGCACTTTGGCACCTTTGGCAAGGCCACCAGAAAGAAGGCGCCAGAAGCAAAGGAAACAACTACAGAGACATCATCAACAGAGACACCAACTGCCACTGCTCCAGCGACAAAGAAGAAGAGGACATTGGAATCATTGATGAGTGGTGAGGCAGCTACATTCGCCACGACACAGAGCCAGGCAAAGACACAGGAAGACAAGAAACAAAGGACTGATTAATTAAAAAGACGTCTGTCCATTTATCCATTATCTCCTAAATGACCGCACGCGGTGGCCAAGTTGTATACATTGTTTGTCCAGTTGAAATGAATGATTGAATGATTGATTGTTGGGTTGAGAGTACTCTGGACTAGATAAGATAAGATTGGGAGAATGGAATTGATAATGGTTGTTGCAGCAATGAGTGGCGCAGATGTGTACACGTGAATTGGAGTTGATTCTTCCAAAGAATCAATTTGATTGGCCCTCTGACATTGATGTATCATCACCATTCCTGTCCATTGAACGTCGCTTGAGTCCTCCTCTTCTTCCTCCTCTTCCTCCTCTGCCTCCTCTTGAGCCGCCTCTACTTTGTCCACCTCTATGGGAACCTCTGTTGCCACCTTCTGTTTGTTGCTTGTCCATTGTGACATCACCATCATCGTTCTCATTGTTGTTGTTGTTGCCATCGTTGGAGTTGAAGTTTCTTCCACCTCTTCCACCTCTGCCACGACCACCTCTTCCTCTACCGCGTCCACCTCTGCCTCTTCCTCTATATCCACTGCCTCTTGCTCCTCCATTGTGGTGTTGTACCTCTTGCTGATCACCACTACTGCTACTGCTACCTCCACTGTTGTCAGTTGTAGTTGTTGTGGTGGAAGTGGTCTTTGGTTTGGCGTCCCTGGGCTGAACCATTGACTCTGGCTGTGGAGGTTGGTAACCCAACTGTGTAGTGTCTGGTTGTATCTTTGAGAGTGTAATCCTAATGAATGGTGTCTGCTTCCTCATCTCTACTATATCCAATCCTTCCTCCTTTGGCAGATACTTTGTGACGATGTCCTCAGTTCCAACCTCTGTGACCTGATGTATGCCGGCCACACGTCTCTTGATCATCTCAGTGACCAATATAGCCTTTGGTATTGTGCTTGATCCTACAGCCTTCATAAATACTGTGTTCTATAATCATACATCAATTGAATGTTAGTCTTATACTGATCCCTCAAGTTCATTCATTGAACTAGTACATACCTCTCCCTTGGCAAACAAGTTGAGTCCATGTTCAATTGCAGGACTAACCTTCCTTGTGTATGACAGTCTGATCTCATTCGGCTCAACCTTGTTGTTGTCCACCCTTGGTACCTTTACGTACTTGTCCATCATATAATCTAGATTATGTCTGATGTCTACATTGTTGATTGTTAGTGATCAATTACTCGTTGTTTTTTGAATGATTGATTGAAGGCTGATGATGATTGTTGATACATACTTCACAAACAAGTGATATCACTACTGTATTGTATCTATGTATGTATAAGTTGTAGTAATAATTGAGTAGATTGACAAGTGACACGTTAAGAGATGTGGACGTGGTAATGAAGTGCTGGGCGAGGTGTTACCACACAGAGGGGTTGATGGGGCTATCCATAAAAGGGAAGTTTGTGAACATTATCTCAACAATTCATTCATTCAATGAGATAGTATAAGATACTTACAAAGAGATAATACAGATAGAAGAGAAGTGAGAATAGAGAAATGGTCAATATGGATGAAATAGAGAACAAACTACATGATGATGGTGATATTGAAGAGAAGTTGGAGAAGGACTTTGAGCATAGCATGAAACAGTTTGGAATCTCTGAAGCAGGCATACAACTATTCAAGACTGGTGTATGTATATTTACATATTGCGATTGTCTAACAACAACGATCTATCATGATATCTAACTCATGACTTGAACAACAACCTTAAAGGATGGATCACTATTCACAAGGAATGATCCAACTAAAGAAGAGATAGAAAATCATAAGAAATTTGTTGATAAACAAGGTGATCTATTTGCCAAGGTTGTAATGTTAGAGGAGGAGAATGAACAACTCAAACAAGATCTTGCGAATATGCAACGTAAACTAGATGAAAAGGATCGTATTATTGCATCCCTAAAGAAATAAGAAGTCAATGACCATTGACCTAGTCTTGTAGTGTACATAAAAGGTGTATGGTAGGCTGGACAATCAGTCTGGCTGTCTGGTTTGCTGGCTGGATGACAAATGGAAGACGACTTCCAATCATCAAGTCCACACTAATCAGCCCAAAGTAACGTTAGTTGTTGGATGATCCTCCTTAATTAAATTAAAAAAAATCAAAAGTGGTGTCACTCGTCAATCTCTCTGCAACCACACACACGCGCTCACTCTGACTCCAGAGTGTATCTTGTATCCACGCGCCAACATTTATATTTGATTATCACATATATTCTAGCTTTATACAGCATCTACCAACAACAACAACACATACACAGAAATGGCCACCATCGAGGAGATTCCAGACAACGTCGAGACCACTGAGGTTCCAACCACTGAGGAGGAGCACGCCGCTGACGGCTCAAAGAAGCCATCCCGCTCTGAGAAGAAGACCAGAGCCGCCATGGCCAAGCTCGGAATGAAGCCAGTCCCAGATATCATGAGAGTCACTCTCAAGCAGTCCAAGGGTGTATGTTGATAAGCTATAGCGAAGACAGAGACAGACAGATACAGAGACAGAGAAAGACCGACGAATAGATAGACAGAGACGACAGAAGACAGAACAGATGAACTAACATATCGACTCTCGAACAATATTGTAGAACTTCTTGTGCATTGTTGCTGAGCCAGAGGTGTTCAAGGCCACCGGTTCCGACACCTATGTGATCCTTGGTGAGACCACCTTCGAGGATCCAAACGCCACCCGTGCCACCAAGGCCGCCAAGAAGGTTGAGGAGACCACCAAGACTGAGGAGACCACCTCCACCACCACCACCTCTGTCACCGAGACTGCTGAGGACGACGAGAACGTCGACCTCCAGGGTCTCAACCCCAACGACGTTGAGATCGTCATGAAGGAGTCCAAGGCCTCCAAGGCTAAGGTCGTCGAGGCTCTCAAGAAGACCGGAGACATCGTCGCCGCCGTCATGGTATGTTTCATTTATCTCACCACCTCAATAATCAAACTGAACACAAACATTAACATCCCATCTTACCTTATCACATTGCGACAATATAGGAGTTGACTTCATAAATAAACTAGTTTATACCCATTAGGTTATTTATCCAGATATATTGCTAATCTATTCCATTAATGAATTAGTTCAATATCGTTCACTTTGTTCTTCGTATTGATGTCCCTTCTTTATCCATTACTGCTTTGCCCTGTTTAATATCTCTGTCCATCCATCCAATATATCCCTTCTTCAAGTCGTAAACGAAGATGACGTGTTCTAGAATACCATCAAGCTCGAACTTTGACGAGGTGTCGATCAAACTTTGTCGATAACTGGATATTGTCAGTTATCCACCAAATGATATATACATTGGTCGCGCACTATTCTTGCAACAACAAGAAAGATAAACCAATAACTGCCATCGACCTATGATCAATAGATAGATCCACGACTGACTGTACATGCATGCCCAAATGATGATGCTAGCAATGTCCGTAAAGGTCGCTTTACCAACCATCACCTTGATGCATTGATTCATTGATTGATTAGATTGACTAGATGGTACAGGATGCCATGACATCCATGGATGAAGGGTATTGGTCCTCGCTAGAATGAATGAATGTATTTCTATCAATGAAATGAACATTAATGAATGTGTTGAACTTTGAACATGAGATCTGACCTCTCGGAATGCATTCCGAAGAGTATCTCTGTGTTCTATTTATTCTTTAGCGTGTCGATAAAAGTGCAAAGAACTTTCTTTTGTTGTTTATCAAGCATCGGAATTATCTGCAAACATTTCAATCGTTGAAGATCTTTTTCCCAACACACACAATGTAAAGCATTCACTGCATCAAAGTGTGATGGTACCTGCCATAAATCACACAATACGGGACCTATGAGCAAAGATGGATAATTATAAACCAACAACAAAAGTAGTTGTATGCATTACCGTTGTCAGTGGTCCAAAACGAGAAGCCTCTCTGATCCAACAAACAATTAATTCGATTTTTTATTGGGGGCTCGTTTTCGTCCTCTATGTTTATGTGTGTGTTGTATCGAATGAGGACGATGACAACAAACAAGGGGAGAGTGGGAATGTGGGGTATCATGGGATGGGCTTCGGGCCACAATGTCATAAGCCGCGGACAGTCAGTCCTTGCATGCTTACTGGCCCACTTGTGTGTTGTTAAGAGGACAGTGAGTGATGGATGGATCTGTTAGTCCACCTCTAAATTGAGCTCCAACACTACAACAACAACAACATTACATAGGATAGGCTTAAGGGTATGGGGGATCTGGGTGGTCCTAACTCTAGGACCCACATCATTCATTGAACATGACTAACTATTCTTATTCAACAAGTATCTCAATCAATCATATTTATACTTATACTTATACTATTACTATCTCTTTTACATAAATAATAAATAAAGAATAAATGGAGCCAATTGAAGAAATGTCATTGTGGAGTGGAGTGCCACAGGCACCAGTCGACCCAATCTACAGTGTGTCGCTGGCTTATAAGGCTGATACTCATCCACAAAAGGTGGATGTGTCGGTGGGCGCCTACAGATGCCCAGGCGGAAAGCCCTTCGTCATGAAATGTATCTACGAAGCCGAGAAGCGCCTGCTGGGCGCCAACAAGGAGTACTTGCCAATCGACGGCATCTGCGACTTCAACAGAAACAGCGCCGAGCTTCTGTTTGGCGACGCCATGAAGGGCCACGAGAAGCGCATGGTCACCGTGCAGGCGCTGTCGGGCACGGGCGCCCTGCGTCTGGGCGTCATCTTCATCCGCAAGTACCTGCCCGCCGGAACCATCGTGTACGCCTCGCGCCCCACCTGGACCAACCACCACAACATCTGCAAGGAGTCGGGCGTGCCATCCGCCGAGTACGCCTACTACGACACCAAGAACAGCCGTCTCGACTTTGACGGCATGATGCGCGATATTGAGAACGCGCCCAATGGCTCGGTCTTCATCCTGCATCTGTGCGCACACAACCCAACCGGCTGCGACCCCACTCGCGAGCAATGGGAGGCCATTGCCGACTTGATGGCCAAGAAGAGACACATCCCCTTCATGGACTGCGCCTACCAGGGCTACGCCAGTGGCGACCTCGACAACGACGCCTTCTCGGCCCGTCTGTTCTTTGAGCGCGGCTTCGAGCTGCTCTCGGCCCAGTCCTACTCCAAGAACTTTGGCCTGTACGGCGAGCGTGCTGGCGCCCTCACCATCGTCTCCAAGAAGGCAGACAACATCCCAAGAATGCTCTCACAGCTCAAGATGGATATCCGTGCCATGTACTCCTCCCCACCCACTCACGGCGCCCGTCTGGTCGCCACCATCCTGGCCGACCCCGAGCTGCGCGCTCTCTGGGTCACCGAGCTCAAGGAGATGTCTGGCCGCATCAGAGAGATGCGACAAGCACTGTTAGATGCCCTCAAGGAGAGGAATGTGCCAGGCGATTGGACTCACATCACCTCCCAGATTGGCATGTTCACCTATACAGGTCTGAACCCAGCCCAGGTCAAGCTGCTGGTCGAGAAGTACCACATCTACTTGCTGAGTAGTGGTCGTGTCAGCGTTGCCGGTTTGAATCACAACAACGTTGCCTACGTTGCCGATGCCATTGCCGATGCTGTTGCCAATGTTCAATAAACATTAACCAAACAATCATTTATGTATCCCTCTCTCTCTTACTTCCTTTGTCTTTGAACGAATGATTCACTTTGATTGATTGAGCGTGAACAGACAGGGGACTATGGCATTTTATTGTAGACAAGAATGGAACCGGACGTGTCTGTGGCCACCAAGCAGTAGTTGCCTTGGCTGGCGCCAGTGCTGTTCTGTGCCAATGCTCGGGAAAAGACTGTTGCCGTAATGGGCTTGTTCAACGCAGTAAAGAACTCGCAAGACTCAATAGTCAGTCTCTTGTCATTGTTGTGATGATGGTGTTGTGGTGGAAGCTCGGTGACATTGTCCCACAGGTAGATATTATGGTCCTCACTACCTATCACTATGGACTTGTTGTCTGGGGATACCGTTGGCTTGACTTGGTAGTTCTCCAAATGCATGCCCTTGTACTTGCATATACGCTTGAAATCCTTCAATGCGAACTGGCGTATACTTGAGTCGTCTGAACTGACAAGTATCTATTGATTGATTGATTGAGTTAGTGAGTGATCGAATGATTGAATGGCCATGGTCCATCGTCTTAACTTACACTTTGATCGTTTGAAGGACTCGATACAAGGCAGACACCGGTGATCTTGGGTCCTTTTGCTTTGCCCTTGATGTTGAACTTGGTGACCAACTCCAACGTGGACTGATTGTAGACAATGACATTGCCCAGATGGGATGTGACAATGACATAGTTGTATGGCTGGGGACAGGTGTTGATAGTTGTAATGAACTCGCCCACTTGCGTCTCGGCAATGGGCTGATTCTTCTCGATTGACCATCTCCTGATGCATCCATCCAAGGTTGATGTTAGGAACATTGATTCAGACTGTAAGAGTGGGAGTGATTGGTTAGTGGACATGTCTCGGCGCATAGTGTATCGGATATAGAGTGACGACTTACAATGTCCAGACTTAATGAAACGACAATATCATTGTGCTCGAAAGTCTTGGTGCATTCGTTTGATCGCAGATCCCAAAGCTTGACCTTGGTGTCGATCGAGGAGGTGAGCAATCGGTGATTGTTCAACCATTTGATGTCGAGGATGTGGCCAGTGTGTCCTGACAGTTGGGCGATGGGCTTGCTATTGAATGGTCCGTCGTCGCCGTCCTCCTTGTCGGGCGACGACTGAACAACGTTATTGGAGTCGGCGCGTTGCCAAACACGCAGAATACCATCTGAGCCGCCCGTGGCCAGAAGGGTGCCATCAGGGCTGATGTCCACGGCCCATATCGATCCATTGTGTGCGCCATTTATCGTTTGGACCAGTTGATAGCTTGAGGACAGTAGCTTCTCCTTGGATCTTCTCCTATGATGGCCGCCACCACTACTGCTGCCAACACCACCATTGCCGCTGCCCGAACTGTTGCTGATACCGCCACTGCTGTGGAGACTCTTGAACCATCGAGACACGCGACCACCTTCACTCCTCTCGGTGGTACTATGTTGTTGTTGTTCAATGTTACAACTACTTGACAATGTTGGAGACTCGCCACTGCTGGTCAAAGAGGTGGAGGAGGTGATGGTTGTGCTCTCTGAGTGTCTCTTGAGGAGCTTGCGAAGACGGCTCTCATGGCTTGGATGTGAGGGTCCAGTCACAAGTTGGGGTGTCTGCTCTTCTGGCTGTGGCTGGCTGATGTCCAGTCTTGTCATTTCCTTGCTGCTGGAGAATAGATGATGCAGCTCATCCTTCTTGGACTTGATAATATGCAGTACTTTGGAGTTACGTTTAGATGACTTGATCGAAGTTGATGATGACGAGGATGAGGTGGAAGATGAAGAAGAGTTGGAGTTTGAACTTGATATTGAGATTGATGAAGTGGAAGGCGATGTACGATGATTATGTAATGAATGAGTGCTCAATGTTGGTGAGGAAGATGGCGAAGAGTTTGGTGTGGATGATGATGAGCTACTGATTGGTGGAGAGCAAGACATGCTACTCTGTTGGAAGTTTAACGATATTGATGATGTATATGATGAAGATGTTGTAGATGATATAGTTGATTGAGATGATTGTGTTTGTGGCTGTGACTGTGGCAGTGGCTGTTGCAGTTGTGGTACCTGTCGAGGACCACCACGAGGCGAGGCCAATGGAGTATTATTGCTATTGCTATTGTTACTGGTTGTTGCCCATGAGGGGTTGGTCTCAAGGGCATCGTAGAAGATGTCATCTTCATCGTCATCGTCACCTCTCGAGTATAGACTACCTGAGCTATGATGCTCTGTATTCTTATACATCATTGTCGAATGAAAGTGTTGAATGCCGTTATCCCTTGAGCCACTATTGCTCAGACCACTTGATTGATAGCTTAATGTTGTCGTTGCCATATTTCCCCTCTCTATATCTCTATCTATTCTCTATTTATAAATGTATATATATTGTTATTGTGCTATTATTATTACTATGATTGGATTAAACGATTGATCGATGGATTGATTTGATTGATTGGTTGACTACTACTGTGTAGTGTGTACGTATGAAGTATGAGTATGAGTATGGGTATGAGTACTTATGATGCAATTATGATGGAGGTATGGTGATGATGTCGATGTCAAATAAACACAATGACCATTGTCACTGTTGCTTCTATCTTGTTTGGTTGTTACGATCGTCGCGACTCTCTTCTACTCTCTTTGCAACACAACAAACAAACAAACAAACAACGAAGACAACTCACACCAACACTTCTCCACCAACAACACACTGTTGCTAGCCGGTGATCCTAATCCTAATCCTATCCCTTGTTGTCCAAGGGGTAGTTGATATAAGAAGGTATTATGATGTAGTTGTGTGTGTGTTGTGTGTATGTGTGATTAATTGATTATGTGATGGGCTCTGCGTCGAATGTGTTTAGCGACAGAGTGATGAGTGATGTTTTTGGTGTGTGATGTTGTCGAATCAATGACGCTCCATCTCATCATTCCACCATTGAGCTCCAAAAAAATCCAATCTTCCCTGGATAGTTGCGTTCAAATTTCTTTGGAACTTTTACGATTGGTTGTTGATGGTGATTGATTGACGTTTTTTGTTATGGGTTTGTTGAAGATGGTCCGTTTTGATACAATTGTTGTCCATCTTTGGTTTAAGTACATCTTATTTGAGTCCATAAATACATTTCATTCTTTCGTCCAAAACAATGACATCATCTTTATCCATCATCCAATCAATAACTAAATTGTTTGATCATTATCAATCAAACTTACATATAATATTCTTTATCTGTATCTGTGTGTTTGTTTTCGGAGTTATCTGTATCAGTTTGTTTGTTTAAGTAATATATTTAAGAGACGACAATCTCATTTTTGATTGATTAATTTATATTCGTATCTCTCTTTGGTTCCTAGGAATGCCAATTTGGGATAGACCACCCCCCTTCCTTGTAATCAATGTCGGGTGAGACCAAGATGGAATCGAATCCTAAAAACTGAAGAACTCATTGGTGGGTGTCACATCGATCAAATAATCAACCAACCGGAAAAATATATATATTATTTATTTGTTATCGTATTCCATATGGACATCCAAACAATGAACGAGGTACTGGATGGTTGTTGTCATTAATATTAACATCTATCAACAATCTTTGTATACAAATTCAAGAATTACTTGTTTGTCAAGGACAACTCCACAGATCACTCTACTTTGAGTCCAACTAATTCGGTCGCCTTGCATACATAGCCCTCAAGGTTATGTGAGAGAACCAGTACATAGATGTTATCCAACATCCTTATAGTTGTACACAATGTTGTTCCGTAGTTGTAGCCCAACATCATTATGTTGTCAATGTTTGGACAATAAGGGAAACCAACCTTGTTTCTTAGGAATGCCATTGGTTCATATGGAAACACAATGAGTTCGAGACAATCGACGTGGGCCAGTACACTCTGCTTGACCTTTTGAATGTGTAGTGACAATCTGGACAGTCCTGCTGGCAGTGCGTCAACAGCCAGCGATTGTGTAAACCTTGCACCAAATGTAAGCCATTTGATTGAGTTTGGTAGTGTCCCAACTTGTATTGGTTGATTATAGTCACGTCCAAACTTTAAACGAGTTAATGATGAAGGTAGCATGCCAGGTGTAATCCTTTGATCGAATGCAAAGCCGAATGACAGGCTGGTTAGACCCATTGGCAGGAGACCTGGCGGGAGTGGTCGGTCGAATGAATAGCCAAAGACAATTTTCTGGAGTGATGTAGGGAGTGATCCAGGCATCAGTGGATGTGAGAATGAACTACTCCTCATGTCCAATTTTCTTAGAGTTGATGGAAGTACACCTGGGTTCAAAGGTTGATTGTAGAATGTGCCAAGCGATATCTTGGTGAGTGCTGGAGGTAGCATTCCAACTCCAATCAATTGATTAAATGTTGGTCCAATCGAAAGGCGGGTCAACGATGCAGGGAACAGCGATGGCGCCATCCCTCCACCAACAGCTGGTGTATCTGTAACAGTGTTTCTAAGTTCACAACTCAGCTTTGTCAATGAGTGGGGCAGTGTGGTGATTGTCACTGGATGTTGGTACTGTTCGCCAAGGCATAGAGTACGTAGTGTTTGAGGAAGAATACCATGGTGTCCAAGTGATTGATTAAAACGATTGCCAAACTTCAACATTGTTAGGCTGCTTGGTAGTGTGCCTGGCGCCAGTTGCTGGTCAAACATCGAACCAAACACAAGTTCGGTTAAACTTGCTGGCAATACATTATGAGTAATTGGTTGGTTGTATTCCTTTCCAAACTCTAGTGACAACAGAGACCGAGGCAGTACACCAATGGTTATCTGTCGATTGAATAATGCCTTAAAGACAAGTGTGCGCAATGATGGAGGGAGTACATCTTGACCAATCTGTTTGTTATACTTGTGACCCATTGTTAGAGATGTGATTGATGGAGGCAGCACGCCTGGTAGGAGTGGCTGTTTGAACATGGTGCTCAGGGTCAACGATGTGAGCGACGCAGGGAGGACTGATAGTTGCTGGCCCCCAGAAGTAACCTGGAGTGTGCAGTTGAATGCACTGCCAAGTGAGAGACTGAGCAGACGGCATGGCAACGTACCGACCGCAAAGTTACGATTGAATGTTGAGTTGGGAGGGAACTCTAGGCATGTCAGTGTTTGGGGTAGGACGCCTGTGTTGATCAACATGTTAAAGCCAGTGCCAAAGGTGAGACGTGTCAACCCCTCTGGCAGTCGATACAGTAACTTCTGATTGAATGCATCGCCAAAGCGTAAACAAGTGATAGTCTTTGGCAATTGCCATTGATAAGTAATGTCGTGGTCACAAACATATTGAGTGATAGTAGGTCTGTGTATATTGTTAATGTTATTGTTGTTGGTGTTGACAATGATGAGTGAGTGATCAATGTCGTCTGACAATGGCGGTGGTGGAGGTGGCGTGGTGTACAGAATGAATAAGTTCAATGCATGGTTGGATTGTTGGGGCCAGGAGTCTGGCGTGTTGATGTCTATGGATAGACGTGCATAACAATATCTGTCTGCAAAGAGTCGACGACTGACCAATGCCACACATACAACATCAGCATTGTCATCCAAATAGTCAACAATATGTTTCAATAATATATGTGGCAATGTATCCATTCGTTCATTCGTTTGTTTGTTTGTTTGTTTGTGATTGTTTGATTGATTGCTTCCTTGCTTTCTTGTGTTGATTGCGTTGTGTTGTGTTGATTGATTGATTGAATGACACTTTCTCGTGTGTCTTTGTGTGTGCAATGGATCAATGACATGTCCTTCAATTACTTCATTCAATTTGTCAATGAATCTTTGGTTATCTAACCCAACACGCACACATCATCTTCTCCAATTCAATGATAAGAGTTGGACGTGTCAATCATTGACATTGACAATGTCATTGTCAATGCAAGTGATGTGTGTGGTGTGGTGTGGGATCTGTATCTCTTCAAACATACACATACACACACACAAACACACCTGACGTTCATAAGGGTTGTAGAATTGGGTAGCGGTCCTAATATGTCTACAGATAATTTAAATATCTTTATGTGGACTGGTGTCTTAGGATGGGGTCAAGATGTCACTCTTATTCTATCATTGTTAGGTCGGTATGAGTAAAGAGGGGGGGGCGATTCTTCCACGTTCCGTCCCTTAGCATCCAATCACCCACGCACTACCCAATTCGTGTTCCACAACACCAAACTAAACAAAATATTTAAATTAATATTTTAAAACAATTCTTTGGTGAATGTTAGTGAAGGAGGAGATGAGTGTGTTGTTGTCCCGCTCACTCACACACAAACACGCATCGCGAGTGATAGGGTAAGCCTTTTAATGGTTTAGACTCAATCGATCAGTCACACATCAATCTCTACACTATTATCTGTACACTTATACATACAAATAATTATAAATAGATATATATATTTATATATTCAAAGAATATAGCAATCAAGATCAAACAGTTATACATACATCATTCATTCAATCATTCAACAATCAAACAAACAATCAAAAAAAAATAAGAAAGAGCAAGTCTTATCCTCCTCCCTTCCCCTTCCCCTCCTCCTCCATTTCCTCCTCGTATTCCTCTTCCACTTCATACCTCTTCACTTCACTTCAATCATTCAATCAATCAACATCTTCCCTTCCCTCCTCCTCCCCTGCCTCACATTCACACCTTCACCACCACGTCACCTTTGATCGATCAATCAACACAACCACTCACTCTTGGATTATTACCATCACCTGATCGATCAAATCAACACAAATATTCATTACCACCCCCTACTCCTCCTCCTCTCCTCCTCCCTCAACTTCAACTTCAACTTCCCAACTACTACTACTGCTACTTCCTGCTCCATCGTTGAACACATTCGTTGTTTAATTGATTGATTGTTTGATTGATTAATTGTCTGTTTGTGATTGATTGATTGATCACTGCGTTGTTTTGTCCTATAATAAATATGCAAGCACTGCTACAGTCTTGTGTTATCCACCAAACAATACCTTTTGTGTTGCCAAACATCCATCCATCCAACCACATCCATCCAACCATGCAACCACTGACACCTGACCCCCTTTAATGATGAGTCGTCGACTAACCCTTGCCACCTTAAATGTCTTATACTCTCTCTCTCTCTCTTCTTCTTCTCCATATTCTTATTCCATTCAATTCCATTCCCTACCAACTGGAACTGTACTTACTACCTGGCTACCAACATCCGAGTAGAAGTAATCCACAACAACCATGTCTATGATTAACGAACTGCCATTCGACAGTTGCAACTGCTCTTGTGTCAAGTGCCTTTGCAACAATCTCCTCAACAATTTGCCTGCCCGCAATGACGACAGCGAGAACTACACAATGGAGGTCTCCCTGCAGTCCTGTTGCAGCAGCTCATCCGCCGCCGCCACCTCGTCCTCTGCCATGTCCGCCAACTGTGGCTGCGACTCCAAGTCATGCTGCGGCATCTCCTCCCTCTTCTCCTACCAGGACTTTGTCATGTTCATCCCCAACCTCCAAAAGTAAGTAACAGTTGTCCATCAAGGTTGTGACCCGCCACATACTAACTAACTAACTCAATCAATCATAGGACTCACAATGAGCCATTGGAGAACCTACTCAACTCTGTTTCCACCGTGCTTACCGTCAAGATTGACAATGTTACCAAGTTTGTCGAGATCCATACCAACTCCCAACGTTCAATATTCTCCATCCTCGCCATCTTTAAGAGCCTAAACTTGACCATTGCCTCTATCCAGTCCAAGGAGTGTCCAACACCTTCATCACTCGACTCGCTGGACGACGACGACTACTTTGCTGCCGGTGAGCAGGCATCCAATGCCAACAACGTTGAGACCTCATCCGACGAGGACGAAGACGAGAGGATCTTCCAGATCTCCGGTATGGTGTGCGCCATGGGCTGTGCTAAGATGATCGAAGCCAACTTTAGCCAACTGAACAAGGTCAAGAAGGCCAAGGTCAACTTCTCCGCCCAGACACTGCACATTGTCGGCAGCATCTCCAACGGCGCCATCATAAAGAAGGTCGAGAAGCTGGGCTTCAAGTGCCAGAAGATCAACAAAGAACAAATCCGGCTCGTGTCCCCAGTGGACAGCTCGCCAGTCTGCCTAATGCCCGAGAAGAACACCGACCCACTTGACAAGGAAGCCATCGAGATGATTGAGATACCCGTTAATGACAATGGTGCTGGCGCCGACGCCAACACCCAGTCCGGCTTCCCCGAGATCAAAGTAGAGCAAGCACCAACCGAACGCACATCCATCGTCATTGGAGTCTATGGCATGACGTGCGCCTCCTGTGTCGGCATTGTCGAGCACTCAATCACCTCCATCCCAGGTGTCATTGAGTGTAGCGTCAACCTGTTGGCCGAGCGCGCTGAGGTCACCTACTTCCCCGACGTTGCCAATGTTTCCAAGTTCCTGGCCAACTTGGCCGACTTGGGCTACGAGACCAAGGTCCTGCACACACCCAAGGTCGGCACTTTCTATCTCGCCATCGAGACACCAAAGGACGGCATCAACGAGGTGTTGCTGGCCATCGCTGGTGTGACCAGCGTCGAGACGGTCGACAGTGAGGGCGCCAGCCACTTGGTTCTCAAGGTCGAGGCCGATGCCATCGTCGTGGGACCACGTACCGCCATCAGAAAGCTCCAGGAGCATGGCGTCGTTGCAACCCTGCACGAGCCTGACTCTGATGACGCCAAGGACTCTTTGCTGCGCAAGCGTGAGATCCACAAGTGGCGCTTCCTCTTCCTGTTCTCCATCGTGTTCACCGTGCCACTGATCATAATTGCAATGATTCTCGTCCCCGCCAACGTTGGCTTCCTCAAGAAGGAGATCACAATGGGCCTGGCCGTCGAGTCGCTCGTTGGTTTCCTCCTTGCCACTCCCGTCCAGTTCTACACTGGCTGGCAGTTCTACCGTGCGTCCTGGGGCGCACTCAAGCACTTCCATGGTAACATGGACTTGCTTGTGTCGATCGGATCATCAGCCGCCTACATCTACTCCTTGCTGTCCATCATCCTGTCCATGGTCAACCCCGAGTACATGGGCATGCACTTCTTTGAGACGTCCGCCTCGCTCATTACCTTCATCACTTTGGGCCGCTGGTTGGAGAACATTGCCAAGGGTCACACCTCTTCCGCCATCGTCAAGCTCATGAACCTGCAGTCCAAGGACTGTATGCTCATCAATGCCAAGTACGACGAGGACACCAAGGCCTTTGAGGTCATCTCTGAGGAGGTCATCCCCACAAGCCTCATCCAATATGGTGACGTGCTCAAGGTCATCCCAGGAGCATCCGTGCCAACTGATGGTGAGGTCATCTACGGCAGCACCTCGATCGATGAGTCCATGTTGACTGGTGAGTCCATCCCAGTCACCAAGAAGCCAGGCGACTCTGTCACCGGTGGCACGCTCAATCTCGAGGGAGCCATCTTCTTCCGTGCCAACAAGGTCGGTTCTGAGTCCACCCTGTCCCAGATCATCTCGCTGGTCCAACAGGCCCAGACCTCCAAAGCACCAATCCAAGCTCTTGCTGACAAGATCTCCAAGGTGTTCGTCCCCTTCATCGTCCTCGCAGGACTTGTCACCTTTGGCATCTGGATGGCCCTCGGCGCCACCAACTCCTACCCAGAGAAGTGGAGAAACGGTAACTCATCGTTCCTCTTCTCCTTCCTCTCAGCCATCTCTGTCATTGTCATTGCCTGTCCATGCGCACTCGGATTGGCTACACCAACCGCTGTCATGGTGGGCACTGGTGTCGGCGCACAGATGGGAATCCTGATCAAGGGAGGCAAGGCACTTGAGAGCGCTCACAAGACCTCCGCCGTCCTCTTCGACAAGACCGGTACCCTCACCACTGGCAAGATGACCGTCACTGACTACACCTCCACCTCGCAGGAGGCAGATCACTTGAAGAAGTTCTTCATGAACGTCGGTGCCGCCGAGAGTGGATCAGAGCATCCAATTGGCAAAGCAATCGTCAAGTACTGCAAGGACAAGCTCACAGATGGCCGCGAGGAGAGTGACCTCCAGTTCCCAATGGTTGCCGATTTCAAGGGCATCCCAGGTCGTGGACTTGTTTGCAGCTTGGAGAACGACAAGATCCTCATTGGCAACCTCAAGTTCATGAAGGAGAGCGACGTCAAGGTCGACCAGAAGTACGTTGACATTGCCCAAGACAATGAGACCAAGGGCAAGACCGTCATCTACGTGATGTATGGTGGCGAGTTCCAGGGCATCATGTCCATCTCTGATGTGCCCCGTGAGGACTCGAAGCACGCCGTCAAGAAGCTCCACTCACTTGGCTTGAAGTGCTACATGGTCACTGGTGACAACCGTCGTGCCGCCGCATTCATCGCCCAAGAGGTTGGCATCCCCGCCGACCACATCTTCTCAGAGGTCGTGCCCAAGGAGAAGGCCGACAAGGTGCGCCAGCTCCAGGAGGAGGGCAACGTTGTCTGTTTCGTTGGTGATGGTGTCAATGACTCCCCCGCCCTGTCCCAAGCCGACATTGCCGTGTCCGTTGCCACTGGAACTGACATTGCCATCGAGTCGTCATCCATCGTGTTGCTCAAGAACTCCCTGACCGACGTGTACCGCTCCATCCATTTGTCGCGTGTGGTCTTTAGAAGAATCCGCATCAACTTCACACTTGCCTTGGTGTACAACCTCTGTGCCGTCCCACTTGCCGCCGGAGTCTTCCTCCTCATCTTTGGAGTTGAGTTGCCACCAATGGCTGCTGCCGCTGCCATGGTTGTCAGTTCTCTCTCTGTGCTCAGCTCATCACTCTTGCTCAAGCTTTACAGACCACCAAAGTAAACAACTGCTCCATGAGTGTCGTGTCTTGCCAGTCACAAATAAATAATTATGGAAACTATTTAAATAGTTTCCAGAGTTGTTCATCATAATCAATAATATTTTTAATTTATTTAAGTGATTTCAATTTAAATTAATAAATATTAATTTTTTTGAGAATGATTAGAATCGATATAAATTATCCATTAAGTAAGTATAATATATATGATTATAGAGATAATTAATAACAACCTGGTTCACTTATATTTATATTATTATTTCCAGATTAATACTTATATTTTTAATTATTTAATTATTTTTTCTCTTTGAGCTCAGACATCCTCTTTTCAAGTCTGTTCACTTCTATTCGGTGTCTCTTTTGTACTCTTCTTCTCATCCACACTGCTACAACGATAGCGGCAACAAAGGCAACACACAATACAACTATACCAGCAATGGCCAAGGCAGAGAGTTTGGTACCATTTCCACCTGGACATGTACGATCTGATCTTGAGTCCTTGGCATCAGTTGTATCAATGAGCAAATGGAAGTCTGGGTCCATGATGACGTTCTTGTCAAAGTGTTGAGAATTGATGGCGATCATTGTCTGCGAGATGTGTGAGTCTGGCACCTGCAATGAATCATTGAACAATGTGTTGGTCACCACTGCCACTCTGCCATCGACCAGGGCCTTCTGAATGAATCGTCCGTACAGACTGAACTTGGCAACCTTGACACGCATCCAGTACACACTGGGCTTGGTGGCGCCCTCGACATAGCCATACTCATGAGTGGAGCATGAGCTGAGGTCTGTGGTGTTGATGGCCGCCGCCATGATCACCTGCATCGAGTTCAACTTGGACTTGAATGTGTAGCGCTCAACCTCGATTGTATACTTGATGGTGGATTCGGGCATTGTTATATTGTCGCCAGCGAATGTGATGTCCTTTGACACGTTAAACCAGAGAATGGAGACCTTGATTGCTCCAGTGTCATTGGCAAACAGTGTGCGATACTCTGTCAACAATGGTGATGACATCGACATGTTCCATTGAGTGAGATCATGGGTTACAACCTCAGCGCCACCATTGTCAAGCTCACGCACCTTGACCACATTGATATCTCCCATGAGTAGTCCGGCAGTACCATTAAAGGTGAAGACAGTCGTTGGTGTGTTTGGTAGGACCGTTGGGGAGGTTGGGATGGTCTGTGACTCACATCGTTCACCATACCAAGATGGGGTACAGACACAACCAACAGTGGGGGAGCACACGCCTCCATTGGAGCATCCATCGGGGCATGTGATTGTGGTGTTGGGAGTTCCAGGTGTTGGTGTTAATGTGAGGGGTGGAGTTGGCGTGGGTGTCACTGGTGGGCTGCCAACGTTAAAGTAGTACTGATTGGACATTACAGTCGTCTGACTGACCTGGATGAACAATGCCATCGTTGTGTTTGTAGGTTGGAAGGGGAAGACCATCATGATTCCAGTGTGGAACGATGCTTTGGGTGTGGAGAAGGGTACTCCGCCCGAAGTGTAGTTGATGAATCCTTGGACCAGTGTTGGATCAAGTCCAAAGTTACGACCATACACCGTGATGGTTCCATTGCTCAGCGCAATATTCTCAATGATTGGGAATATATGATCAAAGTTGACTTTGATCTCTGGAGCATTTCCAAGGCCCAGATCGATGATGTTGCGTGTTGAGTATCCATTGTAGTTGGAGCTAGTGTCGACCAGACCGTAGATGCTTATCAACACTTTGCCATGAGTGGCACCGAATCCATAGGGTAGGGTTACCCAGGCATCGAACAATAGTTGGTTGGTGCCATTCTCCACGCCAAAGTATGATGTTGTCAATTTGATCAACTCAAACACTTGACCGGTCAAGTAGACACAAGGCATCTTGGTAAAGTCGTAGCCGCCAGTCTCATTGATTGAGAAACGAACTCGTACAAATCTGTTGAATGATCCAACATTGACTGTTGGAGTAACAACCTTCAGATCCGTCAAATTTGGGGGATCAGTGTCGATTGGATCTGTAATTGTTTGAATAAGTAAGTAGGTGGAGGGTGGGTGGAATGATTCCAGTGATTCATTGGTACATACTTGAGTTAAATTGGATTGTATATGGTGTAAAGTCATTCCTCTCGAAGTATGTCATTGGTGAGATGGTCATTGTGACCTGACCAGTACCCTTGGTGAACGTGGCAGTGTTCCCGGATGAATCAATGAGTTGCATATCGCGAATGGTGTAGGATGATCTCTTTGAGTATCTGCTAACTTGGAATCCGATAACATAGACTCCAATCGTGGCGTTGGAGCCTGGTAGTCGATCACTCAGTTTGAAGTTAAATTGACGGACTGAACCATCAGCTGAGTTGGAGACATTGATATGTCCACGTTCGAATCCATTGAGTTGGTCCTCAATCGTGAGGTTCCAACCAATCGTCGTCATGTCAGCTGATGGCATTATTGATGTACCTGGAAAAGCCGAGATGTACCTAACCATTGGAGGGAACTCATCAGCATCTGTCAATAGTTGTGAATGATTGATTGATAAGTGAGTGAGTGAGTGTGTAAGTGATTGTTTGATTCAATGATTGATTGATTGATTAACATACTTGTAGAGGTGACATTGACTACGGCGGCGCTTGTGAATCGTGCTTTGAGCACGGCACAATCGATGATGGACACACCCATGGTAACCCAAGGACCGAGCTTCAGAGAGTTAGAATATCCATTGATGTTGGTAGGTTGAATCTTGATGTAGTACTCAAGCTCACGAGTGTATGTCCTGGCTGGAACAGTGAATGGGATTACAAACTGACCCAATATCACATCGTATCCACCGAATGATTGATAGAAAGGATTCTCTTCTGGATGGCCATAAGTGAAGCTGATGATGAAGTTGCGATTGATCTTGGTCGAGCGGAAGTACAATGTGTTGTTCATGCTGCTCGTGCTTACATCCATCACATACTTGTCAAAGTGGAAGTCAGTAATATCATCGATATCAACCTCCCCTACATAGATTGTTTGGTTGATTGATTGAATGATTGAAGGTTAGACTTGGTTTCCATTTACATTCTTCAAAGTTACTTACACATTGATGTCAGGGCACGAGCTGGAACAGAGTTTCCAACATAATCACCTCCATTGTCAATGTTCATGACATTGTGAGTATTGTCCATTATTGAGATAATTGAGTACATTCTGTCGTCCCATGATGATCTGACCATGAATAGTTGTTGGTAGTAGCCATGTTTGGCATCGCCCACCACCAGGTTGTTCTTGTTGATCACCAAGTAGTCGCCAGTTGACAAGAATAGTGTCATCTGGAAGAAGCCACTGAGGAAATCAGTGATCTCGGCGTGAATATGGTAGGTTGTCTCGTTGATCTTTTGGAAGGCGATGTTGAGCACCTCGGGGGCCTGAACGTCGGTGAAGTTCAAGCCGTAGATGAATTCAAATTGTTGTGCTTGAGCGTTGCCACACATAATAGTGGCCTGTGATGGTGAATACCACATGTAAGTGCTGGCCAAGAATGTCATGCTCATTTGGACCGATGGTTCAATGAGTGATCGCACTCCAAATGGGTAGATCATGTCATCATAATTGATTCCTTGGCTAAGATCATAATGGCACTCACTATACCAGTCCAGGGAGAACTCGCCCTTGAAAGAGAAGAAGCTAGTGTCCGATGATGCGTATGTTGTTAGGAGTACTTTAGCAGGTTGTTGAGTATCTATAATTAATGGGATATAATTAGTCAAAATGCTATATACATCTGATCACGTGACTCCATACAAATCTGGATCACGTGATCGTTATAAGTTCCGTTCACCACTTACTCATTGCAATAGTAAAGCTTCCTACAGTGTTGCCATTGCCAAAGGACTCGTACAGGATAGTCTCTCGGTTGGACATTGACCAGCCAAGCATGATGGAGGTAGTATATTGATTCGGAGATCCAAGGACGGGCTTGGTGCTTCGTCTTTCGTTGCCTCCATAAGAGTTGGGGGGTAGGTAGAAGTAGTCGGTCAATGTGGATGATAGGGAGATGAGGGCAAAGTCAAAGGTATACATAGACTGGCCAGTATTGTTGGATAATATATATCTGTCGGACTTGAGTGTTCTGCTATAGTTGTAGATGAATGGAGAGGGTACGACAATGTTGGTTGTCTGGCCAGTGTTGATGGTCAACGTGATGGTGACGTCTCCGGGTCCGTAGATTCCAGGTGTTGAGAGATCTTGGTACATTGAGATGACCAGCAGTGAGTTGGTGTCGTTCAGCTTCATGTAGGGTCGGGCAACACAGGAATAGCCCCACACTGTACAGGCAAATTCATTGCCCTGCAAGGTGGCCAAACTAACATTGGCCTGAACGTAAGTTCTGAAGGTCTCATCATTATGCATGAACACTGGGTCCAATCCTGCAGGCACAACACTATACTTGGTCATTGTTCTAAAGAGAGTATATTTGATTGGGCCAGGGTCTTTATGTATGTGTGTCAGTGAGTGGCGAGGCTGAGAGGCTTGGGCTAGGGATACGTACCTTGGCATACATGTGTCCAGTTCCAAGGGAATACAATGTTGTTATTGTCTGTGATGTCACCAGTGAGGGTGTTGGAACCAATTGGAAGGACACGCGCATTGACCTTTGCATACTTTAGACCATTGAAGCTATAAACATAAAAATCAGCGCTTAAGCCCCCATTGATCGACATCGATTTGAATGGAATCGTATAATTATATGCCATCACAATCTTAATATCACAATTCAACGCACTATTTATATACATATTCTTTGAGATGGATGTCACACTCACTGGTGACTGTCCATTCGCAACTATATATATATATTTATAGATTGATTGATAGAGTGTGTGAGTATGTGGGTGGGGTGATTGATTGATTGACTGATGGAATAGTTCCACGTCCAAAGAACATACCTAATATTAGTGATAGTAGGAGTGAACAACTGATCACTTTACAAAATATATTTGTTGTCATTATTGTATTTGTTATATGATGTGTTTGAGTATAATGATTGAATATGAACAAACTACCTTATGTTACTAACATTAGATTGAATGTGTTCGAAGTGGATGATGACAGGTTGTTTGATGTCTGACATAGGACCACCCATCTCTCTTTTAGTAATAGGTACCTTCCATAGCACCTACCTACCACCTATTTGGCCATCAAATTTAAGTAAGTTGTAGTACTATGGTGATCATCGGGTTGATATTAATTAAAATCAAGATTGTTTAGGTCCCAATAATTAAAAGATCAAGGGGTTCCAGAGTCTTTGCAAAAACCAGAACTGTGTGATCAAAAATGGACCCTTCGCTACTTTTTTCAAAACTGGAAACAAACACGATCACCCAAAAGTGATGGATATTCTTGAGTGTGAAGGGTTATCTATCTATCTCAATATCTATTTTTTATTCATCTCTACCAACTCTGCCATCTTAGAGCGCACTCTGAGTGTTTCCCTTCGACTGCGCATCACCATCTTATGCCTCAATGCAATGGCCACTCCCAGCCCAATGACTACAGCAACACATAGAACTACAATTCCAGCAATGGCCAATGGTGATAGTTTGACGCCATTGCTCCCACCTGGACAGGTTCGATCTGACGACGTAGAATCCTTGGCGTCAGATGTATCGATCAACAGGTGGAAGTCAGGATCCATGATGACCTTGTCATCAAAGTGTTGGACATTGATAGCGATGATCGTCTGCGATGAATGAGCGTCTGGCGCCTGCAACGACTCGTTGAGCAGTGTGTTGGTGACGATGGCGGCCCTGCCATCGACCAGCGCCTTCTGAATGAATCGTCCGTACAGACTGTACTTCTGGACCTTGACACGCATCCAGTACACACTGGGCATGCTGCCATCGGCGTAGCCATACTGTCGCGTCGAGCATGAGCTGAGGTCTGTGATGTTGATCGATGCCGCCATGACCACCTGAATGGAGTTGAGCTTGGAGTTGAATGTGTAGCGCTCTACCTCGATGGTGTACTTGATCGTGGAAGGTGACATGGACATGACTTCTCCTGCGAACTTGACATCGCGTGACTCGTTGAACCATGTGATCGTGACCTTGATTGATGCAGTGTCATTGGCAAACAATGTACGATACTCTGTGATCAGAGGGGATGTGTTGGTCATGTTCCATTTAGTGAGATCATATGTGGCGTGTATCTGGCCATCATTGTCCAGCTCGCGGACCTTGATCACATTGATGTCACCGTAAAGTTGTCCAGTGGCGGGATCATCATAAGTGTAGACTGTTGTTGGCGAGCCGGGTAACGTTGTTGGGATATTGGGGACAGCCTCCGAGTCACATCCTTCTCCGTACCAACCAGGTGTGCACACACATCCTAGAGTTGGAGAGCACACGCCTCCATGGGAACAACCAGCGGCAGGACAGGTGACTGTGACATTGGGTGTGACTGGTGGTGGCGTGCCTGGTGGTGGTGTGACTGGTGCCTGCACATAGACTTCCACGCCCATTTGATTGGATGACTGATTGTTGTAGCTGACCTGAATGGACATGGACAATGATGAGTTGGTCTGAGTGAAGGGGAAGACCAGCATGATGCCCGAGTGGAACGAAGCTTTGGGTGCTGTTGTGGAGTTAAAGTATCCTTCGAGTTTGTTTGGATCAGTTCCAAAGTTGCGACCATAGACAGTGATTGTTCCATCACCCAACGCAACATTCTCAATGATTGGTATGGTGTGATCAAAGGTGATGGTTATATCGGTGGGCGTGCCAAGGGCCAATGAGACGAGGTCACGATTGGTGTATCCAATGTAGTTTGAGCTGAGGTCCATCAAACCATAGATGCTGACCAATACCTTGCCATGAGTGGCGCCAAAGCCGTATGGAAGGTATCCAGAGGCTTCAAATTCCATGTTGCCAATATGCTTGGACTTCATTGTGAAGATCTCAAAGACATGGCCGGTCAAGTAGACCATGGGCATTCGATCCATGTCATAACCAACACCACTTGTCACATTCACTGTGAATCGAATTGTCACATTACGATTGATTGATCCAACATTGATTGAAGTCGTTACCACATCCAGACTGATGATCGATGGAGGGAGCAAGTCGGTGCCGGCTGAATGTAAGGGCAAGGGTTAGGAGTTGAGTTTACGTGGACTGGATGCAACGCAGAGGGTAGGGGAGATACATACCTGCATTAAGCTTGATGGAGTAGACTGAACTGTGTGGATCATCGTTGATGTAGGCCGTGGGCGAGATGGTCATGGACACTTGACCTGTTCCACTGGTCATTGTGGCAGTGTTCTGTGATGAGTCAAAAAGTTGGATGTCTTGAATAGTAAATCTCTGTGATCGGGTGTAGTTGTAGATATCAAAAGTGACATGGTATTCACCAACGGTTGCGTTTGATCCTGGCAATCTGTCAGCCAAATAGAACCATATTTGGCGAACTGTATAATCGACGTTACTTGTTACATTGATGTATCCACGTTCGAAACCATTCATATGGTCCTCAATTGTGATGTTCCAACCAATTCTCTCCTTAGTCGATATCGCTGGAAATAGGTATGTTGGAGCCGGATGTTGTTTGATGAGTCTGATCATTGGTGGGAACTCATCAGCATCTGATTGATCACATCAGGTATGAGTGTTAGTGAATGATTGATTGAGTGAATGGGCGAGGAGTGTGGACATACATGTGGAGATGACGTTTACGGTGGCATTGACGAAGCGTGTTTTGAGGATGGCACAATCAATGATGGTTGCCCCCATCATGATGAATGGTGCCAGCTTCCTATTCTTGATGGTCATTCCATTGGTGTAGGAAGGTTCAATCTTGATGTAGTACTCAAGCTCACGTGTGTAAGCCTGGCTGGAACGGTGAATGGGATGACAAACATACCCTTGGTCATATAGTATCCACCGAATGATTGATACAAAGGGTTCTGTTCTGGATGGCCATAAGTGAAGCTGATGATGAAGTTGAGGTCCAACTTGGTCGAGTTGAAGTACAATGTATTGTTCATGTTGCCTGAGCTTACATCCATTGTGTAGTTGTCAAACTGGAAGTTGGTGATGTCCTCGATGTCAAAGTCCCCTTATGAATGTGATTGAATGATTGAGTTAGTGATTGAGTGAGTTGAGTATGATGATGGGATAGCTTACAAGGTGAGGTTGTGGTACGCAATGGCCAGCGACCCTCCATATCATCATCTCCATTGTCATATATGCGTCCATTGAATGCATGATCAGTGATGGAGCTGATTGTGAATTGTTTGTCGTCCCAAGCATTCTTGACCATGAGTATTTGCTCGTAGGTACCAAGCAAAGCATTGCCATCAACCAAGTCCTCCTTACTCATACCAATGTAGTCTCCAGTGGACAGCGTAAGTATCATCTGGAAGAATCCACTGATGTCATCACGGATCACTGCACGCAGGTGGTAGGTTGTGGCGTTGATTCGTTGGAAGTTGATGCTGAGCACCTCAGGCCCGGTGGTATCGGTCAGGTTGTTGCTATTGTCAAACTTGAACAAGCTCAATGAATCAGTGCCACAACTAAGGGCGGATTGGATCGGGGTGGCCTGGCCGTAGGTGCTGGCCAGGAAGCTGAGGCCCATGTTGAGTCCCTGATCACTGGCGATGGATGTCACACCAAATGGATAGACCATGTCGTCGTATGATAGTGCATTGCCAAACTTGCATGTCTTGTAGCTCTCCATCACAAAGTTGTCCGCCTGGAACGAGTAGAATCCGACATCAGTTGATGCATCTGGAGTGATGGTCACAGTCTTTGGGGGGTGGCTGCCTATTGATGAGCGAGTGGGTGAGTGAGTAACATGAAGGTTGTGTGTACGTATGTGGAATATGTGATCACGTGACCGCTTAAATGATCACGTGACAATTTCAAAACTGATCACCTGATACTAATGTTATAAGATAAACATACCGTAGGTTGTAGTGAAGTTACCAGTTGCCTGACCAGTGCCTACGGCCTCGTAGAGTGTGACAGTCTTGGGATAACCCCAGCCAAGAACCATGGTCGTTGTTTCGGAGTTTGGCGCGCCCAATACTGGCTTAACACTTCTTCTCTCCTCCGTTCCAAAGCCAAAGGGGTCGGTCGGGAGGTAGAAGTAGTCAGTCAACTCGGACGACCGGACCATCATGGCAAAGTCCATTGACATTGATTGAGGCCCAGTGTTGTTGGCCAGAAGGTAGATGTCCAGACTTCCTATTGTCTTTGGTAGTGTGTCGTTGGTGAACACAGAGGCAACATCAAAGTTAGCCACCTGGACTCCATTCATAGTCAGGGTCACATTGATATTTGCCGACAATGTCACTGTTAGGTTGGTGCTTGGGAATATGGACAAACACAGCAATGAAGTTCCGTTGTTCAGTTGCATGTAGGGCATTGTGGCGCAGGTGTAGCCATCAGCAGCGCATTCAAACTTATTCCTACGGACAATCTCCAAGCTTGAATTGACAGAAACAAACATGCGGTAGCTCTCATCATTGTGAAGGTATCCTGGGGGCTTCACCATTGCCATGGGTACGACACCGTACTTGGCCAACTGGCTGTAGATGCCAAAGGTCATCTGTGGGGCTGATTGTATTGAAGTTCATTCGTTGGGTTGGTTGTGGAAGATCAAGGAGAACATTGAAACATACCTTCGCACAAATATGACACGTTCCACATGATCATGCTTGTGTCGGCTTTATCGATAAAGCCTTGGAGGCCATTGGAACCAAGTGGTTGTCCACTGGCAATGAGTACGGCATATTGTAGACCATTGTAGGAGTATGTTGAAGTCCTGTTTGTTCCAGATACAGGTACAGTCATCCTAATAGATGTCAGGGTTACACTAGTATTGTATCCCAATACCACCTTGATATCACACTTGACCTCACCATTATCATTATGATTCAAGGTTGTTACCTTACGTACATTTGGTATCTGAGCATTGGTTTGAACTAATAATTTGATTGATTGTATATTTGGATATTAATATGGATTCATTCCACTTTATCATTCCATCACTTACCAATAATTAATAAATACAAGGAGATGATCACTAATATATAACTATTCTTGTACATTTGTTATTGTATTATAAGTTAGTTATAATTAATATAATGTAACGATTTGATCAATTACCAACCTTGGTTGAATGGATCGTAGGACTATGTGACGGACGGAAGGATGGACGGATTGGATGGATGATCAGGATGGCCGGGGATTGACGTCATTATCAGGACTGTTGGTGATTGTTCAAGGTTCGATTGACCAGCCAGCCAGCCAGCCAGCCAATTAGCTAGCCAGCCAGTATTCCCTCAACCCGCTAACACCTCCTGAATAGACAAGCAGTTGTGACAGCTATGGACGTGAGGACTGGAGACATGTTTCAATCGCGCCCATTACCGCGAAGGAAACATCGAAAAAGTCAAACAGGTACAATCATGATTTTGGCAATGACGTCCAAGGTCAGAGATTTGTATTCTTGTTCCAGGAAGATAGGCATTGGGTCATAAGTGAACGATCGAGAGTTGTACATCGTTGACCATTCTACACTCTCTCAATCCCAATCGATCATAATCTCCATCGTGGAATGCCATCCATCGGCCAATCAGTTATCATAACAAGTTGTTGTTGTTGTTGTTCATGTTGTTTGTTGTCGTGGGTAGGTACTCTGTGGATTGAGATTGGGTAGTGGTCAGATGATGTGATTGATTGAATGAATGGGTATATCTTGCGAGCTCAAGTCGACTTACTGTTAGGGAAGTGACGTGGCTGGTTGTCCCTGGGCTTCCTATGGATGGAAAAGGGAAAGGAGGATGATGGAGAGGAGGTAATCGAGGCAGTTGATGCAGAGGACAAGGCTGAAGATGCTGTTGACGATGAGGTCAACGACGGCGAGGACAATGATGGAGAGGATAACGACGGTGAGTCAGTCTTGTTGACTCTCCTTCTCTTGTTATCATTCTCGTCCAAATTATATGGATCAATCGATGTATCCTTCAGACACCAATATCCAGTGTTTTGGAATATCTGGTATCCATTCTGGAACAAGTTGGAATAGTGTGACAATGTCATTCCGATGGTATGCTTCCAATGAGGTATCTCTAGATTGTTTGATTGAGTTAGTGAGTGATTGGAATGTATGAATGATCAATCAATCATATTACATACTCTCTCTCCTACATATAATGTCCCAGTGTATGTTGATAAAGTCATAGATGTCATCACGAAGATGGAAGTATCGCTTGCCAGTGGCCAGATCAGAGTTGGCACGGTGTGTGTTGCTGTACTTGGCCGCCTCGGCCAAGGCATAGAGCACGACGTGCAGTATCTGTGACCAAATAGGTGTGCTCTTCTCAAAGGACACAGGGGCACCTCTAATACAAACAACACAACGAGGTATCCTACATTGACTTGATGGCAAGGTCGAGGTCGAGGAAGAAGTTGATGACGACGACCGGGAAGAAGAGGTTGTCGAAGAGGATGAGGAAGACATTGGGCTCATGGACATTGACTTCTTGCTCGGTTGGAGACTCTGGCTACTATTACTACTGCTGCGGCCCAACATGAGAGGACTCACACCATTGTTGTTGTGTGATTGTTGCTTGGACTGATGTGTGAATGGCGAAGATGGAGTTGATGTCGACATCGATGTCGATTGATACTGTGATGGTTTATACATTGAATGTTGTTGCTGTTGTTGTTGCTGCTGTATGTACAATTTCTGTTGATGCTGTTGATGTTGTTGCTTGTGTAATAATATTGAATGAATCTGATCGTTATCCAATGGTGACAGAGAATGTTGAAAGGATAGCAATTGAGGTGTCTCTTTGTGGAGTCCAATTAACACTGATGTAGCATCTCTCTCACGGTCCATACGATATGCTGTGGCACTGGCACTTGTACTTGCACTCGAGCTGGAACTAGCAACACCAACATTAACATTAACATTGTTTATATTAACATTACCACTTCTACCATAATAATAACCATATGGTTGTTGTTGTTGTTGTTGATGTAATAGATTACATTCATTTACTACATGTTTGATACTTGGTAGTAATGTTGATGATGAAGTTGATGTTGTTGATGTAGTTGATGTTGATGATGATGTTGATGTTGATGATGTAGTCGTGTCTTTGATATCATCTTCATCATCATCTTTGAATGGATCACGTGATGTATAATCTATGTGTAATACATTGTTATAATTGTTGTTGTGGCTGTTGTTGGACTTTGACGAAGGAGTTGAAGATGCTGAAAAGGATGAAGATGGTGTGGTTGTGGAACTTGAAGGTGAAGTGCCACCAACAAAGTAAGTTCCTGGAACTACTGTATTGTTGTTGCTGGGATAGTTATAATGTTTGGGTATATGACTCTCATGCATTCTCTTATTATTGTTGTTATAATTATAATTATTGTTATATGTTTGTTGTTGTTGGGCTGGAGTAGGAGTAGGAGGAGAAGGATATGTGTATTGTGTATATTTATAACCTTTACTATTACTATTATTATTATAGTTATTGTAATTATAATCTACCATGGTTGTCATACCTGCATATGATGATGATGATGAAGTTGACATTGATGTCAATGAAGGTGAGTATGTTGATATTGAAGTGGACATTATTATAATTATGAACATATAATAATGGAAGGTCGTCAGATATGAAGAGACACCTTTGTATGTATGAATGAATATATGTAAGTATGTATGTATGTATGAATAGTAATATATATATAATCTATACTATTCGATGAAGATGATCAGGTCTAACTACCTTATTAACAAACTAAATAAAGTATATATATATATACTGATTACTTAATAGATGTATTTATAATATATATAAATATGGTAAGTTTGATCATGATGGTGGATGGACAATGTCCCAAATTATTGGTTGGACCATGTCCAAGAAACTAACAAACCAACATACATACATACATAAATACATACATACATACATCAAACTAACAATCATATGATATCTCTACCCTTACCTAGATGATGTGTGTCTACTCCCTTTCCTTATTTGAATCATCTGGGTACCAGTGTGTGTGCAGTGCACTGAACTGGATTGGATTACTTGCCGCCCGCCCCCTCAATAGAGGTGGTCATTGTTGTTGTTCTGATTGGACGAAGCACATCAAATTTGCGGATAATGGGGTGTGTGTGCCGCATCTCCCTGACGTCTGGTTGATGATCAGGTGCCCGCCCATGTGTGTTGGAAGTCCTGTTTGAAGGACCAAACGGCGGAGGAACCGCTAACTACCCCCCCTGCATCGCATGTCAGGGGTGCAGAAGGAAGGTTTGGACCCATGACTGATGAGCTCAAGCCCAAAGATATATATGTACATCATGTTTGATTGATCAATTGTATGATCATGTATGTAGACTATCGAATCGATGCATATATGGTGGATATTGGGCTGCTGCAGGCAGCATGGGCAGGATAGTAAGTTGGTAGGTTGGGCAGGTTGGATTGGAAAGTGTGTGTTAGTTGCGGATGATGGAGAGTTGTACCTTGTTTGCAACGAAGTAAAGCTCAGGCCAATGGGTCAATAGTGCGATCCATGAGCATCACCATGGTGAATCAAATGCAATTGATTGGTTGATTGGTTGATTGGATTGAACACACCAAGACGTCAGACATTGATTGACACTTGTGGATACCACACATATGTGTCTAGACACAGGTATCCGTCCGGATACACACTGACTGGGTGAGTGATCAAGATAGCTAGCTTGAAGATAATGATCATCAACAACCAATGTTGACAGTTTAATTCGCACTGTTCAAGGCCAAGTTGGAGCTAGCAATTAATTGAACTTGAAGAACATCACATCACCATCCTTCACTTCGTACAGAGGACCTTCACTTCTTTGCTTGCCTCTCTCCTTTGCCAACTTATCATCACCATTGCAATCGATAAAGTCCTGGTATGCAATGGTCTAATGTTCGATTGAACATAAGTGAGTTGGTTGAAGGGGGCGAGGGCGAGGTCGAGGGTAAGGGCAAGGGTAAGGGTTAGTGAATGATCGATCAAACTTTGGACCGCACGCAAAGGAGGGGCAAATGGATGGCCAAGATGAGAACTACTTACATCTGCCTTGATGAAACCTTTCTCAAAGTCTGTGTGGATGACACCGGCAGCTTGTCTTGCCTTGGTTCCAACTGGGATGGTCCATGCGCGACATTCTTTCTCTGATGCTGTGTAGTAGGATTGGAGACCCATCAGACGACGAGCACCATTGATCACTTTGGACAATCCATTATGCGTCAGACCATATAGTTGTAAGAACTCTGTCTTCATCTCTTCGCTCTCCAGCAGTGCCACCTCCGATTCTATCTTGGCCGACACGACCACTGGGTCCATCTCGAGACCCTGGCGCCTGCTGAACTCCTTGACCATTTCGGTGTACTTGTTGCCAGTGGCGGCGTCGCCCTCGCCCACATTGCATGTGTACAACATCGGCTTGGACGTCAGCAGATGCAGGCTGTGGAAGGCCGGCCACTCTTTCTCCTCGATGACGACATCGCGTGCCATCGTGCCGCCCTCCAGCGCCTTGACAACGCGCTTGGCCAGCTCATGGCGCAAGGCTTGCTCGGGCGTCATCTTCTTCTTTTGCTCGGCGATGATCTTCTCGAGTGATTGGAGATCGGCCAGGATGAGCTCTGTCTCGATCGTCTCAATGTCCTTGACCGGACTCAACTCTCCATTATGTACGTGTGTAATGTTTATGTCTTCAAAGCAACGGACCAAATGAACTATGAGTGATACCTGTCTAATGTTTGCCAGGAACTTGTTTCCAAGTCCCTCTCCATCAGCTGCGCCCTTAACCAATCCAGCAATATCCACAAACTCCAACTGTGTCGTAACTTTGCTCTTTGTATTCAACATCTTTGATATATGATCCAATCTTTCGTCTGGCACTGTTACCAGTCCAATGTTTGGGCTGTTATGATTGAGTTAGTCATTGAGTGGCTGTTACAGACCAGTCAGAGACATACTCGATTGTGCAAAAGGGGAAGTTGGCTGCCATGGCTGCTTGTGAACTGGTCAGGGCATTGAATAGGGTCGACTTGCCAATGTTGGGCAATCCGACTATACCAGCAGACTTGCAACTACCACGTGTCCTAACAAAGTATGATGCTTTGGCGTCTTTTATCTCTTTTGGTGCCTCGGTGGCAAAGTATCTTATTGTATTGAATGTGTTGTTCAGACATTGACTATGTTTAAACAGTCCATAACCTGACCTTGATAGACTTATACTGGTTATCATTCTTGTATAAGTATGTATGTATATGTATGTTTGATTAATGACGTCAATCTGATCACATTCGTTCGTTTTTATGATTGTGTGTTAGTGGGAATGTGTGGCAATACAAATTGTAAGTTATCAAATTAATGCGGCCAATGATGTCCGTAACAGTGTTACCGCGCTAGAAGCTCAGTGGCGAGGGGTATGTTTAAGGGTTTTTTTATTCACTACAATTAGATGTTGGCAGAGGCGGTGGTGGTGAAGGTCTTGACATCTGGGTTCTTCTTGCCTGGGTTGCCCAACACCTGCTTGAATGGACTGCCCTCGATGTGCTTTCCGTTCAGCTTGACGGCGGTGGAGAATCTTCCGTTGCCCTGGAGCGAGTAGGCGGCGGTGTAGGTTCCGTTCTGGTTGTCGATGGCGTCCAGAGTGATGTACTCGGCTGGGCCGGTAATGGAGACCTCGAACTTGTCGCCTCCGTAGGTCTTGGCCTCGCCCTTCTTGTTCTTGGCGGCCACGGTGAATGTGAATGAACCGAATGATGATCCCTCGTCGGCACCCTCAATGCACTTGACAGTGACTGGCATGTCCTTGATGGGGACGTCGCGCAGGGTGACGTTGATCTGGTAGTCTCCGTCGACGGTTGGCTCGTATTGGACGGCGTAGGTACCGTCGTTGTTGTCGGTGACCTTGGGGTCGACGACGAGACCGTTTGGTCCGTTGATGGTAACGGCGAAGGGGTCACCTCCGTCGGTTCTGGCTTGACCGTTAGTGTCGATGGCAAAGATGGTGAACTCGGCGACGGCATTGTCGAAAGCCTCGACCAAACCTGGGCCCTTGGCGTAGGAGTGGTTGGCAGATGGGGCTGGCTTGACGCGGACGACCTTTGGGAAGCCGTTGACGTTATCGCCATCGAGGGTGAGGTTGATGGTGTAGTCACCTGGGACCTTTGGCTCGAACTCAACATCGTAGGTACCGTCTCCGTTGTCGACCATGACTGGCTCGACTGGGGCTGGTCCCTCAACAGTGACGACGAATCCGTCACCACCGTCGTTGCGGTGAACTCCGTCGGGGTCGACGGCGTGGATCTTGAACTTAGATGGCTGGAAGCACTCTCCGTGCTCCAAACCTGGGCCCTCAGCGTACGAGTTGTTGGGATCGGCAGCTGGCTTGATGTGGATGTTCTTGGGGATGTCCTTGATTGGCTTCTCGTTCAGAGTGACCAGAATCTCATAGTCGCCTGGCTTCTCTGGGGTGTAGGCAACGGTGTAGGTTCCGTCGCCGTTGTCCTCAATGGAGACATCGACCTGGTGTGGGCCAGAGATGGACACCTGGAAGGGGTCACCTCCGTCAGTGCATGGCTTGCCGTTGGCACCGACAGAGTGGATGGTGAACTGGGTTGGGCGACGAGCCTGTGCAGCCTCGAAACCTGGACCGTCACAGAAGGAGTTGTTCTCGTCAGAGGACAGGACACGGACTGGGACTGGACCCTGGGCCAATGGGGTGCCGCGGAGGAAGACCTCAACGGTGTGATCACCACCCTTGGTTGGGTTGTAGACGACGTCGTATGAGCCGTCACCATTGTCGTGGACGTTGGCTGGGACGTTGCCGGCTGGGCCGGTCACCTTGACGGTGAAGTCGTCGCCTCCGCGGGTCATTGGCTCGCCGGCCTTGTTGCGACCCTGGATCTTGAATGGGGCTGGGACGCCAACCTTGGCACCCTCCAAACCTGGACCGTAGGCGTTGGACTCGTTGTGGTCAGCACCGTCGATCTTGACGTGGAATGGCGAGTTCTTGATGTCGACGCCGTCCAACTTGATGTTGATGACGAGGTCCTGTGGCTCGCTGGCGGTGTAGTTGCCCTCGTAGGTTCCGTTGGCCTTGTCGACCAAGTGGACTGGGATCTGGGCACCGTTGTCACCGGTGACGGTGACGGTGAAGTTCTCACCACCGTTTGGCAATGGCTCACCGTAGTAGTTGATGGCCTTGATGGTGAAGTCTCCGCGCTGGTTGACGAAGCCACCCTCCAGACCTGGTCCGTAGGCGAGCACCTGGGAGGCGTCCGATGTGGTACGTCTCTTGCGCTCGAGGGCCTCGGCGGCCTCCTGATCACGCTTGCACTTGTTGACGGCGTAGTCACGGAAGTAGGACACGTAGGTGATGACGGACAGCTCGTCTGGCAAGTTGACCATATCGGATGGGTCCATAATCTTGGGGATCTCGTACTGCTCGAGGGCGACATCCATGGCACGGTCTACGTCGGTGAGGGCGTCGTTGGTCAGGGTGTTCATGTCGAGCACGCCTGGCTTGAGCGAGTCGGTGAGGGCCGACAGCACCTTTCCGTCTCTCCACGAGTCGGTGAAGTTGTCCACACGGACACCGTATGGCTTGACTTGGTTGCGCACCCACTCCAACAGGGCGGCCTTTGGCGAGTCGGTCTCGGCCATCTGGATCTGATATCTCAGAATCAGGGTCCAGATCAGACCGAGGATGAGCTTGAGCTGGCCATCGACGATGTCCTCAGCACCAATACCCACGAGCTTGAGACCCTCCTGCTTGATAAAGTTGACGGCCAAGTTGTTGTTCTCCATCTTGTGCAATCTGATCTTTGGCTGCTTGTTGAACTTGAGGATCTTCTTGCTTGAGATAATCTCCAACAAGTTGATCAACATGATACCATCCTCCAGGTCTGTGGCGAGGTCGTTAATCTTAAGGATACGCTCCTTCAAATAGTTGTTGGCCCAACCAGTGAAGGTCTATTATCGCATGAATGAATAGAGGATTATATATAATAATTCAATTACAAGTGTAATAATGGGATGGATGAATGAATTAGATAAGTGATGTTAGTTACCATGTTCTGACTTTTCATTATGTGTGTGATTGTGATTGTGTGTGTGATGGTGTGGTTGATTGATTGATTGATTGAATGACCAAATATAGATGAATAGATAGATATGTGATGTTACATACCCTCTTCTGGACATCAATCCAGGTCTTCTTTGTCTCAGTCATGTTTAACAAAGATTATATATAGAGATAAGTAAATATACAAGGAGATAGAAATATACAGTTTAATGAATGACTAAACTAACAACAATGGTTAGTTTTGTTGGTTGTGGTCCTCCACAAAGGAAGCAAGGAGGAAGACCCTCTGTCAATCAAGGACCCATCAACCCATTACATACCCTGAATGGTGGGTCTGGACACCCTGTCGAACAGGTGATGATGATGTTGACACAACACAAACATGGTGACCAATCTGCACCTTGTTGGGTGCTAAAAACACCGGTCAAGTCATATGCAAAGATTTTTAGAATTAATTAAATAATTTATAAATCAGGAAGTAGGTTTGGTTGATCTCCCGAAAGTGATGGGTTGGTTGGTTTTTGTCAATCCTTTCAATTAAAATGAAACAGAGTTGATCGCAGATTTAGGTCGTTTCAGGTAAAAAACGGGGCCTACTTATCAGGATGTGAATGTATTTATGGTGTATCTAGGGTCAAGTCTATCATTTGTGTAATGATCATTACACAGTTTCGTTGTTGAGGCAATGACAACATAACTTTAATGCATGTCTTTGTCCAGGCCTCGTATACCCTTAGACCAAGGCACCCATTGCTGTAAGATTGGAAGATGGACTGACTAAACACCAGACACATAATACTGAGATGAGACACAACTGACCCAATTGGGTCTCGTGTGGAATGGAGTACCGCATTGTCAATAAGACATGGTCGTGTTCCAGGCCACGTGTGTTTATCAGATCAGACATGTGTGTGTATGTGTGTGTTTGATAAGTGATCGATATTCCCATTTCAAGATATATATCGATTCTTATTGGGAATAAATGGATAGGTAGGAATTATTATTATAATTATATTTATATTATTTATTTATTAATATTATTATCGATATCTTACATCGATGTGAGGGGAAAGTAGTACTATGAATGTGGAAGTTGGAAAGAGAAGTAGTAGAATTGATTGAGGAGGGTCCAAGAGTGTGTCCTGGATGCTCGTGTATGATTGATTGATTGATGATAGAGAGATGTTTGAATGTGCGCGCTGCTATTAATAATATACATATTGATTATGTTTGTTTAGATGATAGCTATTGGGTCGAACTTGTGGACTTATGAGGGGGCGGCACACTCTGGAACTCCATTCTTGGTCGAGTGACATATTAATGGTCGCTGGCAGTTCAATGTGGAGCAGGTGATCCTGCGACAGCTGCCAACACGAGAAGAGTCGGCAAAACACTCAAAGCCAGTCTTACAGTAGGATTGGCTGCATTCACGAACTGGGGCGCACAGCCATCCGCCGTTGGACTCGTCATTCATACAGATAGTATCAATTGGACAGTACATATCCCTACAGATGTCGGATGAGGTCCTGTTGTCACTTCCAGTGTCGAGCTTGGTGGCGGGCTTGGGGGTGACGGGCGGCTTGGTTGGGGCCGTCGTTGGCGTGGCGCTCTTCCTGCACTTGGCTCCTTCGACCGGATCATTGATGCATGCGTAGCCCGCGAGACATTTGATGACGCTACACGACAGGATGCTCTTCTGGATGCAGCTGGCGCCCTTCTCGGGGTCGTCCACACAACGGAAGTCGGCGCCACAGTTGATCAGCGAGCAGCTCAGCTTGGGCACACACTTGGGGCCATCCTCCTCCTCCTTGCAATAAGTGTCGTTGGTGCACTCAGTGTTGGCGCAAGTGGGCTTGGGTACACATTGTGGGAGTGAAGTGCTGGCGTTGATCACACATATCTGGCCTTCGTCACAGGTCTGCATCGAGCAGTTGGTGAACACACAACGTGTGCCAACTTCGGAGCTATCCTCAATGCATACCATGCCATCGTCACAGGTCACAGAGGCACACTTGGGCACGGGCTTCTGGCAGTATGGACCCTCGACCTCGTTCTCAACGCAATCCATGCCATCGTCACAGGTCACCATTGTGCAGTCCAGGGTCGAGCGGCACCAGGGCAGGTTGGTCGTGTCGTTGATGGCGCAGGCAAAGTTATCGGGACAGACCTTGCTGGCACACAGAGATTCACATGTAGCGCCCAACTTGTCATTGTCCACACACTTGGTGCCAGGGTCACACTTGAGTGACTTACATGTAAGTGGCTGGCACTTGCCGCCCTGCTTTGGATCGTCAACACACTCAGTGCCAACTGGGCACTTCATCTTGCTGCAAGCAGACACACATGACAGACGGCCCGAGGTGATCTCCACGCACTTGGTGTTGTTGGGGCACTTGACTGAGCTGCAGGAGGCAACACATCTTGCGCCGCTGGTCGGATCCTCAATGCAGCGAAGTGAGTCGTGGCACTTGAGCGAGGAACATGTTGGGATGACCATGCCCTTGGGGTAGGTCTTGGAGACAAAGTTGTCTGAGCTGGGGAGGTCGATCGTACCGACGGGGGAGGGGTCCTCTGGAATGTCGTTGGGTACACACTTGGCGCGGAAGCCGCAGCATTGGTTGGCGGCACGCTTGTTGGCCTTGCAGCTGGTGGAGGCTGCCTCGTCAACACATTGGAAGCCTGCTGGACACTTGCCACGGGCACATGTGTCGTTCAGTGGGATGAACGAGCCGTCTGGACGACGACAGTTGTTGACGTCCAACTGGAGAACGTCACCATCAGATGCAAGACACCAATTTGAAAGTCTAGGGTTTGGTGTGCAGCTCATCACTTCTGGAGTCAATGTCTGGCATGCCGTCACATCATCAGAGCCAGGGCAACAATGTTTTCCCTTGATACCAAAACACTTGGTTGGATACTTGGAGCATTGATCATAAGTTAAAGCCTCGCAATCTGGATATAATATTCCAATAGATTGATTGATTGGTTAATTGATTGAGTTTTAGTATGAGTACTTGATTGATTGATTGGATGGGATAGTTCCACAGGGACTTACCAAAAGCAGCTGCTTTGGATAGCGCGACAAGGCACAATAGTACCAAGACGGTGGACAACAACTTCATGATTTTCGAATTCCTGATTTAAATGTTGTTTGTATGTGTAGGTGTGCGACTGGAAATTGGAAGTTGGTAGTTGGAAGTTGGAAGTTGGTAACAAAACTAACAAATGTCCTTCTAGAATACTATATGATGGCTGGCTAGTTGACTCACTCAATAGTAGAGAATATATTCTTAAGAATGGTTTGAAATAAACAGGCAGATTAATGATTGAATATATATTAGTGTCCTTCAACAGGTCAGGTCGGTCGTAAAGCGATCGCGCGAGTGTTGACTTACCAGACTGTCCTGTCTAGTTGGCGGGCTGGTATCTATTTTCGACTGCGATGTTGCGCACTCCACTCCATTCTTCCAATGATTAATCATGATGAGCTAACAGCCTGTCTGCCAGCCAGCCAGCCTGCCTGCCGCTGAGCTCATCTTAGTTGTGTTGATTTGATTTGAGTTGAGCTGAGGAACGTGTTGCTGGAGATGGTAACTACCCTACCCTTGCCTACCCTTATACGTCAATGTTAATATTGAATGATACCTGTGTTTATTGCAACACGACGCTGATCTACACAGTCCTTCCCCATCAGTCTTGTAGATTGTTTAGTGATGATCATGATCACCATCACATCTAAATATAAATCCAAATCACTTCCAACAATCACATGATGTTTGGATACACATTTCATACGACCGTCCATCCACCCTCTGTCTCTCTCTCCCTTTATCTGACATCATCGTCATCGTCGTCATCTTCAGCATCCTGCATCATCATATCCAATCAATCCAATCAATCAATCAATCCAAATGGCACTATATACTAAAGGGATGGGGGGTCTTATAAGGCAACACTGTATATCCTATCTATTTATCTATCTATCTGTTGTTGTTGCTGCTGTCATGGTGTGAAGGGGAGGCACATCACGTCACATCACTTCATATTAAATAAGCGCACACTCTGTCGTCTGATTGATTGATTGATTGATTGATAAATGTCAAGTCCATATATGGAATAAGTGTCACTAGCTGACATGTCCCGAGGTGATCGATCACACTGACAGACGAAACTAAGTGATGATTGTGTGTGTGTGTCTGGGGGTGAAGTGATTGATCAATCACTTAAGTGTGTGTGTTTGATTGCTGAGATCGAAGTCAATTAATATCAAAGGGGGGTTGATGGGATTGATTGACAGGTATGTATTTGAATATGACAGTCGCTCGCTTGTGTGGTGGATGACAGCGTTGACAACACCCGAGTGTTAGGAGTATAGTGTATGAAAGGAAGGAAGGAAGGAAGAAAGTATGTGATCACTCGTTTTAAATATCTCTATCTCCAACTTTTTCACTCTATCTCTATCTCTCCGGCTACTGCTGCTATGCTCTTCACTGCCAGTGTGTGTGTGTGTGTGTGTGTGTGTGAAGTGTCGCATCTAATGTCTCTTCCTTCACTTCCTCTCTTTCCTTTCCACTTTGTTGTCTGTGTGTATGAGTACCAACAATGTTATTGGTATTGATAATGGGTCGCCATGACTGTATAAGCTATGGTTCTACAAATTCTGGTGTAAATGAAGATGGGAGAGAGAGATCATGATTGTTTGTCGCCACACTTGATCGATTGATTGATTGACTGTGATTGTCCTCCTGTCCAACAACTTTCGAAAGATGTTGAATCTAATGTTGAGCCATTGTGAACAATATAAATAATATATAATTATCATAACAACTATCTAACTATTGTTGTTGTTAAGTGACATGTAGTATTCAAGCTCATCTTGTTCTTGTTGAAGCATCAGGTCATACTCATTGAGCATCTCTGTCATTGGCATGTATGTTGTTAGCAATGATTGATTGATTCGATGACGATGTGTAAAGCATACCCTTTTCCTCATTGGCGAGATACTCCTCCAGTTCTTTGACCAGCTGTTCTTCCTCGTCTGCAGACAACTCGAGTTGCTGCTCCGTCGTAGGCTCTCCTCCACTGCTGCCTGGCATCTCTAATCTGATCTTCTTATATTCACTTTGCAGTGTTGAGCGTACATTGATCTTTGACTTGAGAGGTGATGATGGAGGTGACTGTGAAGATGGTGTAGTCTTGTTGTTGTTCAAAGTTGTTGTAGTAGTAGTTGTAGTCGTAGTTGTAGATGTTGTAGATGTTGTAGATGTTGATGATGATGATGATGATGATTGATCGATCATCATACTATTATTATTATGTTTCATTCTCTCCTGATTCAGAAGCTTCCTTCTCTCTTCAGTAATCTTATCAAAGCATCTTTTCTTTAGCTTATCCTTGAGGTCTGTATGAGTGTTGTTTAGACCTCGTATCTTTAGACCTATCTCTGCATGTTTCGTTGCCATATCTATCTAGATTATCTCTTTTATTATTGGAGGGATTACAAATAAAGTTCTGCCTTGAATTATCCTTTTATCAGTTTGAACTTACAAGAAATATCAACATGTTGTAGGATATTTTTGGACATGTAAATTATGTGGTAGTAATTTTAAAGTATTCTTATAGGTTGATAGATCGAGGGCTTCATTATATTTGTTAAGTACCTCATTTAATAATAATTAATAGGGGCTTATCATCCTCTTAATTAGAGGATACCCTCTCAGTAAGTACTGTTGTAGACAACAGTAACCTTTTTGGTTTTAATCATCCCAAGTTGGCAGTCAAACAAATATTGGTCATCACTTCAAACGGCATAAATTATTCCTCAATATTCATATATAATAATACATTGGAGACCCTCAAAGTAATAATTCCTTGATCAAATCCAATCAATTTCAATCCAATCCAGTATGCACCACTTTTTTTTATTTAGTATGAATACTCCAACTCGACCCACCAAGATGATGATACGGTAAAGTTGTTGTTGTGTCTTTTGATCAGTCAAATAGTCAAACATTCAATACCCCTCCCAATCACACACATGTTAGCATCAATCATCTAAACTCACACTCGTACATCTTAACCAACCATCCATTTACATTAGCCCTATGGCCCCATCATCAATTCAAATATACGACTAGGTTTACTCTGCTGATATATGACAAACTAACTTTGATCATATTCTGATCGCCGAATAAAAGATTTGAGGGGGAATTCAATCAATTTGGATTCCGAACTTGATGAGGATGTTGTAGAGGATGGGGGCATCCAGAGGGACATCATCTTTGTATGTACTTTTTAATTTGTTAGTCAAACATTATTAAATTACAATCAACTATTAACAGGGTATAATGCCATAGTGGGCCTATTCCATTCTCTAAATATATTGATATTGATAATACCTGATACAAAGTGTTAGACCTGTGTTACTGGTTATAATGTAAATAAGGGGGTATCCATGGATTAATATTAATGCATATGAATGTCCACGTTCCACAGACTTTAATAATATTATATGGGAATCACCATACAATACATACTTAGTCTTCCAATATAAACGATCGTACCTTCATCCAAATATTTGGTATTTCATTATTAACTGGTACATATTTTCCTTTTAAAAACATATTTTATTTTTCTATTTCTATATTAATATATTATTAATACCAGTAATAAGAAGATAAATATTTATAGATATAATTAATTAGTTAATGAATTAAAAAAAAAACTATCAACTACAACCACAACACCATTAGGCTTCCCAACAAAAAATGGAGCCTCAAGAGGACAATGTCTTTTGACATTTTCCTTCCTCTGTCTATTATTATTTGTATCACTAGCTGGTAAGTAATGATCACTCATGAGTGATCACTCCATCAATCAATCAATCATTCATTCAATTACTAATGTTCTTCCATATAATTATTAGGAGCGAGCGAGTGTGACCTACCATGCCCAAATGGCACAGTCTGTTGCCAACCTTCACCAAACTTGAAGCCAACATGTATAAATGTTTGTCGTTTCTTGAAATGTCCAAACGGATTGGCGTGCAGCGTTGACAACAAGATGAGATGTGTCTCACCACTCTCGACAACAGCCAGCACGTTCGCCACGACCACAGTGTCCACTCAATCTACATCGGCCAGTACTGTTGCTAGTACTTTCGCTTCGACCACTGGACAAGCCTCGGCAACTGGTGTTGTGACAACTACTGTCTCGACAACTGTGTCTACACAGTCAACCTCTGCAAGCACTATCGCCTCGACTGTTGCTCAGGTATCAGCAAGTGGACTGCCAACTGGTGCTGTGACCACTACTGTATCGACTACAGAGTCCACCGCGTCTACTTCAGCAAGTACTGTTGCATCAACTGTTGCTCAGGTATCGGCTAGTGGACTACCAACTGGTGCTGTGACCACTACTGTGTCAACAACAGTATCCACTCAATCTACTACCGCAAGCACTGTTGCTAGTACTGTTGCAGGTGGTCAGTCCTCGACCACATTCACAACTACAGCGACGACCACTGTTAGCACCACCGGACCAGGTTCGACGATCACTCAAACAACATCCGCAAGTACAACTGTGTCGACCGCATCAACCAAGTACTGTCGCTTCGACCACTGCACAAGCGTCAGCTAGTGCTCTGCCCACTGGTGCTGTGACCACTACTGTAACAACGACTGTGTCCACAGCGTCAACTGTTGCCAGCACTGTTGCAAGCACTGTTGGTCGTCAATCCTCCACAACATTCACGACTACCGCGTCTACGACTGTTAGTACAACCGGTCCCGGATCAACTATCACCCAAACAACATCCGCCAGCACAACGTTCACTACGACGGCTTCAGCTTCAGCCTCCACAACAGTAACCACCACAGTGTCAACTCAATCAACATCGGCCAGCACTGTCGCATCGACTGTTGCTCAAGCATCCGCCAGTGCTCTACCCACTGGAGGTGTGACGACTACTGTGTCTACGACAGTGTCTACACAGTCCACTGTTGCCAGTACTGTCGCCTCGACGGTTGCTGGCGGCCAGTCCTCGACAACAGTCACGACCATGGCAACCACCACTGTTAGTACAACAGGATCAGGCTCAACCATCACTCAAACAACATCCGCTAGTACAACAGTCACTACGACAGCCTCAGCTTCAGCGTCCACCACTGTATCTACATCTGCCACCACCACCGTTTCCACCGCGTCAACAGTTGCCTCAACGTCGGTTAGCACTGTAGCTACTTCTGCAGCCACAGCCACGACCACCGTGTCAACTTCCGCCACTACAACAGCCAGTACTATTGGTGCGGGATCTACAATCACTCAGACAACATCTGTTACCACAACAGTTAGCACTGTTGCCACAAGCCAGGTCACTGCCTCGACCACTGTATCGACTTCGGCCACCACAACAGTGTCCACAGCTTCAACTGTTGCCTCGACAACAGTGTCCACCATTGCCACTGGCGCTGCTTCAGCCACTGGTCCAATCACATCAACCGTCGCCACCACCACTGTATCAACTGCGTCGACAACTGTAAGCACTGTTGCCTCGACCACCAACAGACCACCAACATCTACTGTTGCCACAACCACTGTGTCCACACAGTCAACAGTTGCAAGCACCACTGCTTCGACCTCTGCCAAGCCAACGACGACCACTGCCTCAACAACTTTCACAACCACTGCTAGCACAACTGGCGCAGCATCAACAATAACTCAAACCACAAGTGTAACCACCACTGTGAGCACCTCTGCCACTAGCCCTGTGACTGCTTCGACAACCGTGTCAACATCTGCTTCGACCACTGTATCCACCGCGTCAACTACTGCTTCAACGAGAGTATCCACAACATCAACAGTCGATCCAAGAGGAGTGACCACCACTGCCTCGACCACTGTCACCACCACTGCCAGTACCTCGGGTCAAGCTTCAACCATCACTCAAACAACCAGTGCCACCACCACCGTTACTACTACGGCGGCTACTGGTAGGGCTACAGATTCCACTACCGCCGTCACTACCACTGCCAGCACAACAGCCACGACCACCGGTGCCGCCTCGACCATCACTCGGACAACCACAGTGTCAACTGTTGCTCAATCGACCACAGTCACGACCACCGCCAGCACTACCGGTCCAGCTTCAACCATCACTCAGTCCACATCGGCAACGACAACTGTGAGCACTGCGTCCGCCACTAGTCCCGTCACATCGACAACAGCCTCGACCACAGTTACAACAGCGTCAACTGTTGCAACTACCTCTGTTTCGACCACCGCCTCTTCCAAGCCCACAACCACGGCGACCACCACAGTGTCCACTGCGTCTACAGTTGTCTCAACCACTGCTACTACAGCCACATCGACCTCAGCCACCACCACAGTGAGTACCACTGGAGCAGGCTCGACCATTACCCAGACCACTACGGTTACCACCACGGCAACACCAGGCTCGACAACAGTATCTACATCTGCTAGTACTATTGCAACCACCACCGGTCCAGCATCGACGATCACCCAAACCACAACCGCCACGACAACAGCCACCTTGGCCTCAACATCCGCCCAGCCAACCTCGACCACCGTGACCACAACTGCATCCACGGCATCAACAGTTGCCTCGACGATTGTTACAACCACTGCATCCACTGTTGCAACAACAACTCAGTCCACTGCATCTACCACTGTCACCACGACTGCTTCCTCGTCTGCGCCATCCTCGGGACCAGTCACCTCCACTGGTGTGTGGCTGACACAAGCGCTACGCTAAAAGGTCCGATCCCGCTTGCTTCGCAAGCTTCGCTCTAATTTATAAAAAGAGTGAACTTGTATTTGCCTTTCATAGTCATCGCCTCTACTTTTTGCCCAACCTTGAATTGATATTGATAGTACTTCTTTGGTATCTTTTTGACAGGAGATACGATTGGACTACCAGCGGAAGCGGATGGTCTGCTTGGCCTCTTGGTGTTGGAGTTGTTCTGTCATCGCAAAGAGTATGCCATCTATTGGGAAATCAGGGGTAGCCTCAACATCGTCTTCCTCTGATGAGGGATCGGATTCTTCTTGATCTCCACCTGAAACTGAATGAGGTTGATGGGTATCCTCACCGGACTCCTCGTGATCTCCATCGGGAGCGGCAGGACAATTGTTGTTGGAACTGGTTCTGTTGATACATCCCTTGATATCGTGTTTAAAATCTGGAATTGACAAGTAGGCTTCCATGATTGAATCTGCGTCTCGATTCTTTGTTGCCACTGCCCAACCATACTTTGTGTAACAATTTAGGAATGTTACAATGTACCTATCAAGAAATGATTAGTAACTTGAACAGGATGAGTTTGTTTAAATAAACTTACTGATAATTTTCTGCATCGACCTCAATATAGGTTACATCAATTTGTATTCTACCCCGAGTATGAGTAGTAATGATCGGTGTCTGTTGTATCTGTTTTGATGTGATCGTGGTACCTCCGTGCATTTGACACAAGTCACAGGTAGCGAGGATCTTCTGGATGTCTTTCTCCATCTTTGGCCATCTGTAGTTTGTAGTTGACTTGATAAGTTCAAGTAGTGGAGTTGAGGTCCGATGATTGCCTCGATCGACATGGTTCCTTTCAATAAGCTCCTTGCGAGCTTCAGGTGGTGGGATAATGAATACCCTATTGATCGAGTTAGATATATTATATATATATTTGTTTTATAAACATTAATAGCCTACATACACATCCTTTCCTATAGGGCGATACTCCAAACAGTTGACATATCCAGTACTTTCTTCAGGGAGTATTCTAAACAACTGTAAAGTTGATCTGACGTTGGAGTCCCTTGAGTATTCTTAAAGGAGTTAATTTATTATCCTTTATAGTACAATAATTATTATATACATACATTTGTTACCGTTGGGCTTGGTAGGAATAGGACAGTTGGGGTCTTGCAACAATGTGAGAATCTGATTGTGACTGAATCGGCTTAATGAAATTGAATCGCGCGTATCTTTGGTATCAGTTGATTGAGCAGGAAGAGGAGGAGGAGGAGGAGGAGGAGAAGGTGGAGAAGGTGTTGGCTGTGGAAGTTGTTGTAGTTGTCGATGTAGACGTGGTTGAAGAAGTTGGTGTTGTTATTGTCGACGTCTTAGACATGGTTGATTTGATTGGAGTTATGACTTTTACTTGTGCAACGATACGATGAATAGTCGGTTCCTCGATATATAGACATTTGCCTGTAACTTTACTTTCTTTGAGCAAAGTAATGAATATATCGACATCGTCTTGGTTGGTGATCATTATGACATTATTATCTGAAATGTAATGGATATCGAATTCATGTTTTGAGTATGTATTGGCTATCAATACACAAAGTTGTGAGATAGTTGGATTTGTTGTAGACTTTATATACTTAAAAGCCTCTTTGTATTTGACAAGTATAAGTAATGTTGTCATTGTTATTAATGTAGTGATAAAAACAACTTTAAACTGTTGATAATAACTACTAGTGGTGTTGATACACTCTCTGTGTGTCATGACATTTCAAAAAAAACATATTTTTGCGTTTGAAGTTCATCCATACACCATTCCCTGAATAACCGAGATTTCCTATTTCCTTAATTTACAAACCAATGTGTCCTTAATTTACAACAATTCATTTTCTCCAACCTATTAAATAACTAATAATCATTCCAACATACTAAAATAACTAATATGTTAAATTAGTATGTCATGTTATTTTAGTTATCCATACATCTTATTTTAGTTATCTGCTGTTATTTTAGATACCGTTATATTAGTATGTATATAATTTTCCAATACTAATTTAACCATCACCATACTAATATAACAACAACCATACTAATTTAAACTTTTGTTTATTCTTGGTATAATAGCAATTGACTAAAATAATATCCTCTCATATCTATATCACTTTGAATGACTGCACGATCACGACCTTGTTGCCTGAGAATATTTTGAAATTTCAACTTCACCCACATCAACACCAACAAAAGAGAAGACCAATCATTCATTGTTCACACCCAAACATCAACAACAAATATTACAACTACTGCACTCTATACAGACTTCCTCTCTCACTACTCATTATTTCTCTATCAACATACCTATCTCCACTCATTATCACCATGGCCCAACCAATGAATCTAAAGGAAATGGGTGATTGGGTGTACTCTCTTGGCGATAACATTCTTTCCCAAGAAGACAAGTTCATAGGGACAAAGGATATGACGCAAGATGATGTAGACAAGCTCCAACGTTATACTGAACAACAGCGAGTTGAGTACATCCGAACCAAGTTCATCAACCCGGCCAAAGTTGCTCGTAAGTACAAACTACATCGGTGCAATGACTTCACTCAATACTAACATACACTCAAGCCCCTGCTGCAGTACAAGGTGGTGGCCCAGCTGGTAAGTACAAATGAGAGCGAGTGATGTGTTCGATTGATACTAACATTCTTCTCATTCAAACTGTAGCACAAGGTATGTCATCAGCCATTAGCCAACAAGGATGGTGTCCGCCAGTCCACTGAGAAGCCTGCGACGACATTTGATGGTCAGATCACCAAGAATGGACAAGTCATCCAGTACGGTGTGGTGTCCAGCGGCGACTTCAGTACATCAGTGTTTGTAGACCGTAACCTGAATGGTGTCAAGAACTCTGAAGATGACCTTGTAGGCGGATTCACTGGAACGATTACGCAGAAGTCTGACGGAAGTGTCGTGGACACATTCCAGGTGACTGCAGCCAAACCCGTGTACACCAAGAAGCTCGCTACCGGAGATTATTGTGTCAAGTACACCAACCCTGCCGGTTCATTTGTCTCCGCTCCAACTGGAACCGACAACGTGTTCACTCCAGCCGGATCTGCCACCCCAGAGTACTGCTTCACTCAAGCAGACCAACCAATCACTGCCACTCTCGGAGTCACTGCAAAAAAGAAGATCACAGTCGATGTCTTTATTGACCAGGACAAGAATGGAGTCAGGGCTGCTAGCGATGCACAGGCTTGGGGATTCAAGGGCACTTTTACTAAGCCCGATGGCACCGTCATTAGAACCTTTGACATTGAGACCGATTCAAGGACCTTCACCATGAACCTTGAGCCAGGTGAGTTCTGTGTCACATTGGAGAACAAGAAGAGGAACTGGATGGTGTCGCCAACTGGTGCTGACAATGGCTACACCTTTGATGCCGCAACCACGTTCAAGGGCAAGAACTGCTTCACTCAGGCACAGGCTGATCAGAAGCTGGCAATGGGTGTGTTCACGGCTCCAGAGATATCATTCTCCGCTTTCATCGACAGCAATAAGAATGGAAAGGATGATAGTGAGGCCGCGGCATGGGGATTCACTGGAACCATTTCCACTCAGGATGGAGGAGAAGTCGTTCAGACATACACCACGGACGGAACAAACAGGGAGTGGAATGGATTCCTTGCACCAGGTAACTACTGCATCAACTGGGTGCACAAGAACCTCAAGGGTGAGCAACATTGGAAGTCAGGTCCACTTGGTTCTGACAACAGATTCCAGAATGCCAGATATTGTTTCACAATGACAACGGCCAACAAGATCAACAAGGCTGGTGTCGTTCCAATTTAAACATCCTTCTTGATCCATTCATTCATTCATTCATCCAATCGATTAGAATCATTCAAATGATCAATCACAAATCCATCAACAACAAATTATAACAACTACTAAATAAATAATAACAATGATTGAATGAAGTAATGGAAGTTTTTTCGCCGTGTTTCGGTGTGTAGACTTTGATCAAAATATACACGGGACACGGAAAACTTCCCTGGTTGAAGTGGTTAGTCCTTTTCAAAACATTTTGCAAGGTAGCTCAAGTTCCATTTGCCCCATTCCATTGGTCTACGATGGATTCAAAGAAGATGCTTTGTCGACATTAAGTATATAGATATCTATCTGTCCTGGTTATAAATGTCATAACTATTTATATATCATAATGATATGATATAATATCAATAAAACGAAAGAAAATCAAACAATCAATCAATCAATTAATCAAACAAAGATATAGATGTCAAAACAAATATCATTATTATTACATACTTTTTTAATTATTTATATATTTATTAATATAATAACATTGGTGGTGGATGCCACTACAATAAAGGGCCCGGCTGGTATTACATTTGGAGGAGCATCTGGTGATGGAAAGTCTGGAGATGTCAAAAAGTACGAGAATGATCCATCATTCAAATCCACCAGGAGCAAGAAAAGATATGATTGGTGGAGTTATATCCGTCTAAATGTAGAAGATACCAAGTATAATTATAAAGGATATTCCGACTTCCATCCAAGAGTTGATGAGTTTACAACCTTAAGGATACCAATGTGTAAGTGATCAATCAATCAATCAAACAATTTAATCACACCTCATTCACTCGTCAATCAATCAAACTTTAATAGCCAACAATTCTATATTATTCAATCCAAATGCTTTGGTTTCATTCGAGTTTAATGCCAAGGTTGATGTTACAACAACTGTATATACTGAGTATGATTGTCCGGGTGTTTCTCCAACAACTGCTCCTCCAACACCAACTACCGCGCCAAAGTCTACAACTACATTCAAATCAACTGCCGAGGTATCTGCGGATACTCCACCAACCAAGCCAAATCCACCAGAGGGATCATGTAAAGATGGTGCCACAAAGTATACTGTAGCATCAACTTTGACAACACCTACCAACATTGTGCTGCCACCAAAGAGATTCTTTGAGGAGGTGTCCAAAGAGGAGTCATACACAGTTCTATCGTCGACAATCGTGTTGACAATGGAAAAAGGAGTATTGAAGAAGGCCGAATGGGATGGTGATCGCAATCCAGATGTTTGTAAATACTGTGGCGGTGATCTGATGACACCAACCGTCGGATACAAATGTGTGATGAACCAGTGCGCCGTGGCAAGCAGGTCGACCAACTGTAGAGAAGGTGCAGGTTGTTCTCTCAAGGTGTTTGTAGCATGGCAAGGTACTGATGCCGATGATCGACCATTGATCAGCATCAACAAGGCGCCATCCAACTTTGTCAAGTACTCCTTCACTCCCATCTCGCAAATTGGACTTGGTCTCATCTCTGATTTCCTGGATCGCATCGTTGGCAACACAAACAATCCTAACACTGCATAAACTATCTTTGTTAATATATACATAGAGAGGGTAAGGATAGGGTATGGTAGGGTATTTAAAGGTAGTGTGCCAAACAAGGGCTTATCTGTGTCGATGGAAAGGTGATGGAAAACAAACGAGTATGGGAAGGTCTAAGATTAGACAAGTGATGGGAAGAATGAGTGACGAAGGGAAAAATGAAGATGAAAATGAGAGTAGATGTAAATATAAGTTACACTGTTCTTGATGGTGGGATGATGATGATAAATGATAAATGTTCTCCTCCACATGAACCAATACCCCCCTCCGCTATGAGAGAACAGATCCATACGGACCCGAGTACAGGCACACCACCTGTGCAATTGGTGTAGGTCCCATGAAGATTTTTACCACGACGGTAGGAGGCTCACAACGAGTACTTGAGCCTAGCTAGTTGGGACCTACACCAATTGTCATTACCACATTGTGTTGCGCCTTCTGGGTCTAAGTATTATTTATGATGAATAGAAGTGTGGCAATGATGTTTGTTTGGATGGAAAACAAGATGGTTGGGAGAGGTAGACATATGATCAAGGTTTGATGGATGGATATGTCCATGATGATAAAGTCTGGTAGTTGGTGGTGGGATGTTGTTCAACGACATAGCAAAGACATGATTTGTGATGGATGGATATTAACATGATGATAGATAGAAGTTCCAATTTGAAGATAGGCCGAATGGGATGATCGTAATCCAGATGTAATTAAATAAATATGGCGGGGTGATCATTAAGAGTATGGAAAATGGTGGATGGAAAGAAACGTGTTTGGGAAGATGAAAGTTATATGAAATGTGATCGATTGGGATAGGTAGATTAGACAAGTGATGATAGATAGATAGAAGTTCCAACGCGAAATGGGTGGTGTTGATAAACACCTTTTGAGTGATAACCTTCATGGAACACTCAACAGATCATGACAATCTTGATGGTAGGGCTTTAAGCACGCTCTCCACGGATTCTCTTGGCCAACTGGACGTCCTTGACCATGATCGTGACACGCTTGGCATGGATGGCACACAAGTTGGTGTCCTCAAACAGACCAACGAGGTAAGCCTCAGAAGCCTCCTGGAGGGCAGCAATGGCGGAAGCCTGGAAACGGAGATCAGTCTTGAACTCCTGGGCAATCTCACGAACCAGACGCTGGAAGGGGAGCTTCTTGATCAAGAGCTCAGAGGTCTTCTGGTAACGACGGATCTCACGGAGAGCGACGGTACCTGGCTTGAATCTGTGGGTCTTCTTCAAACCAGAGGTGGAGGGGTACTTGGAGGCGGACTTCTGAGCCAAGTGCTTGCGGGGGACCTTGGCACCGGTGGATTTACGAGCGGTTTGCTTAGTTCTGGCCATTGTTACTTTGATAAGGGTAGAGATTGGGGGATGATAGATTGATAGGAAGTTGATAAACTTGTTGTTGTATGGAGGTAGTGAAGATGTATCACTGTTTGGGTTTTGGTTTGATAATATGAATTGTACATCAACGCGTTGATGCTCTTAAATAGTACCACACAATCACTAAAGTGAACTTGATCAGTGTGTTCAAGCGCCAATTTGTAAATTTGAAATCAAAGTTGATAAATCCGTCTGATCACTATTTTTGTGTGGTCATCAGTTTTTCAAATGATTGTTTTTCAAAAAGATGACAGTTACTCTCAACAGAATCATTCTAGGCTTATTCAAATTCAAACTACATCATAACAGACACACAACACTTTCAAACAATCGAACTTCACATAAATTGATTGATTGGAATATCCAAAACTTCCCTGGGCTTCTGACTTGGATACCAAACTACACCAGTTATTATTCCTTTGATTAATAGTTATAAATCATTGACCTCATTCAAATTCAAATATACATTATCTGTATCTTTGACACATGATAATGTCGTCATGTCAAGGATCGCGACACACACAAAGAATAATACTTCTTAAGATTATTCTTTATCTCTTACTATCCAACAAACAATCATTTAGAAGGTACTCTCGGTCTAAGGCTAAAGTGCCGAGATTCAACTAAGACATGTGTGTTTAGTTTTGTTTGTTGTGTTTCTTTGTTTGTGGAGCGTGTCTCTGTGTGTGTTGTGGGGGGTTGGTCGTCAAGTTTGTTTGCCGAATACGATCGAATATCAGTGTGTGCTGCAAACAAATCGGGTCAATTTGATGGAAATTTTACGCCTAGAGGTGTCTCTTTTTCAACCTTAAGATGATTCTACCTAAACTAGAAGTAAAGTAGTTGGTTACTTTACGATAACACTCAAACAAACAAAATAATCAATCATACATACATACATACACAGACATAATCAATCAATAATGATGAATCTAAAGTATGTTTCAACTTTGGTTCTGATCGTTTTGGCCTTGTCCACTATGATTGCCACGGCCAAGAACAATGAGCTCACACCAATGAGCATCAAGTTGGCACTCACTCAGGATGTCACTCAAATGCGTATTACATGGAATACAAGGGCTCATGGATCTAGCCCATTGGTGCTCTACGATACACAGCCATTCAATACATCCAACTTTGTCCGTCTGCCACAGTTGGAGGCCAACACCGAGCACATCTACCAGGCGTTGGGCGGAGGCTGGAACGAGTACGTCAACACCGCCCTCCTCACCGGGCTGACCGCCTCTACCACCTATTACTACTCGGTCGGTGAGAAGGATGAGCTGTTCTTTAGCGACGTCTTCAACTTCACCACCGCCGCCACCGACTTTAACGCCGACGTCACACCATTCTCCATCGTTGTCTATGGTGACATGGGTATCTGGGGCGGCAGCCAACAAAACATCCAGCGTATCACCGAGAGAGTGGATGACTTCTCATTCGCATTCCATCTTGGAGACATTGTAAGTACTTATGTTTGATTGATTGATTGAGTGAGTGAGTGGAGTAGAGTGGAAGTACTGACTTGGACTGCACCAACAATAGGCCTACGCTGACTTGACAAGTGGATCCAAGGACCTTGGAAATGAGACAGTCTGGAATGAGTTCCTCGACATGGTCAACCCAATCACATCTCACATCCCATACATGTAAGTCATCCTCGCCAGTCCAGTCTGTCGCCACACTCACTCACACATGTGTCCATCAATCCAATCAATCAATCAATAGGGTGTGCCCAGGCAACCATGACATCTTCCTCGTGGACTTTGATATCTATCGCCACACTTTCCAGATGCCATGCCCAGTCAGCGATGCATGGTACTCATTCGACTATAATGGAATCCATTTCCTGTCGTATTCCACTGAGCATTTGGTCACCGACCTGTCGCCACAGCACAACTGGATCGAGAACGACCTTAAGAACTACCGTAAAAAGAATCCAGATGGATGGGTTGTAGTCATTGGCCATCGTCCATTCTACTGCAGCACTGTCTGGGATTACTGCAACAAGGATACTTACAAGGGTATGTCAATGATGTATGAGTTCTCGCGAGTGCGCGTGTACCATGACTAACACAACATAACACAACATAACACAACATAGATATGTTGAGAGATAGCTTGGAGCATGTGTTCTACATGTATAATGTAGACTTGTACATCACTGGCCATGCTCATGCTTATGAGCGCACACTGCCAATGCTCAAGGGCAAGGCTGAGTATGGCACTTATGATGCGCCAAGGGCCACCGTACACATGGTCATTGGAACAGGAGGTAACCAGGAGGGACCTGATGGAGGCTGGGACGAGCCAGCGCCCGCATGGTCCGTCGGTGAGCGTCTCCTCGACACTGGCTACGGTATCTTTGACTTTACCAACAGCACTCATCTCCATTACAGCTTTGTCAATGCCACTACCAACGAAGTTCGCGATGAATTCTGGTTGACCAAGGGTAACTGGATGTAATAGAGTTGAAGTTATAAACATACACAATGCTAGTGTAAATGAATGAAAAAAAGTTGATTCGAATCACTCAATCATTCATTCACTCATTCGATCAATTTGAAATCATTGTATTTATGGGATTGGTTCTCAACTTTTTCAACCCCACGCCAAACAGTGTTCGTTTTTCCAAGATTTGAACAACTTGTTGCAATTCGCGAAGTTTATTGTTCACTTGACCAACACTCATTCATACAGATAATATATTTATTTATACATTAATAGAGAATGAGGTTACCTAAACCAAAGACAGGATTTAGTGGTGGTGGTAGTGCACCGAGATCACCGAGTAAAGAGATTAGTAGGAATGTGTGGAGGAGGAGTTTAGCTTTGAAGAATCAACTTAGACAACCTCATGACGAGCAGGTTAAGATGCATGATAATGAAGAGTACGATAATGACTTTATTGACTTTGCTTGTGGCAGTGACAATGGTGCAAGCAGTAGTAGTAGCAGCAATAATACAAAGATGAAGGAGAAGCAGAAGGACAAGAAGAGAAAGAGAAAAGAGAAAGAGGTGGAGGAGCAGGTGGTGGCCAACAAGAAGGAGGATGAACAAGTTGACATTGAAAACCACAAAGAGTCAGAGGATAAGAGCAAGAAAAAGAAGAAGAAGAGCAAGAAGGATGACAACAAACAAGATGAAGTGGTAGAGACTGCAGCTGACAAAGAAGAGAATGACAGGACAGTGGAGCAAGAAGACAAAATGGAGAAAAAGAAGAAGAACAAGAAAGACAAGAAGGTCGAGGTGGTGACTGAGGACAAGCCATGCGAGGAACAAGATGATAAGAAAGAGAAGAAGAAAAAGAAGAACAAGGAGGTGGAAGATAAGGTGGAGGAGCCAATAATACAAACACATGAGGATAAGGATGAGGACAAGGAAAGAGAGGAGAGGAGGAGGAAGAGGAGAGAGGGAAAGAAGAAAGTAGATACACAACTAGTCAACCACGTCGATAATGACGAGGATATTCAGCCAACCGAGGCAACAACAACAACCAGCACAAAGAGCAGCAAGAAGAAAGATAAGAGTCGCCAAGTGGAGGAGGAGACGAGCAAGGGCGAGGGCGAGGGCGAGGAGAAATCCAGCAAACGACGAAACAGTGACAAGAAGACCACACAAGAGGCGGAGGCAGAGGTGGAGGTGGAGGAGTCAAAGCCCGACAAGAAAAAGAACAAGAAGAAGAAGAAGAAGAAGGATAGGGAGCAGGAGAGGAATGATAGGGATGATGAACTTCAGTCGTCATYCCAGTCAAGTGGACAGCAACAGAACTACGGATGATGAGTCCGTTGACGTTGTTGGAGGTGAAATAAGCAAGAACAGCAACAAGCGCCATAAACCAAAGAATGGCATCAGCCACGATGACCACCAACCATTCACTTCCACAACTTCCACCACAACTACAACATCAACAAATAAATAAAAATAACAATAATAGAAATTATAATAATAACTCCAACAACAACAACAACAACAACAATAATAATAATAATAATAATAACAATAATATAATAATTGGCCAGCGGAATAAATCCAAGAATAGTGATACCAACAACAACATGAATAATAATAGTAATAATAATAACAAAGACAATGACAATGACAACAAGAAGAATAAGAATTATAACAAGAATTATAAAGTAAAGGACACTACTACTGGAATAGTTCCAGCCACACCCCCAACACAAGCCCAAGCCCCAGAGGAACCAAAGGAGTGCATCATCTGTGTGGACAAGATGACAGCCGAGTCCACTGTTGATGGATGCCAACACAGTTTCTGCTTCGAATGTATATTAGAGTGGAGTAAGCAGACCAACACATGTCCACTCTGCAAGACACGTTTCAAAGTGATCAAGGTAGGTACTATTCCACCCACCCCCACACACCCCACACTGATTGATTGATTGATCGATCGACTCACTCACACCCATACCATCATATCTAGAGGGTCAACGTAGAGAAGGGAAAGAAGAACATTGTGAGGGTCAAGAATAAGGAACAGAAGGCAGAGTATACTGCTGAGGAGATTGCTGCATTGGTTGGAGATGATTATGATGATGAGGATGATGAGGATGACGAAGATTATATCCCATCGGATGACTCGATACATGAGTTCATCACTGATGCCGAGGAAGAGGAGGAGGCAGGCTTCAGACTCGCAGACTTCTTCCCCAGCATGCATCGTCGACGTGTTGGACGGTTGGTCCAGGCACGTGTTGGCAACAACAACAATAACCCAATCAACCTGGAGGAGGACCCCGTAGTTCATGTCATCCACGACAACAACGACAGTCACATGGTCATCGACAGTGATGACGAGCACCACGCCATGGACCTGGACGAAGATGACGATGACGACGAAGATTATGACGAAGACCTGGACGAGTACGAAGAGGAGGCCATTGAGGACAGCGCATCAGAGTCCGAGTTGGAGCGTCATCTTGAACCTGATCCCAGTGGTGACTGTGGTGGATGTGGAGACTGTGACCTATGTCTTGAAGGCGATGACCTTGATGACGAGGCTGTAATGGACAGAGATAGCAGCGAGGAAGAGTCAGATGAGGAGTTGGAAGATGAGTCTGAGGATGAAGATGATGATGCTGTGGTCGAAGTCCCCCCAGCAAGAACCAGATCAATGACACGCCAACAACAACAACAGCAACAGTTAGAACAACGACGTCAAGAGAGCTTTAGCCGACTCAGAAGGAGAACTTCGCCATCATCAGATGTATCAACTTCACCAACCATCTCATTGGACTCTGACGACGATAATAATGTCGACGTCGATGATGTCGCTGATGTCGCTGATGTCGACGATGATGATGTGATGGTAGTTGATGAGATACCAACTCCACCACCCACACGACGACTTAGGAAGCGTGTCGTCAAAGTTGATAACGAGGTCGAGTCTGAGGACATTGACTTTGAATAAACATCATCATCATTGTTCCATATCATAACCTATCCTATGCTTTACAACAACGACATCCCTTTATTGCCTGTCTTTGATTACCCTTTTTGTTACATTATTGATTGGTTGATTAGAGTTGATTGAGTGATTGAGTGATTGGATGGTTGGGTGATTGGGTGATCGCTAAAGGCGTGGACATCAGTCTTGAATGAATGTATGAATGAATGATAGAGTTCGCTATAAATGTTGAATGAATGATCGATCATGATGATGGACATTCATTATGGTAGGTTGTCCAAGAAGTCCATTCGGTGCAATATGATAGACTTGCTTGGCTCCATTAGCTCACCAGAGAGGAAGACCTCATCTAGTATGGCGTAGACCTTGTAGAAGTTGAACACTAGATCCAACTCACATACATTGCCAAAGTATGCATCCAACACCTCTACAAACAAGTGAATAGCCTCCAGACAGAACAGTTCATTATCCGTCGGGTCGACACACATACAAAAGAATAGACCAGCGTATCTCCTATATATGATCCTATGTGTTCTGAACTGTTTGTTTGATTGATTGATCGCGTATGATTGATTGATTGATTAGTTTGATGCGTCTCACTTGTGATGTATCACCAGGTGTACATACTTCAACAAAGTTTGTAAACTTTGTCTCTCTAGAATTGACTATCTTGTGTATCTCTGTGGACAGCTTTCTCTTCTCGACATCATCGTAAGGTGTGTACCACTTTGCCAGTCTAGTCTTACCCTGTCTATTCTGAATCAATATATAATGTATCTGTATTTACATATGGTTAGTAACATTATCATCAATACCTATTCAATCAATCAATCAATCATACCATTGTTATGTAAGTAAGTATATATAATATATAGTTTAGTCTAAAGAATAAGTCAATGCAGTAGTGAATGAAGAGATGAATAATTTGGGTTGGTTGTGGAAGTGAGAGAAGAAAGTGTGGTGTTTTGAGCTTCATTGATCAATTTGAACAAGATTTCATTTAAGTTGATTTGAAGTGTGTTTGACCTCTGATCTTCATTCAATCATTCATTCCTTGTCTTGTGTATTAGTAGTAGTAAATAGATAATATAATTTTTATATATTAACATACAAAGTGTGTATGTTTGTTGTACCATATAAATCAATCAATCGATCAAACAATCAATCAATTAATAATAAAAAATAAGAGTAGTAGAAATAAAGAATGAGTGAGACAACAGATCCAACTTCACCAACATCATCGACTACTGCGACGACGACAACAAAGACGACAACTACGACAGTAACAAGTCCTGTGGCAACATCTGCTTCAACAGGATGTGCTGCACAACCAAAGACTATATTCTTTGCCGTGAAGGATAGAGTGAAGAAGGCAACGTTCAATGGTTCGACAATGGATGATCTCAAGAGACTGTTCATTCAAAAGTATCCAGAGTTTCCAAATGATGTAGAGTGTCCCATCTACGCACTCGACAAGAACACTGGCAATGAGACACCCTTCACAGACATTGATGAACTCAAAGAGTTCCAACTACTAGTTGTCAAGCATGAACTAGGTATGTTTGTTGACGACATCTCACTCATTCATTCTCATTCAATCACTCACTCACATCCTAACAATCATACAACATCAGAGGACGAAGGAAAGAAGAGGTCGACGGGATACACTGGCTTGGACAAGGAGAAGATTGTTATTGTTATGGTGGGTCTGCCTGCTCGAGGCAAGACTTATGTGGCCAGGAAGATATGTAGGATGCTCAACTGGATGCTGGTGCCGGCAAAGGTGTTCAACGTCGGTGAATACCGTCGTAATAGGATCGGCGCAGGCCAGTCACATGACTTCTTTGACCCGTCCAATCCCGATGGAATCAAGGCTCGTCTTCATATGGCCGTCGCCGCACTGGACGACATGATCTCCTGGATGCACAATGGTGGCCGTGTGGGCATCTACGACGCCACCAACAGCACACGCGAGCGTCGACAGCTCGTACTCAACAGATGTACCAGGGAGAGCATGAACGTCATCTTTATCGAGTCAATATGCAATGATACCGATGTTATCGAAGCAAACATCGTTGAGACCAAGTTACTATCCCCAGAGTAAGTATAGTCGATTGATTGAGTGAGTGATGGAGCGAGTGACTAACACTGTACTGTTCGTAGTTACGTTGGAATCGACTCATCCAAGGCTGTTCAGGACTTCCGCGACAGGATAGGCCACTATGGAAAGGTATACGAGACAGTGGAGGGACCCGACCTGCGATATATTAAGCTGTTTGATGTTGGAAAGAAGATAGAGGTCAACAACATCACTGGTATGTGGTGGTTGCTAATGGATGTGAGAGGTATCCACACGCGTACTTACACTCATTCATTCAATCATATAACATCATAGGTTACATACCAAGTAGAATAGTGTTCTTCTTGATGAACCTACACATCCATCCACGACCAATATGGCTGACGAGACATGGTGAGAGTGAGTTTAATGCCGCTGGAAAGATTGGTGGTGACTCGGACTTGACGGACCGCGGCGATAACTATGCTCATCAGCTGGCGGTGTGGATCTCGGACTGGTGCGCCAAGGTGCGCTCCAATGGCTACGACGGCGAGGTCATTGTGTGGACCTCAAGCTTGAAGCGCGCCATCCGCACGGCGCAGTACATCTCGCAGCCCAAGGTGGTGATGCGCGCACTCGATGAAATCGACGCCGGTGTGTGCGACGGTATGACCTACGAGGAGATACAGGAGAAGATGCCAGACGAGCGTGCTGCTCGCGACTCTGACAAGCTGCAGTATAGATACCCGCGTGGCGAGAGCTATGAGGACGTCATTCAGAGACTGGAGCCACTGCTTCTGGAGCTGGAGAGGACAAAGCTGCCCGTCCTTATCGTCAGCCATCAAGCCACACTACGCTGTTTGTATTCATATCTCAAGGGTCGCGTCAAGGAGGAGTGTCCCTTCCTGAACATCCCACTACACACCCTCATCCAACTCACGCCAAAGGCCTATGGATGTGAAGAGAAAACATTCAAGTTATGTTGATTGATACCTCCGCACAGTGGAAAACAATCATTCAATCAATACAAGACTCTCTCTTCTCTTTAACTATGCCCAGGGATAAGTTTCCGGAAATTCCGGATATTAAAGATCGTGGTCCATCACTCGTCAATTCATAAATCTTGATCAAGTATCCCACTCCCACACATGGTGATTGATCGATATCCACTCATTTGTTTATAACTCTCACTTACCTCTAATCACAAATATACACACAACACTTGGAAACAAACAAACAAGATGACATCATTGGACTCCTTACCATACACTATATTACAATATATCGTAGAGTTGTTGGATGATAATTCTGATCGTATTGTAGTCACTCTACTTTGTAAACAGTTATTCGATCGTAGACTACATTATCTTCACTTTGTAGTATCTAATATAGGTCCACCCAACGAATGGCCTCACTCCAACATTCAATACTTAAAGTCTTACAAAGAGATCATTGACAATGACATGAACAAAGCATTCGAACCTGCAGCCATTGAGCCGCCAGTGACAGACCTGTTTATCAGTCTAGACCACCTTAACCCTGCACATGAACTACGCGCCGATCACTTCCCAGACACTCTTACATCATTGTATTTACATGGAAGCTTCAATCAACCTCTAAATAATATATTGCCTGTTGGATTGAAGCATTTGATGCTCTATGGCGAATGGAATCAACCAATCAATTGGAATGCCTTCCCGCCAGCACTTGAAACAATCAAGCTTGGAGACCAATACAGACAACCTCTTGGAATCCTTCCAAACACTGTCAGGTATCTGTCACTTGGGTCGAACTATGATCATTTGATCAGTGGTCCATCATTACATCGACTCGATGTCTCAAGTCCTACACCTCGCTTCGACATTGCTGTGCCATTCACTCATCTCAGGTCATTGAACACGGAACCACTTCTCTCAGACATGATCGCCAACATCACGTCTCAGATGTTCCCAGCGTTGGTCGAACTATCCATTCAACAAGTCGCTGATCTGCCACCTATTCTCAATCTCATGAAGTTGCCAGTCACTCTGCGGTCTCTGGCCATACCGATACAAGGTCGCTGTCTCATGCCCGATGGTTTGGAGGAGGCTAACTTGACATTCTCACCAATCAACGTGTTTGGACAACTCAAGCTGAATGGATTGCTGCCACCAACAGTGACCAAACTCACACTGAACACTTGCTCTCACTCATTGCGCTCCGGTGATATTCCAGCATCTGTAACATCACTCAAACTATGGGACTATCCTCATCATTTGGACTTTGACATCCTGCCCAACCCCGGGCGATTGCACACTCTTGACCTGTCGTTCAATCAATCAGTGTTGAATGACTTCTCAGTGAGATCATGGAGTCTAAAGCATCTGCCCAAATCAGTTAACAAACTACGTCTGGCCAGTGGAAGACAATCATTCAATCTACATCGTATATCTGGCAGGATGTTCCTTCATGTATCCGATGACCTACAACGTTCTGGCTTTATAAAGATGAATACGGCGCTCTCAATGTTTGAGCCCAAAGATGACAAAGATGGTATATCATCAGAAGGCAAGAAGAAGTCATCCCCCTCGGGCACGACCAAGACATCATCACGCTGTCTACTCATGTAGTCATTCAAGGACCCTTCAAAGGCTGAACTTCCCTTCAAAATCAAGTCTTTTTTTTTTCATGCACGAACAAAGCGAGTCCTCGTGTGCTCGAAAGGAATGCAAGGACCTTCACTCATTCATTATCCTTCACACCCAACAGGTATGTACACATAATCAATCATTTAACTTCTATCATTATCTCTATTATTATCTTTTTTACTATTGTGATGAGATTTTTTCATCTCACAGACTAGAGTCTCTGAAAATTCACGTTGATTAAATGAAAACACTCTGACGAATATATTTATATATATCTATTATCTATATATCTATCTCTATACCAATCATATTTCAATCATACTTCAACTCTCACCCAAACAAATACTAACCCTTCATCCTTCTTATTTACTTGTTTCAAAGTAGCCCTTGCACTACAAGTATCGTATCTTTTCACAACCAGTCCTTCCTATTGTCTTTTAAATGGTAAGCACTTCATCCAATCAATCACTCACTCGCCATCTATATTGATGATATATGGGATTTGTTATGATGAAAATAATTACCGCCTGAGTCAACTGTAGCAGGTTGATAAAATGAGTGAAAATTCAGGCTGAATTAATCTCTGATTATAAATCCCATTGTCATCATCAACTATCAATCAATCAATCAATCAACCATCACCAACACTCTATGTTCATATCAAGTTTACTAATCCCTATTCCTTCTTCATCTTACAGTGTTTGTATTTCATATCATGTATCTATCAATAAACGAAAATATTTATAACAATATCACTCAGAAAATCTCTACCTCTCTTCTCCAGTCTTGCTTGATCTAATAATAGAAGTACTAATACTACTACTACCTTTGAGACAACAAAGTTATTGGCGCTCAAACAGATAGATAGGTATTGATCGTGATAATAACTATCAAGATCAATGGCCTTCCTGGGACATCTGAGGCCTCGATAAATAACGAACGAAAAACATTAAGTTGTGATGTTTGCTGCCCATTGTTTGAATGCAAAGAGGGGGGTGACAGGTCTCCAAAGATGAGGTCCAGGGACAAGTCATGACCGCCTACCTTGCAGACACTCCACACACAGTTACAACCTATTATTATCATCATCATTGATTGAGTAGTACCTTATCTACAACAACAACTACAACAACTTGTTATTACAATGTACTTGTAATAATCAAACATATTCTTACATCAACATTATCAATTTCAATATCATATATAATACAATGGATGATGGGCCACTTGGAGAGGATCACCATCATGGCGACAACAACAACAACGACGAAGGCCAACATCATCATAATCATCAACACAATCATCATAATCATGATAATGGATGCCACAATGTGGATGATGCCGCAGTGGAACAGGGCGATTTGACCTCGGAAACAGTCAGTATCAGTCTGGAAAGTTTGATAAGGGATGTCCACCAACCTTCAGAGTTGGAGGGCAAGCGTAATAAGTCAGCATTGGAGTTCACAATGGGTTATGGACAGGATGAGATTGAAATCGATTCCAGCCAGCCGTGGAACAATCGTGATCTTTCAAACAGCGCCACTTCACATGTCAATCTACAACTTTCCAACTTTAGCGATGATGATCAAGATAGCAGCGACGATGAATATGACAGTCTTGAAGTGTCAATGGATCGCGGAGACAGAGACCTGCGGCGACCCACCTCTGCCGCCAACACCAACTCCACACGCGCAACTGAGCTTGGCCAGAGATTGAAGTCATACGACTGCGCCATGCCATATCTTCGCCTGCTACGGGATAATCGAGCGTATAGATACTACTTTTTTTCATCACTCATATCGATGATGGGCGACTGGTTCAACGAGCTGGCTTGTCTGACATTGCTGCATAGGTTTGGCGCCAGTGGCTTGATGGTCAGTCTGTACTTGATATTGCGCGAGTGCCCGCCCTTCCTGTTCCAACCACTCACTGGCGTGGTGTCTGATCGATTCGATCGTCGACATATCATGATCGCCACAGACCTGCTGCGCACACTGATCGTGCCCTTGTTCCTGTTTGTTCGATCGCCCGACTCATTATGGCTGCTCTACTTGCTCGCATTTCTACAGTTTACAATTGGCGCATTCTTCATGCCGGCCAAATCGGCATTGTTGCCTTCGCTTGTCAAGAAGGATGACCTGATCACGGCCAATGCCACCGAGCAGACATCATACTCATCGATGATGTTGTTTGGCGCATCACTTGGTGGCTCTGTCAGCTACATTCTCGGCACCAATGCCAACTATCTCATCGACAGCATGACCTACATTGGCTCAGCAATCTGTGTATTCATTCTCATCAAGATTGGCAATAGTCCATTAGGCTATCAAGGTAGCAACGTACAAGGACACGCACCACTTCACTCTCTAGAGGACAATGAGTACTTGGAGGAAGTGGACCTCGATGCTGAGGCCGAGGCTGAGGCGGATAATGGACCCAAGGCAATCATCCTAACCGAAACAAATAGGTCCATTCAAACAACAAAACAACAACAAAATGGACAACGGACGACACATAAGGTGTGGAGCAGTATCAAAGAGTACATGGGATTATACCGCCAAGGTCTTAAATTCCTTGGAGATAATCATTATATTTTATTGATTGCATTGACCAAGTCATGTGGCGCAATGGTCTGGTCAGGCATCGACACTGTACTCATTCGATTCGCTCAGGTCAATTTTAAAATGGGCGATGATGGATCACTCAGCCTTGGCATCATCCTAGCATGTGGAGGACTCGGAGTACTCCTTGTACCCTTTGTCTTTGCTCGAATTGTCAAAGACACTCCAGAGAATCACATCAACATCCTACGTTATGGATATGTATTTATCATACTCCAACTCAATTAATCAATCAAATATGGGTCACACATTCACTAACACTCGATCAATCATACTTTTATAGTTTATGAATTGCTTTGGAACATTCTGGCTGGCATTCACATCGACCAACTTCCCATTGTTCTTGATATCCAATGTGGTGAGATCATCTTCAACTTGTGTACTTTGGTTGTATTCTTCATCGATTTTGCAACAGAGAGTGCCGGATCATGTTAGGGGTCGAGTCTTCTCGTTTGAATTTGGTATTCTACAAGTTGTTGCAGTGTTTGCTCGATTGGCCACTGGATTCATGTTGGACGTTGCACAATACTCCCCAACAAAGATCACCTACATCTATGGAGGCATAGGTGCAGTTATCTTTATACTCTGGAATCTAATTATTACAAAGTATAAACATGTGGCGGCAACGATGTCGACACATTAGTATGTAAATGGATCACATTGAAGAATTATTATTACAACTGTCATCACCGTGGCCATTGATTGGTTTATTGATCTTTGCGAAGCGCGTTGAGGAAATACCGGACGAGATGGAGTTGTCCAAATTGGATTGAAAGATGCAATGCTGGCAATAACATGTTGGTCAGATCGAATGTTTCGAATGTTCGAATGAGGCATTTGTGATAGTTGTGGCGAATGACTATGGACAAGAAATTTTTCATCTTGATGGCTAGTCGTTCGTTGATCTGTAGGCGCTGAACCTTCATCTGAACAAGTATATCCAGAACCTGAACGAGGGTGTGCGGATCACGATCGCATCCATTGGTCAGATACATCAAGCGTTGAATGTCCATGCGTTCAAAGTCGCTCGGGAAATGCGAGACCAGGAATTGGAATACTTGGGGATACTTGACAGAACCTGCAAAGGCCCAATCGCTGCACTGCAATACAGTTGGATTGCGGCAGAGACAGTGCACCACTTCGATGTGTCCTCCTTTTGCTGCCTCCTCCAAGGGCTTGACTCCAAACGGCTCCGTTCGATGAGATGAAAGAAATCTGATCGTGTCCAACAGACCTTCTTTGGCGGCAGCTTCCATAGTTTTGGCGATATCAGATCGAGTGTTGGTAAAGTGGAGATGCTGGACAATGGACAGGTGTCTCCTTCCACTGTACACCAGGAGGTCGGTTGAGTAGTTGCGAGTGTTGTTCTGAAGAAGGAATGATAGAGCCTCGACGCTTCCCTCCTCTGCTGAACCGATCATGGCAGCGGCGGAGAACAACCAAGCAGTTGGATACTTGGAAATAATCAGCATGGCCAGGTCGAAGTTCTTCTCTATCGATAACGTGGTCAAGAGGTGGACAGGTGGACCAATTGGTGGGCTGACGTGGTCCCTTGCTTGTATACTGGCTTGAAGACGTAGGTGTCGCTGACAAGCCACTGTTTGAGGAGATCAAGATGGTTGGTCATGCCGTACGATATGAGGGACAGGTCGGTGAGATCGAGCGGTTGCGGAATATGATTGAGCACCTGTTGACCAACTTGGACACTGGCTGTAAAGGCGAGACGGAGCATTTGATAATCTATAACCACATCTGGATGTCGTGCCAGATATCCAGCAACAAATGATGGAGTGATTGAGGAGTTGGGCAAGTTGGCCTTGAGACACTCCAGGAGTAAATCAGTATAGTCGAGAGTGATGTGATGAGATTCCTTCTGGAATACAAATAGGTATTCCCGACGTGATTGCTCCAAGTGTACATCGAGGTACTCAAGTAGGAAGTAGTTGTGAGCGACTGCCAGACTCTCGAACGACCTTTGTTTGAACTTGATGTTTGGAAAGGACAAGAGTCTTTGAATGAGCGCCAACGATTGAATCGACGGAGGTATCCATTCGACAAACCCTTCGTTGTCCTCAACATTAATGTCATTGTTGTCCAGCAGCCAAGTCACAATGTCCAAAGTACTATAGTGCAAAGCGTTTTCCAGTGGCGATAATATGTTGGTCACACTGCTTGATGATGTGATCATTTGTTGCATCAGTTGAATATCGCCATTAATGCAAGCGTGCTCAAAGATGACTCCGAGAGGGATCACTTGTGCGATTTGCTTGCTTGCGATGAATGTCTGATATTTTGTGTAGGTGGACAAGGTCGCCAGTGCTGGCGCCAGCTCCTTTTTGGTAAAGAGAGAGGGACAGTGTTGATGGACCACGTCCAGAATCTCTGTATTCATGTAATGAGTCAGTGTTGCAACTAGAATTTCGATGCCATGGTCCACATCCAAGCAGCTCCAGAGCACAAATATCGACTGGACAAAGACTAGAGCATTTTCGGGCGAACCAATGGATGTGATCAGATTGGGCTGGAAGGATTTGAAGATTGGAAGGCTGGTGAACCTGAGTCGGCGAATGCTGCCAAACAACAACGTAAAGATGCTGTAGTCATCAATGTCCTGCCAATTGATCTGGTCGAGTGTGATGGGATGGATGTGGTTCTCGTGCTGGTGTCTCGAGCTTGCTTGGAGAATGAACGCCAAGAAGTCGGCATCATTGTTTTTGATCGTCGCGTTGATGTGCTCGGCAAAAAGGTGGTTGGCGTGCACCTGATCGAGTTGCACGTTGTAGTCGAACAACACCTGCAGCACCTCCCGATTCCTGTGTGATATGGCCAATGCCACCAGGCGATCGACGATATTGCCAGTGGGTTTGTTCTTTGGTCGTAGCACGTTCTCTATGCCACGAGGCACCCTCGTGTGGGAGATGAAGGGACGGCCATCTGGTCTCATGTTGTTAAGGAGGCGCTCCTCATTCTCCTCCTCTTCCCAGTCATCCTCCTCAGCGTCGACCAACGAGAGGTGCGGCTCGATTAGGTTGGTCAACTCCTTGAAGTGCTTAATGAACAGGAGCGTGCATCCATTCTCCAAGAACTGATACAGTGACTGCTGACTCTGCGAGCTGTTGGAAGATAGTACATCTGATAGATTGATTTCTAAGTAGGCATAGAAATGATGTCGTCTCTGTTGTCGAGGGTGCTGTTGAAGCTGACAATGCACCTGCTGCTCCTGTTGCTGCTGATGTCATTGTATTATCTGTTTGATTATGTGTATCCAAACAGAAAATCACCGCATAATGTGACAGCCACTTAGGTAGTCTCCATTATATATATTTATTTTGGGACCTGTAATACTCGTAATAGTCAGTCGCTTCCTCCTCCTCCTCCTCCTCTTGGTTGGACAGATCAATGACCTGTAGGCAGCCAACCTCCATCCATTAGAGGAGCATGTCAATCACCATTTGGGAGATTACACTTGACATTAATGGGAGGCCCTCAACAATACTGTTGGCATCTCTGAGCCTCATGTTCATCCTCTCAATGAGCGATTGATCATCCACATTGGATACTTGGATGTAATCAATCGGACTTCAACTTTTTGAATTTTGATTATTTTGATTTTACCCACACATCTAATCCTCCCTGGCAACGATACTTGAGCAACATCACATCACCTGTGTCTGACTCTGAGTACTCCCTTCGCATAATTTACATTAGTTTGAATATCATAAACATACACACACAACTGTAGATATTTGTAGCAGTAACTTCACCATCATATATACAATGACATACACTCCAAACTCATTCGTTGGTGTAAGTGATTAAACATCTTCAAGAATATAGACAACAGCATCATCGTCATCAATGATCACAGCCTATCAATATTTAAGATTGGATCATCAGTACTATTCATCGGTTGAAGTCATAGAATGAATAATCGAATGGAATGATTGAATGAATGAACAAAGAAACAGATGATGAGATGATGATGATGAGAGAGATCATTATTTGATTGATCAATTACTAACATAAACATAACAACTTTGACCAAATGTACATTTTAGATTCTGTACGGTGTCAGTTTCCTCACTGGTGCCTGGTACGGCGCTTCAAGAAACAGAGAACTCAAGGAGAAGCACAGAAACCTGTTGATTCACGATATTAAGCAGACTGTTAAGGACACCAGAGCAAAGGCTGCCGAGGAGTCTTTCGCTCTCGGCAAAGCCTCCGCTTTGCCCAAGTCAGAGACATTGGCTGCTGGTTTCGCCGATGAGTTTGATCAGCTCATTGCCGACACTGTCGGTGACGATTTGGTCCGCGATCTCCTTGCCTAAATAACCAACAACCAGTCAACAAACAAACACACTTGCCCATCAACAAGTACAGTACAGCATACATACATACATTACATACAACACTCACACAATACCAGAGAGAGATGTCTAATGGTCAACACAATCAAGTAGCGTCGACGCATCAAGTATCAATCATATAATATAATATTCATTCATACTCTAGAGTTAGTCATTCATTCATTCGATATCAACCTTTGTCAGCTGACACTGGTAAGCGATGTGGATTGATCACAGCAGGTTTAGTTCAGATGATAATCAAGATGCACTCAAGACGAGACAGGTGTGTGTTCAGTGAGTGATTGAGTGAGTGAGCAAGGTATATCATCAGTGTGAAGATGATTGATCAGTGTGAGTGTGTGTCGTCTTTGATCACACAGATATATCCAGTCCAATGTCAGCTGATGATTGATTGATCCTAGTTGTTGTCCTTGTTTGTTGAATATTGATAGAGTCCATAACATTCTAAACTAAACTAAACTATAATGGTAGTAACACAATCATCTACTCAATCATTAATCTTTCAATCAATACCATCGGATGTGTCACAACCATCATCAAAGGTAGTAATCAATCAATCAACTTCACCAATCGTCAGAATACCACAACCTGGTCTATTACTATTATACCATTCAGCTCAATCTATATCACCTCCATCAGATAATCAATGGTTGGAATATAGAGATGATGGTATCTGTTCTCAACAAGGCTTGATAGACGGCAACAGACTTTCAAGTTGGTTGTTCCCAAATGAATGAACGAATGAATGAATAAACAGTTAAGTCCAGTGGATGTTTGTACAATATGAAGTAGGAGAGTTGTTTATTGTCGTCAATCAATCCAATCATCATGTGGATGTAGTGGCGGCGGCTGTACTGTTATCTTGGGTGAAGGTTGGACTTGACTTGCTTGGGTCTTGGCCAATGGGAAGTGCAGCGGCTACAGCAGTTGGCGGAGTGGCTGCTTGTACAGTGGGAGTGGTTGGCATAGCTGATATTGCTGGGGACTGTGCAGCAGCTGTCGTTTGTGGAATGGCTTGGGTTGGCGACGCCATTGGCATTGGCATTGGCTGTGATGATGGTGATGTCATTGTCACTGACGCTTGGGATGGTGATGGTACTGGTGCCGGAGCTGGTGCAGACATTGGCATCATCGTCGTGCTTGCAACAATCTGTGTGGCCACTGGCAACTGCTTGGTGGCGGCCATTCCAAAGTTCTTTTGCTTGACCTTTTCCAAAGCCTCCTTGTCCTTCTCCAGGTTGTCCTCGATGTCTGTGTAGCACTTTAGCTTCAGTTCCAACTTTCTCGTCTGTACATTGATGATCTTCAACATGAGTGATTGTATCTCTCTCTCTTCATTGTTTATAAGTGCCTAAGTGTTGTGAGTGATTGATTGAGTTAGTGAGTGAGCGCGGGTTGGACCATGGAGGATTGAGTGCTGGACTTACCTTGGCCTTGGTGGATGCTGCAAGGAGAGCAGCATTTGATGCATTTTGTATTCTTGTTTTGGTTATCGTTGATTGAGTCGTTGATGTTGTACTCGTTGAGGTTGTGATTGGGGATGCTAATGTTGGTGTTGGTGAAGTGACTGTTATTGATGGTGTATCGGTTGTTGTTGTTGTTGTTGACTTGGTCTGTGTTGTTGATTCTTGTTCGTTATCAGTACTTGGTGGTGGATCGGGATTGCTCTCAATCCATTCGAATGCAGCCTTGGCAGCAGCCGAAGCTACTATAGGACTGACTGAATTGGACAATAGAGCGAGGAGAACCATCAGAGGGTTCTGGGCTTGTGAGAAAGTGTTGATGGCATTGGGGGGCAATGTAGGCTTGACCACCACTTCCTCCTCATCATCATCATCCTCCTCCTGTTGTTCGTTCATATCCTCATCTTTGTTGTTGTTGACATGATCATTCTCCTGAACATCCTCCATGTTGTCTGTTTGTGATTGAGCTGAGGCTGGTGCTGGAGTTGGCTCTAATGGTAGGGCCAGATTCTTGTTGGCAAGATGATTGATGCTCTCCTCCATGTAGACGTCCTCGATGGGTATGCGGAGGAACTGTAGCAGACACTGGTCCTTGGACTTGGTCTTGACAAACTCAGCCACATCCGCCCAGTTGTCGCCAAACACTTCGATTGCCTCGAGTAGACGTAGCAGCTCCTGGTCGGTCCACAACTCGGGGTTGTCCAGCGTGACACTCTGTTCAAAGCGACTGAAATCGGAAGTCTGGCAATATGATGGATACTCGCCATTTGTGAAGCAACTGGCGCACAGCTCCATCGTGGAGAAGTCGGGCGGTAGGTTGCCATAGTCGTTGAAAACAGGCTTGTTGACGAGGAAGTAGCGCAGCGTGTTGCAGTCCTTGTGGCAGCTGGTGCACGTGTGGACAGTCACGGGCTGCGGCAGACCAAACACATTCTTCTTGTTGGGGTAGAGAGTGTAGGTCATCCTGTTCATCGGGTCGTTGTAGTCGAACACCTCGCCCACTGCGCCTGGCTCCTTCTTGCTGTCCTGAGGCAGGTCGTCATCCTTCATCATCGATGTCTCTGACTCGTCCGCCACGGCTGTATCGTTCTCCAAGTTGATCTCGTTCTCATTCTCGATCTCATTCTCAACTTCGTCCTCATCCTCCTCCCTTTTCACATTCATATCGTCGTCCTCGTCCAAGGTCATTGTCTTGCTGGCCGTGGTCTTGCCGGTTGCTGGCTCGGGCTCCTTGTCTTTCGTTGCCGTGTCGTCCTTCTCTACGACCTCGCCTTCCTCCTCTTTGTTGTCGAGGTCGTTGTTGTTGTTGTCTTTGTTATCCATCTCCTTTTCCTTCTCGACGACTTCGCCATCCTCAATTGATGTTGTTGTGTTGCTCTCAGCTGGTAGTTGTGTTGTAGGGGATGGTTCCTTGTCAACAATAGCGGACACATCCATAACATTCTCTGGTTCTTTGGATATAGTGTCTGGAGCTGGAGCTGGAGTGATTTGTGCTGGAACCTCCTCCAGAGGTTCCTTGGGCTCTGTATTACTGCTGGTAGGGGGCGGTGTTGGGATTCGTTCATCCACCTGATTGAGGATGTTGTCTATTGAGGCTTTGTCCTTGGTCTGTTCCTTCTCTTGCTCCTGCTCCTTCACCTGGTCTGGTACATGCCCCTTTTCTTCATCTTGCTGGATAGATGATGATGTTGGTTGATCGTCTGCCATGGTTTGGTCTTGTGGCAAAGATGTAGAGCTGACTTGGGTCTCAACCTCCTTCTGGTTGGTCTCTGATTGAGCTGGTTCCTCCACGATCTTGTCCTCGGCCTTGTCCTCCACCTTCTCCACGATCTTGTCCTCGACCTTGTCCTCGACCTTGTCCTCGACCTTGTCCTCTACCTTATCCTCAACCTTGTCCTCGATATTGTCCTCAACCTTGTCCACTACCTTGTCCTCAACCTTGTCCTCAACCTTGTCCTCGACTATGTCCTCGGCCTTGTCTTCCAGCATCTCAGTGTCTGTGGATTTCTCGATATTCTCCACTTCCATTGTATCAGGGATGATGTTGATGTTTGAGCTGGTCGCGTTGTCCTTGTCATTGTCGCTGGGCATGCTCTCGATAGGTGGTTCGCTTTCGACTGTCTTTGCTTCCTCAGAATCAGCCACTTTCTCTGTGCCATTGGTGTGCTCCACCTCGGCCTCCTTATCCACCTCGATCTCCTTCTCCTCTTCAGCCATCACCTTGTCGTTGTCCATGTTGTCCACATTGTCCACGTTGTCTTTGACTTGATCTTGGGTAGTAGCATCAACTTCAGCGGCCTCTCCTGTCTTGTCTGTATCTTTGATCTCCTCGGATGTTTCGATTGAGTCGACGTTGTCCTTCTCCTTGTCTACCGATATGTCTGTGTCCTTGTCAACTGATATGTCCTTGTCAACCGATGTATCCTTCTCGAGGTTGGCTTCATCCTCCTCCTTGTGGCCTTCATCCTCCTTATCCTTGTCCTTTTGATCATCGCCCTGTTCTTCGGTGGGCTCGTCGTCCTTCTTGGCATCAGCCTCCTCGCTCATCTCAACATCCTCTCCTCTTGCCTTCTTGGCCTTCCTGGCCTCTCGTTCCTCCCTTCTCTTGGCCTTGAGCTCCGCTCGCGCCTTGATCTCCAGCTCCTTGTCGCGTTTCTCGTTGGCGACCTGATCAAACAGGGGCTGCATCTGCTCGGGCAGCGCAGGGTTTGGCAGTGGCACGCACACGATACTGTCGGGGTTGGTCAGACTGTTGATCAGTCCCCAGTGTTCCAGGAAGCTGTGCACTCTGATCAGTGCGCTGGCATCAATGTCCATTGCTCGTGCAACGTTTGTGAGCGACAAGTACTGATACTGGCTCTTCTGATACATGTTGATCATGCTGTCGCGGTACTCCTTGTAGCGCTGCATCGACCTGTCTGGTGTGGACTCATTGAAGTATTGTCTCATTTGATTGCGCTCAATGTTGTGTATCTCTGATTGATCGAACCACGCGCATTGAGTCCTTGGAGGGGGTCGTGGTGTTGTCTTTGCGCTGTCATTAGTCGTTGTGGTTGTCGTTGTCGTGGTTGTAGTTGTTGTGGTCGAAGTCGGGTCGACTGTTGATGGTGATGATACAGCTGCATCCTGAGATGGTGATGCGGACGATGATGATGATGCCGCTGCGGTAGTAGTAGATGTGGTTGTTGCTGATGATGGAGTGGCCGTGGTGGTAGAGTAACGATCATGGACGGGAGGCATGTGGGAGATGTTGGCTAGGACCAGGGGCACGACTTGCGCCGTCTCCTTGGATGCAGAGCTGCGAGATGATGAAGAGCGGGAGGATGACGAGCGGTTGGATGCCGAGGGCGTGGACAGGGATGTAGTGGGTGTCTTCATGAACAGCGTCGTGGTCATGTGGCCTGGTGTGTGCATGGTTGGTATCATGATGGACATGGGCGTTGGCGACAAGACCTTGTTGGGCGAGCCCACCGTCTGTACGTTGGGCGTGGGAGGGAAGTTTGGCAAAGGCTTGCTGATGATACCTGATGGTTGTGGCGGGAGTGGAAAGGGCTGGAGGTGGGGATTGTCGAGCCGTTGCAGCGGGGGAGTGCTGGTGACGGTAGATGTGGAGGTGGCGGTTGCCGTGACGACCCCCTCCATTGCGGTTGTCGTGTCAACAACTGTAGGCTCATCCTTCCTCTGTTTTTTCAGAGGCGTGGCGCCACCCTGCTGGCTGGCGGGTCGCTTGATTGATTCATTTACATGTGTAATCGGCTCGTCGGGTTGCATCATTGCCGAGTCGTCTATAGTCGTGCGCTTCAACAATGGAGATGACGACGATGAGTTGGTCGCCGACGTTGTGCTTGGTGATTTGGATTGAACCTTTGGCGAACTGTTGCGGGACAACCTTTTGAGCGATGGCTTGTCCGAAGTAGGTGTCGTGTTGAAGTCAATGTCGTCTGCGCCCTCCTGTGTCGTCGTCGTCGCCTTGGCAGTTGGTGTGGTCTGTCCAGTACTCCTCTTGTCGCTCGCAATCGTTGATTGAACACTTGTGTTGTTGTTGTTATCGTCATCTAAGTCATAATCCAACTCATTCATCCATTCATTAAAGAGGTAAGAGTCGACTGCCCAGCGAGAGGTGACGACCCACGCACCCTGGTGTGCCTCCTCGGGCTCGGGGTCCTCGCCATCGACCTCTGTGCTTGGCACCCAAGTGTCGTACGAGTCGGGATAGTACCAAAAGTGCACCAGGCTGAGGTTATCCTTGTGCTGTATAGTCCTCAGGTACTCTGTGTCGTCGCCACTGTTGCCACTATTCGTTGCGCCCTTCTCGATTATATGTGTTGCCTCTTGGCGTGTGGCCACGACCTGTCCTCCCAATGCATTGATCTGTGTCGATAGCAAAGTAATGCCAGGTACCTCTGGATTCAAATATACTCTATGTGGCTGAAGTACATTCAACTTCTAATGTTGTAAGTTTGATTGAGTGAGTATGTGTTTGAGACAATTGATTGAGTGAGTGATGTGATCACATACTTTCAGCTGTTGCTCGATCGTCGCGATCAACTCGATGTTCTTCTGATGTGTCGATGATGACTTGAAGTCAAACTGAGCAATGGAGTTGTTCCGCTTGAAGGAGATCGCACAACTCAATATCTGATATAATGGTCCATCAACTGTATAGTCTTTGAATAACTTGCTCGGTAGCTTTGTATGACGTGGTCTATTGGGTACCTGTTTGATTGATTGATTGATTGATCGTAAGTGATTGATCAATTGATTGAATGAATGAGTGAATTAGGATAACTCACATTCCTACCAAGTGTATCCTCGTATAACTGTATCAGCTGGCCGATAAAGATTGAAAGGGTCTTTGGTGACTGTAGTAGTGCATCATAGTCAAGGTTGCTGCAAAGTGCATTATAGATGTCCTTGGTGCGAGCGATCATCGACTCGTCTAAATAGTCAGCTTGGTCACAACCTCCATCCTTCCTTCTCAGATGTGATGATCCTGTTTGAGTTGGTGCTGTTGTAGAAGTTGTAGTTGAAGTAGTAGTATTTGTAGTTGTATCTGTACTACTAATATTATGTTGTTGTTTGTGAGTTGATTGGTCCATCATTGGATGTGTTTGATTGATTGATTGAGTGTGCGTGTGATGGATGATTCTGATGATGATGTCAGAGTAAGATCTATATATGTTGTTGCTAAGGTTGATGACACACAACACCAATCAACATTGCAAGGTGAATGATTGAATGAATGATTGAATGAATGTGAATGAAGAGATAAAGTGTGTGAGAATGAAAGTGAGTTGAAGTGTGTGGGGGTTGTTCACTTCAAATTTGAATTTCGAATCAACCGTTATTCCAACTGTCATCCATCAATACATCAGTTTGATTGAATGATTGATTGATTGGATATTGTGTCACAACCTAGGTTTATTATGTATATATGTATTACATTACATTACAACTACTTGGCATAACGACTATTAACACATACTTGGAATGGAATTGGCATGATGGTTAGACCAAAGACTTCTTCTTCGTGGATGGGTTGGTTGTTGGAGGATGACAGGATGAAGTTGTGTAGGATGTTGGCACAGCCGACAAAGACTTCTTCAATGGCAAGGTTCATTCCAACACAGTTACGTGGTCCAGCACTGAATGGCAGGAATACATCTTTGTACTTGTCGTTGAGTAGGAATCGTTCCGGGTTGAACTTCTCTGGCTGATCCCAATGATCAGGATGGAAGTTCATCGCCTTTTGGTTGACGAACAGCTGTGTGCCAGCGGGCACATAGTACTTTCCACCGAGCATGCATGCCTCCTTGCACTCGCGTGGCGCCAAGGCCACCACGGGCCTGATCCTCATCACCTCGTTGATCACGGCCACTGTGTAGGGCACGTGTGGACGATGAGAAAAGGTCACACGGTTGCCTGGACCCACTGCGCTGGCCAACTCGCTTGCGACCTTTGCCTGTATATCTGGATGATTGATCATATACATCATGAACATCTCAATCGTCGATGCGCTCGTCTCTGTTCCTGCAATAATAAAGTCAACGCCGACCATGATCACCGAGTCCTTAAGTTCGCCCTTGGCATCAATGATCAAACTATCCATAATATCTCTTGGGCTAAATGATTGATTGATTGAGTGTGTGAGTGAGTTTGAGTGTGATTGGATGGTTCCAGTGATTGATCAAGTGAGTGTGAGCGAGTTGGAGTGATTGGGATGGCCCCAAGGGGGTATGATCATACTTATTCGGATCAAGGGTCTCGACATGCTCGTTGTAGATCTCTTCAGTGATCTGGAATACACGGTCCATGGCAGTTCCAAATAGTTTGAGTTGCATGCGATATAGTGGCTTGAGTATGTTTAGACAATCACCAATCTTGCCTGCACTCAATTGTTTCATACAAATATCCACTGGCACGAACAACCTCTGCATCTTGCCCTCATTCGCATCCTCATCATAAGGCATCTGATCCGAGAACATCACTCTGAATATAACATTTGCCGCCATCTTCTTTAAATAATTCCTTGGGTAGAACTATGTTTGATTGATTGATTGGGTAAGTGTGAGTGTGAGGGGTGGGGGCTGGGGCTGGAATAGTTCCAGGATCAACTCCGGAGTACATACTGGTTGGTTATCCTTCTCGAATTGCCTCAACTTGGTGATGAGGTGGTCACCTTGCTCTTCGATAGCACTGCTGAATGATCGCAACTTGGTCTTGGTGAAGGAGTTGGAGACGAGCTTTCGGATGTGTGACCAATGCTCATCACGACCAACTACCATGTTGAGGTATCCCTTGCTCATGATCTCGAGACTAGGTGATTGTATACGATTGGTGAAGTTGTCCTGATTGCGAACTACCATCTCGCGAACAATTGCAGGGTCCGAAACGATTATATGATAATTATCTCCAAGCCATATTCTCATAACATGTCCAAACTTCTCTGTTAGTTTGGCCATACCAATATGTGGAGAAGGACCCACTTGATGTAGATTACCAATCAATGGCAATGGCATTGGACCTGGCGCATCATCCTTTGTCAATCTCCTAATCTTATAAATAAAATCTAAAATAAGATAAACTATGATCACAACTGCGATCAATGTGTATGTATTCATTCTCTATCTCTCTATGATGTATATATATATATTATAATAGATGGGATTTTGATGTGAGGCATGAATGAATGTAGGACCTCAGGGTCCACATGATGGTCGAGGACTTACACATTCATGAGCTCACAGGACATTGGACCGTCCAATCGAATGAATGATGTGATGATAATCTCCGCTGAACGACAATCTGCAAAAGGCCAAGAAACAGGGTGGACTGTGGACGAAGTCGGTCCTTTGTGTAGATAAGACCATAGACCTCGCACGTTTGATTGGGTGATTGGGCCTCACCACGAGAGAGGACCAATCGGAAAAGTTTTTTGGGGTGGCTCGTACATTGGGCATGGACCAAAAGGGCTCGTGTGTCGACTTTGAGGTCACATGATACCGACCGTTTGAAAAAGGGGGGGGCAGGTCAGGGTGGTGGACTTATGTAGATTGACCAACTATGGATGTGGACGAGTTCTTTGCTAGGATCATCCAAAGTTTAGTAGGTTGTCGGTGATTGATCCTGTGGCTGCAGCAGCTGGGGTTGGACGACTGGGAGTCGACAGGGATGGCGCTGAGGGTGTTGTCTTGAGCAGTGGCGTCACTACTCCCTTAGGCTTGGGTGTTCCGGTTATGTTGTTGGTCTTGGATGTTGGTGTTGTTGGTGTGCGGTAGCTTTGACGTAGTTGTTGGTCCTTGGCCAAGAGAGGTGATTGTCCGCCTCGATTTGGTGTTCGCATTGATATCAACTTTTGTGCGGCAGGTGACAATGACTCGAGCGCACCTTTGGACGTCGCCAGTCCTTGTCGCAGCGGCGATGGCACAGGCTTCTTGGGAACCTTTTTCGAATTGTTGTTGGCCTTGTCGGCCATCTGATATGCCAGCCTCTCCCTTGCTGGCGTCTGTGGTATCTTGAATGATCCGCGGGCGGACCCACTGATGTCCAATGGCGTGGAGATTGGATTCTCTGGCAGCAACAATGGTGTTCCATCGATGCGGCCCCAAGTCATCATTGGGGATTCGTCTCCAAGACTGCTCATTGGTGTTGCCTGGGGCGTGGACACGAAGCCCATCGACGATATATATTGATCGATTGACTTGCCCTCACGTTCCAATCTTTGTATAAGAGCCAGTTGTTCAGGGATTGATAATTGATTGAATGGTATCTCGTTCGACTCCTTGATTGTTGACGATGATGATGAGAGATCGATTGATATCCTTGTATTCTCGCGTACTATCTCTTTGGGCGGCATTGATATGCCTGGACTGGGCTCGGACACTGACTGACCCTGTGGATAATACATCAACTTATTGATCACAGTATGTTTCCATGTGTCTGGTCCACTCTTTCCTTCGGATCCTCCATTCTCCAACATCAATGTATTATTCAATCTCTGAGTTCTATCCTCCATCCACTTATGTTTCCTCTGATGTTCTTGCATCTGTTTAACCTGTATCTCATTAAAACTATGATCATCCTCACTTGTATAGTTGGCCACGAACTGATCCAATCTAACTCCATTCGTTATATCATCATCTTGTTGTTGTTGTTTCTTGATGGACTTCGTTGTTGGGATCGTGTTGATGTTTGATGATGGTGTATCAAATGTTGAGGATGATGTTGATGTTGATGATGGAGTATCGAATGATTGATTGATTGATGGTGTTGCCATTGATTGAGAACTGTTGTTGCCAAGTGGATACCTGACAGATGTTGTTGCTCTTCTAATTGATTGTAATTGAAGTGATTGCATTCTTTGTACATCATTTGATTCAACAGCATCCATCCATTGTAATTGACTCTTTAAGTTTGGTAGATCTGGGAAGTAATCCCTCTGTATAATACGTGACAATGAGTCTACATATTGTTCTTCCTCCAATACAATATGTTGTGTTTGTTGTTGTTGTATATTTGACTCATTCGTATCTTTAGTAGTTGTAATAATCTGCTTATTCATTATAAGTATTTGTTATATATGTATGTATATATGTTTGATTGATTGAATGATTGAATGAATGAATACTATCTGTATCTCTATAACCAGGTTGGCTGGTCATTCATTCATTGAAGAATGTCAAGCAAAGGATTGAGAGGATAGAATGAAGTTCTGAAAATTGATAAGATCTGGTGGGTGCTGCAAACAAGCTCAGTCTTGCACGAACTTGAATGAGCTCCCCAACCCCACACACACTATCACCCGATGACTTTGGTCGTCTGCACACACCTCTTGGTTGTTTGTTTGTTCAACTCTGGAGATAAAGAATGAGAGAGTGAATGATGAGTTGAGAGGTACAAGTATACAGTTAGTGTTTATACAACTTAGAGATATATAACAAACAAATAATATACATCAATAGCAACCAAACAAATAAATAATGAAGTTTGGTAAACAACTTCGTTATGAGTGTGTGTCGGAGTGGCGCACAAGGTATATCTCTTATAGCAAGTTAAAGAAGTATTTGAGATTCTTATATGCTGTACCATCTGCACAGTCTCCACAACTTCAAAGTCAACAACAAGCATCATCATCATCACAAGTAGTTGATATCAATGATGAGAATCAACCTCTACTTGGTGGACATGCAAGCAATGATATTCCAGCACCATCTTCAACATCATCATCAATGTTGAGTCTGCCTGGTAGTGGTGTACCAGATACTATTGGAATGAGGAGTGTTACACATGCTCAACCATCACCGGAGGAGAGGGAGCGACTATTTATCGCCAAGTTGGACGAAGAGAAGAACAAAGTCAACTCATTCTACATCCTAAAGGAGAAGGACTTGATCCAACATTACAACAAGTTGACCGAACATGCATCCATGGTATGTCCAGGCCATCATTCAATGTCCACTCCTCACTGCTAACTCAATCAATCAATCAATCATTCAAACAAAAATAGATACTAAAGGACAAGACACCGAATCCAAAGTTGTTAAAGGATATTAGGAGAGCATTCCTCGAGTTGTACAAGGCATTGACAATGCTTGAGAACTATGTCACATTGAACTATACAGGCTTCCAGAAGATACTCAAGAAGTTTGATCGTTTCTCATCGACGGGAAACTTTCAAGAGAGCTACATGGCCGACCTGGCACACGAACGATTCCACTCTGACAAGACATGGAAGAACATGAAGCATGATGTAGAGGTAGGTGTTCATCCCGTCCATGACCAGTGACTCAAGGTCCCACCTACTCACTCCATTCAATCAGCTGCTGTATTGTAAACTATTCAAAATAGACAAGATAGAGAAGGCAAAGATGGTGCTGAGGCCAGTGTCCAGCTCGAATACTGCGAGCTGGCATATGATGAAGCTTGGACTGGCGATTGGAAGTATATTCACAAGTCTGGCATTGATAATTATATTGTTTGTCAATGGTCCGATGGTTGGCAATCCGGATTGGGACCGATTCATCTCGGTCGTGCCGATATTCCGTGGCGTCGGACTGCCCATCCTGGCAGTGTGGCTGTGGGGCGTCAACGTCTACGTGTGGGAGAAGCAGCGCGTCAACCACATACTGATCTTTGGCTTTGACCCGCGCACAACGGTCGACCCGACCAGGATCTTCAAGACGGCGTCCGTGCTGACGGGCATCTGGATCTTCACGTGGATGCTGTTCTGCGGCACCATCCTTGGCAACTTCTCCCATCTGGGCATCCCGGCGCAGGTGTACCCGCTGGCGCTGGTCATCTTCTTCCTGCTCGTGGTCTTTTTCCCCTTCCGTCTGTTCCATCGCAAGTCACGTCTGATGTTGTTCACCATCCTTGGCAACGTCATGATCACACCATTTGGCAGTATCAAATTCCGTGCACTCTTCCTCGGTGATGTACTCACCTCCATGGTCAAGACCATATTCGATTGGGAGTATACTGCATGTTATTATATCACAGGTGATTGGAAGGAGAATTGTAAGTTAGTTCTTCATTCGTTCATTCATACGCTCAATCAATCATACTCACTCACTCGTTCAATCAATCAATCATTGGAATATAGTTGGAGCAAGATGTAATCATGTTAATGCTATTGCATTGCCAATCATCTCTGGACTACCATTGTTGTGGCGTCTGATGCAATGTATGCTATTATACAAGGCCACAAGGAACAAGATACATCTAGGCAACACTGGAAAGTATGCCTTTGGTTTCACCGTCGTCCTATTCTCTGCATTGAATGGAAACTACCAAAGTATGTACATAACTCCATCACTCGCTCACTCGATCAATAACTCACTCATTCATTCAATGAATCAATCAGATTATCCAGAACCATGGACACCTGGAAGAGTGTTATGGTGTGTATGCTTCGTGTTGGCTACATTGTATATGTACGTTTGGGATGTGTTTGTAGATTGGAGACTGATGTGGCTGAAGTCACCGAGACCAATGCTCAGGAAACACTTGATCTACAAGAAGCACTTGTGGGTCTACTACTACGCAATCATCAGTGACTTCTTCCTGCGCTTTGCATGGACACTCACGATCACTCCACTTCAGTTCAATATTGGCATCAACAACGAGCTGTTTGTGACGATCCTGGCGACGGTCGAGCTCATTCGTCGATTCACCTGGGCGTCATTCCGCGTGGAGAACGAACACGTACAGAACTCGCTCACCTATCACGCATTCGACATGTCCGAAGTGCCTTGGAGTCAGGAGATCAATCCAAAGCGCGCAGGTGGTGCTGGCGGCATACCAGTGCCACCCAGCAAGGCGGAGGTCGGTGGCGACGCCGACTTCACCACGGCCAGCTCGGATAACTGGTCCAAAGCAGCCAGTCAGTACTATTCAAAGAAGAGTTGGTTGGATGTACTATCCAACAGATTCTTCAACAAGAAGAAGGGCAGTGGCATAGTTCAACAACAAGACGAAGATATCGATAACAAGGAGTACAACATAAACGACTGATCAATCGATTGATTGATTACATTATTACATTATATTACATGATCGTTCATTGTTCACGTTGGAGGTGGAGACACTCTTCTTGAGTTCATTGACCAACTCGTCAAGGGTTTGTCCAAACAATGTTCGAGCCAGAGTGATGTCGATGAAGCCAGAGTGTCTTAGATCATCAGTGAGATGTAGGAACAAAGTACTTGATATACGATGTAGTTTGAATGATATAATACCATCAATTGATAATAATAATTGATTGATTGTAGATGGTAGTTGATCTAGATTCCATGATCTACTTGTGAATCCTTCTGATCGTCTCGCCAGATATCCAGAGCATGATAAATCCAATCTCGTCAATGTCTCTAATATACTAAAGTCCAAGTTATGTATATAATCCTTGAGTGTCAAAGATGTCAATGATTGAGGTATGTCGTAGAGCTGAAGTGATTTGGGATAGTTGGATAAAGTGAGTGATGTCACTGATGATGGGATCATTCCATTGATGTAGGTATGATGAAGGGATGTCTTGTCGAATGTCAACCTGAGCTCCTCAAGTCCATTTGGTAGACAGTAGTATACATTGTGCATCGTAGTCAATGATGTTAAAGTAGATGGTAGATTAATGGAGAGATGTGAAGGAGGTTTGGAGGTGTCGATGAATGAGTCAATCCGAAGATTGAGTAATGATGGGAATGAATAGGAAGTTAAGTTTGAGAGGATGTCTGAATGAACTCGGCATGTCAGTGATAGTGATGTTAAGTAGGTATATGGTGTTGAGCTGAATGTTGGAGTAGATGATCCAAGTGTAAGATGATTGAGAAATGGTCCGTGGATGGTATGTTTGTAGTCCTCTCCAAGTGTTAGATCAGTTAGACTGTATGGTAGCATTGAGATTGGATGATTGAATGAGTTTCCAAAGACTATAGTCTCTAATCTCGATGATAGCCATGGATTGGTATCAATTGATTGATTCCATCTACAAGATGAATCGAATGTCAATGACTTTAGATTGACCAATGAAGTCAATACATGATCAAGTGACAAGTTGAAGTGACCTGCAATCGTGAGTGATGTCAATGTCTTTGGTAGCAATGTAGTTCCATCAACTTCATCAATGTGGTTGTTGGACTTGGATGAGAAGTATATCAACAAGTTGGTCAATGGAGCATCAATCAATTGATCCAAATCATTTGATGATACACTATAATGTAGAGTTGTTGTTGTCTGACTATTGTTGGAACATGATCTCAAGCTCATCACATCCTTCATTGATTTCCAAAATGAATGTTGGAATGGATTGAACCTTGGATTATTCACAACAATAGTATTTATATTCGGTATATCCATCAATATATCTTTCCAATCCTTATCTCTATTGGTGTCTATTTTGATTGAGTGAGTGAGGGTGAGTGGAACTATTCCATATTTGATCGATTGAGTCTTGACATTTTACCTAACCAATAATCGAATGAATGTGAGATGTATGGTGTAATGGTTGTTATTATTATGTTATGATGTTTATGTTTATGAACATCTTTATCTATTATATGTTTGAATGATTGTAGTTTAATTGATTTACAATCTTGATATTGATCTCTAATTGGTAGATTATTATAATTGAATCTAAAATATTTAAAACGATCATTATATAAACGTTTACATATTAATGTAAATTTAATTCTATCTGAATTACAATTAAATTTATCTAATATATATAATAATAATATATTATCAAGTTTATCTAAATTCATTATATTATATTATTATATACATGTATATTAAGTAAGTAACAAAATAACTCAGATGGAGTGAGAATGATTGCATCTTCTCAATAGATTAAACTACCTTCACTCACCAATAAACACAATCACAATCACATTCGACAACCTCAACCACAATTCATTCAAACAAATATTTCCTAAAATGGTGGGGATCGGAATTGATTCAAGGATAAAACAGGATCCGCATTCGAATTCAGGGATGGGTAATATGACTTCCAATTTTGGTCCAAATCTCGAGATTTGATCAAACAATGTTGTTCTTAACTTTTTTGCAAAAGCAACCAAATATTAAATGGAACTTCAAAGTTAAGAGTTGATTGAATCAAAGACCAAATTTCCAAAGGATCAAGGCCCAATAAGAGGGAAAGGACCTACCCATAGCCACTACCCTTAGAGATATTATTACTGACTCTACACACATACAGTGTTCTGTTGGCGAAATGACTTGAGTCGCGACCTTCAAAGTTAGGATAGATGGTATAGTGAATGGGTCCCAAAGTAACTCATACACCTTGCCTACCTTAGGTTGTGTTGTTGTTGCTAGAGCAAAGGATGACCCAACGTTCATTCCATTGATAGTTAGTTAGTCAACTACAACTACTACTCCATCAACAACAAGAATGAATCATCAGAGATATACTTCTGGTTATTGCCAGTATATTGGTGGTGTCAACTTATGCACACTCCTCCGCTGGTCCCGAGGACAACAACTTGTTGTCAAAAGGATTCGAGAATATCAGTTGGGTGCATCACTATTCGATGGATTCCTCTTGTATGTTCAATGTTTGATCATAACCAATCAAGTATTCTAACCTCTCAATCATATCGATCCTGATAGAGAAATGCATCAAACGAGGATGTCATCAGAGGTACTACCGAGGTCTGCACTGGTCTACACATCCAGAAGCCAGAGGTTGTAAGTACCACTACAACAATGTCATTCATTGTTTGATTGATAGATTGATTGATATTGACATTGACATACTATGTAGTGCGCTGGAGTGATGAAGGCATACGCACCAATTGTTTACTATGTTATCGTCGAGGACGAGCTTGCTCCATCAGGTTTGATATCTCTGGTTCCTTGACATATGGTCTACGCTTCTTCAAGCTAACCTCTCAATTTGTCGTTCTCTCCGTCTCCATCTCCATCCCTCTCCCTCTCCCTCGCATTCATTCATGCTCCAACAACAACTCCAACAACAAAGAGATATGTTACAAGCTTGACATCTGTAGCCATGACCCTAATGATGTGACAGTGAACAAGATGGCAAAGTCTAATGAGATGGCACAGGGTGCTTTGGACAAGGTTAAGGCTCGTCTCCAGAAGAAGCCAGTGGTCTTGAATAATCCAACAACACCAAGATCAAAGACTGGATTCTCAGGCACAAGCTATATCTTGCAGCTGGCCGACATCCATATGGACCCTTTGTACGCGGTGGGCTCCGAGCCACACTGTGGCGAGCCTCAATGCTGTCGCAATGGAACTGGCGCGGCTGGCTTCTGGGGTGATCACATGTGCGACATCCCAATCTGGACGGTCAAGCAGATCCTCAGCCAGATCGTCGAGATCAACAAGACGATGCCCATCAGCATGGTCATCTGGTCGGGTGACAACTCGCCCCACGACGTATGGATGATGGATGAACAGACCCAGGTCACTGCCATCCAGGTCATGTCGGAGATGATACACGAGTACTTCCCCAACACTATCGTAATGCCATCGTGTGGCAATCACGAGTCCTATCCAATGGACGAGTTCCTGCTGCCCCAGCAACAATGGCTCTTGGACACGCTGGCCGATTCATGGCAGCCATTCCTCACATCCGAGGAGGTGGCCACGGTCAAGAAGGCGGGTTACTTCACCTCGGTCCTCCAGCCAGGTCTTCGCGTCATCTCCCTTTTCACGTTCGACGCCGACATACTCAACTTTTACAACTTGCTCCGTCACTCCAACCTCAACATCCGCGACAACCAAACCGATTGGTTCATCAACACACTGGAGCAGGCCGAGTCGCACAACGAGAAGGTGTGGGTCGTCGGCCACATCCCGTGCACATTCTACCCGCTGCCCACCAACCATTGGTGCCGCATCTATGAGGCCATCTTCGAGCGCTTCAGCGAAGTGATCGTGGGCCAGTTCTACGGCCACACGCACTTTGACCAGCTGGTGGTCTTCACAGAAACGGCCACGCACAGCATGCCCACCGGCACCAACTACGTCGCGCCAAGCATGACCACGTACGTCGGCCACGACCCTGCCATCCGTCTGTATGAGTTCAACTACGACACGAAGCAAATCACCAACTGGTATCAATATCGCACCAACATCACCGAGGCCAACATCACTGGCAATCTAACAATGTCGTTGGCATACACGCCATTGGAGCTGTACCAGATGCCTGACCTGTCCAACGAGTCCTGGTTCAACCTTACGCAACGCTTCCTTCACAATGACACTCTGTTGGACGATTACTACTTCCAACTGCGCAGTGGACCACACACCACCTGGATGGAGCAATGTGATTCAGTATGCCGTCGTCTATGGTATTGTGAGATACTTGGAGTCACCACCGACCTTCTCAAGGAGTGTGCAGATGGCAAGATCTTTACAAAGTAAAGTAAAGTGTGAGAGTGAGAGTGATAGTGAGGCAACCTTTGTTTGAATGTTGAGCGGGCTGTCACTCATTCATTATTCTCCAGACCTCAACATCAACAACAATCTATATCTCTATCTATCTCCATCTCTATCTTTACAACTATCAAATCAATATGTCATTGACTTGTTATACTGATTCCGCTGGGATTGCCGATATCTTGACACTGGCAGACAATGCTCCTCGTCGTCAGATGCTCATTGACTCTGGCATTGATGGTCTATATCTACTTATAACAGGACTTGTTGAAGAGAATATCACTCAAGACTTTCCAACCATCGATGCACCTCTGGCCCGAATATTATATGGCCTCCGTCTACTGACACTCCAATCTCATCCAGGTAGAGAGGTAGGAGGAGGAGTTGGTCACCAACATGTTGACAAAGACAGTAAGTATTTCAAATGTTTGATTGAATGAGAATGAGTGATGTCATTGATATCGATACTAACGTAGGAGTGTAGTACTCCAAGATATGGAACATATCAAGAGTATCCTCAATGAGATGAAATTGTAATGATTGGCTCACCAAGTTGTCATCAAATTCCAAGTTCATTTCCACGAACAAAAGTGATGTTACACGTGTCGAACGACCATTCAATTGAATATTCACTCTCTGTGACACAAACAGATAATAGATAAACAACAAATAAATGTATACAAATGGAACATACAGATAATAGTCATGCCAACATCAACATTGGAGTTGGCAATGATGATGATGACGACCAAGCTAAAGATCAATCACATCAACAACAAGGAGGAACAACAACATACTTTAGTGTACGAATCGTTGATATTGATTATTATATGACAAAGCCTGTTAGTGGCTTAGACCCTACGACATCGCCACTCGATCGCAATCAAAGAGTACAGAATGTACCTATTGTAAGAGTGTTTGGGTCAACTCCCGCTGGACAAAAGACATGTCTACACATCCATAATCTCTTCCCCTACTTCTTTGTAGAGTACTCTGATCAACTATCACTACAACTTGAACAAGGTATGATGACCTGATGTTGCTAGCTATCACTCAATCAATCAAACTAACTCATTCAATCAATCAATCAAGTGAACACTTATATACGCAAGCTTGTAGCGAGTATCAATCAAGCAATGGGTCAATCATTCTCGAGCCATCAACATATATTCAATGCGAGGATGGTTAAGGGAAAGCCCTTCTACGGTTACTATCCTCAAGACAAGATGTTCATCAAACTTATCCTGTAAGGCATGCTCCATTGAGCTTGGTCAATCACAATCAATCATTCTAACATCTATTCAATCAATCAATCATTAGTTACAACCCAGATAGTATGAACAAGGTTGCAGGACTGTTAAGAAATGGATCTATAATGGGTAGGAAGTTCGAGGTGTACGAGGCACACATACCATTCATGTTGCAAGTGTTCTTGGATCACAACCTGGCTGGCATGTCATTCATCAACTTTGATAATATACTCTTTCGAAAGCCACTACCCTCTTGCAAGCGACTCTGGGGAGGCAATCAACAAGACCTCTCACAAGACACATGTACGTACATGATCATGTTGGCATGTTCGACAAGTCATACTAATTCAATCAATCAAACAGCATTTGACAACAGTCGTATTGAACGAAGACGATGGTTCAGTGAGTTCTGTCGAAGTGATGACCCGGCATTCAAACATCTTTGGTCGCCCATTCAATCGAGGAAGACTACATGTGAGCTTGAAGTGGATGGCGATATATTCCGCACGACCAACATCAATTATAACAACAAGTCACCGACAAGGACAACAGAGATAGAGGAGAAGCTGGTGCATTCATTGCGGCTCATATGGGACGACGAGCTGGATAGGCGACGAGAGCATGGCATGACCACGCAGTTCACTCAAGCACAATCACAGACAAGGAAGCCATTCCCTCTGGGTTACTTTGCCAAACCACTAGCCTTCAAGAAGATCGATGAGATCATTGCACAAGAGGACATCATAGTACGCAAGAGAATTCAAGAAAGAGAGCAACAACGAAGACAGCAGCAAAAACAACAACATGATGATGATGTTGATGATGATGTCAACAATCAACAAAAAACAATCATCGATTCACAACCCATGTATGACATTGACTTGGCACAACCATCTGGTTCTCAAACACTCTTTGCCATCCCTCCATCCAATTCACCTGGACTGTCATTGCAGTCCGACCCATCAATATCATTTTGCTCGCCTTCCACCACCATCAAGAATACCAACAAGCCAGCCACGACCTCCGTCACGAACAATGTCCAATCTCAACACGATGAGTTTGATCATCATCAAGACCCTGTAGTTGAGCCAGATACCCTGGCGATGCCTCCACCTCCATTTCCACCTTCACCTTCTCCCCCACTATCACCTCCACCTCCCCTCAACAATCAAGTTGTTGAAGACAGTGACATCAAGGACAAAGGACATGAAAATAATGATGATGACGACGATGACGATGAAGAACAAGGTGAGGCCCAATCACAGCAGGAGATCAAGGATATATTGGCCGCATCTCAACTTTACAACAAGATGTTCTCACAAGCGTATGCATCATGGTCTGATGAGGAAGGTGAAGAGTTGATCAGTCCACCACCTCTGGATGAGGCCAACAACAAGTACCTATCATTGAAGCGCAAGACACCACCAACCAATGATGTTGTTATGGCCAACAATCAAGATGTTCAACGTCAACGATTAGATCCAAGAGCGGAGGAAGAAGAAGAGTACGATACAGATATACCTCAATATGATGGAGGCCGTGATGATTATATACGAGAGAAGAAAAGAAGACCATCATCACATGTACATAACAACATCAACAATAACAACAACAACAACACTGGTCTTATTCAATTACCAATACCAACGCCATTGGTGACCAAGTCAACAACAAAGTTCAATCATCGCTTTGACAATAATCGATTGATTGCAGTACCTAGCGATCAAGGTCCTGAAGAGGACCCAATCATGTCCTCACAGAAGCCATCAACAACATCGACAACGACGACGACAACTACCACCTCAACTCCAAAGTCAAAGACAAAGTCAAAGACATCAAAGCATCATCACTCATCATCATCATCATCATCACATGGAGCACACAGCAATCGTGTCCACAAACAACAACCTACTTCACTCAGGTTTGGTTCTGCCAATCCAACAACCTCGACCACTTCAACGACAAGTACACCCTCAACAAATGGATCAGGACGCAAACATAGACATATAGATATAGAGTACAACAACAACAACTACAATGTGGACAACTCACCAACTCGCGCAAGGACTTCAACCACAACGACTTCTTTGAAGTCATGTATGAAGAAGACAACAACTGGGAGGCATGATGCCAAGAGAGTCAGGTTCGATATACCATCCGAGGAGTTTGTATCTGAGACACAGTATCCCGCCCAGGTTACGACTACTACCGTGTTTGAACCCACTCCTATGCCGTCATTGTCAGACAGCATGATGGTGATCAGCTCAAGTGCCACTCTGTTTGTGCCAGAGACACCTCCCAGCGAAGAGTCTCCGACAAAGACATCCCTTCTTCGCCAAGACATAGTCCCTTCGTCCACCTCACCATGCGCCCCCTCCCAACAAACAGATGTCTTCATTGATCCCTCGGCCAATGTTGTTGCCCAACAACAGTTCCAGCCAAACGTACAGGCTTTGGCCCAGCCAGCGCAAGCTCAACCTCTCGTCCGTGTTGAATCACCAACGATCTCTCCTGAGCCCATGGCTACGCCACCTACCCAACCGTCGCCAGTCACAGCACTGACGATGCCTTTCACAATGTGGTCTCCGGTCAAGGACTCTGGCGGTGCAATCTTCTCGCCATCCTCGACACCACTCACACTACCAATTACCTCCCCCAAGTTTGAACAGCTCAAGGTTCCAGTTGGCGAGAGTCCGACCAAGGATAACCTTCCTCCAGTTATTGATGTTATGCCCCCACCTCCTCCACAACCCAACACTCCTCCTCCTCCCCAGCTACCAGTTGGCAACACGATACACAAGAAAGGGAAGTCACCAACACCACCCAGTCCATACAAGGATGCATTGACTCCACCTCGACAGCATACTCCCCCTCCTCCATTATTTGCACCTCCCTCCCCTCCACCACCATTATACGAACCAATCAAACTTCGAACCAAGACAGTAGTTTCGAAGCCAGATGCCGCTGTCCATCTTCCCATACACTCCCCTCCACCCTCACCACCCTCTCCACCTTCCCTGCCCCCACCTCCACATATCAGTCATACACTCCCTGATGAGAAAATGCAGGAACAAGACCAGGAGGAAGAGGATATGATGATGGATAGTCCTATATCAATCATTGATGTTGCTGAGAATGATGAGGATGATGAGGGGATGATGTCATTGTCATTGCATCATCAGTCGCCAACTCCACCAGTATCGCCACCACCACAGAGCAAGGGATCAAAGTCAGACTCTGGAATGGACTTTTCATTTGGAAGTATGCAACCGACAACGGTCGACAACACACGTGGCCAGAAGCCAGTATCTCCTCAACCACCTGCAGCCATCAAGACAATTTACAACAAATCACCATCACCTTCAATCGCATTATTCACGGATGGCGGTGGAGGAGGATACACGCGAGAGACATGTGATGGAGTAGTTACACTTAGTCATCGACCACCTTCCAATGTTGATCTACTCAAGGAGTTGACAATGACCAACAAGCCAATCAACATTTACAAGGATGCCTTCTACTCCAACGAGACCGACATGGTCAAGAAGCGACTGGGTGATGTGCCACCCTTCAAATCAAACATCAAACAGATCAAGGGCATATCATATTGGAGGAGCTTGGAGGGCGCGAGACAGCCCAGGGTGCCAGAGGCCAAGGTCTACACTTTGTCCATCCCGCCTCCCTCCCCAGCATCATTGCTCCAGGCATTCAAGAATCGTGACACAACCACCGCCAACTCGTATCACCTCCATCCGCCACAACCACAACCAAAGGCAGACCATAATCTTGTGGTGGACAACTTTGATGGCAAGAGGGGTGCACCAAAGAATGTCGACTACTCCCAGGTGTCACAGGGCACACCAACATTCAGTTACATTGCCAAACTGCGTCCGGACAATCAGGACAGCGTTCAATCACTCCAGTCCAACATGAACCAGTTCCTCACGATCCTGAGCGTGGAGATACACGTCAACACACGCGACACGCTCAATCCCAACCCAGAGCTGGACGGCATCGAATCCGTCTTTTACTGCTGTCGCGACGAAGGTCAGATCGAGGCTCAGGGCGAAAACTACAAGGACCTGTGCGGTGTCATCATGGTCGGCGACAGAAGCGAGCAAGCCACCGCCAATCATCTCGGGTTCGACTGCCAGGTCACATACTGCGCTGACGAACACGAGCTGCTCAAGACCTTTTGCCAACTTGTTCGCAGCTTTGACGTTGACATCTTTGTTGGCTTCGAGATCCAACTGTTGTCGCTTGGCTACATGATCGAACGTGCACGTGCCATTGGCGTGTCACTGTGCGATGAGGTGAGCCGAGTGATCTCCCCCGTACAAGCACAGTTCAATATGAAGTCAGACAACTACTTCTCGCGTGAACTAGATCGCTTTGGCTACGATCATTCATCTGGCATCTCAATCATTGGACGCATCGTGATCAATACCTGGCGACTACTTCGACACGAGATCACGTTGGACAACTACACATTCGCCAACCTCTCGTTCCATTGTCTCAAGCGTCGCGTTCCAGAGTTCAGCTACGAGACACTCACCAGCTGGTATCAATCGGGCCAGCGTTGGCGCACTCTCAGCTACTACATCGATCGTACTAAGGGCAATCTCGACCTGATCTACAGCTTCGACATCATTGGACGCACGAGCGAGCTGGCGCGTGTCTATGGCATTGACTTCTTCAGCATTCTATCTCGTGGCTCACAGTTCCGCGTGGAGTCCATGTTGCTGCGTCTGACCAAGCCCGAGAACTACATACTCTACTCACCATCTCGCGAACAAACAACCAATCAACCAATGCCCGAGTGTATCCCATTGGTCATGGACCCCATCTCCAAGTTGTTCAACTCACCCATAGTCGTGCTGGACTTCCAATCGCTCTACCCATCGATCATGATCGCCTACAACTATTGCTACTCAACTTGTTTGGGCAAGGTGATGCCTGTCGATCCAGTGACCAATGACAAGCGCATGGGCTCGGGCAAGATCAACATCAAACCTGGACTGCTCAAGTTGCTCCACGACAACATTCAGGCGGCGCCCAATGAGGTGATGTACACCAATCAGCAGACCAGACGCGGGCTGTTCCCAAAGCTACTGAGCGAGGTGCTAGAGACACGTATCATGGTAAAGAAGGCAATGAAGAAGCACAGGGGCAACAAGAAGATTTACAACATGTTGGACGCGAGACAGCTCGCTCTCAAGATGATGGCAAATGTATCTTATGGCTACACGGCCGCCACATTCTCTGGAAGGATGTCATGCATTGAGCTGGGCGACAGCATTGTACAGACTGCGAGGGAGACCCTGGAGGGCGCCATCAAGATTGTCGAGCAGTCCAAGGAATGGCGAGCAAAGGTAGTCTATGGTGACACGGACAGTCTGTTTGTGCTGTTGCCTGGAGTGTCCAGGGAGGAAGCATTCGTCATTGGACAGAGGATTGCTGACAAGGTCACATCGATGAACCCGAGACCTGTTCGATTGATGTTTGAGAAGGTATACCATCCCACACTGCTCGTCAACAAGAAGCGATATGTTGGCTACAAGTATGAGAACGCCAGTCAGCAGGAACCCATCTTTGATGCCAAGGGCATAGAGACAGTTAGGAGAGATCAGTGCAAGTTGGTGTCCAAGATCATGGAGCGAACGATACGTATCTTGTTTGAGAAGAAGGATCTGTCCCTGGTCAAGTCATACATGATGAAACAATGGCAGAAGATCTTCCAGGACAGGGTATCACTTCGCGACTTTGTCTTTGCCAAGGCCGTCAAACTTGGCAACTACTCGACCAACGGCACACTGCCCGCTGCAGCTCAGCTTGCGATGCGTATTATGGAGAAGGACCCGCGTGGAGAGCCACGCTATGGTGAACGAGTGCGATACGTCGTTGTCTATGGCACGCCACAGTCTAGACTGTGCGACCTTGTGATCAGTCCCAGCGAGTTCATTGCCAACAAACATCTGCGCATCAACATCATCTACTACATCACCAAACAGATCATACCGGCCATGGACAGGATACTAAAGTTGGTTGGAGTCAACATTCATCAATGGTACTCATCATTCCCCAAACAATATGCTGCCACGCCCAATCAAAGGATCAACCTATTCTTTAGCAACAATCATCATATGATCCAACAACATCAACAACAACAACTCCAGCAACACGATCAACAACAACAGTATACAATTGATCAGTTCTATCATAGTATCAATTGTTTTGTTTGTGGAGATGGTGTACCAGTTAACAACAACAACAACGATGAATGGATGTATGTGGAGGAGAGTGTTAGACTGCCACTCTGCCAGTCATGCTACGAGGACCCTCAGGCCAGTCATTTCATATTGGTCAACAGACTCAATAGTATTGAGCAACAGAAGAATAAGCTGCAAGAGATATGTCACACATGCATTGGACACCAGACCTACACAACCGACATTGAGTGCCAGTCTCTGGACTGCGAGGCCTTTTACGAACGGGTCAAGTTACTGGCCCTCTACAACAACATCAATAAGTGGCATCAGAGCGTTGCAAACTCATGACCTAGAGGTGTGTCCGTCCATACGTGGAAATAATGACGCTTGGTTCTGTCCGGCCCACATCTCAGATCGGGTTTCCTACTTGTTTAGGCAGGTGAACATCATCACGCCAATCATAAGTGTTCGCACGTTAGGAGGTAATATGGCACTTTTAAGTACTACTTTACTTTACCATGACTAGGTGCAATTTCGTCCACCACCCTAGGTCACATGTGCCTCCTCCCCTCCCGAAGTCTCAACTCAATAATATAAAGTCAAATGTCGATCGGCTTATCGAACAGACAGACCTCAAGTAGGACATCATTGTTACCCAGACATGATACAACTAGCTGTATTCATGCCCCACCTTAGGCCCTTTAGTTGGTACCTTCTTTACCAAAAACGGTCGAGACTTCATAAAACATAACCCCCTCCCTTCAAGACTAGCCCTCCTTTTGGTGGGTCGGAGAGGTGGACATGCGGGCCTCGAGCCTGGACCACACACACTTCCAAAGACTTAGACACAACACGATACTTTTTTTCAACAAATTTAAATTCAAAAGGAGATCATGGTAATTAATATTTTAACTATATTTGGATGGACCTACACATAGCATTGCCAGTCACCGACATTGAAGGACTCGGATGTATAGGAATTGTACATCCCATCAACAGTGTGATACTGCCCTATTTTCCCCCCTTGTCCAACATATACAACGTCTATCCATCCACAACTGGTGACTTGTTGTAAGTCCTTTGATGGTGGACTTTATACCATCTAGATATTATCATTTTTAAATTATTGTATAAAAGTATATATATATATCACTTAGATCCTTACTCCATCCATCCATCAAACCATACAACATAAATCCTAGGAAGTAGTATTAAAAATGTAATATATCTCTTCAATCACCAATTCAACTCACCTCATCACATCTCCACATTACACAAGTATCAACATGACAAACTCAAAGTGAATGAATTAAAGAATGACTTGGATAATGTTAAGTGGACATGTTACAACGCATAGACATATTATTATATTTATTTTGTTAATGGGTCATGTCCAACCAATCCATTGGTGTTCAATATAATGGGGGTAGATGATGATAAGAATGAATGAATTGAATGAATTGATTGATTGATTGATTGAATGACAGTCCAGTCGTTGACAACTTACTAATACCCATTAATACTATTAATCACCAATCTACTACAACACGTTCTTACTTACTTACATACCTCGAGTTGGCAACAATGTCCACGCTCTTTTTCAATCAGACAACAACACTATCCATTCATAATGTCTAAGTAAGACTAGTCAACATCATGTCATGTCATGTCATGGTATAGTCATATTATTATTATCACAACCAAACACACTTAACACTCTCTCACTTAATGTATTTGTAAGTGAATCAGATATGTTATCAATCATTATTTAAAGCGATCAAATATAAATCTCATTGGTATGACCAGCTCATCAATCGATGGTAGTGACCATCCATCCATTCATCCATCCCTCTCCATCAATCAATCAAACAATCCATCCCCACTCCCTTCAATCTCACTACTGTTAATGCCGTATCCGACAACATCCGTGGTAACCCACATAACACATCATTCATAGAGACACACATACACTCACATATCGACATATAAATATATACATAAATACGACAATTAGAAATCGTATAATTAGTCTACCATCATCTACAACCAACAATCCATCCAATCACACACTCTCACTCACTCTCTCACTCACAACTTGTCAATGTCCTTTCACCCCATTGATTGATTGATCAGAACGATCACTCACACCAACACACACTGAATTGAATATGACATGAATCCTGTTATACGTATAATGATCATATGTATTTGTGTTTTAAATATCATCTCCCATTCATCAGCAACTTACTATTTCGGCAGAGTGCATAAATGATTGATTGATTGATTGATGTCAACCAAGACTGAAGACACATACATTCACCCACACTCTCTCAATCACTCACTCAAACATACCTATGATCACTCATGCATCAATGTTTGTAAATAAACTATTGTGTGACTATCTTTTACAAGTCAGACTGACTAAAAGCAGTGCTGAATCGCCTGTCGTGTTTAAATATAGAGTGAATGCAGTGGCGCCACTCTCACTTCATCCTTCGATCCCATCCATCAATCCAATTATCATCTACTTTAAATCTGCTGATTGCCAGGTGTCCACATGCGAGTGTCTGTCTGATTGATCGACTGACTGTCTGACTGACTGCAGTGTTATGTTGTTTGATTGAAATTCCAGATCATTCCATCATCCTCCTTAAAGTTTGTTCGATGTCCTTTGGACACCATATGTGTATTTAGCATTCCTTTATACCAATCACTTACTAATATTATTATTATTAAAAAATTATAGAACCCTCTTCTTCAATTAAATCAATTAATCAATCTAATATTTCCAACAACATTAAAACATATTGTTGTTAATTTTTAAAATATTAATAATTAATTATTATACTTTATATAATTCATAAACATGTCAACTACAACTATAAGAATGAATAGTTTCAACTCGTTGCCTACTGCATCACACTACAGACCATTCAGAATTGCAGAGGAAGACAATGATGATGATGATATTGCCGAAGAAGAGGAACAACGCATGGGTTCCATGTTAACCTTTTTATCCAACTCTGCACAACAAGCAAAGCCAATTCAACTATCCACCACTACCAACCAAACTTCCACAACATCAACATCAACTTCAAATTTTCACCCAGATGATTCGGAGGAACCTGCAGTCAGTTCACCTGGCAGCGACTACCTAAGCGACGATGAGTCACCCATTCATGACAGCCAACTTCCCAAATTAATGGATTGCTCCAAATTGTCACTCAACCCAACCTCGCCAGGCCTCCAACGATTCAATTCATCTCTATCCCTAGTAGGAATGCAAAAGTCTAGTTCATGCGGTAGTCTTGTACCCAAACCATGTAACTATGACAACTGCTGTATATGTGCATATGGTCCACCACCATCATTCTTCACCTCTGCACCCACATGGTAAGTAGAGATCATCGTTTTTTCTGATCATTTCCAAATTTGGACACTAATATTTGTATCACCAATTACATGTAGGGCTGATATATGTTACATTGCACTATACTGTCTTACACTTTCCAAGAGGGATATCAAGTATTTCCATATCAAGAAGGATATTTGTACATTTATCGATGCCCATTATGAATCCATATGTATGAGGAAAAGTATGTATATGATCATGGTACTGTTCCATCACATCTCTAACACTTCTCTTCCCTTAGGAACATCAATATGGAGACAAACTGTTAATATGACGTTGTCACATCCTCAGTACTTTGAGATGTTTCAACAAGAGAGTGCATTGGAGAATGGTAGAAAGGGTTACTACGGCTTGAAACAGATGCATGACCCTTATGAGCACACCGCACTCAACTTGAGAAGTAGGAGAAAGAGAAGACATGAGCAGAAGATACACCAGGATGAGTTGAAGAAGTCCGTCAGCTTCCAATCGACCCTCTCGCCCACCAAGGGTCAAGCACCTCTCGCTCAGATCCTCGGATCAATCTACAGTTCTCCTCAATTCCTTCACAGTCGCTCCACTGTCAACCTACAACAACAACAACCCGCTGTTGCTGCTCTAGACAACAAACAGTTCCCAACTCCCAACTTTGACATCAACGTCAATCATAACAATGAGCATCAACATCAGCATCAACAAACACTCAAGAAACAACTCACCAGTCCATCATTCTTTACTCACTCCAAGCCACCCATCGCATCACCAAAGCCACTTAACCCATCATCATTAATGGATACCTCCTCCTCATCACCCATAACAACTACAACTTCATCAACAAGTGCCTCAGGCAAGAACAACAACAATGGCATTGCCAATCTACTGAACTCTGATGATGATGATGAATCGCCCAGCGTCACATCAACCAAACATTTTCACTCGACTCCATCACCATCAATCACAAACACAATCACCAACTCTGCCATCAACACATCAACCAACAACATCAACAAACTTTTAAATCACCGCTTATCAATCGACTCCAACTCATCAGCCATTATCACTCCATGCCTCAGTGCCTCGACATTTGGCTCACCCAGCCAGTCAACTGGTCGACTCGCCAGTATCCTCTGTGGCGAGGAGGAAGCCCACAACATGATGACCGAACGTGAGGTGCCAAGTCTCTTTAGCTCGTCCATTGGCAAGTTGATCATTGAGAAGAACCTGCCTCCATTATCCACCGTCAACAAGAGTGCAGTTCAGTTACCACCCAGAACTCAATCCCCCGAGCAACAACCGATGCAACAGCAACAGCAACACTCGTCTCCCTTACAACAAACACCTCAACATTCTCCACAAGAGGCTCCCCAATCAATGTGGCCATCAAAGTCCACATCGTCTTCTTCGAATACAATGATGATGGAGGATGATGAGTGCGGCATGGACGAGGAGGACGATGACTCACCAAAGAAGCGCATGAGGAAGACCACACGACCTGATGAGAAGGGCTTGCTTGAGAAGTACTATCAGCTACACTACGGCTCCAACGCCAAGCACTGCAAGGAGGAGTTGAACATCCTATCGGCAACACTCAACTGGAAGATCAATCGTATCCAGCGATGGCTAGACAATCGCCGCACCAAGGACAAGCTGAGATCACTTCGTGCCACCCAAGAGCGTAACTTTATATTTGCTGGAGCTGGAGCACATCATCAACAACCACCTCAACAACAATCAATTCACCATGCCAATGATATCATGGCACCATCCATATCACCAACAACAATCCAATTCAACGCCAGATCACATCACTACTCACACTTTAGCGAGGCAAAGAACAGTGGCTTAGTTCCAACATCAAGCTACAGCATCAACAGTCTGCTTAACTAACTAATCGTGATCATCATTGTAATAAACACGTAATGCGCGTCATGATGGACAAGACAATACATTCCACTCCCAGGGCAATCGGGAACATTTGTTGTATGTTTTTGAATGACGAGACGGACTTGTGGAGGGGGCAAGTGTAGCCTCGTCTCGATCCCCCGATCCATTTGATCAAAAACGGTTGGTCAGACGAAGACGTCTCGTTTAGGTTATATCACTTTCAATTTAAACTAAACAACTCAATCCCTCTACCTATCTATCTCTAACCTTATTATTTGTACCCATCCTCAGTACTGCGACTTCAAAGATGGATCAACAACGAAGAAATGGGAAGAACATTCATCATGATGGTACACATGTTATAATTCCACCGTTCATCAATAATGTCATAGATTATATACTCAAACTGATACCAACAAAGTGTAAGAAGTTGATCACAATCACTCAATCACTCGTTAACACACACTCACTCATTCAATCACAATCCAAACAAAAAAGCATCCATAGAGATCGTTGGATGGTTCAATTACTATGGTACTGAATTGGACTATGCAGAGTTGTTGGCACTGCATCATGGTAGTTCAGTGGAGAGAACTGGCTATAAGAATTGTAAACTGTTGGTGAATTTCTTATTGTATCAACTGCAGAGTATTGCAATTGTTAGGTCGGATCTGTCACAGAGACTGCTGACACTTCAGCTACCAGCAACACATCAACAAAAGAGTGCACTATTCAATCATGTAGAGTTAGTAGATAGATTGGTTATGAGACAGATATTATTGTTCTTTGGCCATGTTGTTGCTAATCAACCATCACAAGAGTTGATCAATACAATCGCTACATTGGTAGCACCATTGATCATCTACTGGCCAGCGAGTAGTAACAGAACAAGTCTTGGTACCGACCTTATCGATCAGAGGACATTCACCTACGTCATCAACTCTGAGCCGCCCACCGAGCGTGCCATCGCCCTAACCAAAGATCTGATCACTCATTCAATCAACTATATGATGGTATGTTGTTGAGACTCAATCAATCAATCACCTCAAAAATGGCCACTAACTCACTCGACCAATCAATCAGTTGTCCAGACTGATCGATACACCAGCCGACCCGTTACCACTTTACATGATGGATGGAGAGGTTGTTACACGCATTGTGCTGGACAATATGTTTGTACATGAGGGTAGCAACCCGATGAGACAGTTGGGCGAGCTTTGGATTACAAGTGATCGATTGGTATTCGCAACATATATATCACATTCAGAGGAACCACGAGGATTCCTTCAAGTACACTTGGATACCATTGGCTCATGGACCAGACAGATACAGGACAATCATACAACATTCCATCTTCGAGTCAATCACTTTAGACTACTAGTCGTTGGATTCCCCACTGATGCCTCATCATCACAACTACAACAGTTTGAGGACATGTTAGCCGCGCGCATCTCAGCCCATCAACGATCATCTGCAGGTCCATATCCATTCTCGTTGACTCATCCCCAGTCCAATGCCAAGATGTCCAGGCAAGTGGTCTCGATATCAACCACAACATTCCGAGTTGGTGCCAATGCAAGAGTTGGTGAAGATCATCACCAGAGAGCCTGGAACCTTCCCACGCCAAAGGATGCCAAGGGAATATTCAAGTCATTCGGTGACATTGGTCCACTGTCATTGACGATCAACCAAGGTATAAAGTCAATAGTTAGTGAGCTCGCGGGTGGACGCAGTGTACAAATCACATTCGACGACGATCACAACAACGAACATGGATACAAGGAGTATGAACCATTCATTCAATCATTGGTACGAATCATGATTGATCCAGACACACGCTCAATTCAGGGATTGCTGGAACTGGTGCTCATGAATGATTGGTGCCGACCAATTCGACTCTATCAAACATCAAACATGCTACTTCCATTCATGTACATTGTTTGGCAATGGTTGACAGAGTTCCCCAACGAGTTCCAATTAAATGAGGATCATTTAATATTGGCATTGGACTATATTGGAGCGCGTAGACTACATACACTCACAGTGAACACAGCCATCACTCTGTATCCAACAGCACACACAAACTCAAACATACCATCAGGAAGGACGACTCAGTTGGATACAAGTGGATGTCATCATAGCACATTATGGGCATCATACATGTTCAGATACATGGATCAAACAAAGATGTTGGAGGCCCAACGTAGCCTGTCTAGACATCAGGGCGACGCGATGATCAGTATGAGCATGGGTCTACACTTTATCAGTCCATCACTTGGGCTGCACACACTCACCAACATCCGAGTGCTACAACTACAATCAAACAAACTGTATACACTGCCGCGGGCACTGGTACAACTCATTCATCTTGAATCACTCAACCTACACAACAATCACATCAGTGGATTGTCACCGGATGAGATCCGTCTACTACCTCCTACTATACACACACTCAATCTGTCTGGCAACTTCATGACTATGCTACCCTCGGTGGCACTATCCACGCATCTACCCCTGCTGACCTCACTGGACATCTCGGCGAACAACAGATTCCAATCGATCACCATCACATCACACCAGCACGAGACACTTTTCCCCAAGTTAGAGATGCTCAACGTGTCATCATGCGAACAACTCACCAACCTGACCATCAACAACACACTCCCATCACTCAACACCCTCCTCGTCAGCTGTCCCAACATTGAAAGATCAGCGCCACTCAATCTACTCCTTCCAAGACTGCCACGCTTGGCCACCCTGCACCTGGCTAGCCTTGGCATCTCCAAGCTCTCGATCGACTTCTCAATGATGACCGCGCTCAAGGACTTGGATGTGTCCAAGAACAATCTCACGCAACTCCCTCCATCGATTGGCGAGCTCATCAATCTAACTCACCTACACATCCACGGTAACTCCATCGAAGAGCTACCCGCATCCATGTCTAAGCTGGACAGGTTGGTCGAGCTGGACCTCATGGGCAACCCAATCCACACTCCAATGCCCGAGGTGTTAGCACAGGGCGCTGCGGCCGTCGTCCGATTCCTCAAGGATCTGTCAAAGGGACATCAGAGTTGTTACCGCATGAAGTTGTTGGTGGTTGGTCAAGAGAATGTTGGCAAGACTACACTACTCAAAGTGTTGCGCGACAAGAAGAAGGCCAAGAAGATATCATCCGAGCCCAATATATCAACTGATGGTATTGTGATTGATCAATGGAATCTTTGCGCCAAGGCATCATCATCGTCATCATCGTCGTCGACTTCAACAACATCAAAGTTAACAAACAAGGTCAAACTCAAGTCAGCTGCAAAGTTATCATCAATCATCAAATCACTCTCAAGTAACTCGATCACTACTTCATTCGCCAATGGAATAGTTCCTGGTGGTGACCAACATCCGATACAACTGACCACGATGGACTTTGCTGGACAAGAGATATACTACTCGACTCACCAGTTCTTCTTGTCAGAGCGATCGATCTACCTGGTGCTGTGGGACGCCCGTCTCCCTGAGGAGGAGTCACGCGTCGAGTTCTGGTTGCAATCAATCATGACCCATGCCCCACGCTCACCAGTAATCATCGTGGGCACTCACTTGGACTCAATATCCAGCTCCGAAGCCAAGTCCATCAGTCGTCAAATGGAACTCAAGTACCTCGGTGGCCAGAGCCAATCATTCAATATGAGCCCCAACACAAGCACCAGCAGCATGGGCAGCACGAGCAGCACCAGCACCAGCAGCACGAGCAGCTTCAACATTAAGTACCCTAGTGTACAGGCGATAGCGATGGTCAGCTGCTCAACTGGCAAGGACATTGGAACATTGAATGGGATCATTGAGGAGGTGGCCAGGGCTCAGCCGACGATGGGCGAGCAACTGCCCTCAGCATATCTGTTGCTCGAGAAGATGATCGCTGAGGAGAGACATTTGCGACCCATCCCCACAATGCCTTGGAGCGAGATGGTTAGATTGGGCGCGATGTCCGACATCAATGATGAACAAGAACTCACACGTGCCGTGTCACTCCTGCATCTGTTGGGCGCAGTGGTCTACTTCCCCAATGAGGCTGGGCTCAAGAACATGGTCATTGTCGACCCTCAATGGATCACAATGATGTTGTCTACAATTGTGACGGCCAAGAAGACCTATGCCAGCCAGGGAATCATTCATCACCGCGACTTGGTACACGTTTGGAAGTCACCTGGATACCCGCGCGAGCTACATCAGCACCTCCTCAAGCTGCTCGAGAAGTTTGATGTTGCCTTCAACATACCATCGGCGGGCGATGATGCTGGTAAAAGCCTCATCCCATCGATGCTGCCAAAGGCCTGTCCCACGGACTTTGAGTCCACATGGATCGCACATCGAATGCCCGCACAGTATGGACGACATTATCAATTCGCATTCATCCCCTCTGGCTTCTTCTCGAGGTTGATGGTCAGGATATTGTATATCACACAGGGACAGGCCAAGGTGTACTGGCGCGACGGAATACTCTTGAGCAAGGACAATGAGTTCATCTTGCTGGAGTTGGTGTCGGCACAAAAGTTGATCAGATTCACAGTTCGCGGCACTGGTATGAGCTCGACGGCGGAACTATCCCGTGTGATCATCGAGACCATTCAATCATTGTTGGAGCACTCATTCAAACAACAGGCAGATACACAAGTGTCGGTACCATGTACGCACTGTCTCCAGGATGGCGACCTCGACACGCCACACCTCTTTGGACTGAACCAGTGCGAGAAGGCTGTGTTGGACTCGCAGCCATACGTTTCTTGTCCCAAATCATCGGCCAAGGTCAGGACAGACAGTCTCGTGCCCGACCTATCCATGCTCCAATCACACACGAACAGGATAACAAAGAGCGAAGTGCAGGCCATACTGGATGAAGGCAAGATGATTGGACAAGGAGGCACGGCCAAGGTGTACAAGGGAATGTATCATGGAGAGGTGGTTGCCTGCAAGGTGCTCAACACTAGGGGAGACGACGAGCGCGTCACCGAACGAGAGATATCCAAGGCATTCGCAGAGTTCAGAAGAGAATGTTGGGTGATGAGCACGATCAATCATCCCAACACAGTCAAGATGCTTGGATTGTGTTTGGAGCCACTCAGCATCCTGACCGAGTTCCTCACAGGCGGCGACCTACACGACTACCTTGCGAATCATCGAGTGGAATCACAGAGACAACAGAAGATCCCCGCGAGATTGGACTGGCGACTATGTCTATCTCTTGCACTCGACATTGCCAATGGCATGGCATTCCTTCATAGTCTATGTCCGCCCATGGTACATCGCGACCTCAAGACTCCAAACGTCCTATTGTGTCACGCAAAGGACGGTGGACTCGTGGCCAAGGTATCGGACTTTGGACTCTCAGGACCACAGTTCTCAATGGCCAAGAAGTGCGTGATGAATCCAGTGTGGCTGGCACCCGAGGTCATCAATGGTGGAGAGTCAACTGTTGCCGGAGATGTCTATGCCTTTGGCGTCATAATCTGGGAGCTGTTCACCTGTGATGAATACTTTGGCGATGTTGGCGCATTCATGTCGTTGTTGGAGGACAGGGTCAAAGCTGGCGAGCGACCACCCATTCCAAGTGATTGCCATCCATCCTACCAAAGACTAATCGAACAATGTTGGGACAATGATCCAAGCGTGCGACCAAGCTTCAACATCATTGTCAACACTCTCAAGATCATCATAAATGAGAGAGCCTAACTTATTACCAATATGGTCTTCATCTCCTTGTCATAGACTTTCTGATCGAACAGGTAAACTGGCTTACACATCGATGTGTCACACCATCAATTATTGATGTGTAGGTGGGTTGTGGAGGATTGAGTTGGGTCGAACTTTTGATTAATTTGGGAAGACGATTCTAATTTAGGCGCGATCCTATTCCTGGTCGAATGTTGAAAACGACCCATGTCTTGGACTAAAAGGGCGGGTGAGTTGAAAGAATGGTCCAAAGTCACTTCATTATCCAAACATCATCCTATCCAACATATAATAATGTATTACAAAATATTGTTATTGATTGTCTTGGTGGCTTTGACCAGCGCCGTCGAGGTAGCAAACCACGCCCATACAGACACCACGGTCTCCGTCAATGGAGACATCCAGTGCTCATCAAACGAGGAGCAAATCAATCAAGTGGTTGTTGAAAGTCCGGCGGCCGAGGTCACTGGTAATGACGATTCGATCACTATGAAGGGTTGCATGTCCTGCCTCTTGGTGGCCTTCAGGACTCAGTACTACATCACCAAAGGCCTCAGTGTCAGTGACGTCTATTCACAGATCATGGTTGATTGCGAGAAGAATGGTGAGATCTCCTCTACGTGTATGTCCATCGCCAACAAAGACCTTCAGACATTCTACTCCAACATCTCTGGCGACGTAACACCAATCAGTATGTGCACGAGTTTCCAGTATTGCAGTCTCTCTCAGTAACCTGGCTATCCAGTCGTTATACTTTAAATAAATGAATACTCACTACCAAAGACTTATGGAACAATGTTGGGACAGCCTCAACATCATTGTCAACATATCTCATATATGGAAGAGCATAACTTATTCCATATTAAATTATTTAGTTCATTTATTGGTTGTGGATTATACTGCCACAACACCATATTGGATTACTTGGTCCACTCCCTTGGACTGTGTGAAGCAATATTGGTCGTTGGTGAAAGGATTGTTTGGTCCTGTTGGTCCATTCTTCCATTGGCCGCTGGTGTTTGTAAGTTTGACACAATAGTCGCCAGGCTCAAGGTTGGTGTTGAAAGTACCGTCTGAACTGGTCACCTTGAATGTCTGGATAACTGTTCCACTCTTGGTGATCTGGCCATCAAAAGTTGTAGCGCGGCTTTCACCAGATAGTCTGGTTCCATCATTGTTGGCATCATTCCAAATCTTGATTTGTAGCTTCTCTTTGGGTATCACACCCATCTTGGCATTCCTGTTCTGCTCTGTCTGAACAAAACAATACTGGCCGTTGGAGTCGAAAACATTGTCCTTCCAGGTGGACCAGGGACCCAGGTTCCGCCAGCCTAATTCTTGAGGTTAATACAGTATTCGCCGGGGGGGACGTATATATTATTATTCTTCTTTGCCTTGTGAGATCAAATGTCCTCAAAATCATTCAATTATTATTATTATTACAACATCTGTATAATAGAAAAGAATGAATTAATGAATGTATGATATACCCACTATATTTGAAGATGGAATTATAGTGGCCTCAATTCATATGAAGATCTCCATAATTGTACTACCCACATCATTTACATAAACATTCCACACAAGTGATAGGGAATTGATTGGATCTGAATCAATATTGATTGGATTTAATCGATTGAGTGACCCTCCAGGTGCAAACTAATTGATCAAAGTGGTTGTAAGTGTGTGAGCGAGGCTAGTTGAGTGGGAGAGTGATGTAATTAAAGTGTGAGTGTCGATTGATGGATGAATATTTAAAAATTTTAATTCCTCTTTCCTCCCTTGTTGTTGGCAACTTGTTTCTTGACTGGCGCTGCTGTTGATTTGACCTGCATCTTTGGCGCAACAGACTTCTTTGATACCTTTGTTGGGGGTGGAGGTGGGACTTCCTCTTCCTCCTCCTCCTCTTCCTCTTCATCGATCATATCCTCATCGTCCTCCTCCTCATCCATTTCTTCTTGGATCTCTGCATCTTCATCATTCTCATCATCATCATCCTGGTTGATTGGTAGACCAGTCTCCTCATCGATCAAACCCTCAGACAACTCCTCCAACTCCTTCAATCTAGTATTGATCTTGTTGAACTTGTTGCTCAGGCCGTACAATATCTTCCTATTCACACTCTCTGTGTTCCTGTTTGATTGATCGCGATGTATTCTTGTTAGTGGTCATTCAACAATTGAGCCCAAAGAAAGGATAACATACTTTGATGAAGCAATCTTTAGCAACACTTGTGAGATCACATGATAGTCTGTTGGGAATATGGTTGGAATGACCTCTCCATTGTCATCGAGATCATCTGGCAGATCAACCATCCATGGATCACGCTCGCCAAATGGTGCGTACGTGGTGAGGATACGCTCAAAGACACGCTCGCGAATACGATTCCTTGATACCTCATCCTCGGACTTGGCCATGAAGTTGATAAATGGCATCAACAACTTATTGAGTGACATTGATGAGACTTCGCCCTTTGTGACCTTGTACAGCTCTACCAAGTAGACATCAGCAATGTGCAAGATCAGTCCATTGCACTCGATGTCATTCTTTGGGTTGAGACAGGTGGCCTTGAGCACCTCGATATAGTCCTGGATCAAGATGATGCCTGCTCCATTGTCATCGTCGTGATGGCGCACCAACAGCTCGAACGACTTGTTGGCCACCTTTCTCACGAGTGAGTAATACTTGTCCAGACGATGACGATCGAGCATCACCCAGTTCTGCAACATGGTAGTATAGAATGACTTTATAAACGACAATGCTGTCTCTGTCCTCCTGCAACTTGTGATCAATTCTGATATCTTAACATTCAATTCCTCTTGCCACAATGGCTTATCTGCTCCCCAGACATCTATAAATAGCGGGAGCGATTTAACAGTTAGTTCCCTCCTATTTTCGATAATGTCACGTGATACCGATATGTCACGTGATAGCCTGTCACGTGATACCCGTAATGTCACGTGATTGCCTGTTAATATCTATCGCATCAATACGTACACATGTATAAAGCCTTCCATATCTGCATCATTTCGATATCAGTGAATAGACCTGTACGTTCGTTGAAGTAGGATTTGAGTAGACCTAGATTTCTTAGACGTGTCTTTGGATCTTCCGAGACAAGACCCTCAGCCAACTCTTTAATAGGGTAGACCTTATTCTTTCTCTCCTTCATTATATTCTCTCTCTCGATCTGTTCCTCTGTGACCTTCTTTGGTTGAACCAACTTGTAGTTGGTCAATTCACCTCCACCTTTAATAACCATTGTTCTTTATAAGTTTAGTATATGTATATGTATAAATGTGTATGAATGAATGATTGTCTGTGAAATGAATGAACAAACTTGTAATTATTTGATTGTTTTGAGACGAGTCGTTCGTTTTTTGGCAAGGCGGGTCCTATCATTTTCACACACAACAAGGTGATCAAAGAACTACCTCAAGAGGCCAATAAGTATGAGAATTATCATTACACTAGAGATGATAATCACTTTGATGAATGGCTCCTCTTCATTCTTCAATTACACTTTTCGGGTTTGAGTTCAATAGGTGTGTATTTAGAAATAATGGTACTTGAAACTCTGATAATAGTAATGTGTTTCTAGGATTGAAGTTTCTCAGATATAGTATAGATATAAGGAATAGTTGATGATATGAATATAAAGTATGTGTATTTGTAAGTTTAGTGCAACGTTGCTGAAATGACTATTATTGGTTATGATCAATGTCTTAAAGTCAAAGTTCGAGTTTGGGTGTTTAAGTTCGTTGAAGGTCAAAACTTATAAGTTTACGTGATCTCATCCATATTGACTACCTTTTATTTGTCTCATCTTTCCAGGCCTAAGATATGCCTGTTCCTGTATAGAATGAGGGCTTTATTAGTCTATTTAATAACTCTAACTCAGGATCAGAAATCAATCAAACAACCAATCAATCTATTAATCTATCATTTAATCAATCAATCTATAAATCAATAAATTTATAATGCAAACAATAATAATATTAATATTCTTATCTATAAGTTGTGGGCAGTCAACTTTGGTCCTAAACCAGTATCAAATACAATATGGAAGAAGCATAGAAGCCGATTTCCTCATATTATAGTGCTCCTCAATATTCTCACAACTCTCTGACCAGCCAAAAATGGACAATTTCATACTCTCTGGATACAAAATTCTCAGACAATATCAACTATACCAATAATTTATATTCGTACTGGAACTTTCAAGCTTTCTGGATGAAAGCATTCCAAATAGTTTCAATCATATATCACCTAGAGTCCCATTCTCAATATTCAAATATTAGAAACAGAATTTTATTGCCAAGAGTTTTGGGGCTGACAGAGTCTGGAGACTTTGATATTGACAATCAGATCACCTCAAACACTTTAAGGAATTGAAATGATAAATGTCCAAGGTGGTGGGATATATACAATCCTTATTAATAAATAAATATATATGTATATATAAATATTAATTCTTAAAATGACATTATCTACTTTTGATTAAAATGGTGTAACAAATACCAGGCCTGGTTTTGAAGACCCTGGTGTTTTGGGTGAAAAATCTGCCGAATCATTCGACAAGTCAATCTCCAAACACTGTTCAAGTACTATTAATACAAATACAACTTACTATTAATAATATATATATATATAGAATGGAATCATTAAAGGATAGAATGTTTGGTGAGGAGGTCGAAGAGGATGATGAGTTGGGAATGCTCATCTGTCAGTGGCTTGATGAACGTGGACATGCTGAAGCATTGAAGGCATTGGAGCATGACCTTGGCAAGAACTACACCAATGACTGTGTAAAGTTGGGCAGTCAATTGCAATACATATACAATGACTACAAAGACCTACAAGCATCTGCCGCTCTAAGTTCAATGTCACTCGATGATCAAGAACTCGACTCTGACTTGGTACGTTTGAAAGAATGATTGATTGGATTGATTGATTGCTAACATGATGGATATACTTTTAGAGTGAGCTTGGAGATAATGTTTATCCAAAGGAGTTGCAAGAGCAGTTCACAGACATTCACAAGGCAAACATATTGTGCATGAGATTCTCTCCTGACCCTGAGACCAACATGATGGTCACTGGATCAACTGACAAGACAATCAAGGTCACTGACTTTATAACCAAACAAGTACTCTACACCTTTACCGATCTTGCACATGCTGCATTCATTGCATTGGACTTTTGTCCAACAGACCCGTATGTAGTTAGTTAGTCCCACGAGACCAGACAATGTTGGCTAACATCAATCAATCAATCAAGACATCTCTTATTGGCATCAAACATTGATGGATCTACTGTATTGTTGAGGATTGAGAGCAGTGGCATTGGACACTTGGTACAGACATTCAAGGATCATCAAAAGTACGTTGTTAGAGTCAGATGGAGTCCCGATGGACGCAAGTTTGCCACATGCTCCTACGACAAGACACTCAAGTACTACGCTCAAGCCGACGATGGCACCTTTGTCCTAGTCAACTCTATCGAGTTCCCATACTCTCTAGAGTCATTGGTATTCACACCTGTATGTTTGATTGGATTGATAGGATTGAATGATCGATGACTGACACTCTGACCATTCAACAGGATTCACAAAGGATCATCACTGCATGCAGAGAGTCAAACTACTTGCAGTACATTAATACAGAGGATAACTCGATTGAGAAGTTCAATATGAATGTCACTGGTGATGACCATGTCAGCTTCTCTGCGATGGAGTTTGCCATCACACCCAACAAGAAGTATCTGCTCGTATCGACTGACAGAAGCAGACTGATCCTCTTCAAGCTTGGCACTGACAAACAGTTGAGGAACTTCTACGGTGCAACCAACGATCACTACAGTACTACAAGGAATGCCATCGACTCCACTGGTCATTACATTTACTCAGTATGTCTGTCTGTCTGTCCCTCATCCATCACACTCCATCTCACTAACTCACTCAATCAATCACATAGACATCACAGGATAACATCATTTATGTTTGGGACATTGCAACTCAGAAGATGGTCTCCAAGTTGAAGCATCACTTGTCATCGGTTCGCGATCTCAGTGTTCATCCATCGCTCAACCTGCTTGGAACATGCTCATTCGACAAGTCTGTATGTCTGTGGAAGGCTTGAAACAATACATAGTTTATTCGACTACTACATACATTACACAGGAGGAGGAGGATATGTCGCTCCCAAGTGTTGTATCAGTGCAGGTGGCAATGGATAGAGACGCTCCTGGGGCATGGCCCTGCGCGCCTCCTCAATCTTTCCATTGTCAATAAGTTGTTTGATAAAGTCGCATTGCGCGGTGATGTCCTCGATCTTTACGATCCAATCATCTATGTACTTGGCAACGGCATGTCGTGAGATACCTATTTGGATCGAACGCTGGGGAATGTCCTTCAGATGTATGTTCTTCTCGGGGTCCCATTGCACTCTGACGGGGGCATCCATCATTTCCTTCTGCCATGCTGCCTTGCTCTTCTCGTCGATTGCCAGTGCCGCGTTGAAGTGTGACAGTGACGAGTTGGCCAGTGCCCATTCAAAGCCATCACGTGTGATGGTGATGGCCAATACATGTTCCTGATGTTGCTTGGTGGCCCATCCACAACGATACATCATCCAGAGAAATGATGGTTTGATCCAAGTCATGCGGTCTCTACTGAACGATGGTGACTGTGATAAGAACTGCGACTTTGTCGCTGCAGCTGCAATCTCCTTACTATAAGCTTGATACACTATAACGTTATTCTCATCATACACCGCTCTTATCTGTCTGTAATCATTAAGTTGTGCCATTGAATGTTTGATTGTTTTGAGTTGAGTGTTTGATTAATTGATTGGAATAGTTCCAGTGATGATGATTGAGTATGTGACAGTGATTGATTGGAATAGTTCCAGTGAGTAATTGATTGTGATAGAATGATTGAATAAATGAATGAATGAATGAATGATTGATCCTGTGATTGAGTGGAAGTGGGAAGTCAGTGTGCGAGCGAGTGAGAAATGTTAAGGAATATGATTGAATGTACAGAGGATAGTTCTTTAATCGGTCAATCAATTAACTGTTGCTCTTTGGCTTCATGCCGGATGCTCCAAAGTAACGATCCTGCTTGTTTGTTTGTAGACGGTCGGTCTGTCCACCCATTTGCAGTTGAAGTCCTTGTACTGGCGTGATGATCACGGTCTGTAGACCACTTGTTGCGGCGCCACCGGTCATCTGTCCACTGCCATAGTCCTTCTGCTCGATCTTCTTCTTCTTGAGTATGCCTCTGTCCTGCGCCAGCAGTCGCACTCTGCCCGTCTCGCCACCAATCAGTCCCAGTCCCTCACCATCTATTGTAGTCTTCTCCTCAACACCAAACGCCATCTTGTTCTGGTCCTGGCGCATGTCGGTCATCTGGTACTTTTGCTTCATCATCCTCGCCTTCCTGCCACCACGCTTCACTCTCTGCTTGTCGTCTGGCGCCGGCAGAGCCTTGATCGACTTGACAGGAGGTGGTTCTTGCCACTTCTCAATCTTGGCCAATAATTCGTCGCGGAACTGTCTGCCGGTCTCGCCAAAAAGCGATGTTTCTTGCTGACTGTCGACACGGGCGGCGATCGACACGCGGCCCGTGAGCACACGGATGGCATTCTTGCGCAGGTACTCTGGTGCCTTCTTGACCAGATCGCATTGTGATATCAGACCGGATTGGAAACGTCTGTTGGACATGCCACTGAAGCCTGCCAGTGATTTGTGTGCTGCGCCAAACGTTTGGAGATTGCCGGCAGGGACCACGGCAAGATTCCGGATTCCGCCCGCAATACCAACCATCCTGGCCGCAATGCTACTGCCCAACAGCACAGAGAGGTTTGGCGCGATGAACGACATCCTACTCTCGAGGTAGTTGAGTATCTTTTTCTTGTTGGCGTCCAGCTCCAATGCCATGTCGCAAGCCTTGACCACCTTGTCCATGAGTGCATCAGATATGTTCTTGCCATTTGTTGATGAATAGGTGACGAGCAACACCATTATGATTGATTTGGGAAGCAGATCGCTCAGCTCGACACCGCTCAAGTCGGTCTGATTTCCAATGCGCTTGACAACATTGATGTAGTCGAGTGGATTCTGAACAGAGGACTCGAGCTCGGGGAACTTTGCCGAGTATCTCTCACGTACATACTTGTGAATCAAGTATATCTCCTGTTGAATATCCTGAACAATAGCATTACTATCCACAATCAATTGATGTTCTTTTGTTCCTTGTGCAGTCTTTTCTCCCTTTGTCGGTAAACTTTGATTAAGTTGTTCATCTACTCTCTGTTGTGTTTGTTTGAATGATCAATGTTAGTAACCTTGAATATGATGTGATTGTGTTTGTGTTTGTGAATGTACACATACATCAAGTATCTTGTTCAATTTGTCGGAACCTTTCAGCTTGGCGATTGATTCGAGAGGAGCATCCTTTAGACTGGACAATAGGTCCAACTGTTTCTTTTCCAATTGTTCATCGACGAGCATCAGATCATCCTGATCTCCCTTTTCCTCAACATCCATTGCATCCTTGTTGTTGGCATTATTTGATAGATTATCATAAAGACCATTTGTCTTTGACGATGAGTCTACAGATGGTGTAGTGTCTTGATCACTATCATTTGCGTCATTCAAGAATTCATCTGCTAATGTTGACATCCTTTGTATAAGTAATAGAGTATATGTTATGTATATATGTAGGTGTAAGTGATGTGGATAATGAACTGAATGTTCGAATAATACCACACACTTTAGATCAAGTTCACTTCATATTCGAACATTCAGTTCATAATATAATAAAATTGTCCAACTTTCAAGAGTTTGTCTCAAAAAGGAATGAAAGACCAAAGGTGGTAATCATTACCATTTACAACTATTCATCACTACATTGTTGTTATATTAATAAGAGCACAATCAAACAATACATGGACTCATTATTCAATCAATGTTGTATTAATAATATTTATTTACGTAAAGTTATATTCAAACATGTAAAGTTTGTTAATCAACTCTGGATGCAAAGACCAGAGAATAAGTATCAATGTGCAAGACACGTTGTACTAAGTTGGAATCAATTGATTGATAACTTCTCAACATTACTATATCATGGATATGATGAGTTGTTCATTCAATTGATCGAACGTTTGCGTCTGAGCAAACATTCAAGTATCATACGTTGGGAGATAGAAAAGCATGCAGTGGCACAAGCAATAAGATACGGGAGGTCCGCTTTAGTAGAACTATTACACAATGGGAAAGACAAGAGACTTGGTGTAACAGTCATCGTTGTTGCTAACCTTGGAGAGTTGCTCCCTCCGAGCAGGCCTCAAATCATTTGTCCAATGACCTACAATTGGAGAAACTCAATGAATCAAGCTGTAACATATGGACAACTTGAAGTTGTCAAATATCTACATGCTAATCCACCTCCCGACAGGTGGAAGAGCAACAGATCTCCAATAGACACTGCTGCACTCTATGGGTATCTAGATATCATCCGCTTCCTTGATGGTCATCGTGTCTATAAATGCACAACAGATGCCATGGATCGTACGGCAGAACGTGGATTCCTTGATACCGTCGAGTACCTCCATCTATTCCGTACTGAAGGTTGTTCAACTGATGCCATGGATCAAGCGGCCGCCAATGGCCATCTCGACATTGTCAAGTTTCTACACAAGAATAGGACTGAGGGCTGTAGGATCGCAATGGAGAATGCTTGTGGCAATGGACATATTGATATAGTGCGTTTCCTTCATGAGAATCGAACTGAACCTTGCACGACTAGAGCAATGGACAATGCGGCAGGATATGGCTACATCAGGATCGTTCGATACCTTCATGAAAATCGAACAGAAGGCTGCACACATGCAGCAATGGACAATGCATCTGGTGATGGTAACTTGGAGTTGGTGATGTTTCTTCATCAACATCGCACAGAGGGATGCACACAGACGGCCATGAATCAGGCAGCCGCCAATGGACATCTAAAGGTGGTCCAGTTCCTAGATGAGAACCGAACAGAAGGTGCCTCGGCCAGAGCTATCCATGACGCCGCTGCCAATGGACATCTGGCCGTTGTCCAGTATCTCATTGCCAACAGAACAGAGGGCATCGTTTGTTTCGATGCACTCTCGCCATCATTGATGGAGGACTCGAGGGAGGATATGTTGAACTATCTCAAGTCACAATTTAGGCAAGGCAAAATGAGGTGTCAATGTCGACTGGTTGATCCTCAACACTGCAACAACGTTTGATCGATTCGTCGTGCGTCTACAGAGTGAACTCCACCAGATCCCGAAGTAATATCTATTCGGTATTTACAAGTTACAAGACTTGGGAATCAATAATTGATTTGATTTTTAATTATTCAATCAAAAGACAAAGTGATTGGGAAACGCGTTTTGAGTGTGGAGCCCCAAAATTGGATCACGAATCAAACACACACGCTTAATAAATCTCACAAGTAGATATATATTGTCATACAGATAACACACACACACAAACCCCAATCTAATAATAGGTTCAGCACTATCTATCTCTTTCGACCATTCAATCTACTTCGACTCGAACATTTATATATTCATACATACACATACAGATCACCAGACTGCAGTAGACCCTTGTGTTACCCTTGATCTGTGCATTCATTCATTCTTGATCAGGTCCTTCTCCAAAAAGATAACGACTACGACTACGACTCTACGACTTTGACAACAACTACTACAACTATATAGACAATACATACAAATGGCATCAGTTAAAGAGTAAGATAAGATGATGATGATGTATCGATGACAGGTCTGATGATGATATGAAGAGAAACTAATCCATCGTCGATGATCAGTCATATCAAACTTAGGTCAACTATACATCAGAAGCTAATAGAATCAGGAGAGAAGGAGAGACTGAAGATACTGTTGCGCAATAAACTGGTGGAGGCTGGTTGGAGAGACGAGGTGAAGGCTCACTGCAGAGAATATATAAAGAACAATGGTGGCGAGAACCTCACAATCGAAGAGTTGATACAGCACATCACTCCTGTTGCAAAGAGTATGTGTAAATGAATGAATGATAGATAGATCCAAAGAATGAATGACTAACAAACTCTACGATCGAGCAGAGAAGTCACCGCCACAAGTTAAACAAGATCTAGTCAAGCGTATAAGAAAGTTCCTCGGTCCAAATGCACAGCAACAACACATGCTACCTCCTCATTCATCACCATAAAGAGCCCGACAATGTTTGAAGTTGGTCGTTGGATACATTGGCCTCCGATACCTCCTTACATCTCAAGCATGATATGTGAGACTGAGTCCCGACGAGACAGAGACAGAGAGTGAGTGAGACTTAGACAGAGATAGAGAGGAAGTGAAGCGACACAACCTCTACAAGAGAGAGAGAGAAAGGCACAAGTGTCCAACTACTAGAACGAGAATATGTATATTAAATAGCATTCGACCCAATACCAATAGTTGGCAACTCATTGTTGTCATCGTTCGTTCAGTATACCTTTGTCAAACCCTTACCTTACCCTTACCCTAACCCTTACCACGCCAACCTTTTGAAAGCAACTCAACTTGGCAACACACGTTCATCTCCAATGCACATTGCCTCATTACAAATGCTGCAAAACAAACACAACCCTTGACCAACATTACTTGTTGTAAAAGATAGAGATTAAGTAGTAGAGTAGAGATTAGAATGGATAATATTGACGCCAACACAGGACTGAACATCGAAGACTGTGCCATACATTCAAGGAAGGAGGAGTTTATGTGCCTTTCATGTCGCAAGATGTTGTGCCCCAGTTGTGTCGGCCACGAACATCTAGAACATAGCATATTCAATGTAAACGTTGCAATTGCATCAATTGCTGTGGGCAACCGACAAGACTACAAAGAACTTTGGTGCTCGCCACGTCTAACCTATCTCTGGAAAATGCTGAGGAGCCATGCATCAGCCTACGAAACGCTGGCGTCCGCCAACCATATTATCACCGACCGTTTCAATCAAGCGATCGAAGAACTAATTAGACTAAGAGACAAGATCAAGGAGCCGGTCGACGTGCAGCTCGTGCGCACTGGAGAGTCCCTCGATGAAATAATGAAGGAGTTTGTCTATATCTCGTCCATCCTCAATGCTTCGCCCGGGTCCGGATCCTACTACCAGCCCATCGCCACCGACTATGGTGCCATGTACCGATTGGCTACATCGATCATATCATGCTCAACTGTGAGTGACCTCATCAATGCCGTACTGGTGTCGCCACAACCAGTCCAGGTCGACACCGACCCTGGTCAGAATGACTTATTGTCAATGATCAAGCATCATCTCCAAACCATGCAGTCCAAGGTCTACCAGGACGCCATCAAGTATCCATACCGATTCGATATTTGCGCCAGTAAGCTCGACACCATCAACACCGAGATGCGCAAGCAGATCGAGTCATGCTATGAGCTGATCAACGATGTGTATGATCGCCATGTCGTCTCATTCCGCGGAGAAGAAAGCTCGTTGTTCTCGCTGGATACAAACAAGTGGACCGAACTCAATCACAGGGCCGACCCCGAGGCACCACTAATCGAGCCCATCCGTGCATCAGCCGTATATGCTCGTGGCAACATCTATGTGTTTGGAGGCGAAGGCGAGAACAGCAACAAATACACCCGCCACTCAATCTCGTTGATTCCAAACAAAATACCCTACAGTGGCGAGATGATTGGTACTCCAGGCGGCTCACAAATCTCGGCAGTCTACGATGGCACACTACATCTATCTCGTCGGTGGCTTGCGCAATGGCGATCCCACCGACGGCGTGTACCGCTTCGACATTGACACCCAGGAGTTTGCAACCGTTGGAGAACTTCAGAAGCCAACCGCATGGCCACTCCTCCATTACCACAACGACAACATCTATATGATTGGTGGCACAACTGCGACCAATGGACAGCACAAACAACTGCTCTCGTACAATGTGACCAAGCCTGCGACGCATGTACTTGTATCCGATCTCTTGGTGTCACAACTGCGTGGCAGTGCCAATGCAAGCGGCAACACCAGCACTCGTATATACTCCAGTTGCTTCGATGGCAGTGACAACATATACATCCTCATGGATGAATCATTCATAAGGTACAGGCTGTCGAACAAGGCAGCATTGTACCTGGCAACAGAACCAGCCATGCGTCACATGCTACACAGGACACTATTCCATCAGATGATATTTGATCAACAATCAAATAGTATAGTACATCTTGGCGGTGGCACTGGTAAGAACTATCGTTACTCTCTACAAGAAGATGCATGGACATTACTCCAAGATAACGATTACATCAATGATCGTTATGGATTTGCATCATGTTTAATAAGTAACAACAACCATAATAATAATAATAATAATAATAATAATAATAATAATAATGTGTAATAATAAACAAATAATACAATATGTACAGCATCCACACCATCACATACTATTTGGAACTATTCCCAATCAATCATTCACTCATTCAATCAATCAAACTTGTTAATAATGGGAACTTCGGCAAGTCAGGAACTCGTTTTTATAATTCAATTTAAATTAATTTTTTAGACAAGGGTAGGTTGGGGTTGGGCGAGTGGAGATAGACTTGATAGAGACCAAGCATCCTTCGCATACTGTTTACGCATCGATACATTCAGACACAGAGGATACTATACACAATGTCGCTCAAGTAAGCATCGATATATCGATATCAGCTATGATAGATTGATTGACACTGTTGGATGATTCGACGATATCAATCATCGCATTGGTCGATAGCCAACAGCAATCAATCTGTCTGTCAATCAATGACAAGTTCAATGTTCTAACATTATCATTGTACTCTTTATAGGTTACATTCAACAGGAGTCGTTTTGGGATACAGAAGGTTAGTAATCATTGATCGATATATCGAAATAACAGAACAGATGGACGATGACAGATCAGAATCGATATTATGGATTGATATGCGGATACATCGTTCCAGAACATCAGAGAAACATCAGCGAGATGAAGATTGATAGGAGACAGAAGAACAGGTATACTGATACAAGATAATCAATCAATCAATCATGATAACAATAGATCACAGGCCACCCAATACCCAAACATCTCTTTGGTCAAGATTGAGGGAGTCAACACCCGTACCGACTCTCGCTTCTACCTTGGCAAGCGTGTTTGTCTCGCTCGTCGTGTAAAGAAGACCCCAAAGAACCCACAGGGATACAAGATCATCTGGGGTAAGGTCAGCAAGTCACACGGAAGCAGCGGTGTCGTCCAAGCTCGTTTCCCACGCAACTTGCCACCAAAGGCCATGGGTGCCAAGGTCCGTGTTATGTTGTTCCCATCTTCCATCTAAAGTATTTAAATGGAATCTTGAAGAATAATAATAAATCCCCTGTTGTCGCGAACTTTACACTATAATCACAATCCATTCCTATTTGGATATTGAATGAATGGATGTATGAATCATAGACAACCTCTTGAGTCATAAATAACCAGCTCAGTATGGTTGGTAGTTTGTTGTTTCCATCTATCCAGGGTCCATGGTAATTAATTGTCCAAAGACAATGTCCACCATTGGATGAATGAAAGGGTGTTGTCGCAACAAGGAGTCGAGCAACAACAAAGCTTGACTTTAGTTGCTGAGTCACTGGCATGCCCACACTCGTGTGTTCATTCATTAATTCAACACTTCTCTCTCATTCATCACACCCTCTTGTTTGATTTAATATTATTTTTTATTTTTGAATCAGTCAGGGTATCATTTTGACCTCCCTCTGGTTTGTGGGATGTTCATCATACTCTTCATCAACATCACACCCTTACTACTCTCCCTCTCCTGACTCAACCCAACACCTCATTCATTCATTCAATCATCCATTCATACTTTAGTTATCATCATACTCATTCATTCATTCATTTGTTGTTATATTAATATACTTTATATATATATATATAGAGATCATTCCTTTTTAAGAATGTCAAAGTTAAAGGAGATTCAGAATCAGGCGACATTCGCTTGGAGTCCATTGGTGGATCGTGCTGACTTGATTGCAGCTGGAACTGTCACTGGTACGATTGGTGCAGACTTTGATACAACATCCAAGATTGAGTTGTACTCGATGGATATCACCAATGCCTCACCACAGATGACTCTAAAGGGTTCGGTCAGCGCTCCAAACAGATTCAACAAGATCGTTTGGTTGCCTGCCCATGCCGACCAGACCAATGGCCTAATCATTGGTGGTATGGAGAGTGGTGCTATTAGTATTTGGAATCCATCAAAGATATTGGAGTAAGCATTGATTGATTGATTGATCGATTGATTGATCACACCAGGATCTGACACATTCACAACTTACCAACCAACAGAGGATCAGATGACGCACTGATTGGAACTGGACAGAAGCATAATGGACCAGTACAAGCATTGGACTTTAACATTTACCAACCAAACTTGATTGCTTCAGGAGGTTCTGATTCAGAGGTATGATCACTCAGTCATTCAATCAATCGATCACTTGATCACTCAATCGATCAATCGACTAACTCACCAATCCAATCAATCATATAGTTGTTCATTTGGGATTTGTCCAATCCATCATCGCCATCAGCATATACACCAGGCACCAAGGTTGCCAACGCCAGCGACATCACCTCAATCTCATGGAACAGAAAGGTTCAACATGTAAGTTGATCAATCATCACACAGAAACACTTGAACCGAATGATTGACTGACTGACTGACTGATTGAAATTCTAGATTATTGCCACAGGATGTTACAATGGTACAACAGTGGTTTGGGATTTGAAGGCAAAGAAGTCGATCATCAACTTCACCGACAGAAATAGAAAGTGCAAAACTAGATCATTGCTCTGGAATCCAAACGAGGCCACTAGCATCGTCACAGCGTCAGAGGACGACGACTACCCCGTCATCCAGACATGGGATCTCAGAAACAATACTGCACCCCTCAAGACTTTGGAGGGCCACCGTCGTGGCATCTGGGGCATGTCATGGTGTCCAAGCGACAGCAGCCTATTGCTGTCCACTGGCAAGGACAACCGCACCCTTTGCTGGAACATCGACAAGGGTGAGATGCTGTGCGAGATCGAGTCGACTGGCGATGCTTCCACATGGAGCTTCGACGTCCAGTGGTCGCCACGCATCCCTGCCGTCTTTGCCACATCGTCATTCGGTGGAAACATCAACGCCTACTCGATGCAGGACGTCAGCGCCCGCAACGTTCAAGCGAGCGCCAACTCGCTCGGAGTCGTCGAGCCCCAGGCCGCACCAGTCTTTAAGCACACCCCATCCTGGTTGCGCCGTCCCGTCGGTGCCGCCTTTGGCTTTGGTGGCAAGATCGCAGTGTTTGGCCGCAAGAAGCCAACTGCCGGAGGCAGTCCACAGGTTGGCGCTTCGACCCCAGTGGCCGGCCAGCGCGTCATCCGCATCTCCAAGGTGGTGACCGATGTCGACCTGCAACAGAGAACACAGCGTCTGGAGAGTGTGTTGAAGACACGCGAGTACGAGCAGTTCTGTGACGAGAAGATTGCTGCATCGTCCACACCAGAGGAGCGCGCTACTTGGGGCTTCCTCAAGGTGCTCTTTGACGAGTCCAGCAGGAAGAAGATCCTCAACTATCTTGGCCACGACGTCGAGACCACCAAGCAGGAGCTCCAATCATTCCTTAAGACTCTGCCAGAGCTCAAGCTCACTGGAGACAAGCAGCAACCAAAGCAGGAGCAGGAGCAGCCACAACAAGATGGCGACCAACAACAGCAACAGGAGGGCGCCGAGACGACAGAGACATCCAATGGTGAGAAGAAGGACGTATTCAATCTGTTCAAGTCCTCTACAGATGAGTTCCCATCAGACTTTGTCAAGACACTTAATGTGACACCAATCGAGTTCCCTGCTGAGGGTGACGAGAAGCAGATCACCAAGTCACTGCTAATTGGCGACTTTTCGACGGCGGTCGAGTGCTGCCTGCGTCTGGGACGCATGGCTGACGCACTGATTCTGGCGTCGTGCGGCAGCACCGAGCTCTGGAAGAAGACACAGCAGGCCTACTTTGAGATTGAGCAGCGCGCATTCACCCGCGTGCTTAGCTGCATTGCCCGCGAGGACTTTGCCACACTTGTGCAGACCACCGATCTGAAGGACTGGCGCTCAACCCTGTCGGTGCTGTGCACCTACGGCACTGAGGAGAACTTTAAGTCTCTGGCCGGCGTGCTGGGAGACCGTCTGGACGCCGCCAACGACACAGAGGGCGCCACACTCTGCTACATCTGTGCCTGCGACATTGACAAGACCGTCAACATCTGGACGCGCTCGCAACACGGCAAGGAGTCGAACAACCGCGACCTCTTAAACCTCATCGAAAAGGTGTCCATCTTTAGAAGCGCTACCAACTCGATCACACTCTCCAACGACACCTTGGCAACCAAGTACTCGAGATACGCCGAGATCCTGGCGTCGCAGGGCGACCTGTCCGACTCGTTGCGTTACCTCTCTGCACTCAGCTCGTCGCACCCAACCACCGATGTGTCTGGTGCCGTTCTCCTGGACCGTGTCTATCGCTCGGCCACAAACGTCCAAGGCATTGCACAGCCACAATTCCCCTTCCAGGTGGTCCCAGTCTATCCCTCTGGCGGCGCACCAAGACCACAACAGGTACCACAACAGAACATTCAGAACCAAGGTCAATTTGGTCAGCATCCACCACACCCACAACAACAGCAGTTCAACAAGCCTCCAGCCTTTGGCAACCAACCACCAATGCCTTTCGTTGGACATCAACCACAGACACACAACTTCAACCCTTCACTGCCAGGCGTCAATCACATGCCACCCCAGCCAATGGCTCACCAACAACAACCAGTCCATCCCATTACACACCATGTACCACCACCTCCCACATCTCACAACGTCGCTCCGCCATCAATGCACTCTGTTCCACCACCACAACACCAGCCACATGTCCAGCCACCACAAACATCGCACGTCCATCCACCAATGACCCACAACGTGCCTCCATCAGTCGGTGGCATGCCCCCAATGCCAACTGCACCAACCACCAATCAGTTCATGAACCCAACTCCACCACTCATGTCGCAGCATCCAACAGCACCACCTCCCATGATGGGCGGCGGCCAGTTTGCCGCGCCACCTCCATCGATGGGCCACGTCGGACACCCACCAATGACAACGAACCAGGTCGTCCCACCATCGCAACAAATGCCACCATCACCCGTCCACGCTGTGCCACCTCCCCACTCACCACCCCAAGCATCCACTCCACCTCCCCCAGTTTCCGCCGTGGCGCCACTCAGTGCTGCCAGACCCGGTGGCGAGGCTTTCCCACAGCCACCACCCAAGCCCAACGTGCACAACATCCAGGCCACCAACCTGGAGCCAGCAGTCGCTGCAGATATGACCGCCAAGATTACCCAGCTGACCGACTTGCTCAACTCGTCACTGCAGAACCTCTTGAGTCGTGGCGCCAACAAGCAGAAATGGGAGGATGCCAGCAAGCGTGTGCAGACACTCATTGCCAAGATGGCCAAGAACGAGCTGTCGCCACTGGCCATCCAGGCGTTGGAGGGCGTGATCATCTCGATCTCCCAGGGCGAGTTCAGCACGGCCAGCAACAAATACATACAGATTACATCGACATCCTACTGGAACGAGATCGGATCACAGGCAATGGTTGGACTGAAGCGTATCATCGATTTGGGCATGAAGCCAAACTAAAGTAATTGATTGATCGATCTACACACAACTCCCATATTCCGATGTCGACACAAACACTCCCTCAACAACCTCCAACTCAATCATCACAGACCCATCCATCCATCATCAACATTTAACTCAATAAACCAAATAATAATAATAGTTATAAACTAAAGTTTAATTATACATGGAACTAATTTGGATTGAATTGGGTTGGATTGGATTACATTGATTGATTGATTGATTGAATGTACAGTGTTGGTACAACATGATGGTCGAGGTCAGGAGGTAGAGACTTATATGATCTCAATGTTCCTGATCCAGATCTGAGCAGGCTCACTCAACTTGGCAATGTAACCAAAAGTACAATTCTGACCAGATAATAGAGAGCTTTGATATGATGGGAATGAGATACCCTTCTCACCTTGCTTGGCTCCCCACAATTGAGTTTGATATGGCTTAAGTTGAGAATCATCGACCATAATATCATTCAAAAGAGCAGATCCAACATTAGTAACAACCACCTCGACTCTAACATAGTCTGTTCCTTCCTGGTTCCAACTATTTGTTACATATTGATCCATAATAATTCTATCAACAACAGATTCTAGAAATTAAAAATAATTATTAATAATTATATTATTAATTTATGATTGATGATTGATCCAGGATAGTACTTACCACTACACAGGTAGTATGGACGCAAGGGAGTGAGGAAACAGGTCCAGTATATTCCACATACAAGTGGTCCACAAGTAAAGTAAGCTGTGGAAACAGACATTAACGTAGCCAAAAGCACTAGAGTAATTATTATCTTCATTATTATTATTATTATTAATAGTATACAATATTTGTTATATTATTCAATTAATCAAACAAAACAAACCAAGTATAAATAGTGATTTGGAGTTGATTTATGATCCAAGGTAGCTTTGTAGACTCAACAAAACATGTTTAAATTAGTTGTAACACCTAATAATCAATGGGATCATCAACTCTAACACCATCAGCATCATCAGTATCACCATCATCAACACCAATGGTCATTGTGATTGAATGAATTGTAATAAATTTAATTATATAATTGACAACGGACTCTCACTGATCTGGCACCACAGGGTTACGCATCCATCTGATCATTGACCAAACATGTCCATCATCAACCAGCAGGCTCGGCTGAAAGTTGGAATATATATATAATTATGGGTCTGGACATCAAGTTTGAATATATATATATATAATTCAATCTCCAAATAGCAACAACAACAACATCAACAGGATCAGATTGTTGAGCTCAAGACGTCAGACATACCCCACCAATCTGGTATCAATGCCTGTCGAATGTTAACATTCAATCACTAATTATGGACGTCCAGTATACATTCACGATGTAACTCATGAACAGTTAACCTGAACACGTGTGCCCATCGTCCACCACATATGATCATTGACATTCGCAGGACGATAACCACATCGAAGCAACTGGCAATATGATTGTGAGGTGTGTGTTGTGTGTGTGTGTGTGTGTGATATATGTTTGATTGTGGAATGGGTGTTTGATTGTGATTGATCGTTGATGGTATTGTCATTCTCCAATATCAATCAATGAGAATGACGAGACGAGTGAAAGAAGAGAAACAAATTAATTAATTGATATCCAAATTGACAACAAGAAATAGAATTCTTGATTAGAATGAAATTGCCTATTATCCACGTCATTCACAAGCTCATGAAGGGAGAGAGTGAACATCAGTTCGCTTCTGAAGCAAGTTTGAAAGAGAGGCGAATAGTTCTAATGTAATGTCGCATTATCCAATCATTGAATGACCTTCGCTTCCTTGTTGTTTGTTTAAACAAACTATTCTGTCTTCGTACGTAGGCATACGAATAATAATAATAGAATGGTGATGAAAGTGAAGAGAAGGTGAATGTGAGCGATGCTTCTGAATCCCATTCGAACCACACTAATTCGCTGCTCGAAGGTGAAATGGAATGATTCGTGACGTTTGTTGGGGGGGATGCGCGAATGCTTTTGCAAAAAAGAAAAGATCGACAAGAGAACATGAGGAATGATCATGGGTTTCAATTTGATCGATTGTCTCAATCTCCAAAGGATTTAAAAGGATGAACTCAAAGTCATTATCAATCATCATAATAATCACAACAATCTAAAGATATAATCTTATAATCAATCAATCAAATATACACTAATACTAAAATGACCAAGCCAACTTTGACTTATGTATGTTCTCCTCCTCCACCCATCCATTCAATCAATTAATCAATCACAAACTAACATTCACCAAACATTAATATAGTTCAACGGAAGAGGACTCGGAGAGGTTACCAGACTTATTCTCACATTTGTGAATGTCGAGTTCAATGATGTTAGAGTTGATAAGATCCCAGACGAGTTGAAGGCTACTCTGCCATTCGGTCAATTGCCACTTTTCGAGGATGGAATCGTCAGATTGGCCCAGTCCTCATCAATTGCTAGATACGTTGCCAACAAGCACAACTTTGCTGGTGCCAACGCCGCCGAGAAGGCCTTGGCCGACAGCTTTGTCGACAGTGCCTCTGATGTCATTACCCCATACAGAAACGCCACTGATGATGCCAAGAAGGAGAAGTTCAGAACTGAGACCCTGCCAAAGTTCCTCGCCATCTGGGAGAAGACATTGACTGCCAATGGTGGAAAGCACTTTGTTGGCGCCAACTACACATGGGCTGATGTTGCCATCTACAACGCACTTTACGTCCTCTCGATCAATGGTTATGAAGATGTCATCAAGAGTCACACCACTGTCCAAGGTTTCAGCGCTGCCTTCGAGGCTGTCCCACAGATTGCTGCCTACCTAAAGGTTCGTCCAGCTTCCCAGTTCTAAAGAGTTGCACTTTTACATCTCTCCATGTGATATATAATAAATAAATAATAATATATTTTAAATTACATCTTACTCGAGTTAATAAAGCAGGGTATATGAAAGAATGTATCACCTACCAAAGTATATTTAGGTGATATCTTTGGGTAAACTTTTGACTTAGGTTGTTGTTATTCTGTCTGGACAACCAATGTATCTTGGAAAGGGCAAGAGTAATTCCCTATGGGAATGACCAAGGTGCTAATTACTTTAATTGGTGAGCACTTTGGACCCAAACCAATATATCTATTGTCTAAGGCTATCAAGGTTAATTTGTATTATGTGAGGAATAAAGTTGTAGGCTTTAAAATTATTTTCTTTAAAACCTACCCTCCGGATGGTATCTAAAATTGTTTTGGTTAAAAATATTTTCGACATAAAACCGTTGAATAAAATTTTTATTTCACAGTTGCCCGGATAGCTCAGTCGGTAGAGCGCACGGCTCTTAACCGTGTGGTCGGGGGTTCGAGCCCCCCTTTGGGCGTAACTTTTATTTTAGCCTTTAAAGTTTTTTTATGCTCTTTTGCCCAACTTGTAGGTACCGTTTACAATTGATAATATCATTTTTATTGAACAATATTAGTATTGCTATATAGTCTGGAAAAGAGTCTATCTTTTAATATTATTTTTATTTCTCAAACTATAAATTAGTTATCCTAAATAATATGTACAAATTGATTGATTATTATTACTTTTCCTCAAAAAATACAATCTTTTTGACATCATTACAAGATTATATTGTCGATCAAACTATGTTGTCCGGTTGATGTTTGAGACAAGAGAATAAAGCCACTCACTGAGTCTTTTAACAAACTACTTAACCAAGTGTCATTCAATCATTAATCATTTAATTAAAAAGTCGACTTGAACATAAAAACGAACGACAAAAATTTCAATCCCCATTCGTCTAATCAATCACCTTCGTCTTTAAAAACAAATAGATAGATATACAAAGAAGATGTCAGCAGATACTACAGCAACAGCCAATAGAAGATTCGAGGATCTACATCTTGCACCTTGGTTATTGTCAAGTTGCAAGCAACTTGGATTCAAGGCCCCATCGAACATTCAATACAACACCATCCCAAAGATTCTAGAGGGACGCGATATACTTGCCAGTGCAAAGACTGGACAGGGAAAGACGGCGGCATTCGCCTTGCCCATCCTCTCAAAGCTCTCTGAAGACCCTTACGGTGTGTTTGCAATCGTCCTAACGCCAACACGTGAGCTTGCCGTTCAGATTGGCGAGCAGTTCAATGCACTGGGCTCGGCGATCAACATCAATTGCTGCGTAGTCATTGGAGGCATTGACAATGTATCACAGTCACTCATACTCGAGAAGCGTCCACATATCATCGTTGCAACACCAGGTCGTCTTGCAGCACATCTCACCAATGGACTCAAGATATCACTTCAATTCTGTCGATTCCTCGTTCTAGACGAGGCTGATCGTATGCTTGGTGCAGACTTTGAACTCGAAGTACAGGTATGTCTACACTCATTGAGATACCATGGTCTACCTGTCTAGTCTAACTCACAATCAATCAACAGAAAATAGCAGAGCATCTACCAAAGGATATTCAGGTGATGCTGTACTCTGCCACAATGACTAACAATGAGAAGAAACTGGGTATCATTGAGCTCAAGAATCCATTCACATACGAAGATAACTCAAAGTATGTTGATTGATTTCGAGTGACCTTGAGGTCGACGCTAACTCCAACTCACTAAATCAATCAAATCATATTAGATACGATACAGTTGATACTTTGAAGCAAGAGTATATATTTATGCCTGCACAGGCAAAGGATTGCTACTTGGTTTATTTGTTGAAGAAGCATGAGAGGAGTTCTGTGATTGTCTTTGTAAACAATTGTAGAACTGTGGAGTCTGTCAAGGGAATGTTGAACAAGTTGGACATCAAGACCGTGTCACTGCACTCATTCCTCTCTCAAAAGGATCGTCTCAACGCACTGAAACAGTTCAAGTCTGGAAAGATCAGAGTGTTGGTAGCCACTGATGTGGCCAGTCGGTAAGTATTTTGATTGGACGGAAGTGAAATAGTTCCAGTCATGATACTAACTACATACGTACGTACTTATAGTGGATTGGATATACCAGATGTACAGATAGTAGTCAATTATAAGTTGTCCAACTCATCAAAGGACTATATTCACAGAGTTGGAAGAACAGCTAGATTTGGAAGGAGTGGACGTGCGATATCATTCGTCACACCTCATGACGTGGAGCTGGTACAGAATGTTGAGAAGGCCATTGGCAAGCAGATGGAATTGTATCAAACCAATGACGATGAGGTCTTTAGGCATTTGAACGAGGCTTCAACTGCCAGGAAGATGGTGGAAATTGTAAGTCACAAACTGATTGATTGGAATAGTTCCATGATGATGATGACTAACATTCACATATATTATAGTTCTTGGACGAAATTGAGTTTGGAGTCAAGGAGAAAGAGAGAAGAGATGAGAGGAATGAGATACAGAAGGAGTTGTTGGATGCAAAGGAAAGGAAAGCTCAAACTGCTAATGCTGATACATCAACATCATCAACTCAATCGACCAAGACCAACAAGAAGAAGACAATCGTTACAAAGACCAAGGCTGGTACAACACCCAAACAATCATCTGCCGCCCCAATACCTGCTGCCCCTGCTACCACAACCACTACCACCACAACAACATCCACAAAGAAAAGGACGACAGAGAGCAGAGATCATGATGATGACGAAGGAGGTATATCTTTATTCAAGAAGAAGAGGACAACAAAGAAATAAAGAAAGTATAGTACAGTAATACTATCACGTGGGGATTGGTGGATGGTTGCTTATGGATGGACTGAGGCAGATGCTGGTGATACAGTGAGGTTGGCCATTGATGCCTCGACTGGTGCCATTGGTGCTACGATTGGAGCAACAGAGACCATTGGTTGTGGAGGTGGGACATACACTCTGGGTGGATTGGCAAAGATGGAGAAGAAGTCCACATACTTCATAAATTGTGTTGGGACCTCCTTGAGCACCTCCTCAGCCAGCAGATGGAATGGCTTGTCCTTGAAATCATTCATCGAAACGAATTGAACAACGTCTCTCCTAGCCTCATGGAGACCATCAGTCAACTTCTTTCCATCATGATCCAACTCATGCATGTTATCAAAGTTGGCATTACCAACTCCAACAATGATGATGGATATTGGACTATGGTTGGCGGCATTGATGACCTCCCTGACGGTATCCAACATATCATTGATGGCACCATCAGTGATGATCATGAGGATGGTATACTTTTGGTTGTCCTGTTTCATCTCGACATCCAATCTAACCTTCTCAATGAGTGGAGCGAACTTTGTTGGTCCACTAAGCTCCACACGTGTAATGTTCTGATAGTATGTATCCAGGACACCCTCTACTCCACGTGCCCTTGGCTATGTGAATGAACGAATGAGTGAGTGATTGAGTGAATGAATGAGCTAGGGTTACTTACATCTTGGGTAAGGTTCATTGGGAAACAATGGGATGTATCATTGCGGCCGGGTGGGACAGCACCGAATCCATAGGTTGGGATCCATCCATCAAAGTCGTAGGGAGCAAGAGCATTGCCAACAGAGACGATGGCGTTGGCGTATGGGTTGGGGACGGTCGGGTGCTTGTAGTGAAGACTGCTGGGTGAGGTTGGTGATTGATTGCTGGCAGTGCAATCGATGGCCACTGTCAACTCCAATTGACAACCTCCGTACAAGTAGTCAATGAACTGTGCATCACTTCTATACATTATCGCCTTGGTGATTACAATTGTTCCAGAGTTCTTGTAACTTGACTTCTTCTCCTTCTTCTTCTGGTTCACAAGATCAAACAATGCCACGTTGGATCCGTTTGCCAAGATGTGTTCGGTAGTAGTCTGTTATATGAGGGGAAGGGATGGTTCCAAGTTAGTCTTTGAATGATTGAGTGAGTGGAATTATTCCAAAACACATACAACGAATGAACCGATAAAGTCATGTGCTCCAACAGAGTCGTAGTCGTAGAAGTTGAAGAGTAGCTCTCTGCGTAGGTCTCCACCGGTAAGGTCATCCAATGGCATCTGGATCTGCCTGTACTTTGGATCAAGGGTGTTCATTATGGTCTCACTTTTGTAGACTTGGGAGAAGCCATCGGCCGAACGCTTTGAGATTGTGAAGTACGGATCAGTCTTGCCAAATAGATCCTTCTTATCCAGCTTCTGACCCTCGACACAGAATCTAATGTTCTGCTTTGATCCACTGGTCATTTCTGATTTGACCGTTATAGTTCCGGCCTTGTGCATACTCTTGGACATCAACTGGAGTTGGACAGTGGCACCTGGACTCGAGATGATATTGGCCAACGTGCACTCAGCCTTTCCAATCAGATCATCCTCCTTGTCCGTGGGGTCATAGTCAACGTCCATAACGACAAACTTCAAGTATTGAGTTTGCTCAAAGTAGTAGTCTTGATTGATTGAGTAAGAATGATGCGATATGATATGATATGGTTGAGTGCGTAGTGTAACATACCAACAAAGACAGCAGTGTTGAACTGTGGATTGAGAGAGTTGTTGATCTTCTCAGTCCTTCCAATGAGCTTTGGTGGCTGAGTTGGTACATTGCAGTATACAAACACCTGAGGGTCAGACTTTGAGAAGGTGTCCTTGTTGGTCAAGCCCTTGCATGATATTCTCAGCTCAACCTTTGCTGTTGGTTTAGATGTAGTTGACATTTGATTATATGATTGGTTGAATGATTATTACTTTACAATGTGTAGTTGTAATAAGGAGATTAGAGTGTTGTTTGAATATTTATAAGTGACTGATGACATGGACATGAAACCGGGGAGATCTTGATGTCACCTATTCAGACGAGACAGACCCGATGGTTGATGGATACTTTGATCTGTCCAACCCACACCCCAACTTTGTGTTGATCAAAAATTGGAAACAAAGTTAAAGATCTTGATTTTGATCGATAAAGTGATTGTGTCTTGTGGACACCAGGGAAAACATCAAATGACGGGCATCTACACAATACCGAACAAGTCCAAGTTCTCGAAACCTAAGAATAATATAAAATATCTCCGTAGAGATAGAATATCATGTTGATTACATTCAATTAATGATCCTTTGACTAAAATAGATTAGATCAGAAAACAGAAGTTCGAGATAACCACGATGAAACTTCATGGGCTTCTGAAAAGATGTTGATGATTTTGAAGTGCACTTCACTCAAGAGTTCATTCATTCGAATGAATCTGATCAAGTTATATAAATATGGACATCAACAAAAGTAGTAGTAGTAGTAGTAGGAGTACTACCAATCGCAATAGTAATAGTATAGTTGATAGAGTTTGGCAAAGAATAGATCAGAGTACATTGACATTTGTTGTCATTGCATTGGTACTGAGATGTATAAATTCAGTGTTGATAATCACCTACTTTGATCCCGATGAGTATTGGCAGAGTCTTGAAGTGGCACATCATTCAGTCTTTGGCTATGGCTATCTAACATGGGAGTGGGATGTCAAGATTCGAAGTTTCATGCATCCTTCAATCTACGCTGCTCTCTTCCACTTGCTCAAACTACTAAATATAGATACTCCATACCTTGTTGTAAGTTGTTGGTCCACCGCACTCATGGAATCATTCCATTCAATCAATCATTCAATCAATCAATCAATCAATCAATCAACTAACTTGATTCATTCATCAAACAAAGTATATTACACCAAAGTTGCTCAGTGGAGTTGCTGTCGCTGTTTGTGACGTCTATTTGTATAAGCTGGCCAATTCAATGTTTGGACAACAAGTTGCAAAGTGGACGGTACGTTGGACATCCCTCATTCATTCCCAGTAACGACCATCATCCCTTACTAACCAACCCATCAATCATCAGCTGATATGTCACTATATGTCATGGTATACATTCGTATGTTTGGTACGATCATACTCCAACTCAATCGAGACCATCTTGTTTGTCATATCTCTATACTATTGGCCACTACCTGGAAAGGTTCAGTATGTATCCAATATCTTTGTTATCCATGTCCTTCACTAACATACTGCCACTGCCATATGACTAAAGGCCAAACGAGAAGAACTACCGAGTATTCAATAATATACAGATCACTGTTATTATTACTACGATTGCATTTATGATTAGACCAACTACTGCATTGATGTGGCTGTACTTGGTACCATTATACATGTTGACGTCAATAAGATCGATGAAACAATTGGTTCAATTCCTGTTCAGAGATGTATTGCTTGCGGCATCGATCACACTGGCCATGGTCATTGTCGTGGACTATTGTTTCTACAAGGAGATCACATTGGTACCATACAACTTCCTATACTACAACATTGTACGCAACTTCTCTGCACTCTACGGTACACATCCATTCCACTGGTACTTCACCAATGCACTGCCTGTAGTTGCATTCACTCTCTTACCATTGGTCATACTCGGTTGTCAAAGATTATATACAGTTCAACAAAGAGGAGGAGGTGGAGGAGCGAACAGATTACACTTGGTGGGAGTCACATTGGTCACCGTAACATTGTACAGTTGTCTTGCACACAAAGAGTTTAGATTCATCTTCCCCATTGTACCATTGATGATGATCTACGCTGGTTATTATATTAGTACAAGTGTTGATCAACAGCCAATCACTACAATCGTTGCAAATACTGGTACGGCTGCCCCTGCCAAGACCAGAGGTATCAAGAATCACAAGGCAATATTATTATTATTATTGCTAAACATACCGATGGCTATGTTCTTTGCACACTTTCATCAACGATCACCAATCGATGTGATGCATTACATCAGAGAGGAGATATCACCCAATCATCAGACCAACTCAACATCAGCCTCCATCCATTTCATTATGTCCTGTCATGCCACTCCCTACCAAAGCTATGTACACAATCCACACCTGTCACTGAAGATCCTCGAGTGTCCTCCGCCGTATGTACATACTTAACATAATATTCCTGGAAGGATGGAATACCAAGAATCCATACTAACACTTCACCCAACCAGATTGAACGAAGAGGATGGAATGAATGAGAGAGACTTATTTAGTGATAATCCTCAGAGATACTTCATTGGAACATATATTTCTTCGGATGGTGATAATGCAAAGTCATTGTTCAAACATCATGCACTTCCAGAATACTTTGTATTGCGCCATGACTATATTCCAGTGTTTGAAGAGGTGACACAAGTGTCCAGTCACTATCAACATATTGCCACACTTACCAATGGCCTCGATATCACCAGCACCTCAGTCTATCAACGACTTCGTACAGATACACCATCACGTGTCTGACCAACGAATGGATCTACACTCCCCCTTCAAGCCAAACGCTTAGAAACACGTTAGAAGATATTCCATACCCATACCACCTTTAGTGATGTGAATGGAATAAATAGGGGTGGGGAAACGGACAACAGACCGGGACATCTGATCAATAACAGATAGCTAATACACACTAACTCACTTAGTGCGCTCTACTCAATCAATCAAACACTGAAGTGGGGGTAATGAGGTGGTAAACATACCCCCTATGATTTGTTTTGATTTGTTTGTTTATTTTTTTATCGATTCACACAACAAACCCACTTTTCAAACATTAAAATGGTATTGGTATATTTGATTGTTGAGTTTTGTTTTTATTCATTCATTCATCCATTCCATTCAGATACACACTTATACATACATACACATATATAACTTATTATTTATATATATATATACATTTATATATATATTTATTTAATTGTTGTCTATAACAACAAACATACAAACACATTCATTCATTCATCCATTGCTTGTTAAATTAATTAAATATAATTAATTATATCTATCCCTGTATCTAGTTATAACCTTATATATACATTTATATAAATATATTATCTCAATACAATGTTAAAGTTAACAAAGAGGAATCACTTTGATGCGTTCTCTACTCAAGAGACATCATCACCATCGCCATTTGCTTTTGCACAGTTGCAACAGAATCAGCTGAAGCAGCAGAATCCATTCGGCGCTCAATCATCTTTGATTTATCAACAGCAGCAACATCAACAGCAGCAACAGCAATTCCAACAACAGCAACAGCAACAGCAACAACAACAACAGTCATCTGAGCAGCAGCAACAACAGAATAATTATCAAATAGATAGTGCACCACTCAAGAGAACTAGATTGAGTAATAACACTGCGTCAACCACCAAATCTGATTATTCCTTCTTCAACAACGTCGCCAGTCCCATCACAGATATTGTATTAAGTCTAGACAGGATAAAGCCCAGCAACAAGCAACAACCAATCAAACAACCACAACAACCAATACAATTCTCATCAAACTCACAACAACTAAACATTAACAACAACAGTAATACTACCAACAACAACAACAACAGCGTCAACAACAATAACAATAACAATAGCAGTAACAACGACAAATTATTTACATTAGAAGAGGTCAAACATATTATAAAGTTGGCACTCGAGGAGCATGAGGCCAAGATGCGTAGAGAGTATGAGAGCATCGTACAGACAAAGCTTATGGAGCAGTTCCAGTGCTTCTCAAAGTACAACGAGGACTACATATCAAGACAGGTTCGCGATAGTGAATTCAGTTATATGTCCTAAGTCAACCAACATTGTACTTCACACACAACTTAATAATAATAATAATAATAGTAATAATAGCTACAGCAGCAATAACTAGTTATTATCATAATATGTAGAGACAAGTAAACAACCGAGTCAGTCGTTCAGCAGCGTAGAAACAAGTGGTGCATTAGCATTGCTATTTCTACATTGCAGCTAGCTAGAAGCAGCAACAACCATTCCAGACCCCGACCATTTAGTAGTAGTTGGCCACCACCTCCGCCGTCTGTTCCACCTAGATCTACTGTCCATGACCAATGTGCAAATGAACCATTAAGATATGTGATCGTAACAACATCCATAACATTAATAAACAACTTTAGTACATTGAACAAGGAATATATTTATAACATCTTATCATTTATTTATTGATTGTACCTGTTCCACCTTGATCACCTTACAGATTGAACGAATAATACATCTTCGATTTGAGCGACTTTTCGAAACGTCCAAACAACCCAACACCCATAATTCCATGATCAATGCAATGCAAGTCATCATTCATTCATTAATCTACTTTAAGTTAATTAATTAAACATCATATCCCTGAGTAAACAAATACATATATCCTATATCTATATCTATATATATATATCAATGATGTCCAGTCAATCACCATCATCAACGTCAACGTTGTCAACATCATCCAGCATCATCAACAATGGCATCGGACATTATTGTGTACACTCTGATGTTAACAACAATAACAATAACAATCATAATGAACATAATAATACAACAACAACATCATCATCAACATCAACAACATCAGCGGGACAAGATAAGGCCAAACGTGTATGTCCACATCTAAAGACATTCAAGACTAAAGACAATGGACTGGCATCACTTGCAATCATCATGAGGTATCTGGCTATGTCCAGGAGTGGCGTAGTAGACTCATCAAAGGTATGTATCAATCATCATCATCATTATCATTGTCATTGACATTCAATGTAGCTGACATGTATACTCGTAACATTAGTTGTCGATACCTAGTTGTGTAGAATGTCATTGCTTCAATGGACGTATTCATCTGTGTCTGCACTGCGTGTATGCTGGTTGTTGGCGGCAGCAACATATGATCAAACACTTCCAGGAGACAGGACATTGTCTGGCGATAGACTCCACCACCTATCAACTCTACTGTCACTCTTGCTCCGACTACATCTATGACAACGAATGTGACGAACTACTCGAAGACACTCAACTAAACATTACACTACTATTACAAGATCTAACAAGTAAGTGCTCATAGCATTCATTCAATCATTCATAATGCTGACCGTTGTATGTACGAACTTAGACCCAACATCCAAGCGAGTAAAGTATCGCGTATGGAAGCCAACATCGAAGGAGTCCAGTCTCATTCAAACAAACTCAAACTATAACGCATCAGCATGGCTTGGTCTACGAGGACTGAACAACCTTGGCAACACGTATGAGATCGAGCCAGCATTCAACATGTCACGTGATACTTACCTCTGACACTTCATTCATTCAAACAAACAAACAGATGCTTCATGAATGTAATATTACAATCGTTCATACATAATCCACTGTTGCGTAATTACTTCCTAAGTGATATGCACAGTAACAACAAATGTGAGAAGAGAAGAGATCGCGAGATCCTACATCATCAACAACAACAGAGTCAGGACAGCACGAGTGATGATGGCGAGTCATCACACGTGTCTGTGTCGTCGGCACAATCAGGGTCCACCACTGGCAGCAGCAACGGCAACGGTGGCAACAATGGCAACGGTGGCAGCAATGGCAGTGGCAATGGCAATGGAAGAGCGTTGGCAGCAACAACACCAATGCCCACATGTTTGGGCTGCGAGATGGACATACTGTTCACACATGTGTTTAGCGGCATGAAGAATCCATACACTCCACATCACTTCCTGTACAGTTGTTGGAGTTACTCAAACTACTTGGCGTCGTACGAGCAGCAAGACGCCCATGAATTCCTCATCTCGGCGCTCAATGGTATCCACACGCATTGTGGCGGCACACACAACAAGGACTGCAACTGCATCATACACTGCACGTTTGGCGGTCTGTTACGATCAGAGGTCAAGTGCACATCGTGCAACTTCACGTCGTCCATCACCGACCCTTTCATTGACATCAGTCTGGACATACCAAAGAGCCATGCCAGCAGCACGGCACATCATCACCGACATTCCTCATCCGATGACAATCATGGCAATCATGGCAACAACACATCCAATGGCAATGGAGTTGATAGAGGACACAACACATTGTTATCATGTTTGGAGAGGTGAGTGTCGTTGGTCACATGATGATACGTCGACGACGACATTGGAACTAACTAATTCAATCAAACAGATTCACACAACCAGAGAAGTTGGACGACAAGTACTTTTGTAGACGATGTAATACCAAGCAGGACTCGACCAAACAGTTGTCATTCGATACACTTCCAGTGGTGTTTTGTTTCCATCTGAAACGATTCGATCAATCAAAGAAACGAACACACAAGATTGACACATTTATCGAGTTCCCTCAGATATTGGACATGAGTCCTTATACATCCACTCATAAGAAGTATGTTACACCATGGTGTCAAATGCAATTCTAATGGTATCCATCCAACCAGGAACAAACAACACTGACACACTGACACATAATCATCACAGGAAAAGCCTAAAGAGGAAGCATAGCGAGATTAATGTTGAACCTCAACAACAATGTACAGATGAACAGACCAATGGAAAGGTGGAGGATGAGGCAATGATCGATCAGAATACGACATCAAAAACAACAACCAACGAGAAAGATACAGAGACAGAGACAACAGAGACAACAGAGACAACAGAGCAAACAACAGAGATATTACCAACACTGCATGATGACAACTATACATATGAACTGTTTGCAGTGGTCAATCACACTGGAAAGATGGATGGAGGTCATTACACATGCTATGTCAAACACAATGAGAGATGGTTCAAATGTGATGACTCTATCATATCAAACGCATCACTCTACAATGTTATTCAAAGCAAAGGGTAACTACATATTAATCTATCTTTGGCAATATTGTTTGGACCAATTCGCACATTTACTTACACCATACATCCATCCATCCTAGGTATCTTTTATTCTATATGAAGAAACAACTGGAATATAGAAAGTCAACACCATCCAAGACGATACCAACTGTTGTTTAATCAACAACAACAATGTAGAGATATAAATATATTGACACCAAACCAGACCTTGTTCCAACAAGTCTTTCAAGGGGTTGAGCGGGGAATGGGGACTTGGGATTGAAAGGTGTGAGTGCGTTAATGGGTTAGACCTGGTCCATCGATAAATTGAGGTTGACCCCTTCAAACTCTGATTCTTTTAATTAAAAAAGTGAACAGAGATATATAATACATTGTTATAACATTACTATACTTAGGTACATACAGAAACTTAACAAACTTGTTGTTGATAGATTAATAGAAGAGATAAAGGAATGTCCACTTCACAAAACACAACAGATGTTGCCAATGAACATATGGTTGCCTATTGCTTTGACACATTGATCAATCATTATGATGCAACTAAACTGAATACACCTACATTTACCAATGATCCTTAGTATGTATGATATGTGATATCATATATAGGGTACACTAACTAACTTTAATCATAGTCCTTTGTTTGTTACATGGAAGATTGACGCTAGAGGCAATGGAGACTATGACCTTAGAGGTTGTATTGGTACCTTCCAAGCACAGCCATTGATTCAAACATTGAATAACTATGCATTGACAAGGTATGTCCATCACTCAATCAACTCATCTATCAACTTAACTCACTCCAAACAACCTGATATAGTGCTTTGAAGGATCACCGTTTCAAACCAATACCTCAGAAGGATTTACCTAAACTAAAGTGCTCAGTGTCATTGTTGGTGGACTTTGAGGACGCCAAGGATTGTTGGGATTGGGAGGTCGGTGTACATGGCATATGGATTGAGTTTAGAGATGCCAGCAATACAAAGCTCAATGCTACCTACCTACCAGAGGTGATGCCAGAGCAAGAGTGGACAAAGGAAGAGGCACTCAAGTCACTAGTTAGAAAAGCTGGCTACAATGGAAAAGTGGACGAACAGTTGCTACAGCGAATCAAACTCACAAGATATCAATCATCCAAAAGTGCAATGACCTATGCTCAATATCTCGAGCACAAGAAGTCTCAACGACAGTAATCATTGGTTCCCAAACACATAGTAGCGCATCAACATCAATGTTCCACATCCTTTGGCACCAACAAGTAGTCATAGAGTCTCTCGCACATTGGATATGCCATTCATTCGTTCGTTCATTCAATCATTCAATGAACTCCCCCTGTTTCTTTCTGTACAATACCAATAACAACAAGCGCATAAATGATGACACGTAATTCCAAATGGAACGCACGTGTATATTTATTAAGGATAATCCTTTGGGAATGAGTGTTCCGAATCGATAAGCTTGTAAAGTCTTCCAGGTCACTCTTTTGTTGTTGACCTGGTCTTTCCGATTTAAATGTACATGTCCAAAGCCTCCTCCTCGTGGTCCACCTTCAACAAGATGACAATATTGTCGTTTTGAAATGTGTGTTTGGACCCACCCCACACATCTCAATTCCATGTTGGCACCTGGAACTTGCCAAAGATGGCAAGTGTTCCTTCCAACACTCACTCTCATCTTGGACATTCCGACTGGTCAGTCTCATGTTACCCTACAATAACAAATACTATCTCTATCTCTATCTCTATCACTATCACTATTTACTTTGTTAACATCTAATAATAATAAGAGTACATACTCACTCAAAAATACAATGTAATTATGAATGAACATGTACTTAAGAAACATTCATCTTCCAATAATAATAAAGCTACAACAACAAAAACAACAACAACAACATCAGATAATCAAGGACATACATTATTGATAACAGGTCACATTGCCAGTGATTTTGATACTTTATCATCAATTGTATCAGCATATATATTACTCACTCGTAGTGATACATCATTCTTTAATAACAACAATAACAAATTTAATAATATAATATGTTATCTACCACCTTCACAATATAAGAATATACACAAGTTTGTTCAAGATAATGTTAATGACTTCTTAACATCATTCAACTTTGTCCAGAACCTAACAACACAACAATGTCAATCGATTGACTATGTGTTCGTCGTTGATACCAAACGTATATCAAGACTCAAACATATTCATCAAGTACTATTCCCATCAGAGTATCATGATGTTTCATCTCAACCATCGCAAGGCCAGCCCAAATTCAGCCCTCGACTGAAGGGTATCTATATATCTGATCATCATCCTGCAACATCTGATGACATTGCCGAGCAGACATGTCCAAATGTTGTTGTACACTCTGAGATATGTGGATCAAACTCTGCTTTGATGGTCCGTCGATTGAAACAGAACAAGGTGGAGCTGTCTGACTTTGAAGCAACCATCATATCATTGGGCGTCTACGAAGACACGGGCAAGTTCACTTATGGAGGCACCACACATATAGACTTCAAGGCCCTCTCCTATCTCACCAGTCGAAACAAGCTGGACATGTCAATCGTATCGCAGTTCACATCAATGGGCAAGCCATCTGCGAACGATCTGAGCACGATCGACTCCTCATTGAAGAAGTTTGAGCTCAACCTATCACAACTGTCAACGATGGAGTGTATGCAACGATCAGTCACTTCCGTCAACTTCTTGGAGCACAAGATACATATGTGCCAGCTTCCCGTCAACGATGAGTACCGATACAATCACTCACCTCTTATCCAACTGTTCATGGAGGTTCATAATGAGGTGGAGACACTCATCGTCTTTACTCGATGTGATGAGTCTGGTACCAATGTCATTTGTCGAACATCATCCAATGGTCCACTAGACGTTGGGAAGATATGTGAGATCCTTGGAGGTGGTGGTCATCGCAATGCTTCATCAGTTAATCTCAAAGAGGCAACACTTCCAGAGGTAAATGTGTCATTAACATTGATCGATCAATCAAACATGCTCACTCATTCATTCTTCGATATCATAGGCCAAGAATATAATATTCTCTTTAATCTATGCAAGCATCATTGGAAAGGGTATTAAGGTCAATGACGTGATGAGCAAGAACCCAATCACGGTGTATGATGATATGTCACCTTTGGAATCATTGGCCATATTCCAACAACATCCAAGGGTGAAGCATTTGATCGTTGTTGACAGGGTGACTGGAAACTTGGTCGGCCAGGTTGAGCGCAGTAGGACCGAGTTCATTGCCAATCTTGATGTTCGTCATCACTCCAACACGGTGCTGAAGGATATCGATCACCTGATTGACAATACATATCCAGTCAATGATACTGACTCTATATTGGACGTTGTTTGTAACCTTACAAAGAGGTCACAATGGATGCTACCTGTACTCCATGCCCAAGACAACGCCAAGACGGAAAGCAGCAGCAGTGGCTCATTGGTTGGAGTGATCACAGCAACAGATATACTCAAGTTGATCCTTTCAGAGATTGAGTGTCATCACATCACTGATGATCTATACGAGGGCACCAAGTACTACAACGAGGTATCCACCAGGCTACCAGGATTTGTATTTAACTTTATACAATTCCTTCATGAGGTATGTTCGTTCGATCAATCAATCAATCAATCAACTCGCCTCAACTAACATCCAGCCACCCAATCAATCAAACAATGTTAATAGCTTGCCAGTGATATGGACAATGATATTTACCTTTATGGCAATTGTGTGTTTGAGTTGTTGACCTATGGCCAACATCCAACACAATGCATAGAGAGCTTCGAGTCACTCATATTCACTGACCTGGACAATATTGACAAGTTATGTCATCATATTGAGACTGCCATCAATGCGCACAGTGACACACTCAACTGGAGTCTAAAGTCATCAGTCAACTCACAGGATGAACGAGTACTCCACTTATTCAAAGGGAGATATAACTTTGGTATGTATCCATCCATCAATCCGTCAATCCATTATCCAACACACATACTTACAGAGTTACGCACTCACGCGCGCATTAGCCATCAAGATCGTCTCCAATCTCTTCTATCCCAAGTCAGACTATATTTACACATTCCAGCCAACCAAGATCAAGCTGGAGTCCTTCTCCAAGATATTCACATTCTCTTCTTTGTTAATATCATTGAAGACCTATTGGTATGTTATCATGACAATAATAACATCATTATACTAACACCTCAAAGTGTTCTGGATCACTTCCTCGGATGGGAGGACATCAAGGAGAAGAGGATAAGGACACTTCATTCTTCGTCATTCTCGGATAACCCCGAAACACTGTTAAGGTATGATGTTGGAGTGGTCGATAATAGTTATTAACTAACTAACTTTATTATATAGTGTATTTCTATTATCCAAAGAGTTGGGATTCAAGATATCCAATGAGACCAAACGATTCATAAAGTACTCTATCAATAATGGTGTGGCCAAGCGTATCAATGGAAGATACTATATGGAGTTCTTTTGGAAACTATTCAAGTATGATGACTACATGTCAACACTGAAAGAGCTACAGTTCTATGGCCTTTTGTCCGAGATCTCTACAAACGTACAAATCAATGCCAAGCTATTCATTCATCTGGAACAAGTATTGAATTGGTACAATGCATCACACATTGAGAAGGTAAGCTTATGACATCATAGATTGATATGATTGATTGATTAACCTTCCATGTATACTTTTAGAAACCGGATGTGATCAGACTTAGATTCTTTACATTGTTCAGTGGACTGTCATTCAAGACAATTCAACTTGACTTGCTGCCAAGACTTGAGATCACTGTTGAGGAGAAGACATGGTTGGGTACATGGATAGACTTGGTGCAGACAAAGAAGAAGTTGATCAAGAAGTGGGTCAGTGATTTGGAACAGAAGCAGACACGTAACATTGAGGAACTCAATGAGATACTGGCACCTCTACCACTGGAATGTATCATCCTTATAATGACCAGAATGATGACCGAACAAGACCTAAGTCCAAAGTGTCAGAAGGAGCATCAATACTTTATCAATCAGGCTCCATTCTCATTGTTCTTTCATCATCAAAGCTTCGAACAACGTATAATAGTTCCAACTGGTACTGATTCAAGATGATTGGATTGGCAAATCAATTCTTTGAATAAACCAGTTCTCAACAAAGACGAACGATTCATTCATTCCTTCAATTAAACACACAAACAAAACATGACAGATAATAACAAGGATCAATATATACCTTGGTTTATGTCAGCTGACATCAATGTTGTTGATGATCAACAACAACATGTGACAACAACACCAACAGCAAGCCCATCTCCAAAGAAACAACAACAGAATACAGAAATATCAATACTATCACATTATAAAGAGTACAATACAGTGTTTGAACAGGTTGCACAACAGATAGCATTATGGACTGCATTGGATAGGACATCATTCACATTGCTTCATAATCTAGCTGTTGTAATGGAGAGACTATCAATGTGTAACAACAGTGACAACTCAAACATGACTTCAACATCATCGACATCAGGAGTACTATCAAACAATGTTATAGAATCACTTCGTATCAAGTACAGTGCAAGAGTTGAAGATATAATGAAGACAATGAACAAGTACATGGATGATAAACGACGTGTTGTAGATAAGTTAATTCAACAATCTATAAAGTTATCAACTTATTGGGATAGATCAATCAACTTTGTTGACAACAACAGTAGTAGTAATAGTAGTACAAAGAGTTATCAGAGACAAGTAGAGTTTAACAGTGGTACACCATCAATGTCACCTTTGACATCATTGCATCAATGGCTTCAATATTTCTTTCATTGTTTCAAACATGAACTACTGCGGCAAGAGGACATCATCAGATCAATAGACTATTGTCTACCAGTTGAACACATTCACAAAGCCATCGATAGATGGCAAAAACAATCACTCATTGATGATAACAAGGGTATTGTGTCCATTCATTCATTCATCATCATCATTGTACATGTTGTTTCTAACTCTATCTATCCACATTCGCTTAATCATTTAGTCAAAGAGATATTGACATTGGCCAATGGAGTGATCAAAGATGATTGATTAACTTGAATGCCGAATGTCTACCTTTGGTCAAGAATGATGATGATCGCGCCTCAATCAAGAAGCATTGAAGCTACGCTTTTGATCTTTCTCAAACCCACCAAAATTGGGGTGGGAAATTTAATTAAATTATTAATTTCAAACAACAATCCCCATTAGGAAGAATGATCATCCTCTTCAAAACAAGTTAAACAACAAGGCCTCAATGTATGGTGAGGTCTCATGGGTGTGATGTTCAAGGAGTTACTTACTACTTTAAAGTTCACAACAATCACAATCCACATTTAAAATATATAAAACAGATATTTTGTCAAACAAATAATAACAACAACTACAACAACAACAACAATGTTGAGATTGAATAAACTCATTCCAACAACAACATCACTGCTAAAGTCGTCTTATTCGAGACACTATGCATCAGCAACATCATCATCCAATTCGGACAAAATGACACCACAAGAGTTGATCGTCAATCAGATAAAGAGTTCACCAATTCCCATGATCAAAGTGTCTGGTTCCGATATCGATGGAGTACTCCGTGGAAAGTACCTCCAGAAGGACAAGTTCACATCATCCGTTGACAAGGGCTTTGGATTCTGCAGCGTCATCTTTGGTTGGGACTGCGGTGATGAGACCTATGACAACGTGTCGTTCACTGGCAATCACACTGGCTATCCAGACATCACGGCCAAGGTGGACCTGTCCACTTTCCGTGAGGTGCCCTGGGAGAACAACATACCCTCGTTCCTCGTGGACTTTTATAAGAACGATGGCACGCCCCTCCCAATATGTCCACGTAACCTATTGAAGAAGGTCATTGCCGATTGTAGAGCTGAGGGCTTTGATCCAATGATGGGCATGGAGTTTGAGTGGTACAACTACTCCGAGACCAACAAGTCCATCAAGGCAAAGAACTTTACCGACCCCATCCCATTGACACCCGGCATGTTTGGTTACTCAATGATCAGAATATCCGAGAACTCAAAGTACATGGAGGAGTTGGCCAATCTCAAGAACTACGGCATCCCCCTCGAGGGTCTCCACACTGAGACTGGTCCAGGCGTCTACGAGGTGGCCATCAACTACTCTAAGGCTCTGGAGGCTGCCGACCGTGCCATCCTATTCAAGTTGTCCGCCAAGGAGATCGCTGCCAAGTTGGGTATCATGGCCAGTTTCATGGCCAAGCCATCGCTCAAGCTACCAGGCTGCAGTGGCCATATGCATCAGAACTTTGCCGATATTAATACTGGCGTCAACTTGTTCCACGACAAGAGCGATCCGAATGAGATGTCACCAATGTTCAAGAGCTTCCTGGCTGGTCAGCTGGAGCTGTTGCCAGAGTTCCTGCCATTCTTTGCACCGACCATCAACAGCTACAAGCGTTTGGTCGATGGATATTGGGCACCGACCACACCGACCTGGAGTGTTGACAATCGTACTGTCGCCATCAGAGTGATCAAGGGTGGCAAAGCCACACGATCAGAGTTCAGAGTGACCGGCTCCGATGTGAACCCATACATTGCCATTGCTGCATCCTTTGCTGCTGGCCTCTGGGGTGTTAAGAACAAGATGGAGCTGAAGCAAAAGCCCGTCGTTGGTAACTCCTACGACCTCTACAAGAAGGGTTTGGTCCAGCGTCTGCCCAGATCGCTGAGCGAGTCGACCGAGGTGCTGGCCAAGTCAAAGGTGGCCAGGGAGATCCTCGGTGCCGAGTTTGTCGACCACTTTGTCAACACGAGACGCTGGGAGTACCGTCAGTTCAACCATCAAGTACACAGATGGGAGCATGAGCGATACTTTGAGATTATATAGGCAGTCAGTCAGTCCTAGCAAGGATATATGATGAAGTAATAGCCTTGGATGCTGCTGCTGCTGTTTAGGCAACACCAGGTGTTTAGCGATGATAACGACGACGATGATGACGACACACAGCTTGTTGTACTTTTAGGTAATAAAGATATCCAACATATATATTCCAATGTAGACTCTTTGTTCATTCATTCGTTGATTCAATGGAAGTGGTTACCAACTTGACAACTGACTGGTCGCATCATCATGAGCCAGTGAGCTATCAACTGTTTGTGATTCGATATCCTTATGAAGTGTGCTTGACATTGATGGTATCCAATGATCTCCTGCTGACGACGAGATTAGTCTCGTGGTAGGTACAATACATATAGAGCTCAGTTATCTGTTATTGTTGGTTAGTTAGTGTGAGATGGAGAGAATGAGTGGATGATCGATCAACTTACAATACAACTCGAGTCCATCGCCATCATTGATCTCATCTGGTTGTTGTGGAGGGAGGGGAGGAGTGTTGATATGTTAGTAAGTTGGTTGGATTGATCAGGAACAAGAGCATTCTATCGTCTTACAATCTGCAAGTGTGATGTCTATCGATTGATTGAGGAATGAAGTTAGAACATTGATCGGTAGGTTGACTGACTGGACGAATGATGAATACATACGATCTTTGTAAACATTATACCATTTCTGTAGTCTGATCTTCTCTGGTCTGATACCAATCTGAGCGGCCAAGACCTTCTTCAAATCGCCAATGGTGTCATCGGAACTGTATTGTTGTGTCGAGTTGTTGTAAGTATGATGTCCAGGAATACAACAATATGTTTAATGATACCTACTTTACTTTGACTCTAACCTTGTTTCCTAAACGATCATTACAAACAACCTCTATCATCGTTATATATATGTATATTTATGTACAGAATAGTAATCAAATGAATGAATGATTGCCTCTTTGGGTGAGTCGCATGTCTCGTTTTCTTGCCACTGACGGACTGATTGATTGAATACTCTTTGTCAATGCTGAACAGCATCACAATGGAGTCTGGTTTATTTACATGATCAACTACTAGTTCGATGGTTGATGAAGTGAAGTATTGGTTGGATCTTGTTGTTGATGTTGTTGATGATGATGTTGTGCTTGGTGATGATGTCTGTTGTACGATGATGATGATGATTGAGGAGGAATGAAAGCAATGGTCTGTGTACTCAAGTTGGTGTATCTCTGATCAGTGTCGCTATATAGATGCAATGATTTGAATTGTGGTTGTTCATGTTGTTGTTGTTGTGATGTTGCTGTCTTTGTTATATCTGCATCACCATTCTCTTCAGTAATGTTGGTGTCTTTCTTTACATCAATATCATTGTTATTGTCATTTGTCTGTTGCACTGTATCATCACTCATTGTTGTTAATTAATCGTTATCGTTTATCACTTTAGTCAGATCCGCATCATCAAAGTGTTAGAAGGGGAGTGATGTTGACAACCAAATGACGAGTCAGGTTGAACTTTAATTGGGATGCAACTTTCGGTCGATTATTCATTCATCACTCCATAACTCCAAAGTGACAAATAGATACACATATACAAACAAATAGACATGGCAACACCAACAGATACTACAAACAGGAAGAATATAGTGATTGGATCACGAAAGAGTCAACTTGCTATGGTTCAGACAGAGTCTGTGATGAAGAGTTTGCAGACTCTATATCCACATCTTACATTTGAGATACAGACCATGGATACAATGGGCGATCGTGTACTCAGTGTTGCCCTATCAAAGATTGGTGACAAGGGACTGTTCACAAAGGAGCTCGAAGATCTAATGATCTCTGGTCACATCGATATTGCTGTCCACTCTCTAAAGGACCTCCCAACACGGTATGTTGTTGACATTGTTGTTGACTGCATGTTCACCTCCTAACACAATGAGACAATACAGCTTCCCTGAGGGACTAGGATTGGGAGCTATTACAAAGAGAGAGAATAGTTATGATGCATTCGTAGCACATCCAAAGTATGGCAAGCAATGCACATTGGCTTCATTGCCAAATGGTGCCGTGATTGGTAGTTCATCACTGCGAAGAGTTAGTCAGTTGCGCAAGGCATATCCACATCTTCAGTTCAATGATATTAGAGGCAACTTGAACACACGCTTCAACAAGTTGGACACGACTGGCCAGTTTGATGGAATGATCCTGGCCGTGGCTGGACTCGAGCGACTCGGTTGGACCGACAGGATATCACAGATATTGGAGCCAGACACTTCTCTGTATGCAGTGGGACAGGGTGCACTTGGTATCGAGTGTCGCTCCAACGACCAGTTCATCATGAACCTTCTGGAGCCATTGAATCATTATGAGACTTCACGTTGTTGTCTGGCAGAGAGAGCAATGCTACGTGATCTGGAAGGAGGCTGTCATGTACCAATCGGTGTCAACACAACAATCAGTGGCAACCAACTAATGATCGAGGGTATTGTACTCAGTCTGGATGGTAGCAAGTCTGTCAAGTTGTCACATCAAGGAGATATTGCCACACCGGAACAAGTTGGCAGAGAACTGGCTACAATGCTCAAACAACATGGTGCCATGGAGATATTGGAGGAAATAAACCGTTCAGCAGCAGAGGCCGCCAAGTAAGTAATCCTTCAGGCATGGCTGCTGAACCACAATGAATGTTTATTATTATTACTATTATTGCTTTGATGGCTGTTGAGCGAATGGTAACCTATCGTATGAGAGAATGGTGGACAACCAACGCTCGGCCTCCTCGACAGAGATGCCCTTTCTGACGGCGTAGTCCTGCACTTGGTCCTTGGTGATCTTGCCAACGGAGAAGTACTTGGCGTGTTCGTGTGAGAAGTAGATTCCACAAACGGCAGCACCTGGCAGCATTGCCATGTGATCGGTGAGCTCGATGCCAGTGTTCTCCTGCACGTTCATCGTGGACCAGATGGTCTTCATCTCAGTGTGGTCTGGCTGCACGGGATAGCCTGGTGCTGGACGGATGCCACGGTACTTGACCTTGAACAGGTCCTCTGCGCTCAGACTCTCGTCCTTCTCGTAGCCCCAGTGCTCCTTCCTGACGTCCTCGTGCATGTGCTCGGCTAACGCCTCTGCAAGACGATCGGCCAGAGCCTTGGCCATGATGGATGAGTAGTCGTCGTTCTCTTGCTTGTAGCGCTCGACCATCTCCTCAAGACCGAATCCAGAGGACAATGCAAACAGACCGATGTAGTCCTTGACACCAGAGTCAACTGGTGCGACATAGTCACCCATCGAGATGTATGGCTCGTCCACCTCCTTCTCAGATTGCTGGCGCAGACCAAACAGTGTGGTGAGCTTGGTGGTGCGTGTCTCGTCCGTGTAGAGGATGACATCCTCGTTGACACTGGCCGCTGGGTAGAATCCAATCACACCTCTGGCGTTGAGCAACTTCTTCTCGATGATCTCCTTGAGCATTGCCTGAGCGTCGTCAAACAGCTTCTTGGCCTCAGCACCAACGGTGGCATCATTGAATATTCTTGGATATCCTCTGTTTGGATACTTTCCACGCAGTTGCCATGTGGCAAAGAATGGATTCCAATCGATCTTTGGCAGCAACTTGTCCAATGCGTAGTCCTTGATCACCTTGTGACCCAAGAAGCTTGGTGTGGTCGTCTTGATGTGGCTCCAGTCAATCTTGGGTCTCAAGTTTCTTGACTTGTCCAGACCAATGTAGATCCTGTCCTTGAGTGATGCATAATGCTTGTCTCTGAGCTCTTGGTACTGAGTGGAGATGTCGTCGGCAAAGTGCTCCTTATTGTTCTTGTCGAGAAGACTGGAGACCACTGTGACTGAACGAGAGGCATCGAGAACATGAACAGTTGGCTGAGAGTAATGGGGCGAGATCTTGACAGCCGTGTGAATCTGGGATGTGGTGGCACCACCAATCAACAATGGCACCTTGAACTTCAAACGCTCCATCTCTGAAGCCACGTAGATCATCTCGTCAAGTGATGGGGTAATCAGGCCGGACAGACCAACAATGTCGGCCTTGTGCTCGATTGCTGAGGCCAGGATCTTCTCGCAGGGTGTCATGACGCCAAGATCGATAACCTTGTAGTTGTTGCAACCAAGTACAACACCTACGATGTTCTTTCCAATGTCATGCACGTCTCCCTTGACGGTGGCCAGCACAACGACGCCAGCATTCTCAGCCTCGCCATCGGATGTGTCACCGTTGGCTCTGCGCACTCTCTTCTCCTCCTCCATGAAGGGGATCAAATGAGCGACGGCCTTCTTCATGACTCTGGCACTCTTGATCACCTGTGGCAAGAACATCTTGCCTGAGCCAAACAGATCTCCAACGACGTTCATTCCACTCATGAGTGGTCCTTCGATAACCGAGAGTGAAGATGGCATGGTTATTCTAGCCTCCTCAGTGTCCTCAATGATGAAGTTGGTGATACCCTTGACCAATGCGTGACTGATACGATCCTCGACGGACTTTGTTCTCCACTCCTCAACCTCGGTGGCAGCCTTCTCTGTCTTGCTGCTGTTCTGAGCGTACTCGAGCAGCTTCTCAGTGGCGTCGTTGGTCCTGTTGAGAATGGCATCCTCCACCAGCTTGAGCAGGTCCTTCTCAATGTCGTCGTAGATGGGCAGCTGTCCAGCGTTCACAATACCCATGTCCATACCGGCCTTGATGGCGTGGTACAGGAAGGCAGAGTGCATGGCCTCACGCAATGGCTCGTTTCCACGGAAGGAGAATGAAAGGTTGGACACACCACCGCTGACCTTGGTCAGAGGCATAATCCTCTTGATCTCTCTGGTGGCCTCGATGAACTCGATGGCATAGTTGTTGTGCTCCTCGAGACCAGTGGCAATGGTCAAGATGTTGGGGTCAAAGATGATGTCCTGTGGCTTGAATCCAACCACCTCTGTGAGGATCTTGTATGAGCGATGACAGATCCTGACCTTCTCATCCTTGTCGACGGCCTGTCCCTGCTCGTCAAAGGCCATGACCACGACGGCAGCTCCGTACTGCTTGCAGATCCTGGCCTGCTCAATGAATAGCTCCTCGCCAACCTTGAGCGAGATGGAGTTGACAATGCACTTGCCCTGCACACACTTTAGACCAGACTCGACGACGGCAAAGTTGGACGAGTCAAGCATGATGGGCACCTTGGAGATCTCGGGTTCGGAGCCAACGAAGAAGAGGAACTTCTGGATGGCCTGCACGGCGTCAATCATACCTTCGTCCATGTTAATGTCGATGATTTGGGCACCGGCCTCCACCTGTTGTCTGGCCACTGAGATGGCCTCCTCGTACTTGTTGGCCTTGATCAAGTTGGCAAAACGACGTGATCCAGACACGTTACAACGCTCACCAACGTTGACAAAGTTGAGTGTTGGCGTGAACACCAGTGGCTCGAGACCACTGAGCGTGGTGTATGGTGCCAATGATGGGATGTGACGAGGTGCCACGCCCTTGGTAACACGGGCAAACTCACGGATGTGATCAGGGGACGTACCACAGCAGCCTCCGACAATGTTGAGCAATCCAGAGCGAGCAAACTCTTCGATCTGCTCGGCCATCACCTCGGGTGTCTCATCGTAGCCACCAAAGGTGTTGGGTAGACCGGCATTGGGATAACAGAGCACCAGACACTCTGAGCACTTGGAGATGTTCTGGAGGAATGGGCGCATCTCGTTGGCGCCCAGCGCACAGTTGAGACCAAACACCATTGGGTTGGAATGTGCGATCGATGTGTAGAAGGCCTCTCCAGTCTGACCCGAGAGCGTTCTTCCAGACTTGTCGACAATGGTACCAGATACGAATACTGGTATCCTTGGATGATTCTTGAAGTAGTTCTCAATGGCAAACAGAGCAGCCTTACAGTTGAGTGAGTCAAACACTGTCTCCACGAGGAAGATGTCGACGCCACCCTGGGCCAAAGCCTCGACTTGCTCGTAGTAGCCATCGACCAACTCGTCAAACTTGACGTTTCTGGCCTCTGGGCGCTCGACCGATGGTGAGATCGAAGCGGTCTTGTTTGTTGGGCCAACGGCACCAGCGACGTATCTTGGTCGCTTCTCTGGATCGGCCTGATAAACCTCAATCGCAGCCTCCTTTGCCAGACGCGCAGCCTCCAAGTTAATACGCTTGACCAGATGCTCCATCTTGTAGTCAGCCTGTGAGAATATGTTTCCATTGAATGTGTTGGTCTCGATGATGTCTGCACCTGCCTCCAAGTATTTCTGTGTATGATTATTATAGTTGTTTGAGTTGTTAGAGAGATGTTGATTGACGACTATTGACTTGATGGCAAAGCTGACTCGGTCATTACCTTGTGAATCTCCTTGATGATATGAGGTTGAGTCAATACCAAGAGATCATTGTTACCACCTAGTTCATGCGGGAAGTCCTTAAACTCCTCGCCACGGTAGTGATGATCCTTAAGCTTAAACTTCTGTATCTCAGTGCCCATAGCACCATCGAGGATCATGATCCTCTCCCTCATGGTAGCCCTGAGCTGTTCAAAGATTGCTAAATAAGAATAGTATTATATTAGTCACACAATTCCATCAGTTTGCTGTCAAAGGTATACTACATACGAGCCTCTTCTTTCATTCTTTTAGATTGTAGTTGTTGTTGATGTTTGAGTTGAAGATGAGTAGGAAGGTGAATGTCGATAATGAATGGTACTCCTACAAAGATGAATGAATGATTGGTTGATATACCCTATACTCGAAAGCTTAATTATTTGTTGGTTGTTTGAAATATAGGTATTGAACATAATGAATGAATGATAAGAGGAACAGACGCCTTTGTCCTTTGAGATGTGTGCGATTGACGAGTTCAATGCCACCTCCTTCAAAGATGGGTGTACCCCATCAATCTTCACAAGCGATAATTGTGTGTGTTTGGGAACCGAGCAATGCATGACTCACACGCCAGATGTGATGCCCAAGCCCTTTTAGAGCATTAATGTCGACTGAATTAAATATCTCCTGGAGAGGATCACTTTGCGGTTACCAATAGAAACATTCTCACTGCCAGACTAGTCAGGGGAAGACACTTTTGATAGTGTGAAAGGTTTGGAAGGCTCTTTACCTGTAAACTTGTAAAGTCGAGCCTGTGTTGATGAATGAGGTGAATCTTAGTTGATGTTATTATTTATTCAAAGTTGGACACTTGTATGATTATTCTTGTTCATGGCTCAACAACAACAACAACCAAAACATTCTCGATCGAACGAATGGGCTGAGAAAGCAAGACATATCATTGAAAGAGACTCAATCATCATGAGTAATGATCTTGAGGTATTCACTCGATTACACTCTACTCTGGACATCATCAATGAACTGCCAATCTTATCAAAGGTATTGAATACTGAGTGTGTATACTCCACAACAACACAAACAATATCACTTACTCATTCAAACCTCCAAGTTGTCCAAAGACTTTTTCTCACTTGAGACATTGATCATTGAAGTACTAGAGTCGATCACCTTTGTTAGATATGGTATACATCAATTGGAGCATAACATTATCAATGATAGTCTGTTCTTCACATTGAATGGATTGACTACATCGATGTTGGATGTAACCATGGCACTAGTGGACATGGCATCGATCAATAACCTCCTTGTACTTCGGTTCCTCAGGTTCCTCTTTGATGATACATTCCTTCACGGGCTTGTCCAGAAGCTGGAGAATAGTGATCATCTGGTGGTGGATCAGATAATCAAACACTATGCCAACTTGATCATTGCCATTCTGATCGACTTCAAACTAGTATCACAACAGTGCAACAACTTTTACATTGATCTACACAAAGCCTACGATGTGGCAACATCGATATTAGGTAGTGAACGATTGGGGCACTCGCTCGATCAATGGTTCTTGACGCCATCTCCACCAGAATGTTTACACAGTAGTACATCCAAGGCCAAACTACTCTACCTTGTACTAATCAAAGACAAGTCTCAATCAGAGTTGTATCTCAATGTCCAGAACAGGCATTATGCATTCGAGTAAGTAGGTCTAAGCATATCCACTTATGCACTCACTCGCTCACACACACCATCAATCAATCATTCAATCAAATTGATCAATGACCAACAGGATCATAATTACAACTTTGGAGGATTATGGAAACTACTCTAAATATTTTGAACATTTCCAGACACAGTTTGGAGAGCTTGGCATATTTATGGATATGATGAGGATCAACAAAAAAGAGTGGCAACACTGACATCCAAACAACCTCATATCGTATATATTCTTTAAAAGCATTCCATCACTCATTCATGGTATCAACCTCAATTCCAATAACCAATCCATACATGAGGTCATCAGACATTTTGGATCAGAGTTCCCCAAGGTAAGCCAGCGATCAACCACCTTCATCATCCACTCCACTCCACTCAATCAACTCATTGTTCAAAACAACTCCGACCTTATAGATATTCAATATGTACGAACAAACTATTCTCTCCAAAGTAAGAAGAGGTGTGCTTTTCATCCTGGATGGTATTACCAGTTGCTTTGAATCATGTGGACTGCCTCTGCCAAATGGATTGATTGATTGTCTTGCTGATTATAGATTATCATACAATAGTACCAATTTTGAGACCATAAGAGGCTTGATCAAGGCAGCAGATGGCAACAAAAGACTACGAGCGGAAGGGTTCAGGAGTTTGATGCACATCAATGATCATATTGATATTCAATCGTTCAATCAAGAGGTCATCCAAAGATATCTATCCGAGTTCAAGGCATTCCTAGACTCTCCAGAAAAGTCAATGTCTACTTGGCGCAACACCGATATGATCATTAGGTGTCACCAACAATCTTGGATCAGCACTTTGCAAGTGATTCACATGCTTGGATGTAGTCATCGGGGATCTGGCATCTACATGGACAGGTCACACAGTAACAATATAATATCATTCGTTCAAACGATATGTACGGATGATCCCAACGAAGCATGGATTCAATACATTGATATAATGATGGACAGCTCACGTCTCAACGACCAGCAAGAAGGCAATGGGAAATACTACTACATGTTTGTGGAAGTAATGGCGATTGAACAGCATCTGATGGTAGTTAGACTGGTTCGACCTGTTTTCCACCTCCTCAAGTATATTTATATACTCAGTCTCGGACCAGTTGACTCAAATTACAAACGGTCCAAACATATTTTGTTTGGAACATTGAATCATGATGATGATGAGTTTATCAAGGAACGCCAACTCTTTAAACAGTTCAAGTGTCAGTCATTCACCAAGACGCTACATACTTTCGCTCACAGACCACAGCCACTGGAGCCCCTGCCCACACTCCCTTTGAGAGTGATCAAAATGATCATACAAATTGCAATCCAAGATATAGAAACCAATGATAACTTTGAATATTGGTGGTTGGTGGACTTGGCAACAGTGAGCAGTCAGCTCCACAAGGAATGCGCTTTTATCCTTACCAATCGTGTACTCCCATCAATCAGAGTACTATCATCACTCAAACATATTGGATCGAAATATTGTTTGTTCAATGACACGCCACTTCATATGAATCCCATTGATCTGGTTCACATCCCAACAACGCACTTATCTCGATGTATTGATCGATTGCTACATGTTACAATACCATTCATACATAACGATTGCAACTCCAACTCAAAGTACATTGTGGTGCAGGGGGCGAATAATCTGGAACATATCACATTGGTTGAGGAGAAGGATGACTGTGCCAATTGGACAGATATCACTGAAGACCATCAATTACTATTCTATCTGTATGATAGTTGTAATCGATATCTTTATGACATGGAGGATGAGGACGAGGACGATGACGATGAGGACGAGCCATGGTTCAAGTCATTGTGCAAACAATACTTTGGCCCCAACAGAACATCTCTTCAAACAATAGAGTTTCAATCATACTCAAATATATATCATCCAAAGATCTCAAGTGCTTTGTTGAATGTGACCATCAACAATCGATTGACAATCAATGATCATTCTTCCTTGTATGAGCCTTTGGAAGGCCACCTCACATCATTGACCATTGGAGAGTACAGCAAGGATGTTCGTAAATTTATGGACCATAGTGGTATCCCAAATGTACTCGAGTACATGACTGGAACCATGTCCAACATACACATCAATGAACCAAGAGAAAGCAAAAGATTCAATAAGGAACTGATTGATAAGATCCAACAATTATACAACCGTATGAATCAATCACTACAAAAATCATATTCCCTATTCCTCAACATCCAAGACCTGAGCAATGTGATTGCATTGCTGCCACAATGTCCAACACCAATCACTTCATTATCAATCCATCTAAATGATATTGAGAGAATGATCCTTTGTCATATTAATGGATCACTCGATCGACATATGTCCACACTAATCAATCACTTCAACCAACAATCAATCTTTGGTACACTCACATCAGTCTCGCTCGTCATCGATGACACAAACTTCATCATCACCATACCATTCCATCACATCTACTTTCCCTCACATGTTTGCCATTAATGAATCCACAAGTCATCAGTCGTGCATTATAACATTAAAGAACTTAGATCCGACCAACTTGGTCAAGTTGAACAAATTTGAATTTAAATTCAGAGATGGCGGGAGATTTGAACTGTTTCAAACAGGTCTAAACGGTGGTTCATTGTGCAGTCCCTCAATGACTTCCAAGTAATTAGTTATTTAATTTAGTTCATTCACAAAGCAACACAGACAACAAGACAGTAAGAGTAGGAGATATGAGTAGTCGACCTACATTAAAGACACCTCTGTCATCAGTAAAGAGGACACCAAAGATATCACAGGCAATGTTAGATAGAGCAATGAGCGTAAAGAATTCATTCCTGGCTAGTCGTCAGAGTACTACAGGCACAACTGAACAATCATCAGATAATGATTCAACAACAACATCAACAACATCAACAACAACAACAACCAGTCAGCCAATTCCATTCACTCTGGATGATGGTGTTGTTGTTGCATCTAAACCACCTCAAGATGGATCACTGGAACTGTTGGAGAGTCTTGGTTCATTGTCAATCAAGAAGTCAGTCAAGTCGTCTACAAAGGATAATGGAGATGATGAGGAGCAGGGCGATGATGATGAATATATTGCACCAACAAATAGAAACATAACAAGTCAATTGCTAAAGGAGGCTGCTGTTGCTGTTAAGACTGAGCTGACACAGAAGCAGCAACAGAGTGTTGCTGAGGACGACGAAGAGGAGGAGGAAATTCCAGTTTCAACAAGAAGAACAATCAAAAGACTGGTGTTGGATGACGAAGGTGAGAGTCCTTGTGTCGCACCACAGCACAACAACAACAACAATGTAGTAGTAGAAGAGGAGTGGGAGGACAAGGAAGAGGAGAAGAAGGAAATCAAGGAGGTGGTCCCAGCAGAGTCACAACCTTCAACACTCAATAGACTCAAGCGCAAGAAGATGCCAGAGAAGGAGGTGGAGCCACAAGATGATATTGTTTCAGAGGAGGACGACGAGGAGGATGACGAGGAAGAAGATGAAGATGATGAGGAAGAGGAAGATGATGATGAAGACTATGAGAGTGAAGAAGAGGAGGAGGAAGAGGATGAGGAGTATGTACCAAAGAGACAAACCAAGTCAACAAAGAAATCGACAACAAAGAAGTCAATTCCAGTGGTGGAGGAAGAGGAAGACGATATTCAAGAGTCTGGCGATGAACAGAATGAGGAGGGGGAGGAGGAAGAGGAGGAGACCAAGTATGAAGACCAACTCAATGGATTCAAGAAGAACCTCAAGACTGAGAACTACCACAGTACGACTGTGCTGGAGGATGATGTGACACTGGCCCAGCGAGAGTTTGTTGTCTCCAAGCAATCGTATGAACAGCTGTTCTGGTACCAACGCGAGGGAATCAACTGGATGTGGCAACTGTTCACGCGTGGCGCCGGCGGCATCCTGGGCGACGACATGGGTCTTGGCAAGACGATGCAGGTGATCACATTCCTCAAGCAACTGCACCACGCCAAGTTCGTCAAGTACTCCCTGGTGGTGATGCCCGTGTCGCTGATCGAGCATTGGGTCAAGGAGTTTGAGCGCCTGCCGCCCAAGGTCACGGTGCGCGTCTACCACGGCGCCAACGTCAAGGAGAGAGAGCGCAGTCTCGAGTTTGTCCAGAAGAACGGTGGCATCCTGCTCACCACCTATGGAATGATTGTGGCCAACACCGATCAGTTGAAGGAGCGATCGCGCAGGACCTTCCAGTGGGACTATATCATCCTGGACGAGGGCCACAAGATCAAGGAGACCAAAACCCAGATTAGCAAGAAGCTGCGAGAGCTGCGCGCACACTACAAGATCATCATGACTGGAACCGCCATTATGAACAACCTCCGTGAGCTATGGGCCCTGTTTGACTGGGTGTGCGACGGTACCCTGTTGGGCTCAGTGCGCAACTTCTCCTCCAAGTTTGAGAAGCCAATCCTTGGCGCGCACATCTCTGACTCTACACAGTCGCAGAAGAAGATGGGCTCAGCAGTGGCAGAGTCATTGCGAAAGATCATCGCACCACACTTCCTTAGACGCGAGAAGAAGGATGTGTTCTCCACAGGAGACAGCGCACTGCCTGCAACCCATGCGCCTGGCACTGGCAAGGAGAATGATGAGAACCACTCCAACATCGAGGCCAACGCCAAGACGTCCACGTCCACAACAACACCAACAAAGGCAGCAGGACAGCCACTGGCCAAGAAGAGAATGTCAGTCAAAGGTATCAGGACCAGGAAGAACGATCTCATCTGCTGGCTGAGTCTGGCGCAGCCACAGATCGACATCTACAAGGTGTTCCTGGACTCGGAGGAGGTGAAGAAGGCGCTCAATCAGACCGAGTCGCCACTTGCCGCGCTCACCGTGTTGAAGAAGATATCCGACCATCCACTGCTGGTGCACGACCAGATGACCACATGCAATGGCGCCGACATGCAAGAGATACTCCAAAAGGTTGGAGAGAACACATCGATCAAGTCATTGGTGCGCAACTCCTGCAAGATGCAGTTCCTCTACTACATGCTGCCGAACCTTTTGAAGGAGGGACACCGTCCACTGATATTCAGTCAGTCCACCAAGATGCTTGATGCAATCGAGAAGTTGTTGGATAATCTGGTATGTATACTTTTTGCGACCATAGTTATCATTGGACCAAGACACTAACATTAACAATCATAGAAACTGAGCTTCACTCGTATTGATGGATCGATATCATCGACCAAAGAACGACAGAGAAGGATTGACGAGTACAACACTGACAAGAGTATCTTTGCCTTCTTGCTCACCATCCAGGTTGGAGCACTTGGACTCAATCTCACAAGCGCCGATCGTGTCATCATCTGTATGTATCAATACATCAGACAGACCTCTTGGACATCCAAGACAACACCCATCCTAACATATACATCCACATCAATAGTCGATCCATCATGGAACACTGTTGACAACCAGGCTGTCGATAGAGTATATCGTATTGGTCAGACAAAAGATGTCTTGGTCTACCGTCTCATCACCTGTGGAACAATGTAAGTGGACTGGTAGACACATTCAGATTCACAATAGCCGCCAGGCCAGACCATAACTAACACACAAGTTGACGACCAGTGAGGAGAAGATCTATAGGAAGCAGGTGTTCAAAGGATCACTGATGAAGACCATGTTGAACCAGAGCAAAGGACAGCACAGATACTTCACCAAGGGCGAGCTGAGGGACTTGTTCACACTCAATGATACCACCGTGTCAGACACCCAGAAGCATCTCGAGGGTCTTCACTCCAAGAACAGAAAGAGCAGCAAGGAGTTGGATGACCACCTCAACAACTACTTGACCAAACTACGTATGTACATAATAGAGAACGCACTCGCCATCAACGATCATTCATTGACATCATCATTCGTATCTCTACACAATCATAGCGATGCTTGCAGGTATTAGTGACCACGACCTGTTGTTCTCTGAGCAGGTCAGCGTTGATCACGACGATGAGGATATCAAATCGTTCGAGCAAGGCGTCCAGCCAAACACTGACAGACATGTTAAGAAGAAGAAGATCACCATTGTCACCAAAGATACGGTATGTTGTTGTTGTTGTTGTTGTTGTTGTTGTTTGGTAACTGGCTCCTCACCAGTTGTATGACCAATTCATTAACATACTTTGTACACAACAGCCGAACAAGTCACAGGTGTTGGCCAAACAATTCATTTATGCCGACGATGACCAGGCAGACGACGATGATGTTATTGTGATTGAAGACTTCTCGTCACCACCAGTTAGGCCTGCAATAGTGCCAAACAATTCAATGGCTCATGGCTGGGGCTCATTAAACGCTCCTGTGGCCAGGCCCTTGGCAACGAACCAGAACCAAGGCTTGGGTGGCAGTTGGCCAACACAACTCCAGTCTATCCACCAGCCAATCCAACAGCCACCATCAATGACATTGGCACAACAAATACATCTTCAGAGGCAACAACAGATTCAACAACAACTGCTGCAACAACAACAACATCAGCACAAGACATCACAGTACAACGTACTAATGGCAGACGCTCAGTAAGTATTGATGATGATCGTTTTCATTGATCAGGTGTTGTACATCACTCTAACATTGATCCAATCACCAACAAAGACGATTCATGCAGATTGATCAGGTGAAAGCGATCAATCTCTTGTTGGACGCACAGAGACTTTTCAACAGCAAGGAGCTGGAGGACTTGATTGTACAACAATATTCCCAATTGGTGAATGGTAACATCCAATCGAATCCAGTGACTTCAATCTAGTCATCACCACCCATTCCTTTTTTTGTTGTCAATGAATAATAACAAGACACCAAAAAACTCACACGTATCATATTTCAAACAAAACAAATAAACGATGGAGATATATAAATTATTACTTCTCACTAATAATTTGTAATTCACAAAAAAAAAACATTAATTTTCAAAATAAATTATTTTTATTAGTTTTTTTATTTTATCAACTTATTCTACCCCCCCCCCCCCCCCCATCATCACACCCCAGTCGCAGGTTGAATGAAAGTTACTTTTGAAATAC